AAAGGGGAAGGCCAGGGGATAAGCAGAAATGCAGTAATTGTGCTCAGAATTCCGGCAGGAGCAGAAGCCTTTGCCTTATTTGGGTGTGGGAAAGTAACTGTGGCTGAGACTCCTGCAGCTGTATTGGCCGCTTCTGGGACATTTCTGGGGGATTCTGGTCGAACAAAAAATGTAGAAAGGTCAGTATTATGCATATAATGTCGTATACAAAGTTCCAGAAGCATAGGATAAGAATTGGGGGAACAGTATTCAAAATACCCCCACTACTGTCTGCACTAATGGACAGTAATTGGGGCACCACTCCTGACTGGGTAAAGCCGTGGCTTGGTGGCTTGGTAAATATGTTCATATAGTGTATATTGACCTCTATGCAAACCCCCAAGGTCATAGGTTCAGCCAGTAGAGCATGGGACATTAAATACCCTGAGAGGACTGTAAAAAGAGAAAAAAGCGAAAAATAAATCCCCATACCTGCAATACTGAACATATGGCTTAATGGCTTTGCTAACATGTCCATATAATGCCCATAGACCATGGTGCAAAGCACCATAATGATTGGATAAGAATTGAAAAGAGAGAAAGCGAAATACCCTTGGCATACCCAGTACTGGGGGGGAGAGGGGAGACTATGGAATAGCTTCTGACCAGAAGTACCTATGGCTTAGTGGGTTTGCATACACATAGATATAGTGCTAATAGAGTTCTATGCAACACCCCCAGGTCATAGGACAATCCCCCCAGAAGCTGTCTACTTGTATGCAGAATACAGGGAGGAAGGGAGAGAGGGGTGCACCAGAAATGGGGGAGTGATGCTACCTTCAAGTGGAGTTGTCTAGAGGTAGAAAACATAAATATGAAGCTTGGAACAAAAGGGCTAAGAGGTAGGATCAAAGCCTGATTTATGGTGCAGAAAGTTCTGTTGGGGGGAGGGGGTGAACTTGACTTCAGCAGTGAATATAAATTCAGGGAGAGAAGCTATGGAGAAGGGGACAGTGGGAATGGATGAGGGATAGTAAAAAACATAAGAGCCCCAAAAGAAATGAAGGCCATCTGCAAGCAGGTTGTCCTCAGGTAAGGTTCTGTACTTTCTGCCCTAAGATATGGGCATATCCTGGCTGTACTGGTACAGTGTCACAACAATGTTCTCCAATAATGCAACAAATGTTATGGGTGGATAGAGCATGTTGAGAAACCATGGTCTACCACTTTCTTTTCATCCAAACCATCCCTATTCCTGCCCTACAGAATTCTTTTTCGAAATTTATACTGAAATGCACCCCCTTCAGACCTGACTAGAAATGTGAGTCTTTGTTCAATCCCTTTCAGAAATTCAGGTAAGCTTTATTGGACATATATTGAGCTGTGTATACCCCCACTTAACCATAGGGTCACCCTGTGCCTTCTGGGACATTATTCTTTCTGGGCAAAGTTCACCCCCTCCCCCCAACAGAACTTTCTGCACCATAAATCAGGCTTTGATCCTACCTCTTAGCCCTTTTGTTCCAAGCTTCATATTTATGTTTTCTACCTCTAGACAACTCCACTTGAAGGTAGCATCACTCCCCCATTTCTGGTGCACCCCTCTCTCCCTTCCTCCCTGTATTCTGCATACAAGTAGACAGCTTCTGGGGGGATTGTCCTATGACCTGGGGGTGTTGCATAGAACTCTATTAGCACTATATCTATGTGTATGCAAACCCACTAAGCCATAGGTACTTCTGGTCAGAAGCTATTCCATAGTCTCCCCTCTCCCCCCCAGTACTGGGTATGCCAAGGGTATTTCGCTTTCTCTCTTTTCAATTCTTATCCAATCATTATGGTGCTTTGCACCATGGTCTATGGGCATTATATGGACATGTTAGCAAAGCCATTAAGCCATATGTTCAGTATTGCAGGTATGGGGATTTATTTTTCGCTTTTTTCTCTTTTTACAGTCCTCTCAGGGTATTTAATGTCCCATGCTCTACTGGCTGAACCTATGACCTTGGGGGTTTGCATAGAGGTCAATATACACTATATGAACATATTTACCAAGCCACCAAGCCACGGCTTTACCCAGTCAGGAGTGGTGCCCCAATTACTGTCCATTAGTGCAGACAGTAGTGGGGGTATTTTGAATACTGTTCCCCCAATTCTTATCCTATGCTTCTGGAACTTTGTATACGACATTATATGCATAATACTGACCTTTCTACATTTTTTGTTCGACCAGAATCCCCCAGAAATGTCCCAGAAGCGGCCAATACAGCTGCAGGAGTCTCAGCCACAGTTACTTTCCCACACCCAAATAAGGCAAAGGCTTCTGCTCCTGCCGGAATTCTGAGCACAATTACTGCATTTCTGCTTATCCCCTGGCCTTCCCCTTTTGCCAAACCCATTTTCAGACCAATAGGAACATAATAAAACATATGTATTGTTTTATATACAGGAATAGAGAGAGGGATTGAAATGGTACTAACCGCACGATAAAACATATTTTAAGCGCCCAAATTACTATATTGGGTCGGTGTACTATGCTTACTAATATGTTTTAAAGCGGTGTATAGTGCTAGAAACAGTTTGAGGCCACAATTCCGACATATGAGCCAAAAAAAACATAAGAAAGCGCCGAGAAAAGACCACATACCCTATTAGGAAACACCCCAGGCCGGAGAACAGGCTTTCCGGGGCTTTGTCCGCTCTGGGCAGGATTTGCAAATCATGCCTTGCCAATGGCTCGGGAATTTGCAAAACACTCCAGGGCAAAAGTAGGGTGTATTAGCAAAAGCGTCATGGCATAAGCTGGGAGCATTGCATAGCTGTGGGACACCTCCCTCTGGTAAAGTAGTTAGTGTCGACAGGAACTTATCAACAGGTCCGATGTACTCCACATGCCCGCTGATGCCTTCCGTAGATCCTTGGCTGTTTCACCACCCTCCAGGTTCTTTGCGACAACAGCCTCGCCACTGTCTTCCTCTTTGACATCATCTTCATCCACATCATTGTCCTCCTCATCGCTGTCACCCTTTTCATCACCAGGATCATACGAAGCATCTTCATCATCAGAGCCATACCCTGCGACCTCAGGAATCACCATCAAAACATCATCCATTGCACTGTCGGGCACACCTGTTGCACTATTGTCAAGCATCTCCCCATCATTGCTAGGAAGAAACAAAGGTGCTTGTGGGACCTTCTTGTGCATGCGAAGATGGAGGATACGATCAGGAAGGGCAGACCTCTTTCCAGGTGCAGAAGGAGGCACCACCCAATTCCTCGACCAGTCACACCGCTTCTTCCCTTTTGCGCACTTCGTACACACAGACCAGCCAGGAATCAAGGCTTCACAGGCCGGTTTCTTCTGCTCGGAGCAGCGATTGCACTAACCACACAAGGGTGTTAGCAAAACACCTGAAGAATGGAGAAGGCTAACTCACGGAGGTGGTAGAGTCAGTCAAAGTCATACTAGCCAGTGGCAGTTTCATAATCAGCATTGGAACCTCCACAACAGCGGGTGCAATGACAGGAGCAGCAGGAGCGACCACAGTACTCGATGCAACTGGATGAGCAACTGCGACCCCGTGAGCAGTGCGACATGACACAATGGTACCCCCACTTGCTGCAGAGGTGGACCATCTGCGGGAAGCCGCAGTGCGATGCAGATGAGGCTTAGGGAGGGCCTCAACTGTGGGAGGTCGCATTATAGTGATTCCGGCGAAGGGATTGACCGGCGGAGGAGGCCTAGCAGGTCCATAGTCTTCGCAAATTCCTTTCAACTCCTCAGACCAGTAAGGAGCAAAGATGTCACGAACAACAGCAAGGAATTTACTTCAGTCGCCGCTGAACATATTTGCAACATACAGTGGCTGCAATGTTTCCGAGTTAGTAATGGACCGATCGGCAACCCACTGCGACGTACCTCCTCAGCCTTCACCACCTTCATTGACTGGCCTATGTCCCAGCCATCATTCGCCAAACCACTGCGCAAAGTGTTGAAGAACTCTGGATCATGCTCAGGAGTGCCCATTGAAGGAGAAGAGGAGATATTGATGAAGTGGAAAGGACCCCTCTTATCAACTCCCAGAAGCCATCGCCTCATGGCCTACATGCTGCGACACACATGTTGATCGCGACATCGCACATTGATTTTGTATTTGCCATACCACTGACTGGGAACAGTCAGCTGTTCAGTCAAGGGGAGGATGATAGGGAGCCATAGGATCTAGCCCCAGATTCTTTCAATTCTTCCAATTTCATGTGACTCCCGACTTCCTTATTAAGCTATATGCCGACAATCTGACTTCCACCACTTTAGGAGTATAGGTTCCAATGTTCCGACATTCCGATATCCGGCCTTTGGCCATTCCCTCCGACTCTGCAACATGTGACTTTCCTTATTTGGACTCACCTCGTTAAGGAAGAATCATCTTTCCTAGGTCTGAAACATGGAAAAACACTGCAATCGACTCCTTCCGACATCCTTGTTGCCAGGTCGCAGACTCTACGCCCTCCGACATCATGGTCTCCTTGCAATTTTTATGTCTTTATTTGTTTTTCTCCACAGTCTAAACCTTCTTGAGTGTAGGAACCCTTATTTGTCCCTGTTTCATCTACTTTTTTAGTTACATTTAGCTACTTCATCTTCCCAACATACTGACAATATCGCACTACTACGTCACTATGTCGCATACATTAACCGAGCCAGTAGTATAAAAGTATGTAGGAGGACGAAATGTCACTAGTTTTCCCCTTTCAAAGCTCAACTCTTGCGTACTTAAGAAAGTCTGAACACTTTAGTTCTTTCTCACGGGGCCGCGGAGTGCGACTCTATACACTGCGACTGTGACTGCGACTTATTTTCCTATCGTATCTACTGCGACTTACACTGCGACTCATCTATCTCATTTGTTGAAGTCATACACCCCTTTTGTTTACCCCTCCCTCGAACTACTTATGCCCTTCCACTATCTATATTAGGTAGTAGGTTGTGTGCTACTGAACCTATCATCGCTAAGTGTCGACTCTGTCAACTCGATGTATTGTTACAGTAGTACATATATAGTAATTCATCGTCGTCATGAAAGACAAACTGAGGATCGCAGAGTACACAAGAAACAGAACTGGAAGTAATGTCTTTAGAGCCAGAGGTCGACTAACTCCTGTTGGGCGGTGACCAGCCGGTCCCTTTTCTTTTGCAACTCCTCCCGGCGAGCGACGACGTTTGGAGCCTCTTGCAAGAACTCCTTGCACTTCTGATAGGCCTCTGCGCCAGTGATGCCGAGACCTTTCAGAAGGGCAGTCTCAAGAGCTCTGTCCCTATCCAAAGCGAGGATGAGTTCGTGGTCGATAGCCATGGGGACGAGATCTGCGTAACGCTTGTAGGCAACTATCCACGATGAATGAGTATCTCGCATCACGTCAGCCTTCGTGACTTACCTTGGAAGTACGCCCGAACGGTCGCCATGATATCTAAAGCAGGTTCGAACGGATCTGAAGGGAGAAGCTTTGGAAGGTCAGCAGCCTTCACACCAGCAATCCCGATTTCAGTTAGGCCAGCCAGCACACCCTGCATACGTTCGCGGAAGTCTGTCGTTTTGGGTGAACGAGAAGAATGATCGTATCGCTCCAACTTGGAGATAAGCGTCCCTTCACTATCCGTGCGGCGACTACCGCGATAATGTGCTAGGAATTTATCGCGATAGTCGGCGTAATAGTGTGCGTTGAGCGTACGCGGACGTTTCTCCAAGTCAAGAATCCACAAAAGTTTGTCCATAGTGTTGATACTCAAGTCCTTGACGAATTCGCTTGCGAGGAGCCTAAACAGAGTGGTGTTTAGAGAAAGAATCGGCGCTGCTGACGAGACAACGTACGTGACGTGGTGTTGTAACCCGCCATGAGCGTATTTGCCAAAATGCCGAACGACTAGGGCCTTCACATGCGACAGCAAGACTTGATAAACAGCGGTGAATAGTTTTCGGGTGGGGCCTTCCCAATGGGAAACGAAAGACAAGATATACTCCTTTGAGACGACGAATGGATAGTGGTCGGGAAGTTCTCTTGTAATTGCTCTAGATATGGCGGCGCTCAACTCAATGCAGCTGTAGCATCAAAGAAAACCCCACCTCTTAGCTCGCTCCATTACCTCGTCAATATATATAGCGTTCGTTGGGCCAGACTCTTTGGAAGTAGGGTCTTCTTCGTTCGACAAAAAGCTTGGTGTATCGACGTCTGTCTCCTCACCGAGCATATGGGACATCGTGAACGACTGTTTGTTCTTTTCGAATGGCTTAAAGTTGGGCGCCGTGGCCCGAATAGCTCGTTTAAACGCCTCGTGAGCTGGACGAATGGCCTGGAGAAGACCATCCTCGTCGGGTGTACCTTCCAAGTGTTTTGCGAGATCGCGAGAGAAATCGCCAATGAGGTGCAAGATCTCGGTGAGAACGTCGGTAGAGGGAGGCTTCGGTAACGTCTTCAGACTTTCTTGAGTTTTCTCCAAGAGGATTTGCAGCTCGTCTTGAAGTTCGGGCAATCTGTCATGATCAAAGTGTCATCATTAAAAGAGTGTGAGGTGCGGCGATGAACCGTTTAAGACCGACCTCTTCATAATCAATGCGGAAAGAATATCGCTCAGTTGTCCAGTCAGGTTGGAAGTACCCAGATGTTGCTGATAGCTGAACTCAAGAGATGACCAAGGAGAGGTCAGGGAAAAGAACTCTCGTTCTGAGCTCCGTGCCTCTTCCCAAGTAATCCCAGCTTGAAGTGTACGAGAATCAGGCTGTTTGACGCTGAACCAGCCATTTTCGAGCGCCTCGTACTCATTTTTGATGAAGCGAAGCCAAGAGTCTTCCTCTCCTGCAGGGATACGATCTGGCTTGGTGAGAACGCCTACTCGATGACAAGATTTAGCCCGATTATTGTGGATACTGAAATGACTTACCAATCGTTCGTTTGCCCTCACGATCATACTTTTTGGTCAAACGATGAGCTCCTTGGTTCTCGAAATCAGCTACATCGCAGAGACAAGAGTCAGCTCTGAAACGAAGCGGGAAGAATGTACTTTATTTTACTTTCGCAAGCAACCGTCAAAAGGATTATGCAACTGGGACGCTCGATATAGGATCTAACCAAGTCCTCAACTAGTTCAATATCGCTGTCGCTACCGCCATTGCCGACGCTGGCAATGAGGCCTGAAACGGGGTGCATTGAGTAATTTTGACAACACGTGTACGTTTCACTTACCAGGAAGGTCAACAAAGGAGAGATCAGCAACGTCGGGTCCACTGATCTGCAAAGTGACGCAGTTCTTAGAAAAACTGAGCTCCCTGTCAAAAGGATCTTCGTCCGCTCCCTCCAGAAACTGTCGAACATTAGTGGTCGGATTGAGGATGGCGCGTTGAGCACGACGGAGCCTCTCTTCGACCTCAACTTTATCAAAAATTGTATCGCCGAAATTCTCGTTCTTGACTTGTTGAAGGGGTTGACCGCCTGCGTCTGTAATAAAACGTAGCGACACCGTGCATTGCCATGGTTCCGAAGACCGAGTGAGTCGACATTCAGTAGGAACACTACGGGGAGACACTGGGCTTGAACGGTGGTGTCCAGACGATGATAGATGATGCTGAATACATACCGTGTGCAGGTTCCACTAGCTCTGGGCAAAGTGATGCCAGAGATCGATTCGATCAACGAAGATTTTCCTGCACTCTGTGAGCCAATAACGGCGATCACAGGAAGATCAATGTCAAGCTGCACGCTGAAAGCAATAGGTCAGTTCAACAAGACATGAACATGGAGAATCAGCGGACGATACCCTGTTGAGTGGAGTTTATTGACCAGGTCCAGCATCTGTCTTCGCTTCGAAGAATATTGTGGATCGGAGAGCCCGACCGCACCAGGGTCTCCCGACGGTGGCGTTGGCGAAGTTGATAACATTGCGATGTTCTGGAGAAAACTGGCAGGGGAATTGTGTAACGTAAGGCGCACAAGGACTAAGTCCAACATCGGGGAGAATGCGCGAGCTTTTATCGCTCTCAAGCACGAGGCCGAGACGAACCCAACGTTCGTTGCTGGAACGTCAGTGGAAACTGCGCATTGCAGACTTCTTGATATTCGACGGACCAACAGAGAAACATAAGTTCCATAAATGGATCCTTCAAAAACACTCTGAAGCTTCCCACATGGGACTTCCGTCGAAAATGTCGACTACGATGCCGCTACGGATTGCGGTGGCACTGTAATCCATAGAAGCGCAGCTGATTGCTATGGAGATACGAAAGTTGAGTTCAGAACTTGTCATGTTGCTAGACAGGTGACATGCAGACAAGTAGTAGAATTGAAATTCAGACTCATTCAGAAAGCCCAAGCCTGAGAACCTTCGATAACGAAATATTAAACATGGCATTACTAGTCGAGAATGTGAACACGCACCATGCCGAGATAAGCAAGGGATGAGCGCTGAGCGTCTATAGACACATAGAACGGCAAGCGTGCTTCAAGTTCAGATGGACACCATATTCAATTGTACGCTTCGGTACCATACAGCAGATCAGAACACGAGTTTGATATGATTCCGAACTTATCGAACTTCGAGTTAGCGAGAATTACAAGAACTAACCATTCGATCGTCTCTCTGGTCGTGCGTCGCAATTTGTGTTCTTAATCAGTTTGCGGAGGGGGAGCGCCGCTGCCTACCATTACGCGCTGCCCCTCGCTTGATACATCATCGATAGTCAAGAAGATGAACGCAGGACCAGGCGGGAAGATGTTACGGTTCGGAGGAGCAGTGATGGTCAATGACCTGCGATCCCGAGAGAGCTGGGCGTCCATGAACACCAAACGGGCACTAGAATGGAATGCGTGGCTCGAGAAACCCAAATCCATGAGCGCAACTAGCCAGAAATATATTAGCTATCCTACTCGAGAGCACGTGAAGGGAAGACTTCACCTTGAATGTTCGACGCCTTGAGGTTGGAAGGGATACTGACGGGGACGGTGAAGCGTTTGCCGAAACCTATCTTTGATGGTGCAGTCAGGATTCTAGGTCGCGGTACCGACATGAACGGGGGGTCCAGGGATTCCACTCGGAATTCACTACTGAATTCGACAGTAAGGTTGGTGTCAACGTTGGGGTTGCTTCCAGCAACGAAGAAGTTGCCTTGTGGTGTGAGGGTAACGCTACAGAAGAAACGTGAGCATGAATGAGAGGACTTCAACGGATCAAAGATATATACGAACCTGGAATGGTACAATCGAGGGATTTCGCTAGTGGGCATACCAGCGTTGCTGATCCTCCGTCCAAGTGCTGCAGTAGGAGTGTACAATGAAGGCGTAAGGACAGGATGGTCAGCGTTCGAGTTGCCGATCGGGTCAGGGACATTTGAGATAGCAGCTACGCCAGATCGACCTCCGTTGATAATCAGAATTTGGCCATTCGGAAGATGTACTAGCTCTGGCATGATACGAGGTTCCAACATCCTTTCTATAATCCAACCTTTTTTGATACCTTCTTCTGTCAAGACGATACGGCTGCATTGGTCAGAGGCTGGCGTTTGACTGGAAATCTGGCTCGGATCAAGGGCGTCACTGATATTCGTACCACCACAGACGAGAACCTCGGGAGTGAAGTTGGGTGGGGAAAGTGGGAGAAGGATGGCGGAACCATCGAGAGGATTTGTTACACGGACTCCGTTAGGAAGATCAGGGAGAATACGTTCATCGCCAGTCTCAATGTCATAAATGATAGACTGGTTGTTAGCGACCATGAAGACCTTCCCGTCTGGAAGAAGGAAAATTCTGTGAAAGCGTAATTAGACTACAAATCGGGAATCGGCGGAAGGCGTCAACGAGGCTTACCGTGGGAAGAGATTCGCAGGCAGACTTCTCTTCAAGAACTCAGACGGTCTGGGCACACCACCGAATTTAGGAGGGAAGAACTCGACACTATTGGCTGCTCGCTCGACGTCGTTGAAGAAACCAGTATTCTCGTGGATGCCACCGACGATCATTAGACTCCCATCAGGAATACGAATCGATGCAGGGTACCACCTAAAGCAGCAGTCAGTACGACTTCAAGCAATCGACTCTCGCAACATACCTTGGTTCGGCAAGATGAAGATTTTCGGGATCCTCGAACAACATGCAACCAACTCCTGCAGGGTCATCACAGGGTTCAAAGAGACGAAGACCCGTGGTACCGTTTTTGATCGTTGGATTGTTGACAAAGCCTCGAGGATCACCACCGATGCTAACCTACAGTAGTCGAGGTCAAAATTCAAATCATTGACCCCCGATCCAAAAGCCCTGGTAGGCATACCATAGTACCATTGCTTAGAAGTGCACCACTGGCGCAAAACGAATTCGAGAGAACGTCCAAAGCCGTGACTTCATTAGTTTCGAGGTTCCAGAGACCGCCCCAAGCAGAGTGATTGTTAATCTGAAGTGGGTCATCGGAAGCTCTGTCGAAGATGACAACGAGCGTAGGGGACACCACAATAGCTTCCAACGCGACAATTCCAGAGTTGCCTCTGACGTTGAACTCCCATGCCGGAGCTCGAGGTTCAAGAGGTGAAGCAGTAGAGAACACAGCAGTACAGAGCAGAGAAAGAAGACTCGTAACGAGAGACAACATTTTTGCAGGCAGGGTACTCCACTAGAGTGTCCCGAGCGAAAGTTGTGTCCTAGGCATGAACTCTTAAGTATCTTCCATGAATGTAGGGGCCCACTGTCCCGTGAAAGGGCCGCAGCGGAGTGGTGAGATTGTTCAGAAGCTGACTGTATGCAAAATAAGCATTCTGGGGTCAATGAGAATAAGCATGACAGCCAAGAAGGATCGTGAGAGGCTTCTCAAGTGAAAGTGACCACACCCTGCAATACTAGACGTGAAGTTGTGAGATCGAGCCAGTCCGGGTCTGTCAGCAAAAATGGCTCTGTGAGAGGTAAAATAGAAAGAACGGAACGGCAGGTTTAGACCCGATGGGACCTGTCAAAAATTATGTTGGTCACGTTCGAGATGATGTCGAAGAAGTGGAATTCCATGGGTACCTTTATGTTACTTCCCATCGAGAACCATGCATGCGAAATGATGCCCAGCGTTTGGGCTGTAAAATAAGTTCCCGGGTAAAGTCGATCGGAGAGGCATCGTAGCATGAGCTTTGTGACGGAACACCTTTGAGTGAAAGCAGTGTTCCCAGCTAGCCAAGCGACGTGAATGCCATTCGTGGAATGTCTGGCAGCACGTCTGGCTTCAAGCGTGGTTTCTTAGGTCGAGGCAGCATGAAGGGGAAGGCCCGGTATACAGCATTCATAGCGGCATTCATAGCGATTTAAAAGCTGTGTCTTCGTCTGAGACAGCCCTTCACCTAACAGCACCTCACACAAAATGAAATGGAGGTCGGATCTTCATGGCTCCGAATAGAACGTGGTAGACAGCGGAAGGATTACGAGGGAAGGAAGTGGAAAGGGCACACGGTCCGCAACAGAAACCCGTTCCACTGGCAAGCCCTGTAATGAAAAAGGTGCCGAGGTTCAGCAGAACATTTAGCACAATTTTACATGAGGACTCGTGCGGTCTGGAAAAGCGAAATAACCTGCCGACGAAGGGAGCAAGTAAGTTCTCAAGAAAACGAGCAGGCAAAGCGGCGGCCAAGATATGCGTGTTATGGTCACACAACGTTACATGTGACACATCGCGTACCGTGACAATGCCCCGCTTCTGACCAAAACTCTGCCAGAATTTGCGGAGAACTTGTTAACTTCTACTTAGGCTCTTTGGACGTCTAGCCACTATGTATATCTACAAGCAATTAGGATGCCTTAGGATCCTTGCCTTTGAGTATTACCCACTGAGGAAGACGGCTTCATCACCTAGTAGGTTTCCCGCGAGTGAGTTTCGCGTCCAGACTGAGGTCTGCGTTTGACAAATCAATACAGATCTCATTTCTACAGATTATTGTGAGCTTGCTTCTCCTGTAGAACTGATGGGGCTAGCTGACAAGTCACTAGCCGACGAGACACAATGATGCTGGCAGGTCAAAGATCTATCGACCGAGGTTCTGTTTCAACACCTCGGCCTCAGGACCCGATAGCAATAGTGGGCATGGCTATCCAATTTCCTGGTGCACAGAATGCGGCCGAGTTATGGAACATACTTGAGAAAGGTCTCAATATGGTTTCTGAGGTGCACACTATTCTCTCTGTTACGCTTTCCACTAAAGTTTTCACCCAGATACCGAAAGCACGTTTCAATGTTTTAGACTACGTTGATACCCCGAAGGCTGCCAAGCGGTTTATGAAGTCACGTTATGGCAACTTCCTCGACGATCCGTTCGCCTTCGACAATGCATTCTTTTGCGTCTCACCCCGAGAGGCGCGAAGCATGGACCCACAACAGCGGCTGTTACTTCAATCATCATATCATGCATTAGAGGATGCGGGATATGTACCCAATGCCGCGCCGTGTTTCAATCCAGCAACCTTTGGCGTCTTCGTTGGAGCTGCTACGAGCGATTACGTTCAAAACCTGAAGAATGATATTGATGTATACTATACCACGGGTTCGTACTTTGTTGATATCCTATTACAAGTCGCTCACGCTCAGGTTGGCAGGAAATCTGCCGGCGTTCCTCAGTGGGAAGCTCTCATATGCATTCGGATTCAGCGGACCATCGATAGTCGTCGATACCGCATGTTCATCTTCCGTCGTCGCGATACAACAAGCCTCTCGCGCTCTTTCAGCAGGTGATTGCAACGCTGCCATCGCTGGTGGCGTGAGCGTGATCACCAATCCCGATGTAAGCTCTCCACTACTTCGGTTGGTTCCAAATAATTACTTTGGTTCGGGTAGATGTACATGGGTCTTGACCGGGCCCACTTTCTTAGTCCAACTGGACAATGCAAACCTTGGGATGCTTCAGCCGATGGATATTGTCGGTCTGAAGGTTGCGGCATGTTTGTACTTAAACGGCTTTCTGACGCTGTCAAGGAGAACGATAGGATCTTGGGCGTTATTCGTGCTGTTGAAGTCAACCAATCCGCGAATGCCGAATCCATTACTCATCCGCACGTTCCTACTCAAATTAATCTATTCAACAAAATTTTCGCAAGAGCTGGAGTTACGGCTCTTGAGGTCAGCGTTGTAGAAGCTCATGGGACAGGTAATGTGCTATCCATCTAGCTAAAGTTGCTCACACTTACAATAGGTATAGGCACGAAAGCCGGTGATCCAACAGAGCTTGAAAGTATTCGAGCAGTCCTGGCTAATGCTCGCGCCAGTGACGATCCACTGCACGTCACCTCTATCAAAGCGAATATAGGGCACGCAGAAGCTGCCTCAGGCGCTGCGAGCTTAGCAAAACTTATCTTGATGTTCCAGAATGACGTCATCCCAGCTACCATCTCTCTGAAGCGGCTCAATCCTCAAATTGTCCCTCTTCACTTGGATGGTACCCGAATCGATACCGAGTCTTGTCTTTGGCCGAAAGGTCAGAAGAAGAGATTGGCTCTGTTGAATAATTTTGGTGCCGCTGGGTCTAATGCGGCTCTGTTACTGGAAGAACCGCCGGAGCTGCTGACCACTCCTGCGACATTGGGCAACTCAGTTGTCCTTGGGCTGTCGTGCAATTCGGAGGAAGCACTGGTGACGTTACGGACTGCATATATCCGCCTGCTCAACGATGAAGTTCTTGACGCACCTTCTCTCATCAACATCGCATATACATCCACTGCCCGTCGACAACTCTACCAATATCGGGTTTCAGTCTCGGGACGATCTCGCAGAGAACTGGTTGACAAATTGGAGAATGCCAATTTTGTTGACGTTGAAAAACCTGGCAAGACCATTTTCGTATTCTCTGGGCAGGGTAGCCAATATCTTGGCATGGGAGGGGACTTATATCGCACTGTGGCTCAATTCCGTCGCATCGTCGACGAATGTCATGCAAAGCTCCTGTCATGGAACCTGCCCGGTGTTCTCCACATAATTCTTCGCGACGGGATGCTCGTACATCTTGAAAATATTCACAACTGCTCGCTCCAGACGGCCGTTTTCGTTTTGGAGTATGCCCTTGCCTGTTTATGGATGTCGTGGGGTGTTAATCCTGACGCTGTGGTAGGACATAGGTATGTCTTTCGGCATCACTCCGCACTGCGTTGAGTGACATTGTTTCAGTCTAGGAGAGTACGCGGCTCTTGTAGTCGCACAGGTCTTAGACCTCGATGATGCGTTGAGACTGGTGGCCACAAGGGCTCAACTCATACACGAAAACTGCGCTGCGAACAAAACCGGAATGTTGGCGGTGCATATGGACTGTAAATCGATGATCAGCACGCTCACCCATGAACCGAAGTATGATGGTTTGTCTATTGCTTGCTTTAACAGGTGTGTAACCTTACCTTACGGTTGTCACTGCTCTAATCACAAACCAGTCCTCTCGATTGTGTAGTTGCTGGGAAACTTGTAGCCTTGCACGGGCTCGAGGGTGATCTGAAGAGGTTAGGCGTCTTCTGCAAACTCCTCGATATTCCCTACGCGTATCATACAGAAGCCATGTCGCCAATGTACAACTGCCTTGTCAACTATGCCTCCAAGATCAAATTTGCCCCTCCGGCCATTCCAATATATTCAAATGTTCATGGAACCGTGATTTTTACTGGAGATTCTTCTGCCTTTAACGCCGAATACTTCTCTCGTCAATCGGTCGAACCTGTTCTTTTCGAGAATTGTGTTTCCGAAATGTCTGCAATCGACGGGTTCAAATCGAACCTTAGATGGATTGAGATAGGCTCTCACCCGACGACGCTTCCCATGCTACGTTCTTCAAGCCAGTCTCAGTCCCATGTCTTCTTGCCTTCCCTTCGCAGGAATGTCGGAGGCAATCACACCTTGGTCGCCTCGTTGTCCGAGCTTTACTGCACCTCGTCCATCATTGACTGGCGGGCCGTTTTTGCTGATCTCGCTCCCGGGGCTAGCTTGACGCAACTTCCAGCCTATCCTTTCTCAACTAGGAACCAATACTTCGTTCCTTTCCAAGAAGATACCTCATGTGCCAACCCTCCACCTGCAATTCGACCTGCTACTCACCGTGACTACTCGCTTCTAGGAACTTGCCTCCGAATGTCGTCTACCCTTGATGAGACATGTGCAGTGTTCGAAACTCCCATTGGCTTGCTCGCTGCGTTCATCGAAGGGCATAAAATTGGAGGCCGTGGCCTTTGTCCAGCCTCGCTGTATACCGAATTGGCGAGTGCAGCCGTACATACAGTCTTCACTAAGCTCGGTGATTGGCAGGAGGGATCTACCATCGCGTTGTTGAATACGTCATTCTCGAGCGCCTTGGTTTACTCTGAAGATATTCCAACACATATAAGGACAACTGTCACCCTTCCTGCAAACCCGTCAAAGCTCCCAGGGACTTTCGTGATCAGCTCATCTTCGACTCTTTCCCCATCCAATGAACATGTTCATTGCAACGGCACGTTTGTAAAGCACATATCGACGTCGAGAGAGAAGAAACTGCAAGAACAGGAACCGGTCGTGAAACGCCGCGCGGATTCGGTGCTAAACGACCTGAACTCGGAGACCCTTCGGACCCGTACAGTCTATGATATCATCTTTCCTCGCATCGTCTCTTATGCATCAATATACCAATCCATTCGGTCTATTACCATCCACTCTAATGGCATCGACTCCTATGCAGAGATGCAAATTCCTGATGATTCCATGTCAGGCGAATACTTCCTTTACCCTGTCTTCGTGGACACGTTGGTGCATATGGCCGGTTTCGTCGTCAATTTGAGCACTGGTCAACACCAGGCTTTCATTTGCGACTGTATTGACAAAGTCGACATTCTTTTGGACAAGATTGATCTCACAGTACGCCATGGTCTATACTGCACTATCGAATCGGTGTCCGAAACATCTGCATCTGCCTCGGTCTATGCTACGGCGCTGGGAGGCGTGTCAAAAGGTCGTGTTGTGGCTCGAGTTAAGAGTGTCCGTTTCCGCAAGCTCAATCTACTTTCCTTCACACGCACATTGTCATCTCATAATGCACCGGCTTTAGAGCAAGATCGTTTAAGGGATTGGATGAACCAACAAGCTTCTCGTAGCCCATTCGTCCCATCCTTGACTGATATGACGCTTGTGGACGATTCTCCTCGCCCTAGTCCTGCCTCAAGTCAGTCCTTGATGGCAACACTAAGAAAAACCGTTGCTGTCACACTAGAAATCCCAGTCAGCGCTGTACAGGATGAAACGCCGCTCAATCTGCTTGGGTTCGATTCATTAACCTCCATCGAGGTGTTACAAGCTCTGCGATCTGTTTTGGATATCGACTTGCCAGAGAATTCTCTCCACGCTTGCGGTTGTCTCAGGGATATCTTTGAAACTATTACATCCAATATCCTTCCGCAAACATTGCCTATGTTCCTGCAGTCAGCTTCTACCCCTTCAGATGTATCATCCTCTGGTTTGGGCGATTTCACTAATATGATATCGACGTCGAACGTGACTCACAAAACGAAGACCATCCTTGCGTCCGTGCTGGGTGTACCTATAGGCGCTTTCTCCGATAACGAGAAGTTGGAACGTCTGGGGTTAGACTCTTTGACCATGATTGAGGCTCATCACGAGCTTCAACGAGAGTTTAACACAAGGCTCCCGGTGGAACTACTTCGCGAAAGCAACACTCTTCACGAGCTTCAAAAAAACATCTGCTTTGCGCTGACTATGCGCCGCTCCTCGACTCCCACTCCATCGTTACCCCTTATCTGGGACTGGAATGAAGCAAACCCTGTTCGACTGCAATACGGTGATCGAAATGTCCCGCCCTTGTTCTTAATCCACGACGGCAGCGGTCTGACGACATCCTATGCTCGGCTGGGCTCTCTCGGATGCAACGTTTATGGCGTACATAATCCCAGGTTCTCTACCGGTAATCCTTGGGAAGGTGGTATATTAGAGATGGCTTCTTCTTACGCTGTAATGATAACAGATCTGGGATGCGAAAGCTGCTTTGTGGGAGGTGAGTCTAGAGACTGAGAGGTACTGGTTAACCAGCTCACGTATCCTAAACAGGCTGGTCTATCGGCGGTGTCATTGCGTATGAAGTCGCATGCCGATTGATTAAAGCCGGGAAGCATGTCATTGGATTAATTCTCATCGATTCGCCTTCTCCAGAGACAACGGAAGTCTTACCGGATGTTCTCATTGATACAGTGTCTCGTCGGCGAGCTCTGGAGCCACGACCCTCCGAGCAGTTGTGCATCCAACTGAAATTGTCAACTCAAGCTCTTGTGCAGTATGACCACCGTAGTTCTCCCGTAAACGATGCCAGTGCTCCCAGAGCCGTGATGTTACGATGCAGTGAAGGAGTTGACGTCCCGCACGCTGCCAGCTCGTCCTCGATATCCTGGCTCACCGATAGACGTATACCATCGTCAGTTGTTGCTCCATGGGAGACGACACTTGGTTTTGCAGTTCCTATTGTAGACGTTGGAGGTGACCATTTCAGTGCATTCGATGAGGAGCATGTGAGTTCTCACACATCACTTCAAATTCAATGCTTCTATGACCTAACCAACTTCCTTAGATTCCCAGAATGTCGGCAGCGTTAAAGGAGGCTATGGAGTTGCTTTCTAACACCTAATGTGTTTAACTGATGTATAAATTGGCTCCAATAATTTACCGATTGTAGGAGGACTTTGACTCGCCAGGATAGCTTTAAGGATGGCACGATTCATGAGATTACTCAGCGCTTTTTTTCGAGGTATTCGTAATCACTTGCTTGGGGGTCATATCACCCACAGTGTCGGCGCGGAGCGCCACTCAAGAAAGCTGATATGCAATAGTACGTCGCCGCATCCTCTGCCCGCTTTTCTGCTAAATATCCCCTCTGCCTGCAATCACCTAAGTATGCCACTTCAGAGGCGACCGTTGAATGTCGATTGAACCCGGTCGCAAAGAAAGCTGAGTCGGTCTCTAGCTACAGCTTCATCCCAGCGGTGGTTTGTGAAGAAAGGTCTCAGTTATAGTAATAAGTACTCGTGATATGTCAGGCTTTAATATGCTGGCACTTCCTAACATTCCACGGCCGTAGAACTAGGTTGTAGCTGTCATACAGCTCTACTTAGTGATAGGATACATTAGCAGCCAGTGAACTCGAATCTTCGCTTTGTCACAATGCGCTGTTTCTCAATGGAGCGTGCAGCCTAAAGCTGCCGTTGTTCGGTTCAGGTGCGGTTCGGGCACTTTTTCATTGAACCTGAACCCGAACTTAACCAAATTTTGGGCAATTCAGTGGACCTGAACTGGACTGCGGTTCACCATTGGTTAGGTCCAGTTCAGGTCCGGTTAGCGTTCGCACCAAGTTCGAACCAGTAGATTTCGAAAAGAGGGACTTTTTCTTGTTCTGATATACATCTGAGCTACGATCCTACTTGCTATATTGCATCCTCTTCCCACCATTTTCGTTGCGCTTCACGTTGCGCTGCCACTGCAGCCGCCCGACGTGCCCTTTCTGCTCTATAACGAGCCTTACATGTTTGTAGTGCCACTCACTGCGTGAAATGTCAAATTATGGAAGTTCGGCATTTGCCCAGCATCTGCAGATGCTCACCAGATGACGTCCGTATGCCCAGCAAAGTCCTTCGAATTCAGCACACGTTAAGAATGGTCGTATTCCTAGCTATATGATGTGTAAATGACAGCTAGATGCCCTATAGGTTCTGGTTCTTCGTCATACAGGAATCTAGAATAGAATTTACCCTTATCGATTATGTAAGCGTAGAATCTATCATAGATGAATGCGATTTATCTATATTGGGCACAATTCCTCAAGTGCTATGCTTTTTAACATTGCGCAAAACATTAAATTGAGTCTATAGACCCCCTCGAAACTACGGGAACGCAACGGCGACCACTGTAACTACCATCTTCACCCAAAAGCACATATCCAAACCAATCCATCGTCTTCCGACGTCTGCCCTCGCACTGTATCCCTCATGGCAACTCCGGGTCGCACACCTCAATCAAACCAGCTCCAAGCCGTCGTGATGGAACTCGAGAAGTTGAAAAGTGCCGGGCTGCAGAAAGACGTTGAGTTGGAGAAGCTGAAATCACAAGTAACAGTCTTGTTTACGAGCATGAACTTGACGCGCGCGCAGCTGCGACTTGCGAGCGATCGTGTCGAATATCTTGAGTCGTTACTTGGGGTAGAAACTTCTTCGAGTACAGGCACACGAATGCAGTTGGGTGAGACGAATGCCGCTATGATGGGAATAGCGCAGAGTAGTCTTGCGGAAGCGGCACCAGGTGGTCGATTGCCCAACAGATCAGAGGAAGGTGGTGCTGCTGTCGGAACACCCGTTACGCATTCTCCCCAAACGACGGACCTGCTAGAGCGAAGTACAAAGAGTAAGGAAGCTGCAAAGAGTAAACCAATGAAGGTCAGTCACACTTTATATGCGTACAAATCCTGTACTCACCTCCAATAGGATTGTGTAAACCATATCTTGGCCCACCTCATGGGCATAAAACTCGACAAAAAAAGCCTACCACCATACCCTTCCAATCCTGATGAGACTTCTGAAGCGTGGCCTAAGGACGCTGCAACTAATAAGCCTTATATGTGCTTTAACTGGGCAGAGGCTAGGGACGCACCTGTTAATCGCAAGAACATAGATGTTGTCCTCGCAACGGTACAAACACAGGGTGTCACTTTCGATCCGCTTGTCGCGACGGATCTTGCAAATATTACAGACCACGACTTACGCACTCGCATCAATGGAAAATTTGACCGCATGAGAGGCAAGTTTAACAAGTGTCCAGATGCACAAACAAGACAGAGCCGCAAGCGCAGGGCACACGAGGTCGCAGGAGTAGCATCAACCGAAGAGGGAGCTCCGAGTACAAATCCAGAGGTAGGAGCAGGTGATGGAGATGAGCATGGGAACAGCGAGCCTGGGAACACTACGAACATTGAGCAAGCAGAGCCTGGGACGTGGAACGAGGCGATAAGGAGGGCTGCGCGCAACTCACGTGTTCAGTTTGTGAGAATTGCATCTTACCGGACAACGTGAGAAGTCGAGAACTCACCTATAGTACTTTACAGATTCTCGACCAACGCTTGCGCAAGAGACCATTTGCCGGCCAGTATACCGATCCCAAATACGACGCCGCATTTACTTTGACTGCAATGTCTGAAAATGAGGACGACCCGACGCCAGAGCCAGGATGTCCAAAGCAGTATGTCTTGCGTGCCCCAGATTGGCGCAGTGAGGAGGTAAACCATGCGAATCATTTTCACATTACAGCTTTGATGAATATCACCCTTGCAGCTGAGAACTTTGTATACCACCATAGATGGGATTGCCAATCCTAACCCGGATAAAGTCAAGTCGGCCACAAATCGTATTCGCGGTACTGAGATTACAGACGCTGTGCCGCCTAAGACCAAGAGTGTGAAGATTCGAGTTCGAGAGTGGATGGTCAAGCCGGAGCTTATTGAAAAGCATCCTGAGTGGTTGACAAGTCGGCGTGTGGCAAATAATGGCAAGTTATGGGGTGAAGAGACGGATCCAGAAGAAGAACAGCTAAAGAATGAAACGTTGGCACAAGCAGACAAAGAGCGAAGCATCAAGAAAGTCCGTTTGTTGGATAACAGCGACGTAGCGAGTAACGAGAGCAGGTTGAAGGAATTGTTAGGTGACAAGAGCCTCGAGGATTTCTTTCCAAGCTAGACATTGGCGTTGACATCGTGTTGCCTTCGCATTTCTTGTTCGGCTTCTGCGAGCCATCTGTCATCGGGCTCGGAACCTGTCTTTCTTCCCTGTACTTAGTAGCAACAATAGCATGCACCTCGTCTGGTGAGAGGTCCAAGAGAGCAAGTAAGTCGTTCGTAGTTGAGAGTTCCTTTCGAAGGGACTCGATGTAACTGGCGGCGTTGGGAATTGACTTGAGCATGTTTAGCAACGGCATGATAGTCGGAGGTAATGAACGTTCTGGAGAAGGTAATTAGTATGCATGAAATCGCGGCGCGAGACTTATATACATACTAATTGATACTGTATTCAGATAACCCAAAATCGCGCGAGAAACTATGTAGCATGTCGTCGGCATATGAGAGGCATGCGAGGATGCTGAAGAGATGCGGGAGGATGTAGCACCCAGGTAGCATATAGACAGCATATGGTCGGCATAGGCAAATGCCGAGCATATGCTGTACTTCCATAATTTGACATTTCACGCAGTGACTGCAGCCGGCGCAGATAATAACCAAGTAACCAAAAGAGGAAATTTTCCTTGGCTCTGTCGGGCTCCAATGAGGGGGAACCGTTCTTACCCGTGATTTCCAAGCAATTCGGTCCCAGGACGGAGGCACACAATAACCCGAGAAAAGAGGAAAAGGAGCATGCAACACCCTTGTATCCTGCTGCGTCATCCCACAACGTCACCGTCAATTTATCTGTTTATGAGATGGATCTGGAGACTTCGATAAGCAGGCGGATATATAGTAAACCTCCCACAGTGTTTGTCAGCCCAATTCTGACAAAGAAGCGAGTTGGATCGCACTATTTAACGACTAGGCACGATTCTCATTCCCCTTCTCAATACTCTCTCGAATTCCGAAGACTTGAATAGCCATGGCCCCTGTCAAGAACGGACGTGTTATTTTCAACGAGATCCCCTCAGGTATGTTGCAGTCAGTTTTGCCTTGTATAAGTTAAAGTGATTTATACTACGTCACTTTAGGATATCCGGATCCTAACAAAACTGTAATATACGACGAATCTGAGATTATTGACCCTGACACCGTACCCCTTAATGGCGGCTTCATTGTTAAGACACTCGTGATCTCCATAGATCCTTATATGCGAGGACGGATGAGAGATCCCAGTGTTAAGAGTTACTCTGTAAGTATTTGTTGTTTGTGTTCATTACCTTCTAACTGTCACTTGCCATGTAGCCTCCCTTCCCCCTTGGAGAGCCTATCGCCAATCATGCTGTCGGTGTGGTTATCCGCTCTGAGAATCCCTCAGTAAAACCAGGTGATCACATATACGCTTTGCTTCGTAAGTCAGCTATCTTCTCACTCGCCACTTCCGCTCTAACCGCGATAATGCAATAGCGTTCCAAACCTACACGATTCTTAAAGACCTCACTGGCCTCCGTATCCTTGAGAACAAGGAAGGGCTCCCTTGGTCTGCATACGTCGGTATCGCTGGCATGCCCGGTAAGTTAATCTACTTTATTCCAACCTTGATTAACTTCTTGATGTTTCGATTCCAGGCCAAACTGCCTACTACGCCTGGAAAGAGTACGCAGCGGCCAAAAAGGGTGAAACTGTCTTTGTTACTGCCGGGGCAGGTCCTGTTGGTTCAGCCGTGATACAAATCGCCAAGTCTGAGGGACTGAAAGTTATTGCCTCAGCCGGTTCGGAGGAGAAAGTGGCATTCCTCAGGTCTATTGGCGTTGATGTCGCATTCAATTACAAGACGACGAAGACGGCTGAGGTCCTCGCCAAGGAAGGACCTATTGAAATGTACGTAATGGCTTGTTTCCTTATCCTGCAACTCTGTCTAAATCTCTCTCCAGCTACTGGGACAATGTGGGTGGCGAGTCCCTCGAGGCCGCGCTCGAATATGCCAACAAGAATGCTCGCTTCCTAGAATGTGGTATGATCTCAGTGTACAATACCGAACCTTACCCTATCAAGAACCTCATGAACGTCGTCAGCAAGGAGATTAAGCTGTACGGTTTCCTCGTCTTCTCCCTCCATGAGAAGTATGAGGAGGAATTCTATCGCGAATGGCCTAAGCGCGTCGCAAGCGGCGAGATCAAGTATACCGAAGACGCGAAGCAGGGACTGAAAGAGACCGGACAGGCCATTTATGAGGTCCAGAAGGGTTTGAACAAGGGAAAGAGTGTTATTGTGGTTAGTTCGGAGTAGGTCCGTCCACTTTGGGCGAACTCGCGACTGCAGACGATTTAAGGGGTTGGATAACGACATGAGAAGTATCTTGCATTGTATCATACCTGCAATAATCTTTTTATTTGTTCCCCATTGAATTCTACCATGACTTCATATCCCAGTGGAAGGGATTCTGAATATGTCGTGAAGCGATAACATCTTTGCGAAGAGTACTGTTGTAATTGCCGGACGCTTGACAAAATAATGACACAAATGACATGAAGCTCTTGCCTTTTGCAGTGAAATCGAGTCGTGACAGAATACTCTCTTTTCTTGGTTCGAACACCACTACCCGTGTAATTACTCTCTAAAGTTCTCGTAGAAGTGTTGCTTCTACAGGGGATACTCTGCACCTTTACCTATCCAATGGTTTCCGCGAAGGCTACCGCACTTTTCCCTGTCCCTGCGGCATCGATTGAAACCGGCTTCACCACATCTGCTTGCGCCGCCAAATACTCGTCTCAAGTAACTCTGGTGGACCTGTCGGACGCTCCGTTAGGAGTTCACAGAGTAAACTCAAATTTGACCCATGAGCTGGTAACTCCGCCATCGGCAGACGAGGACCATATTCATGCATGGGAGGCGAAGTTCCCTGAAGGCAGTATCAATCCAGGAAACAAGCACGCTCCTCTCGGAGGCTTTGGTTTTCACCTGACTGGACCAACCGGCTTTAAACGTGCGCTAAGCGAGCTGTCTTCAAGCCATGTTCTCATGAGCTACGAGCTCATGTTCGAGCCAGGATGGGAATGGAAGAAAGGAGGGAAGTTGCCGGGAATTTGTACGTAAACGTCTTCTGGCTAGGCCATGTATGAATCTCATCCTGTATACCACAGACGGCGGGGTTGGGAATGCTGCATATAACTGCACGGGTGGCCGTCAATCGGATGGCAAGTGCTTTAACATCCGGCTGATGTGGAGGTACGTACAGTTGTAGTTCACATTGTGGATTCTGATTTAATGTGGAACAGGGAGAACGGCATCGGTGAACTATATGCTTACCTTCCCCTAGCTTCATCCAATACCGAACGTCTCCTTGCTGTTCCTCCTCGTTCAATCCAACATCCGGATTATGGGTTCTCCGTAGGACGTGGTGCTTTTAAGTTCACACCAGGGAAATGGACAACGATAGCCCAGCGTGTGAAGCTCAACAAAGTGGGGTATAGCGATGGTATGCTCCTCCTACCGCCTTGCACCCTTTCTGCTCCGGATCACTCACCATCCTAAAGGAGAGATCGAAGTTTTCGTTGATGGCAAATCTGTCATACTAGCGAGTGGCCTTGTCTTGCGAGACTCGAATGCTGCCAGCTCTCATGTCCAGGGTCTGCACTTCCAAACTTTCTTCGGTGGTATGTGAATAATTGATAATCTCATGTCTACGCATCTTACGCAAAAAACGATGCACTTTCAGGACATTCACCCGAATGGGCATCGCCAAAAACACAAAGGGCTTGGTTCACCAACGTGTCTGGAGCTACATTATCGTCTGACTCTCATGTTCCTCGGGAAGATCTTTGACGATTCTAAGGCGGTCTATCATTAAATATGGTATGCTTCTTTGCAGCTATGGACATACTCGGTCACTAAAGCATTTCATATTCCTATCAGTGCAGTTTAGATCCTTAATGGAAAGTATACCCTATGGACTGGTGGATACCCATCCTGTATCTTCGTTAGGATGTTTCAATGCCGTGTGGTAGCGGCTATGGTGAAGGAACAAAACATGTCGGACTTGCTTGAGGTTGTTGTGCTCTTTCCACATTCTGGTGGCGTGGTGGAGAACAGGCAAGGTCTCGACGCCTATTAATACTGAGCTTTCTAATCGTTGAGAAAGTCGGTGCGTCTTCGAACTCTCAGTAACGGTATGTGATTATGCCCCAAACTCTTCTATTTCTTTTTTCTGTCTCTGACTCAATCTTGGTGTGGGAGCCTGCCTCGTAAATGATGAAGCAGTGCCGGAGATGCTATTGGTAAACGCCGTACGTCATGTATTCCACACATAGATGAGAATATCATTGACGGATAACGTCAGAAGTCTGAAGAACTGTCCCTGGCGGAGTCGTATTTATTCTAGTTGAAGCAGAATATGGATTCCTCCTGCAAGTTTCTCTCATTCCACTTCGCTCTTCTAGATGCCAGTCACAGTTCGATCCAAACCTTAAGCTTAAGCATTGAATGTCTAACATTCGTCAGCATTGTTCGGCGTAAACAGCTTTCTCCCCGGTGGATGCATTACATGTTCTACCTACCCAGGCTAAACACGTCCGTTTCGTCCCACCAGATGGTTAGGGTTATTTCGACGTCAGATATTGGGTTCACAATGACATATGTTCCCTTGGGGTACTTAAGCGAAGGCAAAGGGGCCCCCTATTCTCTCCTTGACCGCATTCTCTTTAGCCCGCGACATTGGTGCTGGTCGTCTCCTGTTGCCAAAACAACATTCGCCTATCATACAAGGATAAAATGGTCATGATTATCGAACTTTCTGCTGAAGAGACAAAACGACGCTTTGGTGTGGCCATACCCATCCGAAACTTCCCCTATCAGCTGAACCATCGAGAGGAGAACAATGTAAAGCTTGTCATGGAGTATATCGGCGTGAGTTCGCTTTGTTCCCTGAGCCAGTATAACACGACACTAACCAAGCGGATTCTCATATTGGGCCTTGTCTACTATAGATCGCCTATTCGCCAGAAGAAAACAAAGGCGCCAATTCGGTCAAACACCTCTGCGATAGGGGCAACACCTTCGAAGCGGTTAGTACCTTCCCTAAGGCACACACCGCAGAGGAGTACGCGGAGGAGCACGCCAAAGTTATGGCTTCGTTGACAGACTTGCATATCATGCGGTTTGATATCGTCAGCGCTAAAGGCAAGCATCACCCGTACCTCTTCGCCGTTATCTCGAGAGCCTACTTCAAGGTGAATGATGAAAGCTAATCGAAATCCATAGAGGACTTCGTCACCATTCGGTATACGGCAACAGGCACACACCGTGGCGCACCGCACAACGGTATCGAAGCAACGGGAAAGAGGGCAGAGTGGACTGCTGCGGGGAACTTCATCATAGACGAGCACACGGGGAAGATAAAGCATTGGTGGAAAGATTGGGACAAGATGCGCAGTAAGTTCTCTCGATATGCTCTTGGTTGAAGAGAAGCTGACGGCATGTTGCGCTTTGTAGTGTGGAAGCAATTGGGGTGGGTCAAGCCCCCAGACGCAGAATTCCTTTGAAGAAGGGATCAAAAAGTGGGTATGTAAAAGACGGAATCCGGTGTTGCAGGTATCCGTAATGTACATTATTTCGGACTGTTCGACCTGGGAGAACCAATGGGCTTTTATTAGCCGACGAACAAACTCTAGGACTTTTACAAGCACCTAGACGCCCTTTTCAAGAGCCTTCACTACATCCGCCGTCTTGACAATCTCCGCGAACTCCCCGCTCAGACTAGCCACATGGACCTGATGAACCGTCTCGGCGTCCCACTTACCCCTCTCGAATGTTGCCACGGCATCCTCAACAAGATAAACAACTCCCGCCTCTCCTTCACCATTCACCACACCTAAGTTGGCCGCCATCCTTGTAGTGGTACTAACGCAATGATCTGTCACCAGTCCCGCCACGAACAACTCTCTGACGCCAGCTGCTCTGATAGCTTCCTCAAGCTTCGTGCCAATAAAACCTGAGTTAACATTCTTCGTGAAGACAGGTTCACCGTTTATCGGCTCTGCAAAAGGTAAGAAGGCTTCACCGCCTGGGTTCGTCTTGGGATTAAGTGGGGAAGCAGGTTCGGTGGAGTGGTGCGCGACGTGGAAAATTGGATAGTTGTGGGACCGGAAGGCTGCGATGAGTTTAGGCAGGTTAGACTCGTACGACGGGGTGGAGCGTTGCAGACCCCAGTGGGTTGGGTGAGTGAGGCCTTTCTGGTTGTCAATGAGGAGAAGCCCGGGTTTGGTGGCGCGTATGGGGGATGTCATTGTAGTAGGCTTTCGATGGAAGAACGGTTACTCTGCGAGAGGTATGTTAGTACGAGGTTAGGTAGAGCCTTAAAACGGCCTCACCTGAGTACCGAAATAGATTGTACTTCGCTGGGAGAAACTGCATTCGAGGACACTACGACGCAGACGATGTATGCGCTAAATAAATGATGTTATGAGTCAAGAGTCACGACTCGTGATACCGAATCAAAGTCCCGTATTCATATTCCGATTCGGCGTGCGGTTGTTAGATTGCATTTACACCCGTGCGCTGGGCTAGTGGGTAACATAAGAGCAGAAGAGATTACGGAGGGTGAATCATGTCTCAAGTTCATCAGTATTTCTTGCTACCATACTTGTGTACTCAGACCTGGCGGCACTCAATGCAAGTAGACAAGCCTCAACCCTTTATGGAAGGTGCTGTTGTTAGAATTTTGGGAGGTTACTGTATGTCTACAAGTGGGTACTGAAGGTTCAAGCAGAAGGGAGTACTAGGTACAGGTGGTGAATAGTTGTGTCAAGAAGTCAACACTTTTACATGACAGGCATGCAATCAAACAGAAAAATGTAAAACCATCCTTGCTCTAAGATATCTGACTAGGATCAAATCTAGGCTATTTCTTGCAGCTCAATATGATCAGACTTAGCTACTATATGATCATCCTGAACAATGGGCACTTGCTGTATATCTGAGCTACTAGAAACATTTAAAGTCAAAAGATTACACATATACATAGAGAAAAAGGAACTGTACCTGGCTTCTCCATTATCATTAGTTGTATCAGTATCAAACAATCCAGTGTAGAGTGGATTGTCTGAATACTCAATGACCTCAGATACTCCATCTTTATGCTCTCCTGTTACCCAGGATGCATTTAGTGGTGCACCCATATTTGAACCACAGTAGCAAAGTGAACTGTAGAGACTTGGAGTTCAGATTCTGAGAGATTGGTGCTTGAGAAATAAACAGAGCGCAAATCCAAGAGAAAGTGTGATAGCATTATTGAGGTGATCCTAAATAAAAATAATTAGAAGTAAACAGAAGTATGTAAGACTGAGCTTACGCCTGATTGATATAGAAGAATGTGCTTGTATTAGCAGCATTCTGGAGACATTTTTGTGAGTGATACTTGCTGAGATACTCAAGTTTGTAAAGAACTCACATTGGAAGTTACTGCAATTGAGAGCACATCAAGTGCAGTTGCTATTGCATTCAGAATTAGCAGGATGCTAAAGTACTCTGTATAAATAAGAATAATCTAAGATGTACAGAGCAGTTACACTTACAAGAACTGAAAGAATCCTAGACATAATTTAACAAATCAATATTAGAAGTCTGAATATGATTATATGAGCATGAACTCTTGCTTACCATTTTTGAGCAGCAGAGTAGAAAGCTCAGTTTTGATTTGAAGTTCCTTGCTAGTCCTGAAGAGACCAAGTGTCTCTTGCAAAGTAAAAGCAAGAACTGCTATATCTGCTGCCACAGCTATGGCTCTGCTGATAACTGGCACTGTGAGAGACACTGTTACTTTAAAAGAGCATGGTTCTACAGAAAAAGGCAACACACAGCTGGGCAGCTTGTAAGTCCATTGTTATTGAAAACAAAAACAACATAGACACATACTAGAGATATTGTTCAACCATACTAGAGACATAACAACCTGGTAGAATTTCTGATGACACTATGATGAAAACTTGAGGCCTTGAATAGTTATACTGAAAAGCAAGGAGTTTTTAGTATTTTTTTCTTTATACTACTTTGAAGACTACATACTATGTTGATGCAGGGAGTAAACATGCTTAGCACAAATACCAGCAGAACAGGAAACCAGCTTTTGTGGCATATGGCCCAAATGCGCAAACAGTTAAATACTATGAAAAGAAGAGCAAGATATTCAGCTATACATACATACAAAGAAAGAGACTTTTACACTTACCTGCTACACCAGAAAGACATAAGACATCAATGACATAGTCTAAGATGACAACAGCCTTGCAGCTATTGAGGTGTTAGCATTAAAAATAACTTGACTTTGAGAAGAAAACCAAGAGTACCTCTTGAAAGTTGAAACAGAATGAGATTATCTCTTAAGACAACTGTAAAAACAACATACCAGAATAGTTTGAGATATCCAAAAGTTGGTGAAGAGCTGGAAGAATATATCGACAATTGTGCCATATCGTATGATGAGGTAGAGCACAGTGGCCCCGCTGAACTTCCTCTGCCAGATGCACCGTACTTCTTGCGAAAATGACAGAATGCCATCATAGGTGACCAAAGCTTGTCATTCAATTGTTCAGTGAGAAATAAAGACGGAGAGAAATACGAGCCATACTTAGTGCTGCGACTAGCATCTTTCCGAGGATAGTCTGCTGAGAACTAAAGACGGCACTGTTAGCTACCTAAGCCGCTAGTGTTAAGACTCGATACACTTGCATGGTTGAAATGATCTCGTCCGGAGTCAATCCTAGCTCTGACATGCTGAGGAAGCAGATATGGGGGTGTAGGCACGTCGAGAGGATGCAAGATTACAGCAGCGGTGGTAGAGTCCAACGAGCCACTCACACGTTCGGAACAGGCTCTTGATAATATATAGGTTGCCTTGCAGATCTTCAGAAGCACCGCACTTTCGCTGAAGTTCGTAAAGGCCGACCTCATTTGTCATGATCTTCGCATGCTTTGCAAGGACAGCCGCTTCATGGCGAAGTCATCCTACCGCAGATACCCACGTCCATGATGCCATCAGCCTATTCTTGCAATTTGCATTTCAAACGGACGGCGGTTGTACTGGAAGAACGAAGATCTTGCAGGTTGAAATCTGCGTTCAGAAAGTCAACACGCAGCTTTCAATATCAGAATGATCAAACTCTGTCGGTACCGCTGAGATCCGATAGGCGGTCGGAAACCGATCCCAGAGCACTAAATTTGTTATCACAAAAACATGCTGTAGGTCAGACAAAGACCAGTAAGCCAGAAAAGCCAGAAAAGACCTATGCGACCTATACAGCAAGCAAGAATATCAATGTGTTGACGGTCATGATATGTATCATGTGCAGAAACAGAGGGAGCCAGCACAGCTAGGATGTAGGAGCTTGCCCGCTCCGCAGGGTTTCTCCGCATATCATTGTCGTACAAAAAAGGACCGTGAGCCGGCGATCATGGTCGGTTCCCTGTCGAGTGGGGACGTCATGAGGTTACGCAGACATAGATGTCGGTTGAGCGATACGATGTCCTTCAAGCGTAAAGACAAGAACGTTCACCGACACAAGTCCATAGGGAGATCGATTGAATGTATTTGATACTGGTGGAGTATAGAGGAAATACCAGAAGGTGCCGATTAGACGGGTATATCTTCGCTACGAATGGTTTTCCTGGCGAAATCAACTCGACTTATTTCTACACATCACAATACAATCACGGTGTCCTGAGCGAGCGTACGGGCTGGTGCAGTGAATATGAAGAACTCACGCGTACGTTCAAACCATTTTACGAAGGAAGTGGGTGATACGTCCTCACGCGAGAGAGAGACGAGAGTTGCTTCAGCTCTCTAGCTTCCATGACATCGTAGATGTTCGACGGAACAATTGGCTCCGCTTCAGAGCCCAGTACAAGGCAAGGGTGCCGCACGTATAAAATCTGGTCATATGTCAACGCGTATCATGTCGAGCTCGTTGAAAAGAATCGAGGAGAAACGAGACTGAAGAGAAACCAAGCGCCGATCTAACTCGCTTCTAACCGCAACGTACTACTGCTGTAGAGCTTTCCTCCACCTCAGAGTTTGAATCCTTGCATTTTCTTCTCCTTCTCCTTTAATTGTTTGTTTCGCTTATTCGTCATATTTTGTACCTCTTTCCCCCGCACCCAGTTTCGCCCAATGGACGTTCTTTCTCTCTGAACCTATTAAGGTCGATATTCAAATGCTCCGACCTTGGACTTCGCTTCTGTGCGTTCTACCACTTTTCCCTGCACGAACTGCTCTTGACATCCATTCTTAGCATAATATTGAAGTTATCTGGCGCGGGGGGATATTCTTGGAGGTCTGTCGTCATATCTCTCTACAAGTCCTCCACCAGTCTGACAACCTTGCGCCAACGCAGTGGGGAGCTATATATAGTTGATCGTCCACAATATCTCCTCAAACTTCCCTCTCTTTTTCTTCGTAGTCCCTCGCACTATTCGTAGATGATGAGCTCCCTACATTCCTCTCAAGTCGAAAACAAACCAATTGAGAAGATCCACCCATCCAACTTTCCGAAGGAGTCTCAAGATCCCGAAATAACCGCACAGGCCCTCGATACTCTCGTTGAACAATCAGCCAAACATGATGATGTTCAGCACAACATTCATACCCCTATGCACCGCCTGTTGCACAATCGTTTGATCCAAAACTTAATTCCAGGTATCGAGAAGATCGCTAGCGAGTATCATGTGGGGAACTTTGTTATGATGAGAGGCACGGGTGAGAAGTTCTTTGAGAGTATGCCGCTCTACCCAAGGTGCACATCCCAAAATCAGTGAAACCGGTGTTTGACTGAACTCAAACGCGTTGCTAGATTGGGCATGCACTTGTTGTATTATGGCGGGACCCAGATCAAGCTTCTTCATAATCAATCTGTCGAAGCCGTCTTGAAAGACCTGTCTATCCGCGTGCGTATACAGACTTGAATCATGCGATGCGCACGCTCATGTTCCAAACAGCAAGGGAAAGTGTACGACTCCCCCGAATCCGTCAAGTCTATTCCTTCGTTTATCAATACATACTCAATCCAGACAGATGATTTGCTCCAACCGGACATCAGCAAATACAAGACGTTCAACGAGTTTTTCTATCGGTATGTGTCAAACATCTATGACTTTGTTGCACGTCCTCTTACACCGCATATAGGAAGCTCAAAACAGATGCACGGCCGATCCAAAACGAGGATGACCCAACCAATATCTGCAGTGCGGCGGATTGTCGTTTGACCGTGTACAATACTGTGGAGCTCGCAAAACAATTCTGGTGAGACAACATTTCGTCGGATTGACTATAGTCCTGTACCTGACTCTTGCCTCGTTCCTTGGTCTAGGATCAAAGGGAACAACTTCACAATCCCCAGCCTGCTCGGCGTTGAAACCAACTCTGAGCAAGCAAAATGGTTTGAAGGTGGTGGTTTAGCTTCATTCAGGTATGTTGCATTGCGTTGACCATTTGTGTGCCGCCTTTTGAATGGCTCATATACCTAACCATGTACACCAGGCTGGCTCCAGCCGACTATCACAGGTTCCATAGTCCAATCGACGGAACTCTTGGCGAGATCGTGGATATTCCTGGCCAATATTACACAGGTATATCTGCTTCTGAGCAGTATCACTCGTGAACATTCCAGCTGATATTTCCCATTAGTCAATCCTCAAGCAGTGAACGAGCCTGGCTTCGACGTCTTCACGGCCAATAGACGTTCAGTACTTTACATGACGCATGCTCAGTCTGGGTTGCCTATCGCTTTCGTTGCAATCGGCGCCATGCTGGTACGTTTTAGTCTCTTCCGTCTTTTCACGCTCGTATTTATGGACTTTCACAGGTCGGAAGCATACATTGGACCAAAGGTTCTGAAAAGGACACAGCCGTAAAACGCGGAGACGAATTAGGATTCTTCGCGTACGGCGGAAGTACCGTGGTGGTGCTGTTCCCGAAGCAGTTGGTAAAGTTTGACGAGGATTTGGTGGTGAATTCAAACAGTACCATCGAGACGTTGGTGAAGGTGGGTCGTTCACTGCTAAGCAGCCTTCTACGGAACCATTACGGTTAGATCAGGACTGACTACGGGATTGGTTGTAGGTTGGATATTCAATTGGCAAAGCCGATATACCTCCTGCTTGATTTAGTCCACGATGCTGTTTCCCTCGAGGCTTGTTCCCAGCAAGCGTACCTGATACCAATTTTCATGGACGTCCCACACCTATCCGTGATCCGGAAAGTGCATGTCCGATAACGACCAATGAACTTCTGCAAACTGGATGATTGATGTTTGTAACGGACGTTTTCGTCTGCAGTCTGGTGGTCAACATCATGCTGGAATCTTTCTGTCCCGATTCTCCTGAGGTTTCGCCACGTCGCCGCCAAGACTTTAGCTGTCAGTCAGCGTCACTCATGTCCGACATCGCAGTTATTTCTCAGGGCAGGCTTTCGTGGACATCCGCGCCTCTCGGAATCCTTCTTGGGCCGCACTCATCTCGGTACAACTCACTTGATCCATAGGGATGCCGGTCTATGAGTTATGTCATTAAACTTCATCGTGTCTTCAACGTTCGACCGTGATAAACATGTTTGACCAGCGCACGCTTCGAGTTACAGCCTTCTGGAAAGATAACTTCCAGGACCCTCCGGTTCTCACACTCGACATTGGAGGCTTGCTATTTGCTCGGTTTCTGTCAACGTTACTTGCTAGGATATCTACACCAGACGGCCTTGGTATGAACTGTTGACAGTGACTCCCGTCTGCCATTTCCAACGCTATCTTTCCGATAAACGTATCCAGCAGGTGGTTAACTCGCCGTGGCCTATATTTGGAATACAATGTACCTTTTTGCGGTAATGACTTACTGACGCCCATTCTTACGTTCCTTCATCAAGCCACCGTTCGTTACGGAGAAGACGTCCATTCAAATTCGACAGTTGTGTTCAACTGTCGTAACTTTTTGCCCTTCCAGCTCTCATTTCTCGGCACTTTGGAGATTGTCGTGTATGCTATCGCTTGCATTTAGGAAAGCAACATATTCTGGCTCGCGCAAGTCTGATCTTCGTGGAAGATATTCTTAACACTGTAAGTACACAACAGCTTCCGGCTCCAATGTATCGTTCAGGAACAGACTTCCTTGACATCGCCAGCTTAGCGTCCGCACATCTATCTGTCAAGATGTCTACGCCGGGTCAAGGCGGACTGGTTGTGCCTTTGCACCGGTGACCTGTCTTTGTTGGGAGGGTGGTTCTCAAGTTTTTATAGTCGACAGGTGGAGGGAAAATTGCGTTTCATTCACCTCTCTTCATGTTCCTCCCTGTACGTCTTCCCCGGTCGCTCATCCCACCTGCCTTAACGTCGCCCTTCGAATTTTTTCAGCATTTCAATGGATACCTACGACTACAGCGGTGGCGGAATCGACCTCACTAGTGGTGGGACCAACCTCAATAGCGGTGGAATCGACCTTAGCGGACTGGGAGGTGGGACTGATACTAGTAACCTGAATCAGACTCAAAATATCACAAGCTACGATACTACCCTCCTCGCTACTCAACAAGATAACACTCCTCAGAGCCCACCTCCTACTCTCGACGCTCCTTCATACACGTTTGCTCCTGCAGCATATAATACTGGTTACACGGATGATAAGAAGTCTTCGCCAACTCCACCCCCTCCTACTCAGCATCAGCAATTGACATCAGCACCATATGCAGTTTATTCGCCGTCGCATAGGCCATCCATGTATGCCGGCGGTATGATGCCTCAACAGACCGGTATGGTACCTCCACAACCTGGTATGCTGCCGCAGCAGTCTGGTATAATGCCGCAACATACAGGGATGCAGCAGCAACAGCATTCAGGAATGTCGACGCAGCAACCTGGAATGCAGATGCATACTGGCACTCCGATGCAGCCAATGTATACTGGTATGCCAGGACATCCTACCATGCCTAGTACCCCTGGAATGCCGGGTCATGCTGCTTTGCCTGGTCAACCCGGTATGCCCACTCAGGCTGGGATGCCTCAGCCTGGAATGCCCGGGATGCCTGGTCAACCGGGTATGCCTGGGCAGCCTGGAATGCCAGGTCAAGCAGGTATGATGCAGCAACAGCATACCGGAGTGATGATGGGTGGAGGCGCACCCGGACAGATGCAGCACCAGAATACTGGGATTACAATTCAGAGCCAACATACGGGTGTTCCGCTTCAGCCTATGCATACAGGTGCCCCAGCGCCGATGTTGGCGACACAAGCCCAGCTTGGGAGCTCATTCCAACAAGAATGTGAGTCGCTCGGTGTCAAATATTTTGAAACAGAATTAAAGCCGATGTGTCCCCGTAGTGTATGCCCGTTGTGCGAGGGGTGATCACGATATTGAAAAGAAATACGGACCAGTAGGCCTCATTTCTGCAATTTTGCTCTTCCCGATCGGTTTGCTTTGTCTCTTGTACGTCGTTTCCATCTCAACAGTTGTTCAACGGTCAATCTGACGTGTGATCTTTGGCAGTATCGACATGGAGCAGAAGTGTACGAGATGTGGGAAGAGAATCGCCTAAGCCGGTCATTCGTCGCACCTTGTGCTTATTATCTATTTACATTTTGACTCTCGAGGGGATGTTCTGAAGCTTATTTAACATGTAACGGGTTATTGTTTATTTCTTCGCCCATCCTTCAGCATTGTACTTTTGTGTAATATCGCGTCGCTCCTTGGCGTCTTTTTGCATCGTGGTTGTAGAATAGTGCTTTACTTGATAAGTACATGGAATGAACCCTCGTTCGAGGCTAGCGCTAATGCTATGTTGGACTTCGGATACTTGGCCAAATTGGGAGTTCGCTTGAGCCTTGAGCTATGCGTTTGGTGCGCTGGCTGGCCGCTACATCTATTTCTCGTATCTCTTTATTCCATGGCTACGCCCATTGACTTCTAGTAGCAAAATTCGCGTCCCAGTGCACGCTCGTAACAACTTTGATGACCATTGCTCTTTTCCTTCCGATTTGAACTAGAAAATAGAAAATAGAACATTACTCGCGTAATGTCCAGGTCATACCAGATTCTCGAACAAAACTTGGTTCCTTCAATTTCTTCTTCTCTATATGTATATTCGTATAATTGGAGCGACGCGGGACTTGCAGCGAAAACCATACGGGACCGTGGCCGACCCACAGTTGGCTTGGCTATTCAGCTCTCTTCGACGGGCCAATTGGACGCTTTGGTTTTTGCTACAGGGCCTCAAGTGTATTACATTGTATGTAATGCTGATTACCTAGAAGAGGACTTCTACCTCTCCAAACTGCTCAATAGCCAGTAGGCACCGTTGTCGGGTTCAATATGGCGAAGCTGGCCTTGCATATTTATCGAAACTTAGGTCTCAATTGCTCAGGTGTCGGTCTCTCGACTGTGCATCCGAACTGCAGGACAAAACCCTGGAACGCGTCGGAACTTGTGCTTCGCAAGCTTTACTCAACTGTTGACAAGAATAAGGTTGACGTACTATGGTATGGAAACAACAGTGACACTGCGTCGCGAGACGCATGTTTACGTGCATGGATTTCCGCGAGGTAAGTCGACTGTCTCCTTCTTCAAAGCGATACAAACACTGAATGCTTTACAGGGTGGCAGAAAACGCGTTGCCTGAAGTTCGCTCTGCCAAGAAAGTCGATACCAATATACTTCAGCATAGGGTAACGTATAATATCCTTCATATTGAATCGGCTCAGTCAGCTTATAAGTCCGTAGTTTCTTGATTGTTTAGGTCGCCTTGTTGTGACCATAGACCTGCTAAATGCTGCGAAACCTACTACAATAGAAAACGAGTTCGATTCAGTTGAAATGGGGGATGGACAACAGCTCATTTTGCAGAACTCGCGATTCAAGACTCGTGTTCGACGAAGCAACCAGGTACGCATCTTACGGTTGTTGTAACGTCAAAACTTAGATTTTGTGAGACCTCTGTCATCATGAACAGCTCTCATGGAGGAGACATTGTTGGTAGGGCGATATATGCACATGGACGTTCAACGAATATACAAGTACTTCAAGGCAGGTTCCGGCGCGACGTCGGTAGCGTTCGTGTAGTAGGACGCGACGATGCTACCTTTCCGGAAGTAGCTCGCGAACAGTTCTTGCTACAACTATTGCAAGGAAGTATATCTTTACGTGATTGACCGTTCATCGACCTGCTATGGTTCACGTCTCAGGGCCCGCCTATCTTGCCGGTCAGGACTGATACTGTCGAGGTACATCCTGCCTTCTCCATGCTCAATATGTGCCAATGCTCTGTCGCTGCTGCTATGATATCTCCATCAGAGTCTCTTGTTATCACACATGGTGGGCATTTTCACAGCCCTTTTACTGTCTGTCACTCAACGCGACCTACAGGGCCTCCTGGCACCGGCAAGACTACAACGATTGCTGCTGCTGTGAAGTATTGGAGTTTGCAGAGGTCTCCTGTTTGGATCGTTGCGCGTTCGAACGTCGCAGTTCGGAATATTGCAAGAAGTCTGGTTAGCAATAACGTTTCGGATTTCAAGTTGATTGTGTCGAAGGAGTTCTATCTCGAATGGTGAGATAATCGTTGTATTTTTAACAACAGTGTATCGACCCAGTGACGGTATATCTTCATAGGCATGAAGACCTCTATGCTAGAGTAGCCAATCACTTGATTCGGTCCGATGATCTTTTCAGTGATTCCGTTACCTTTGAAAGAAGGTTCAACGGAAGCCGAGTAGTTCTGTGCACCTTGAGCATGCTTTCAAATCCAGCATTAGATGAAATCGGTGTATTCGACCTAATTCCGGTTGATCGTCTGGTTGTCGATGAGGCCTCCCAGGTTGACACATTTGACTTCATGGTGAGTTCCAAATACACGGGTGTATGATACATCACGTTTACTGAATTTCATCAAGCACCTTTTTCACAAGTTCAAGAGATTGCGAAAGGTTTGCTTCTTTGGAGACCCCGAGCAGTGTATGTAGCTTGTCCATGAAAGTGGCCGAAGTCATGAGACTAAAACGTCCTCCACAGTACCGCCATTCGGACAAGAGATTGCGCCAGAGATGCGGAGCATATTTGATATCAAGCATTTACAAACAACCAACTGCTTACTTTCTCAGTACTCAGTGTGAGTGTCATTCATGTATACCGTGTAGGATCTCTCACACACATATTCTCTCTAGATCGATTACCAGTTGCATTGGGTGATTTCATTTCTGACGAAGTTTATAAGTCAGAGATACGTTCGGAACACTGGAACCATGATATGTCATGCGTTAGGTTCATAGATGTTGCGAAAGGTGAAGAAGAGCGTTCTGGTTCTAGTTGGAAGGTGTGTTCCAGTCATGATAGTCTTGGAGCTCTGCTGACCTTCATTTGTATTACAGAACACGGACGAAGTCAATACTGTGGTACACCTCATCCGACACTATTACCATGATCGCGACTTCTGTGTCATCACACCATATGATGCACAGCGAGCTGCTATTCAAAAGCGGCTTCAAGCGGAGCGTCTACCTCATGACCGTGTCTTCAATGTCGACAGCTTCCAGGGTGAGTTTTTCTCAGCGTCGTCAATTCGTCTTCTCCGAACCATTTTGTCTTATCATGCAATAGGCCATGAGGCGGCCTTCGTGATTGTATCTGCTGTCCGTACCAAAGCCCCCGGTTTCTTGCGCTTCCAGAACAGGATGAATGTAATGCTTACCCGGTGTGAAGCTGGCATGGTGATTCTCACAAGTCGAAGTTTCATCCGAATGGGTGCCCAGGACACACTCCTGGGCAAGCTAACAAAACACTGGGAACAACACTCGGAGACCGCTTGGGCAGACTGGCGAGAGGTCGCCAATCGAACTGCGGATATGCCCGGTGCCCTGTCTCCCCTTCGAAGCCATGTAACATACGTGCCAATCAAGGAAGAACTGCCTAGTCTTATCATCCCGAGGGCCGTCACGCCTTCTCTATCGCTGTCACAAGATAATTCGAATAATTGGGACCACGAGAGAGCTGCTGGTGAACTATATCCCGATGTCGTTAAAGCTTCGAAGGAAGCTGAGGATTCCTTTGCACACGCTTCGCGATATTTACAGCCAGCCTTTCACTCACAAGATGCCGATTTGCAACATCCAAGGCGCCAGTTGCTTTTGTCGATGCAGTCTCAGACATCTCCTGATTCCAAGGAGAATGTACCATATCCATCCTATCTGCGCGGACAGGCTGACAAACGCAGGTAGCTCCTCGTACTCCATGGCCATACTTTCCATTATTTGTGAACGCGCAGGATTCTGGACGCGCCTACTCTCTAAACCAATTCATCGATCTCGACGCCATTCTTCGCATGAATATTCCTCGGCATTCACCGTACTCGCTTTCTTGTTTAGTTCTTGCTTTCTCGCATTGTACAGTATCACCTCAGGATGACCGTAATACTTACCGCAATGTACTTGCACATATGACCATAGATGTTTCACTCATGGAAAGGATCTCATCCACTCTTTCCGGTATACTGCTTTAGATGAGACTATCTTGGCTTCTATTGGCTTCTGTCATATCAGGGACCATCAAGCGCAACCCATTGATTACGCAGCCCTTCCTCATCCCACCCTGAGTCCAATACCTAAGGACGGTCAGCAGTTCCCAAACATCAATCGTACTCATTGCTGATGGCTTCTTTCTAGTGTACATGGTCCAAATCTTCGCTCTCCTGGTCGGAATCGAGACGTATGCATGCCCGGATTTCGATGCGGTTGACGGAGCACTGCAGGATATCGAGCACGTTCACCGATATCTCAGGCATGACCTGCATGTGCCATCCGATCACATCTTTACATTGAAAGACCAGGATGCAACAAGACAGAACATCTTATCTGCATTTCAGTCCCACCTTATCGATAATACAAACATCCACGAAGGCGATGCGATCATTTTCCACTTCTCTGGTCATGGCAGCCGCAGCCCTGCATTGGCCCATTATCGAGATGACCAGTCCAAATGACCAGCAAAACGGCCAGCTGGAGATGATCATCCCTTACGATGAAGGGACTATTGATGCGGATGGGTACGCTATCTGTGGGATCCCCGATCGTACTCTCGGCGCACTGTTGGACATGCTCGCGATTTCGCATAGCGATAACATAACGGTCGTGCTGGACTGTTGTCATAGTGGTCATGGGACTCGTGGCGGCATGTCTCGCGCACCTCCTTTCAAAGCCCGTTGCCTGGAGCCTAAACGTGCCACTCCAGTTCGCGAGAATGTAGATCGCCAGATATGGGACTCAGAGCGTTTACGGGATTCGTTATTGCAAAATCCTGCCCAGAGCCAGCAAAGGTTCGTGCGCGGCGGGTTCACTCAACGCCGGGCCAAGTCTCATGTGCTGATGGCCGCCTGTGGACAGAACGAGAGTGCGTTTGGAGGTGAGAGCGGAGGCTTGTTCACTACATCTTGGCTCGAAGCCCTTCGAAATGAAAAGATCCGTCCCCGTTCATATGCACAGCTTTTGAAATACGTCAATGAGGATCTCGATAAACTGCGCAAGGAATACCCTGGATTTGTCATCCAGCATCCACAATGCGAAGGTGTTACTCGCGATCGACTTGTCTTTGAGAAGACACAGGTGGATCCCAACGCATTCGATGTTGTATGGGAGAGTAACGATCGTTGTCGAATCAATGGACCGTGCCAAGTCATGGGTGTCACCTCGGGCACTTGTCTGGAGCTTTACAACATGAATGACCATCTCCAAATCAATCGCATTCTTGGAACCGCTGTTGTTCGAGAGGTGTTTTCGGATCATTGCTTTGCTGAAGTTGCAAAAGGGACAAAAGTTACTGGAGAACACCACACCGCCCGTATTCTCAACCATCCCTATCGCCTGCGCTTTGCCGTCGTAAACCATTCCCCAGGTTCTCAAATCGCTGACGATATCAATCGGATTATAGACAGTGGCCTTTTCAAAATGGATTCAGAGTTCTATGCAGTCTTAGAACACGTCTTGGAGCCGGATGACGCGGATCTTGTACTCACGATTGACGACGTCAATGGCGGCCGAGTCATCATGAAACGTCGAGATGTGCATCTAAGGGACCTGCTGTGTCCTCAGCTGGATCTGAGGGATGTCAGGACAGCGGACTTTCCCAAGATACTGAATGCTATCGCGCGCTTCAACTTTTGTCTTGGTCGGGTCAACGAGTTGCATCCTTTTGTTGGCTATGTACAAATGGAGTTTCATCTTGTAGGAGAGGATCTGGATTTAAATCGCTCTATCGACGCGCGACTCACGAGGCCAAGGATGTTGAGCCGGGAAGTGCTCTTTCGAAATGATGAGGCGAAAGTCATCCAAAGTAATAACGATGACTACGCTTTTGTCTTGCGCAACAGCAGCTCAGCTGACTTATTCGCTCATGTTGTTTATTTCGATCCTGGCACGTATGAAATTACTGTCTGGTACTCCCCGTGGGAAGAAGACAAACCAACTCTGCTCTCCGAACACACACTACAGGTCGGGGCGAGCCCAGAGCACCATCAGACGTTTCAATTCTTCCTACCACAAGGAACTGATAGCGACACGAGCTCTATCAAGGTTTTTCTCATGGATGCGCCGACGAAAATGACTTTTATGGAACAGCTGCCTCAAGTGGGTCGAGACGAACATGGGAACAGTCATGTGGGACGCACAAGCAGGGACGCGACCAAACCTAGTGTACATACTCCGCCACAGAAGGGCGGTTGGGATAGTATCACTCGCAGAATAACGGTCACCAAACGATAGGATACGCTTTCTGATCTAAGGGGTAACTTTTGCGTTCTAAGATTTGTTCTCCGGATAACCGAGGTATTTGACGCATAGTCACTGAACGTAACGCTAACGGCTTCCTTTGCTTCACCTATAGTTAAATTCGCAAGCATTAGACATGTTACTCGGTTCCTGTTCAGTCTCTTCCATATGCGAGCTTATGCGACACCTTTATTTAGCCCATTCTCACGGAAAACTGGTGAGAATACAACATTATCATTCAAGGCAACTCTTTTTCTCGAAGGTACCTCTAGAGACGTCGAGCGCGGCATCTTCCAAGAGTTTATTGCACAGTGTCTTTCTAACTGCGCTGCCTTCGATCTCCGGTGGTATGAAATGCAAGCTTTGATGGCTTCTGATATTATGACTTGAGTCCAACAAGTACAGAGGAAGTTGATGATCCTCGGTTGCTTGAGGCTCTGCTTCTTCTCCGAGGATATGGAAACCCAGGTAGCATATACGCCACTGGCCGATGGGTATTTCTGACAACGGACACTGTTACAAGTTCTCGCCTTTGTGCTTTCTTGAATCTTGCCGACATTCTGTGCTTCGGCAGAAACGCTGCTCCTCCGCGGCGCCGACACCGTACATTTCATCATGGGATACACGGCCTGCCGCAGAAGAGGTATGTGAGAACTGTTCGGCTTGAGATCACAATGGCATGAGTTTCCTTGACAGACCTGTTGCTGTTACTTAGGGCAAGCGAGAATCAGGGCACGTTCTGAATCTATCGAATTCCACGCCAGTGCCATCTCAGGTCTTCAGGAAGTCTCATAGCTTCTCTGGGGGTTCATAAATAGAGCATCAGCCACCTTCTCCATGCTTGCCATTCCCTCCTCCCATACCAACCAACATGTCCATATTGAGGGCAGTATTGAGCTGCGTCCAGGCTACATGTTACCAGATTGCTAGTACGCCTCCGAACAAGACGCCGCCAAAGGGTCGATTTGATGGGAGGTGGTACAGTCGGATTTCACCTTTGATATTCACGGTGAGTACGATAAAGCACGCTGTATTAGGACGTAGTTGCCTACTTCGCATTTCCCTATGTGCCTTGTCTTTTTTACTTTACTTTGACTCATATCGCTTTCAGATTCAGCAGCCAATGGCATGGCTTTGCACGTCCGCAGACGTCGCCCTTGTTCTCGCTCAGCAAAATGTGCTTCCACTTCCCGCGTATCTTTCCAACCTCATCCTCACAGTGATCTGCCCGTCAAGCAAAATATCACCACTTCATGCTGCGACAATTTCTACGCGCCTGACAGGGCCAAACATTCATACGACGCCACTCTTCTTCCTCGGTGTTTTCTTTACAATCCTCGGCATGTCCATAAGGCTTTCTTGCTACCGCGCCCTCGGAACTTTCTTTACCTTCGATCTCACCATCATGCCTTCCCACAAGCTCATCACATCGGGACCCTACGCTATCGTCCGACATCCCGCCTATATAGGCTCCCTTTGTGCCATACTGGGCCTATGTATCACGAACCTTACTCCAGGTGGATGGATAGTAGAGTGCGATGTGCTTGGACGCGGGCTGTTCGGTCTAGCGACGCGGGCAACATTCTTCGTGGCTTTGTATGGTTGGTGGATTGCCGTCGGTATCTATAGAGCGCAGATAGAGGATGGAGAGCTAAGGAAGCTCTTCGGAAAGGAGTGGGATCAGTATGCAGCAGCAGTTCCGTATTGGTTTGTACCTGGGATCTTGTGAAATGGGCTGAATCGTATTATTATTTTCGTTTCATAACATATTCCAGGTTGTTATAGGAGTACGTATTGTATTTCAAACCCTCTTTTAGATAGTGCCTCAATGTACAAGTGGACTGTAGGTTCGATACCCGGGTAATGTATGTCGTAGCAGAGTCTAGTTCAAAAGAGATGCTGTTTATTAAATCCCGATATGTATGAACGCAGCTCACCATTCAGATGGAACTGTTCTGCGAAGTTCACGACCGGCAGCATCTAGAGCAGTCGCCAGGCTAAACTTGTTCAGAACTCCTTAAGAAGATTGCCGTATATAGCACAAGCCATAACTGGACCATCAAGGTCGTCCATTGGCCTAGGGACAAATGGGGATAAGTAACAAAGCATTCGACGGATACAACCTAGACCATGGACGTACCACATCGTGGCACTGCGAAGAGCATGGCACTCGCAAAATTTATTGCTTCATCAGGCCGCTGTACGTCATTGGCAGCGGTATGACATGCACTCAGGAACGCGACGTAGGCGTGTGGTAATGGTCTTTGCATGAGATGTTCGACGGTAAGGCGTTGCCCGCCTCGAAAATTAAAGGCACTTTGGAGTGGATTGCCAGGGTCTTGTATACTGTGGCAGGCCAGACGGAGGATCGAGGCCTCCGGTAGGTTTCTCATGACGTTCTCGACAATGGCGCAGTCACCATTGAGGTCGAGGTCTATTGATTCGGTCAAAGATAGGATGGACCTCGGTGGAACGATATTGTGTATCTCTTGCAATTCATTCTTCGTATTCGGTAACGAGGCATATCCTGGACCGGCATTCGGCTGTATGACGGGAAGAACCCTAGCCTCCGTGGTGGAGCTTGGTCTGCCTCGGGCTTGATGCAGAGCGTCCAACGTCGGCATGTAACATGAAACAAAGAAGTCCGAGACACAGATCGTAGACCTCGTCGTATACTTGCCAGCTGCATGAATTGGCATCAACGCAAAGTGCCCAACGCAACGCCACCAGATTCGCCTGCAGTCAAGCAACGTCTACAGTGGATCACACTTCAGTTACCAGGAGGTGAGTCGCATAGTGATTGTCGAGTCTCTGGCGCACCTTAGGCTTTACTAGCCCGGTAAGGGGTTGTATCACCGGTTCAGCGACTTCTAACCATAACGTTGCTAGGACAGTGTCAGTTTCTGTCTCACTTGCTGCCGCTTTGGGACCGCCCGCTCATTTTATCTTGTCCAGTTTGCTGATGCCACCTCTGGATTGCGTGGCATAACGAAGTTGACTATGTAGGGTCTCCAGAGTGGCCACTGAGACATTGAGTTGAATGCAAGCCGGTTGTGCATCCGGACTGGTAAGGACCAATGCAACGCTCAAACGTGCATGAGCAATCAAGATAACAACAGGTTCTCCCTGAGAGACGGCAGCAATTGACTGATACGATTCTTGCTCCATGAAATGATAGAAACCAGGAAGCTTGCGAATGTCCTCGATCACATAAAGCGACTCCTGACGAATCTGCCGCTCAGTCGTTGACATAGAAGCCGGACTGCCTCTAGGATAATTATCGGCAATGCCGCCCTCTAGTCGCTTTGACAACATTCGCAATTTGGACGCCAACTCAGCACCTCCGGTCGACGACGCTTCGACATCATCCACAGGTGTTCGAAGTTGAGCGGCTTGGGACCAAATGAAAGATCTTCCAGCCCCGAGAAACTCAACTGCTTCCTCTGTCCTATCAAGTAGCAATGCAACTGCGGATGCATTTGCCGGAAGATCATGTGCCGCTTGAATAGCATGGAGAGAGGCTCTAGTGTCCGAATCTAGCCAGGCCAATTGTGGTAAGGGCGAGAAAGCAGCACGGAACGTCTCTAACGCGGATTCGTTAAGCCCAAGGTGCTCTGCCATTGCAGCCCACAAGAGGGAAGCATGGAATCGGGTATGCAGCGGGGAGTAGCATTTCGAATGTATACTAGCGCCAACTCCAGTTTAGAGCGATCCTTATTGTCGTCTAGCATGTAACGACGAAACAGAAGAGAGGCCAAGGCCTGTTTCTTTGGAGCTTTGGACGATTCACTCTTCGGTGACTCTGCAAGCGCCATTTTGGCCAATCTGATAGCCTCGGCAAGGTCGACAACGGAGTTCTGCTGAGTAGCCCGCAGAAAGTATGCAGAGGCTAATTATGAAAGAACGTGAGGACGATCCCTGTGATTAGGAGGAAGATCATTCAACACTTCGTGGATTATGGCTTCGACGTTGTGTAAAAGTCGTAAATTATAGGAGTTCTCATGCTGTTGGCGACAGCTTTGAGCTTCCATGATTTTAAGGCAATGCGATCGTCTATGCTGGAGAACGAGATAGTCTCCTCTAGTAAAAAAATATTTGCTCACTCCGTTGTCTCGAAATGCGTGCTGAAGGGCATTACGGCGGCGGCATGCTTTAACATGGTAATCTCGAAAGACGATTTGCCAGTTGAAGATGCTGCTTCGAATTTCATTGAGTTTGTCCAAGTCGCGAGGATCGTTTGTCAAGCCGTAACGTGACCGAAGAACGTGGAGGTAATGTGAGAGGGTGAGGATATGGGGCATTTGGCCATCATGGTCTTCACCAAGCATCTCCTCCAGGTATGAAAAAATTTGCTGAAGGTCTCCAGGATTCTTATGTCGGTCATACCGCGTATTGAGCAAACGAATTAGGCTCTCGGTATAGGCGCAACGATTTGGGTCAGACTTCGAGCTGATTTGGACGCTTCTCTGAGCAGATTGATACCACTCTCGAGATCATCCGAAGAGTTGGAGTGTTCACAGCGTGCGGCCAAAGCTTGTCCGAGAGCATCAAGACAGTCAAGACGTTTGGTGTCATGAGGCAGACAGAGCTCCAATGCAACCTCGAGATGTTTTAGGGCTTGCTCTGCCGAGGGAAGCTCATAGTACTGTTTGTATCTCTCGTTAAGTGCTTGTTTGCCAAGAGTTACTGCAACTTCCACATCTTCCTTTCTCCTAGTATACCGGAGCTTTAGATGATAGGCCTCTGCTAACTCACATACATAGGTTGCCCGATCTTCGTCCGAAACATCATCCAAGGCCGACCTGTGTAGACTGAGCGATCTCTCGAGTGGTTCCATGTCATGGAATAGAAGATGTCGAACTTGAAGAGCGCCAGCAAGCTTCAGGATAACCTGGGGACGATCTGGATCACCGGAAGGGTATAGGGCCATGGCCTCTTCGTAAAGCACGATAGCTTTATTGAGAAACGCACGATCCCACGTCTGCATAAATTGATTCTCCTTCCCTTGTGCCAGAACAACACATATCACCGCCCGAGTCAAATTAGGATCCGGTGACCCTGTAAGACCTCCTGACCAAGATCCGCTAGACGTTCCCAATTTGACATTGTGAAAAGTTCAACATCATGGGAGCGATAGAGAGACGTTCCGGCCAATTCAATAAACACCTGGGCCCGGAGGGGACATTGTTTGTAGGAACCTGTGCTGCTTTCTCACATAGAGTGACAGCTTCGTGGAGGTTATCGATTCCGGCCCAATCTTCATACCTCGCTCTGAATAAAGACGCTAGATGAAGTTAAAGTTCAACTCGTAGGCCATCCTCATCGTCAGCAGATTCGGAAGCTTCTTTGAGTAACCTTATGACTGCCTCTCGATCTTGGACGTCGCAGTGAACACGAAACCTCTGCTCGAGAGCTAACGCGAGGTCACTCAGTGCTTGGATGTGGGCACTCTGGTCCCGAGCGTGCAAGCCGAGAAATTCTTTGCGCAGGTCTACGAGTTTGTCAAGGTCTCTGGATGGGTGATCTTGTTCCATGACGTATTCTGCGAGGGCATCCGCATACCACGAAACTAGCTTTGAGCGGTTATCGTCTACGAGAGGCAGGCTATTGGGCATCTCCTTATATAGGTAGAGAGTATCCTGTTCTATGTTGATGAGAAGCCTAAGCAGCTCGCGCCGCGATGAACTTCTGGGTGGTAGGCATTGTAATGCTTCTTCCATCAATTTTCTGCACTCCCGTATGTCCTGCGGATCGCGAAACTGCAAGAATCCAGTATCGGAAAGTGCCCGAAGCGGGGGCTATTCTTGGCGAATCAGAGGCATTATGCATACGAAGTAATCGTTTGAGGTTGCAAGCTTCGTCAATATCGTCACGCTCTGCTGTTCGTCGGAATCGGCGAAACAAACTTGAGAATAGCGCACGCAAAGACTCTTCACGAGTCGGATGACCTGTAGGACGGAGACCAAGGGCAGACCTCTGCAGCAGGATGGAGGCGTCCAAGTCATCACTGGCTCCGGAGTCTATGGGTTTGATCATTAGGGTATCAGCGGCATTGTCGAGGGTTTCAGTACGATTAGGGTTCTCTTCAGGACATGCGTCTAGTATGACATTGACAATGTTCAGAGCTCTCTCGAGGTCTTCTTTAAGTCCGAAGTACCGAAACCTGGTGCGAACGAAGAGAGCAACGGCCCGTAACGATGGTTTGCGGTCAGGGTACAGCTCCGGGAGAATTTCGACCGCTTCTACACTGAGTGCACCCGCTCGTTTTAGGTCTGCGTCAAACTCCCGAAGCTCATATCGCAACAGCAGTGCCGTTGAAAGCTGACGACAGCACTGAGACCGTTTGACCGGGTCATAGGAATAGCAAAGAAACTGTTGAAAGAGCGCAGGCACGCAAAAGATAATCATACTTTGGCCACCGGTGGTAGACGGCTATCCAAGTGGACGCCTCATGCATCACAAGCATAGCATTGATATCTTCCAATGAAAAACGTCCATTCCCAAAGGCATTGCCTACATGAGGAAGTTAGGATCAGACATCACTATAGCAGAGGAGATTTTCTGTCACCTGCCATTGGTCAATGTTTCGTCTGATAAACTATCTTTGTTGGGTTGCATTGCATGATTGGTTGTGGTAGGACGCGGAAGGAGAACTGCCCGAATCAGGTGCTGAACTGAGGTCGATCGTGCAACCCAAGGGTAATGCCAATAACTGTTCCAATATATTCGTGCCGATGCAGTAGGAAACTGCCGTTGGACGCTGAACGCTGAGGTACCCTAGTCACTGCCAAGGAGATGGTCAACCTTATTCGACTGAAACTAATGCATCAGCTTTCGCTGCGCTAGAGACTGAGTGCAATCGTTAGTGAAAAAATATCACATTTGCATAATCGTATTGATCCATGTTGGACGAACAAACTCGGAAGAAAGACACGGTCTAGGCCTAGAAATGCAGCCGTCGGCCTGGAGCGCTGGATCTCAGAATAATAATTATTTCAAGCAGTGATGCGTGCCGCTATTCTCGGCGCAACGATCGGACTTTGTTGTCGATAGTCATTTCCAGCGTCCAGGTGGCAAGGAGCACTGGTGTTCACAGGTGACCGCGTTGACATTGACGACCGTGAAAAGTGTGGGAGTGATCAGAGTGCTTTGGGTTATTGGTTCTACTAGGTGCACGCTACAGCACCCGTGGTATACTACGACCTTTCCCCCTGCGAAACTTAACCATCGTGAGGGATACTGGTAGTCTGCCAGGTGTTCTATGTGATTCTGTTGTTGGAGTTGTTGGTAACCTGGCTTAAACCTTTCTCAGGCGAGTACTATTTTTATTTTGACAATGAAGGCGAAGACTGATGTTGTTATGCTGGCTAGACACACTTTCTTTACACCTTCTACATTCTTTGACTTACTGTCTCTACATCTCTTCGGGTCAGTCGATTTCGTCGTACATTCTCAACAACACCCGGAAGACATCTTACATTTATAGAACAGGTGATTTACCATGTCAGATTCTGATCCTAACATCTCAACATCAGCAGGAGGATCTACTACTGGCATTGCTGTCGGTGTATCCCTCGGATGCGTCTTCCTGGTTATTTCTGGCATAGCATTCTACTTCTGGCGCCGTCGCCGTCAGGCAAAGGGCAGCACACGCACCATTAATGACAGCCGAAGGCACACAACAGCTGCAGCTGTTGATCCAAACCATCTCGCTGCTCGTGTCACGCCGTTTTTCCCAGGACAAGAGGTTCCAAGATTCAGTACGCTATCTATTGCGTTGTTATGCGCTATATTTTTACTAACTTTTCTGTGTGTGGCGCAAACAGCCCATCGACCAGGAGAGAACATGCGCGTAGCCAGACGACGTTCTGATGGTGGCTGGGACTTCAGCGAACCTCTTGCTATCACACCTCCATCTGCACCTTTTGCAGAGTCTTTACACCCTGCACAGTCGTCTCCAAGCAACTCCATATTCAAGAAGGAGAAAGTGCCTGGAGAATTGACTACGAGGGGTTATGTGGAGACGGATTCGGAAGGTCTTCCGCCGCCTGCTTATTCTACGAGCGAGAGTGGTCATAGCTCTATGGTTTGATTACTACTTACTGTTTTGGACCTTTTCATATCAATTCTTCTTAGTATGGGTTTCGCTTCGGTTTATGCGGATGATGTTTACGTTTGATTTCATTGCCAGGCTCAACGTCTCTCCTCAGCAGTTTGGGTCATCCGGCCTTCTCCTACGTTTAACGTGCTTTAGTTTATGTCTGATCTGTATACCGCGTGTATAGTATGGTCGGTTCTACTTCCTTTATCTTGCTACCCGATGTATTTTCTGTCCAAGTACTTCGGGTCCAGGACGGATCGGCGCTTGTGCAAAGATAAGATAAGATGCAGCATTGAGAGCCAGACGCCCATAATTTTGAGTTCGCTCTTACTGGCGAAAGTCGAAACTTTCGTTCAGTCCTTACTGGCCCCAGCCCCCTCCTGTTTGTATTGCTCTTTCATTTCTCCACGAATACTTTGAGAAATACTGCGTATCAACAACCAAAACGTTTTGTGTCCCTCACAGTAGCTTCCACCACTATGGAGGACGAAAGACCGGCGAAACGATTCAGGGTAAGCAATCAATACTCAGGGAATGCCCTTTGCGTTCAGGATGCTGACGGGATTACAGCATCAATCCTACAAGCAAACGTTAAAGCAGGTTCATCCTCCTTCTGCGCTAAGCAAAAACCAGTATGATGTAGAATTGGCGGAAGTAGCGGTGAGTACACACTATTTCAAGCAACTATGGGATCTAAGCTACTTCTCGGTTGCAGGACAATTCTTCTCATTTTCACGAGGCCCTCGTTCATTGGAGAGAACTGAATCTCACCGCTGCGTTCACGCAGTTTGCTTATGCGGTCGATGGTCTATCGGCTTCGATGCCGTTACTGCTTCATCATTGGCAGGAGGTCGTGAAGCTGTGGATTGGGGCCGTGGACCGTGCAGATGATGAGGGTCAAAAACCATTACTTGAGTGCGTCGTTTTTCAATGTTTCTCTTTGAATCTTCTGACCGGAACTCTAGTCTGTTTCAGAAACTACTACACGACTTACGAACAACCCTTGGTCCACTTCACGCGGATATCTTAAAGCAGTTAGTCAGGTTACTCCCTAGATCCCTCTCAGCTCAGGTCCACACTGCCCTTCTCGAAACGTTTTCTGCGCTGTTCAAATACCTGCTGATACCATTGGACTATACTGAGGAAGCTTGGGCCGCATTCTCAGAAACGCTACCCAACTGTAACCCTGAAGTTCAAAGAGCTGTTGCAGAGTTATGGGGATCAATTCTTCGAAGACTTAAACCTGCTGCCAGGGAGAAGGTCACACTGGCGATCATAGCTAGCGCAAATCCGGACGTCTCTGCCTGGGTCTTTGTTTCTGCGTGCAAATCTGTCTCGCAAACCCTTCACACGATCTCGCCGACGGTCTTTGCTCCGCTGTTGCAGTATTATCTCACTTGCGAGGAACCGGATCAGTCTTTCACTGTCTTGCGTCGTATGTTGACCGCGCTCGCGCATCACTGCAAAACGTCGGAACAGTACTCTCCCATAGCGGACATCATAGTAGAGGAACTTGCCAAGGCAGAACCTGCAGAAATCGAGCGACTAAGGCGCCTTTTGGAGATCGCTACTGTCCCGATATCCGTACGACAAGGTTCCAGGCTTACCGCAAAACAACTGTCGTCTATGCTATCTCAATTCCAAAAGCTCCCCCTTTCGGAGGATGCGCTTCATGCCGCGGTGCTCAAGTTTACCGTGTCTTGTCTCACAGCAGGCGATATGGCGCTCTGGATGGGACCTGGTCGGAAAGTTTTCGAACGCATATTCGAAAGACCAGCTTTAGGGCTTGAATTGTGTGGTGTTCTCTCCGACTTGAACTGGGGGGGCTGGAAGTCCCTTGCCTTGCCAAAGGTGACGAGACTGCTGCCTCAGTACCTCGAGACTCATACTACCAGGGCGCTCGAACTGCTGGTAGCTTTGAACCGGACACACAAGCTGGATGGAGTGGATCAGGGTTGGAAACAGCGGATACAGACGTGGGTGGATCAGCAGTTTGAGGGGTGGAAACAAAGTGAAGAACAGGTACGTATTTATTCATATATGCATGCATGGTGAATCTGATAATGTCGCTTTCTCCACCCAGATATTCGACTATGCTCAAGTCCTGCAGATTCAGAACCTTCTTCCTACACTTAGCCCATTGCTCGTACGAGTGATTCAGTCGACACTTGAAACCAGTGAATCATCACGACATGACTTTGAGGTGAAGGCAGGCAATTCCGCCTGGTTGTTAGGCGCCTCATTGTCGTGCTTGGCTTCTCGAAAACCGAAGGAGTGGTCAGAGTTGGTTGATGTCGTGCATTGGACTAGGAAAACCATTGAAGGTTGGGGATGGTGCGGTTGCACGATGTCTGGTCTGGTCGAGCTAGTTGGTGCATGGTACATGCCTCTTTTACAATCGCGCTTAATCGTCTGCTGATGAGTCTTTAGTTCTGCGCATGAACAGGAGCTTCTGGGCGAAGAGCTGTACCCATCCTTGCAGGTGTCCCTGCTTTCACACTCGCGTCTGCTTCGCCTCAGTGTTCTTCGTATTCTCTCATCTCCTTGTGTCACCTTACCCGAGGGTTCTGCTGAGGTCTTGAAGCGTTGTTTGCAAGGCGACGAGGTACCACTCGACGTCCAAGGCGTTCGAGAAAGAGTCTTGAGAATCACTCGTTTAGGACAAGTTCTTAAGGACGGTGACGAATTAGGCGCAGACATCGCTATTCGTTGGCTGACATGTCAGTCATAATTGACTCCAAACTTATTTCTGTCACTCACTCCTTGTTCATTTTATAGCGCAATTGAAGGTGAACCTTCGTCCCGTTTGGTCCCCAGCTGCCGAAGCTTTAGCTGCGATCGCAGAGCGGTTCGGGGATAAAGTCTGGGAGTTAGTCTTTGAAGAACTCCAGAATCTGTCACAAGGTTCTACATTACAAGTGGATCCGGGATGGATGGTGGATGAAGATGAGGGGGAGTTGGATACAATCAACGAAGATGAGCGAACATGGAGAGATCCAAGTGCTCACAAGTTTCGATCACAAGTAACGCTATGGCTGCGAGAAAATGCGGCGCGGAAAAGGCTGATACGGGTGCGTCCCTTTCCCATGTTATCTAAACCTCTCACCCACATTCTATGCTATTTAGTCTCAGATAGTTCAAGAGCGTTTCGACCACAAGAGTTACGAAGTCCAGCTTCTCGCGACTCTCGTCGAATGTTCGTCGTTGGCTGAGAGGCATAGTCGCGATCTTGTCCCTCTTTTCCTTTCCATGGCACCTCCCGATGCTCCCGCCCAAATGGCTCGATACAAGTTAAGCGCATGGTTGGAGCTCTTCTCCAAGTTTGTAAACCCCAAGGCATTGCGATCCACGGACGAACTTCACCAATGCTACATGGTACTACTCTCGCACCCGGATCGACCGTTGCAGAAGCTCGCTCTATCTTGTCTTCTGACTTACAAGTCACCTCACATTATACCTCATGGGGATACGCTCAGCATGCTCCTGGACGAGACAAGATGGAGAGACGAGTTGACACAGCTACAAATTGCAGAGATCGAGAAAGACGATCGGCCGGAACTCGTGGATGTAATCATCAGAATGCTCTTCGGTATCATGCTAGAGAAAAGGGGCCGATCCCGAGGTTCCGACCGTCGAGCAGCTGTGCTTACTGCATTGGCTGGCTGTACGGATGCGGAGTTGACGACACTTGTTGACCTGATGCTGAAGCCTGTCAATAAAGGGCGAGAACCACACATCGAGGCGGAATACGTTACACACAGTATTCCATCAGAGGTCACAGACAAGCAGCTCGTTGGATTCTTGAACCTCTTGGGTGATGTCATAAAGCAGCTTGGCTCAAGACTGCTCTCCGTGTGGCCTATCCTTCTGTCAACGCTTCTTGATGTTACAGGATATGCTCAGAGCCGAATAAGCCAACACAGTGACAAGGATATTCCCGAGGACGATGTGGAAGTGGACGAGGAGAATGACGAGAAAGACACGATCCAGAGTGCCTCGAGAACTATCCGTACCGTTCGTCAATTGGGTCTCAAGCGATTCGCGGATTTCTTCCGAATACCTGTTACATTCGATTTCGGGCCTTACATGCCAGAAGCCTTCCATTCCTTCATATCACCTCGACTCAACTCCCTCGATGTCGAGAATACTCAATCACCCTCTTCGCTCCTGGAGTTGTTTTACATCTGGTCACTGCGACCTGAAACTGTTCGTTATCTAGCGGCGTATGATGAACGCACACTACCGAAGATCTACGCTTGTCTGATTGCCACCAATGTCAAGGAGCCGGTCATCCTGAAGGTCTTCGACATCGTAGACAATCTCTCACGTGCCTCCGCAGAGAATACTGAACTTTTGGAGATTGTCTTCAAGCCCCATATACCCCTGCTTCTCAACAACCTCTCCATTCTGGTTGAGCGTGTCAAAGATGTAGCATCAGTCACCGATACCATTGGTCGCCGACAGATTAGGATCTTGTCGGACCTTGCTCCCTACATTTCGGATCCTGAGCTGGCTTCAACATTATTAACTCTCTTCATCCCTCTACTGCGCAAACCATCAAAGGTGCTTCCCGAGAAGATCAAAGTGGACATACTGAACATCGTCCGCAACCTCCTGCCGGTTGTGACGTTACTGTCGGATCCGTCGAGTACGGTCTATAAGAAGACATATGCGCTCCTTTCGCTTCTCTTCCAAACTCTACGATCGCGGCAAGCGCGACTGGCACACGTGGCAACATTCCACACTCTCGCTGAGGTTCATCCTGCGCTTCAACCATTGAGCCAACTTCTTGACGACCTCAATGCTTACTCTACGAAGCGTATTGAGGAGCCTGATTTTGATCGCAGGCTGGGCGCTTTCACGAGACTCAATGAGACGCTTCATTCCACTCTGAGCGCGACGGAATGGCTACCTATCCTCTACAACATGCTTAACTTCATTCAGGATGCCGATGAACTCACAGTCCGCAACAACGCTTCATTCGCCATGAAACGCTTTGTGGATCTGGTGGCCAGTCGTGATTCGGAGTTCGAGGAATCGTTTTTGAAGATACTGTACCCTGGACTTAAAAATGGCTTGCGGTCCAAGAACGAGTTGGTTCGGGCAGAGATTCTGGGTGTCATTGCATATGCAGTCAATCATTGCAAGGATATTGCCGTTTTGCAAGAGATGCGAGGTCTGTTGGCAGGAGGAGACGAGGAAGCTAGTTTCTTCAACAATATCCATCATATTCAAGTCCATCGTCGCACACGAGCTCTTCGTCGACTTGCTGACTACTGCGATGAAGGTCATCTACGCAGTGTAACGCTAGCAGAGATATTTGTTCCTCTCGTCGGAAACTTCATCATGTCAGCAGGTTCCATCGACCACCAGATTGTCACTGAAGCCATCATGACTACGGGTCGGATGGCACGTCAGCTAAAGTGGGGTGCATACTATGCATTGATTCAGCAGTACTTGCGTCTCACGAAGGCGAAAGACGCTTCTGAACGTGTGTACGTGCGCGCCATCGTCTCTGTATTAGAGAACTTCCACTTCCCGATGAATGAAGTTGCGGATATGGACGAGCCATCAGAAGAAAAGGATGCGGAAGCGGGTCTTGAGGATGACGAGGAGGCCCTTGCTGTCAACAGAGCTGTCCGCGAGCAATCGCGGATCGCGGACGTGGTAAACACTCGTCTGCTTCCAAGCCTTCTGAGACATCTCGAGAATCGTGACGAGACAGAAGATAGCCTTCGTATACCCGTTGCTATAGGTATCATTCAAGTCGCTCAACATTTACCACCATCTACCGGGCTCCCACAGATCACGAAGCTCCTCACAGTGCTCAGTCAAATCTTGCGCAGTAAATCGCAAGAGACTCGTGATCTGACCAGAGAAACTTTGTGTCGAATTGCTGTACTTCTTGGTCCGAGTTATCTGCCTATCATGCTACAGGAAATGCGCGCCGCATTGCTACGCGGTCCCCATCTGCATATCCTCGCTTTCGTGACACATGCTCTGCTGGTATATGTTACGTCCGGAGAGCACTCCAAGGCGTTCCATACCCTCGACGATTGTGTCAATGACGTTGCTCATATATCTGCAGAAGTGATCTTTGGCGAGTCAGGGAAGGATGTCATGTCAGAAGAGTTCAAGACCAAGATGCGGGAAGTGCGATCTTCGTCGGCGAAAGGACTCGATTCATTCGCAGTCATCGCAAAGTACATTACACCTCCCAAAGTCAGCAGCCTTCTCGTCCCTGTCCGTAATATTCTGCATGAAACCGAAACATTGCGGGTGATGCAACAAGTCGAGGATCTTTTGCACAGGATCGCAAGTGGTCTCAATGCCAACGAGCATCTCACTCCCAAGGATCTCATCAGTTTGTGCAATACCTTGATTGGCGAGAATTCCCGTTTCCTCAAACAGGCTTCGAATCCCTCTAAGCATCAGAGGAAGGGGAAACCAAATGCCGAGATCGTGCAGTTGAAACGCACACATGGTGTAGCTGCCGATCATTACGCAAACAACTCGTTCAGGTGTGCGATAGAAGTTGTTTTTGTTTGGCATCACTCTGACGTCTCATTAGATTTGTGGTTTTTGGACTGGATCTTCTCAACACGGCCCTTCGCCGTAGTCGGTTCGACTTCCAAGACCCGGTGGTAATGTCTCGGTTGGAGTCAATGATTCCTGTCATTGGCAACACACTATACTCCAGTCACATGCAAGTCGTCATTCCGGGTCTCAAAGCTGCAGCCGGCATTGTTAAGTGCCCTCTAAAGTCTGTCGAAAAGTCCCTTCCCGTCTTCGTACATCAAATGGTCGATATTGTCAAGCAAGCCGGTTCGACGGAATCTGAAGCAGTACAGACTGCTTTCAAGTCGTTATCAACGATCCTGCGTGATCAGCCAAGTGCCCAGGTGAAGGAGAAGGATCTCGTCTTCTTGCTTGAGGTACTTTCTCCCGACCTCGAGGAACCTTCACGGCAAGCTAGCGTGTTCGCGATGCTTCGAGCCATCGTGGCAAGGAAGTTCGTTGTCCCAGAAATATACGACCTTATGGAGAGAGTCTCGGAGATCATGGTAACCAACCAATCTTCTCAGGTGCAAGAACTTTGCCGGGGTGTCTTGCTGCAGTTCCTGCTCGACTACCCTCAAGGCAAGGGTCGGCTCAAGAACCAGATGACCTTCTTAGCGAAGAACCTCTCATATGTACACGAAAGTGGTCGGAAATCCGTAATGGAGCTCCTGAGTGCCATCATCAACAAGTTCAACCCTTCTCTCATCAAGGAGTATTCCGACTTGTTATTCGTAGCTCTTGTTATGGTAATTGCCAACGACGATTCTGCCAAGTGCCGCGAGATGGCAAGCGCACTAATCAAGACACTATTCGCAAGATTTGAGGAGCAGCAACGACGTGTAGTGTTGTCTCATGTTCATTCATGGGCCTCGCAGAGCTCACAACCTCAGCTCCTCCGAGTATCTTCGCAGGTCTACAGCATTATTATCGACCTCTTGCAGAAGGACATCTCGCCATATACTACTCTGATTGTGGAAGACCTGAGTGCTACTCTGGAACATAGCGCCATAATCCTCGACTCCCTCAGTGAGGGTGATCAAGACCAAATGGACGTCGACCTCGAATGGCAGATATCCTATCACGCACTCGTCGCGCTCAACAAGCTTCTTGCCGCTTGTCCTGATCTTACCACTGAGCAGGATGTGATCAAATGGTCCGCCATCATCTCACATCTCTTGTTCCCGCATGCCTGGGTCCGCACGGCATCCTGTCGTCTCGTCAACGTCCTTTTCACTGTTGTACCCGTATCCGCGCCTAAGGAGGACTCCCCTGATGGGGACCCCTTCAGTCGAATTGGTATGGAGGAATTGGCCACCAAGTTGTGTTTGCAACTCAAGAGCGAGAATTTGGACGCCGCCCTTAGTCTCTTGATTGTCAAGAACCTGTTCTATATCGGAAAGTGCTTTGCTTCCTTGCCACTGCCTGGAGCTGCGTCCGGTGACGAAGTCGTTGATGAAAGTGATGAGGAGATCGAGGAAGATGAATCCGCCGAGAAACAGAAGCACCCACTTCCTTGGCTGTTTTCTAAACTCTCATACCAGGCTCGTTCGGCACATATTGCTCGTCGAAACAAGTCATTCAGCCCAGTACGTTATGATCTAGTCTACTGACGGAGCCTGAAATGCTGAAGTGCTCTATTTACAGGAGAATTGGTACCACCAACCGGCATCTGTCTTGCGTTGGTTCGCAGCCATGATAAACTACATGGAGTCTAGTCAAGTTGAACGTTTCCTCACCCACATCATCTCTCCTGTGTATCGCATCGCAGAAGATGATACCATCCGCGATGTACACATGGGTACGTGTCCGCTTTTCGATTCTCGCTGCCATCCTACTGACAGGTGGTTACTACTAGATGAATTGAAGACACTCGCTATTGAACTGCAAGATCTGCTCCAGAACAAAGTTGGGACGACCAAATTCTCCAATGTGTACAACCAGATTCGACAGAATGTGCTTACTGTTAGGAGGGAGCGGAAAACCGCACGGGCTGTTCAGGTACATCTCATACTTGTTTGCTAGACAACCTATGCTGACATGCATTGCCTTTAGGTCGTCGCACACCCGGAAGCTTCTGCGAAAAGGAGAATGCAGAAGAATGTGTTGAAAAAGGATAGTCGGAAGAGGAAGAGTCAAGTCTTCTTGTGAGCCTTTTTCTTCTTATATTTGATGATCATATGTATTAAACGTCTGACTACAGAGAGAACAAGGGCAAAACGAAGAGGCGCAGAGAAGACTGAGAAATACGGATTTTGTCTAACACACTTTCCTTCTCTTCAATTCCTGGGCATGTGGAGCATTGAGGGAACTACGGTCAATCGCATTTAATGTAGCATAGAATACATTACTTCTACACCTGTATCATACATATAGTCATATACCACGACTCAAAAAAAGACTACGCTGACAAGTCCATGGACACAGTCTTACTTGGAAAACAAAGCTCGTTCTCCTCATGCGCCGCATCATCGTCATCTTCGTTCCAATCGCTCGTCGCCTCCCAATCATTCTCAAACTCGATGTCCAAGGTAAGTTCGCCTTCTCCATCCCCATCATCTGTCAGAGGCATGAATGACGCCAACTGCGGTGTTTGGTTGGGTGGAAGATTATGCGAGACAGGCTGGACCCAACGACGTTCTCGAAGTCGCTTGTGTCGTTCCCGGTCTTCTTCGATACGCTTGAAAACTTCGTGGCGGGGAAGAACGTTTTGTCTTGAGTCTGCTTGTGGGTCAATTGAAGAGTCTTTACGGTTTTCTAACATGATGAGAACTTCGTCGACCTTCTGGGGATCCACGACTCGTTTACTTCTCCAGCTCTCCAATATCTATGTCGATGTATAAGTCACAACGTAGACGGAACAAGACAGACCGAACATACCTGCTTCGTACTCATGAGATTTGGAAGACCCTGCCTACCCTCCGGGACAACATACTCGATGATCTTGTTCAGATCTCGCGAGACATAGTCAACATAATAGCACGAGTGAGCGTTTCTGTCCTGTTTTGAGCTTTGAGGGCGTGATTTTGCCAGAAGAGATATCTCGCATAGCGAATCCAGGAAGTAGAGTATGTTGATTCGATTATTAATGGAGCCCTAGATGATTCATTTCCATGGTTAGGACGTAGGGTAGAAACAATAAAGGGGTAAAGAAGGACCTTTTGACATTCCTCAATAATGCAATCCCAGAGGTCGTCCCCGCAGCTGGAAAAGTACTTCAAGGCGTATCCGACTACCTTTTGGATGGACTGCTGGGAACTAAATGAGTCGTTGGAGACCCCTTTCCTCAAATAAAATCTTGTGTACTCACGCATTGAGTCTTTTGAGCAGCGTTAGGAACTGCATGCGTACTTCGAAGGGGTCCATTTAGTTACGATGATGTGGTTTGCGAACAAGAAGTGTGCATTACGGCGCTTCTTTTCGATCGCATATGGATCGAGCTGAAATTCATGACCAAGGGTCAACCGTTTCAAACGTTCATTCATTAGCGAGCCTGGAAATATTTCACTCGTCATCATTCCTCTATTGTACATAATCCACATCTATATATCATTCCAAGTCCTAATTTTCCAGTATACAAGAGGAGGACTTCTATCCTTCGTCAACGATTGTTTGACCAAGGATGGACTGTTCCCTCCAATCCGTCAGAGCGTTGTTCACATTTAGACCTTGGAACTTGGTCATGGAACCTAGACGGAGATTTCGCGCGTTTGGCGGACCTGGAGCTTAACAGCCTAGTAGGCCTCATTAAGGATCATCAGACCGAGAGCCGTAGGTTGGCCATCTGCAGTCATCAGGGCAGCCGGATTGCCACTCTGCGGACTAGGTATAAAGCCTACGAAACTATTTGTAATTACTACTCTTTTTGTTTTTTTTTTAAACTAGATACTCACCGAAGGGGAAGTATTTCTTGATCCAAGGTTGTTGGTCCATCCACGTACCAACACTCTTGTAGAATGCAACAACTTCATCCGCGGAATGTTGTTGCCCATTAAAGTCCTGCATATACAATTGAATCAGATAAATGCACGATATAAAAGCCTAAAGGTTGTAGGAACTTCGAGAATACTTGCCTGGAAACCGTATTCCGTGACAAGGACATCGCGATTATTGAATACAACGTGCCACTGTGAGACCCAAGACTCAAAGCTAGAGACTGAAGTGCCGAACCAATGAACGGCCATGGCATTGACCTGTATGAACGAAAGCTAAGAAGACGTCATGTTTATATTAACTACCTGAGGATACGAACTGTACAATCTGAGCAGCACTGGAAGAACTGCTGCATCCATTGAATACCACCAGGCGCGTTGCTAGTGGCAGGAGAAACGAGGGTGTAGCCCTCTTTCGCTCGCGGTTCGATAATACTGTGCCAGAAAATGCATGCGACTTGAGGAGACAGGTTTGATTGACCTGCTTCGTTTGGCCTTGATGCGACGTACTTCGGCGTCATGATAATGGAACAAGAAGGCACGAAAAAACTTACTCATTGAATCCAAGAATAACGTTCTTGTTACCGCCGGCTGGCTTAACGGTATTGTTGAAGTCCGTGATGCGACCAGAATCGGCTCCCCATAACATCTGATAGCATTGGATGCTGTTTGAACCATCGGGACAGTGAGGGCTCCATGTATGTATTCTATAGATGAATCAATAAGTAGTGTTGAAAGTCGTACTAAAGCGGCATACGTACGCGCCAACATGGGGAGTGAGGAAGTTAGTCAGCGGAATGTTGTTTCCATTGGCCCATGCGAGACCAACTTTGGGACCGTCAAGTGCGGCGCCGCTAGTGCAAAGTATGAAATTAGACCATGTAACTACATAGGTGAAGTGCTCCTTGCACCTGACGTAGACAGCGAATGCAGAGACCAAGGTAACGCAAACGAGTAGTTGCATTTTGGGCTCGGGTTATATCAGGCCTAGAATGAGAAGTATAATAAACGCGATAGAGATGAAATCGTGTTTAGATCGTGTCACTGGGAGGTAACGGAACCTTGCTGGCAGATTCAATAAATGAGCCTGCAGAACTAAGATTCCTGACTTCACCAGCAGACCTTATATCTGCGGCACATAAGCAACGCGCTGTTATCCCCGTATTGACGCCTTCTATGTCAAGTCATTTTCATATGACGACTCATAGTGAAACGGTTTTTATATGCGCCTTGGGAACGTGAGAGGCCTATGTCAATGTTTAAAGGTACTGACAAAAGACTCGTCGACCTCTGCTTCAAGAATCAAATGATGACTGTGCGAACGAGCTAACTCACCCTCCGATGTCAAAGCGGATCGGATTGAGCAGGTCCACGGGACGAGGAATCCCATTCGTGTTCTTGTCGAACGTTCAACGGCACTACGGCAGATTCAGACAGCCTCTCAACGAAGCCGGTCTGCGGCGGCCTTTCGAAGAGCATAGCTGCCCAGGGACAAACGTCTACGGCCAAACGGATCTACTCATATGACTTCACCGATAGGCATTACAATGGCATCTGCGACAACACCTGACAACAGATAATGCCCTGTCATCATGTGGGATGGGCGGGGTATAGGCTGCAGAATCACAAGATCATGATAGAAGGGACTCACCCGGAGATGCTACGCGCCAATGTATCAAGTGAAGAAAGTGTATACTCGCCCTGCCCTGACCCGGCCCCGATGATACTACTTGCCACATCATCTGAGAATCATTGAGTGCTTGCGTCGATAGGCGGGGCGGCTTACTTACGAAATTGCACTCACCGGTCGGAGTTTATAGGGTACTAGACAATAATCTTCGGAAGCCTGAAAAGTTTAAATGTTCGAATCTACCACGTGGCGTCGTATGGGCTTCCAGTTGAAAGGTTGGATACGTCACCTACATTGCACGAGTTCCATTGTCGCATTATCGCGCCCAGCCGACGAGTAGCTGCAGTTCCAAACGAGGGATGGGGCGTGATCTTCATCTTTCACAGATAATGTGAGCTGAACACTGCTTGTAATAGCAAACCAAACTTTCATTAGGTTCGCCTATCAACACTACACTAACATCTATCTATACTGATGTGAGCAAAAATAATAGTCAAACAGTGACCAAAGTACGAACGTGATCTAACTATGCTTCGCCCATCTCAACATCACCATCAGCATTCGCTAAGTTAGGCTCCGCGTCTGCGCTCGCCATGAGACCCTCCGCCGCAGCCTTGATGGTAGCAATCTTGTCCCGCATGACTTTTATAGACTCTAGGAAGAGTCGCTCTGGTGCGTACGGACCTTCTGACTCTACATTAACTATACGAAAGTAGACATCAGCACCATACATTGTACAAGGAACTGAGAGAATTGACGTACATATGAACCAGTCGCGTATCCTTCGGAGTTGCACCGAGCCTTCGAATTCTTTGTGCCGGAGGACTTCGCGGGAAACACTGTCTTTTCGCATATTACGCTCGTCGATGGTCACCTTAATGAGGTCAGGTCATGAGTGGTAAGCACGCGGTACACACGACAAACGTACTTCGCCATCTTTATCAATTGTCACAACTCCTGGACTAAAGCAGCTAGCAAACTTTTTCGCAAGATGTGGTGGTATCGGCTTTTCGGGGTTGAGGATGATTAGGGGATGAAGACGATATGAGGCGGTCGCTAGTCAGAAGGTGAGTACGAGGCACGGAACATAAGTTGGATTAATACTTACCGACCGGACTCCATTTAGCATGCTCCTTCCCTACGCCTTTGATAGCGTGCAGTTCCATATCAATTTCCTGCCCTGGTCGGAGTTTTGCAAGCACAATCTCCTACAGCAAGTATTAGGAATAAGAACCACTCAAAGGAATAGACAATGCTCTCATACCTTGTTAGTGGGCGCGGGAGGGTTAGACGCAAAGACAGACTCTTGTTCGCCTTGTGGTACCCAGACCAGATCGCCACTCTTCACGTACTCGTTAATGTACTGCTCAGATGGCTTGACGTCCTTTTTTGTATTCTTCACTCGCTCGCAGGTTACGGCCAATCTGTTTCAAGCCATGCATTAGGACCTCAAGAGCGTGGACCCATAAGAAATCGTAGACCATACCGAAAGACCAGTGTATTTCGGTCGTTTGGTTGCGCATTGAAGCCAGTAGGCGTCCTGTACTCCACAAGCGCAGGATCGATATTGAATGGTATAAGGCCAAGACGTTGAGCCAGTACTTCGTCATGTATGACTGATGTATTGTTCCAGACGTAAACGTGTTCGATGGCTATTGTAGGAACTTCCGCAATGAGAATTCTACGGAAAGCATTTGCGATCGAAGCGTCCACTCCGACTAGGTCGAATTCAATTGAACGTTGCGAAAGTCTTTGCACTTTCACTTGCAGGTTCTAGAGAGAACCAACAACTTAGTATGACTGACTTGGCAGTCAAGAATCCAGGAAGGGCATACCTTCTTGAATTTTTCCAGGTTCCAACTATGGTCCTCATTTGGATAGTGACCTGGGTAGTCCGTACTTGACACGTCTGACACCCACTCTGCGTGCACGCCGACATGCCTGCGGGGATTATAAACTGATTCAGGGAGTTTGGAGGACGATGCGTGACGGGAAGAAGTCGCCATTTCTTCCGCTCAAATCCTCGATCGCACCAAACTGTACTCGAGAAGCTTGCCACGTGGGAATGCTTGTTTTGGCAACGAGCGTACTTCAGCAGATTCTTGAGTCCCAAGTTATAATATTAGCTATAATACAGTGACGGACTTTGGACCAAGGAGGAGTAAAACGAAATCAATTTTGACGAGACTCGATGTACTGAAGCAAAGAAAAGACAAAACATGTGCCGATGTCTTTAGAATGGACATGTCCGGGATTGAACCGGACCCCTCTCGCATGCTAAGCGAGCGTGATAACCAACTACACCACATGCCCTTGTAAATGTTTAAGCTTTAAATTATAGATTGTGGTTTGTATTACCAAACTGCACCCGACTTTCAACCTACCTACATCGTTGCGTCTCTGCGTCATCTACATTCTCGAATCTCTGGCTTGCTTTACAGGTTGTTCATAACATCTTCAAGGCTTTCGATCCGGGCCAAGACACTGGTTCTATGCGCCTTATCATAAGTACAGTACTCTCATACTTTACGGCCAGGACAACTTGAATACAACATTTGCAAACACCTAATGGCCCGTATTTTTTAATCTGATCTTCCCGGGTGTGACAGCCACTACTCACCAAGATCAGCTCGAATGAACTCCATATCCGTGCGTCCACAGCCGCAATCCGCGTGCAGGCCGGTTCTGAGTACTTACCTTCACGGTTCAGCCTAACCAATATGCCCGACATCGTAGTCATTCTGTTCTAAAATAATCTTGCTTCTTGCTGTCTCATGGGAACACATTTCCCAACTAGCTCCTGTGTGGATTGCAGGCATGCTCAACATCGGGCGCCTATTTTGAAGTTGTTATCGTGCTGCCATCGAGCGTTGGGCTTGCTGGTTTATAGCGTCCGCCCGGTGCTGCTTCAAGAGTTGTACATTTGTCACTTCAAACATGCTCGACCTCACCCGCGTTCGATCAAACTTCCCCGCAATCGCGCAATCAAACTATATCTTTGGTGATAACGCTGGTGGTTCACAATGCCTTTCCTCTGTTGTAGCGCGAATTTCCGATTACCTCTTGCACACAAATGTACAGCTCGGCGCTGACTACTCTATGTCGGTGACAAGCACCAATCGTGTCGCCGATGGAGCTGAGGCAGCTCGAGAGCTGTTTAATGCGACGAGCGTTGATGAGATTGCTTATGGAAGTAGCTCCACGATGCTCGCGGAGAATCTAGCCAGGGCGATCGAAGCCGATGTTCGAGAAGGTGATGAATTCATTGTCACAGGAGAACACGAAGGTAGTTGATCTTACATCTACAATCCTGCGCCAATAAGTTAATCAATCTCTCAGCGAATGCCGGGCCTTGGAAGAAGTTGGCTGCTCGTCGAGGAGTGACCGTCAAGTATTGGCATGCTCGCACGGAACCTAACTCTGAGAACCCTTACGCAGTTTCTCTACACGTATCCGATCTCGTACCATTAATCACGGAGAAAACGCGGATTGTCGCCTTCACTGCTTGCTCCAACATTCTTGGATCTATCGTGCCTGTCAAAGAGGTTATCAGCGCCATCCGATCAAAGGCAGCAGAAGTTGGTGCGCGCAAGGTTGAGACATGCGTAGACTGCGTCGCCTACGCGCCACACCGTCGCATTGACGTACAAGACTGGGGTGTAGACTACTGCTTCTTCTCCATGTACAAGGTACTCATAATAGCAAACAAAGCAATGGTGGGACACTCAACTTTGTATTTGTCTTTAGGTCTACGGCCCTCATATTTCTGTGCTCTACGCAAGGGCATCTAGTCTCAAGTCTTCGTTAACATCGCTCGCTCACCATTTCTTGAAAGTGGATGATAAACCATACAAGCTCCAGCCTGGAGGTCCCGGCTATGAGCTTGTTTATGGCTGCACAGCGGTCCCTATATACCTTCGATCCCTGTCGCCTTCGCAGGATTTGAACGAGGCTTTCAAGTTGATCGCAGAGCACGAGCAGACTCTCGTCAAACCGTTATTGTCGTATTTGAAGAGTAAGGCATCCAGAGGCGTCAGAATTGTCGGAGAGGAAGAGACCAGTCTTTCTCGTGTCCCAACCATCAGCTTCGTCGTCGTTGGTGAGCGAGCTATACGGAGTCAGGATATTGTGAAGGTATTCGATCAGAGGGGAAATGTAAGTCGTTCTGTCATGTCTTCCAGAAACTAGCTGACGAGATGACCCCATAGATTGGCATTCGTTACGGCCATTTCTATGCCTACACTCTGATCGACTCACTGCAGCCAAAGCTGGACACCGACGATGCTGTTGTTCGGATTTCGTTAGTTCACTACAATACTGTTGAGGAAGTTGCAACGATCATAGAAATTTTGCAGGAAATTCTAGCTTAGGGATCAAATGGTGATGTCTGGTTAAATAGGTGTGCTTACCCTTATACTGTAAATATCATGTTGCCGGACGGTTCATGAATATTCTACTAGATACAGTATATGACGTCACTGTGTTGACCGACTGATATGGAAGTTCGGTAGAGGCTCCCACACAACAAACCCAAATAGTGCGACAGCGATTCTTGACTCGTGGCACCTTTCACTGATGAGCCGAACGATACATTGGCAGTTTAACGACTGGAAGGACTTTCGGATGCGTGTAATGCATCTGTAGGCTTGCAGCTTCTCCTGGTCACATACAACTCGATATTCAGGAGAGGTGAGACAATCTTAAACTCTTGTCAGTTGATAAGACTTCTAATTCATTTTTTTTTTGCCGTTGAGATTTATTACGGTTTTAAGGCTTTATAGATTCGTACGATAGGCAGGCTTCTAGTTGCGACTGGCTGAAATGCTGCAGCGAATATATGACCCGAATAGCTTGCATTCATTCTTGTTTGCAATGGTATGGAAACGCAATCATTGGCAGTTCCCATTCATTGGTTGTGTCAAGACCTCGCGCATAAAGCTTTAAGAATGTTTCCTCTATTTATTTTCTCTTCGTCGAATCACCACTACCCAATCCTAAAGCCACTTGTACAACGGCGCTTCCAGATGGCCAGCTTATTGGGCAAGATTAGCTCCCTAGACAATGCATCTTCCGAACTCGAGCAAGACTTTAGGAAGATAGAACAGATGCTCGAGTTGTTTACAGCCAAGGCAGAGCCGGAAGGCGGCTTCCAGATGTCACTCTTAGACTTGTACAGAGAATGGCGTACAACATGTCAGGTATATGTCAGACTTCGTTACATTCGTGGTGTATTTCACTCAAGCATTGACATAGAGAGCATTGATGAATGCCCTTATCAGGGCTACTGCTTTGTCGAGTGCCGTCAAAGCCGTTGCTACGAGTGAGTTTACCTCACTTTGTCGCATGCCGCTGATATTGATGAAACGATCGAGATTTTGAGGCGGAATTCATGCTCGTCTTGTCTGATGACCAATTCTTGGACGAACTTCCTTTTAAGCAAGAACTACTTGGGTTCTTTAGCAAGGTGCGCCGACTCCTGAATAAAAAATTCAATTGTTTCTCATATCATCCATCGCCACAAGGCAATCGCTCAGGGCATCAAAGACTCAGATGTTGTGATAGCAGCTTTCGACGACTTCACGCAGAAGCTTGTCAGCTTCAAAAGCTCTCTTTTGCGTGCAATCAAAGAGTTCGGTCAAGACTCTACCGCGAAGGAATTGACAAAGACTTTCACCGAATACGAAGACGTCCTTAAGCAGTACGTGGGATCGTGCATTTCCCTTGAGCTTTATAATTAAACGAAACTCGTCCCTGTAGTGTTGAAGAGAAGGTATTCTTTATTACCTTATTTTTACGTATGCGTGAAGTTGACTGATTCCAACAGAACACCGCCTTCTCATATGTCTTCACTATGTTCCGCGCCCAGCTAGACGCACTGAACGAACAGTTCGATATACTTGACAAAATCGAGGAGAATGAAGTAAGCATCACAGTTTGTTCTCGGTTTGTACTACAGCTTCGTCCACGATTTTGCATAGGGTTTCGATGAGGAGGTCAGGGCCGTGGCTATGGGGTTTACTTTACTTCGCCAGGCTATCAGTCGATACCAGAGCGCTATCGGGGTCCATGACTCGCAGAAGTCAAACGATTCTCTACTTGTGTTCTAGGACATCTTTCCCGTTGCTACTAATAGCTCTGCGGTTGAGCTTTCGCTTGCAATAGGGCTCGTTCATTAGAATTCAACATTGATGGCCTTTATTAGCGTCGGAATCGGTATATCCAAGCCGCCTATTTAGCTCGTTTACAGATTGAGCCGTGTCATAGCGCCTTACAAAATAACCAGTACAAAATTCGAGACATGCGTGACCAAATGACTAAAGCAACCTTGTCTCAGGTATGTCAAGACGACGGCTAGGATATTCAAGGTAAGTCATGGCAGTGTTCAGGTGAGCACCGCACGGAGAGACAAAGCCACGTTTCTTAGTGAGTATCTTCGCTCTCGATCGGAGATTTGCGAAAGCTCAGTATATGTTCAAAACCTTCAGATATCCCGTGTGGTTCGGAGTCCGAAACGTGCGGTGGCGTTTTCGGTTCGTTGGCAACAGCATTGTGTGTAGGTCGCCGAAGACGGAGTGTGAGTCGCATACCGTATCGGGACACAGCTGTCGCGTAAGAGTCGTCTCGCGGCCTTGATCTCAAGCTGAATCCTAGTCAATGTACTTACTATCCGCCCTGGATGAGCTTAACATTGGATGTAAGGGAGTACAGGTCAAGACCTTCCGCTGACAATCCTTGCATTGCCCACTCGATATGCGTAGCGTTCTTAAGCCGAGCCATGATAGCAACTACTGGACCACATTACAATGCAGTTGCCTCGTATCTCTGGCCTCTCAGGCGCAGAGTATCGTATGTTTCATTTTCTCAGAAATTAGGATGGTGGATAACCATCTACCCAGATACTAAGGTGTTGTACTGTCCATATGAGAATCTGTTGCGACACATATACACCCTATTTCTTTTTACCCGATCCGATTTCAAGACTCTCCTCATTCCAGTCGTACGTATAATCTATTCCTCATAGATTATCATTCAACTGAGACTTTCACTGTAGATATGCTTTGCGATGGCCGCTTTACCAGACGTCCAATTATACCGGGTCCCTCAGGTGGTGCTGTGGGGTTTGAATCCATCTGCTTCAGTTCACTGTCTCCAACCAAACCTTAAACCCCGAAGAAGACCGAGTGAATAAAGGTTATCGCCCTTTACCTTCGCGACGCCTATCCCTCCAGAATGCCATTCGTCTTCGATGGGCACTAGTACTCGTATGCTGGCTATTTTCCCTCCATTTCAACGTCGGCACCCTCCTTGCGAGCATTGCGGTGGTTGCATTGACTATTACTCACAACGAACTCGGGTTCCATGGCAAGTCTTGGATCATCCGTAATCTTCTCAATGGACTCGGATTGGCTTCATATGAAGTGGGGGCGCTTCTCGTCATATGTAAGTGCAAATCCACTGTCAATCGCCGTGAATTCTTCATCTCGCACTTCTGCAGCTTCTAAACATGCAGTCGATATGGTGGCTTTTTATGCCGTCTTGATCAGTGCCGGGTTGTTTGCGACAACCATACATGCACAAGACTTCCAAGATATTCCCGGCGATCGTATGATCGGTCGCAAGACGCTTCCCATCGTGCATCCTCGATTGGCACGATTTTCATTGATGATCCTCTTACCTTTATGGTCCATATTATTGGCGTATACATGGAGGTTGGGAATTATTGCATGCTACATGACCAACGTCCTTTCTTTGTACGTTGGTTGGCGTTTCTTGAAACTCGCCGACGTAGACTCGGACCAGCAATCATACGTCTGGTACAATGTGAGTTCTCCAAATGATATATTACATATATTGCAGTCTAAGTAAGCTTTGCATTTTAGGTATGGCTCTCCCTGACGAACATGCTTCCGGGTTACTATAGATACATCCAGTGAGGTGTGTAATGGCATCGCTATACACTGGACATGTCAAACAGTTTCTAATGTTACATCCGAAGAGTGCGTTATTGTATTTATGTTTTCCAGCGCTACGGTCTTTATATCGTCTATGGCGACTTGTAGGTACCATCGCCTTGCGCTGTAATTATCGCACTGCGTTCCGCTAGTGCGGGCTTGCGAACCCACCGCTGATCGTTATTCTGCTCGATCCTGTTCGCCGTGCAACATTCACCCACGTCTATCTGGTCCAGACTCTGCTTCAGTTCTCATATGGTAGCTCTCAGCATTCGTGACATCGATGTAATGATGGCAATGCGAGTTATGTCAGTTGTTTCTAATCCCTGTACACGTTGGCCATGAGGTGCAACCCTTACTCTACTTGCATAGAACTGGCCCATATTTACTAGAGATATCACACTGAAGTTCCCCCTTGAGCATGTGTGCATACTGCAACCGTCCTTCGGTCACCATTGTACCGGACGTATCACCATTCACCTTGAATCTCCTTGGCTGTCAATAACTGCCGGCGATCGTGTTTGGACCGGAACTGTGTGACATGTCGTATGAATACATCATCCAGTACCTTGAATGTACTCCATACAGTCATACAGAAGTGAGGCATCACCATCAAGGGATCCTGAATCTCCGCACACTCGAAGCAGCCACGCCCAAATCCGTGAATACAGTGAATACAGTGAGTTTAAGTATTCCGTGGCTTCGCTCTTACCAGCAACGGTGCCCTTGTCGTCACCAAATAATCCAACCTCCTCTCAGGCCATTTCTCCGCCTCCCTGCCACCAAACCCGGGAGCAAACTGGAAGGTGAAATGCTGCAAAAGCACAGACGCGAACATCAACATTTCATTTTTGGCCATCTGACGTCCCACGCAGTTGGCCGGGCCATAGGAGAACGGAATGAAGGCCTTCTCAGAAGAAGCCTTGTCGAAGGAGGAAGCAGAGAGCCAGCGGTCAGGAATGAAGGACTCGGGTTCGGGTGAGAAGTAACGGGGGTCTCGGTGCATGGAGTAAGGCGGGACGTAGACTTGCGTTCCTTCGGGAATATGTCTATGGGAGCAATCAATATATACTGTCATGTCAGAGGCAGGATAGCACAAGCATGCTGGATGGCTTACCGTCCAGCTACAAGCTTTCCCCTGGTACCCTCCGGAACTTGCCGAGGTCCATTTGTCGGAATCGGAGGGTGGAGACGCAAAGTTTCATTGCTAACCATCATATGATGAGTCTTCTCCCATAATGAAATGAGGGTTCCTTACATGCAAGCATTCAGGTACACCAACTTCGCATGCCTTGCAGTATTCAATGGATCTGCATAATCAGGATACACCGTATCGATTTCCTCCTGTACTTTCTTGTATACGTCCGGATTCATGATGAGGAACCAGAAAAGGCTCGAGAGTGCCGAAGCGGTCGTATCTGACCCTGCGACAACCGCAAAGGTCCCATCCGCGGAGACCTCCGGGACTGCTGGTTTAACCTTTTCGATACCTGCTTCGTCAGACTGAAGGGGCGGGAGTCAACATTGAGGCAATTCAAGTGTTATGACAGGTCGAGAGATGAAGAAACGAACCAGGTAGTACCACAAATCCTTGACCTTCGCTTCACTCTTCATCCTTTGCATCGCACAACCCATCCCAAACTGACGCATTTTGCCAAAGTGCTTCGAGAACATGGGGACCTTGAGGAAAACGCCTCTTGCCCATGGAATATGCGATGCTATGGCACCTTGGCTGAGAACGATGGTTTAAATTAGCATTGGAGCGGAAGGTACTAGGAAATGAATCATATAGACATACAGTGCGAACTTCCCTAGTGTATCCCAGATACCGCCTTTGTCCCCTTCCGTGATCATATTGAAGCTACGTCCGAATCTACACAAACATATAAGTGAATCCACATTTATACATCATATGGAAATTAGATGTACGCCATTTCACCCATAACGTCAAACCTGCAGGAATGAATCTCACATTAGCATGCACAATACCTCCAGTTGTTCAACTTTGTACATACGCGAAATAGTTGATCCACTTCACTAAGTCTGTTTCCTTTCCAACACTCTCATTCAACTTATTGACGACCTGAGAAGCACGTCTCGCGATACCCGCCTCGTAACCTTGCAACGATTCTGGACTAAAGCCTCGGTTCCACAGTTTTCGACGGGCGGCGTGTGCTTCTCCTCGCATTCCGATGATATTTTGAGGTGCGTTTGGGATTTGCCGAGCATTATAGTCTATATGGATAGGACTGAGTACGAGGCGTAATGATGGAAATCAGGGACAGACATTGTCCTTTGGGTAGCCCGCCTGCTCCAAGGACAGAGTTTACGGCATCTACATCTACAATTGAGAGGTCGTTGGGTCCTGTTTGTTCGAACATAGATCATTAGGCTTATACAGCTTCTTCATTCAAGACTGCCACATTACCAATCCGAACAATTGGACCATACTTCGCGTGTAGCTTGTGGTTTGTAAGATGCTGGTGACCAGTGTATACCGTCCACATTGGGGCGAGTTGTGTGATCTTATTGAGAATAGGACCTGGATACTGGGCGAGTGGGTGGAAGGGTGATACACGGTAGAACACCACAGAGAGACAAAGTGAAGCAATGAAAGTTGCTACAGCGACAAGGATACCCGAGGCCGTAAGAGACTTGGCAAAGAGTATTGACCCAAGAGATCCAGAGAGTAATACAGTGAGGGCTCGAGTAACATCCTTTGGCTCCCAATGCTGAAACACCATGTGCGTGAACTACAGAAGAGGTTCAGTTACAAATAAGATGGCCGTCTTACCAGCTCTGCTACCTACCACAGCGAGCAATCCTATCTGAACAAACATCGTGCAGTGGGATTGCCACTAGGAGAGGGTAGAAAGTAGAAGAGGATCCCAGACAGGGGACGAGGCAGCCTCAAGGAGGTTGTGCGGTAATCACTAATGAAGCCGGTGGCGACACCGTAGAGCGTACTAATGAAGATGGATGCATAAGCGGGTTTGACGAGATAGTGAATGATGAACATACACTGCTATGGGTTTACTAACGTTCGAGGCTGCGCGAAAAAATGTTTTCGTATCCTCTGAGAACGTAGGCCAGCAGGTGTACCGTCTGCACCTCCGGCGGTAGGCTCCGACGTGCTGAAGCTACTAATTTCAATTCGGGTCCCTTGTTGTTCTATCATCCTCTTCCTGAGCTTTGTTCACCGTCAGTCTGTGTTTCCACGTCTGATTTGAACCATATATATTTTGTGAGCATCCGGATAAGAATAAGGGCCTGAATGAGTTTCGGCTTGCTGTATCGACGCGGGAAAGCTTGACAGATATGGGAGGTATGTACACGAGATAAATATAGAGCACTTACCTTGAGAATCCTGATCCAAGGTGAGAATAACACGTCGACTGCATGTCTATTTTCGGATCCATCAACGTTCGTGGGAATACCGGAACAGGTGAACACGGTGACGAGCGCTCTGCTACTTGTCCATCATCGTACCGATGATGGTTAGCGGTTGTCCATTCCACCCACATTCCACGTCAATCAGTAATCCAACTCAATGAGATAGAACCGACGTGTGCGCAGCTCCTCATTCCATCCATGCTCATCCCGATGAAACATGTTTTCAACAGTTCGCAGATTCCTGATATCATGATGTTCAGGTCTTTTGATATAGCTTTCTCTCACCGGATGTCAGCAACAGGTTTACTATTGTCCTTTGTTTTGCGCCATAAACTCTCTCATGTGAGAGATCTGTCGCCCTAGTTGTGATACCGGGGGCCGCGACACACAAATTGCACATGGTCTCTAGCAGTTTCTGATGTGTTATTCAAGATTGTTACCTTTCGCCGGTGGTATTGACATGGGTGAATCAACACCAGTATCATGGAGACCGATATACCATAGACAGTACTCTCTGGATTTGCTCTAACTAAGCAATCAGCGAACATTCAACCCGCCGGCGGTGATTCAAGTTCGTCCTGTATTTGGGCGCTGTGTAGGCATTATACCGAATTGTAAAACATTCTAAAAGCTGATGTTCGGACCCACGTTTACAGACTCTATTCGATGGCGACTGCTGCGCTCACGCTCGATACTGCGGCTTCGTTCTGATACAGATTCCTGACGCCACCGAAGCCCTCGCTGGTAACGTATCACTTCGTATCATCCATCTTTTCGATTATCGCACTGGTCCTTTGTCCAGACACTTACAATGATTTAAAACACATGGGTGATGTATCGGATCGAACTTGTCTTCTGGTGCCCTTACATTGCAGGCTGCCACGCATTTGGACAGTCTTCTAATGTTCCTTTACATCAAACCAAATTGCTTTCGATCTATCAGATGTTAACCCAAGTCTGGCGGGAGTGCTTCAGTGCGATGCCTATCCAAATGCCAATGGGCGATCAGAGCCACCGCGTGAGTTTCTGGTCCCAGATGGTTATGATCAAGACTATGAGGCAATGTTCCACCCAAAGATACGCCACGGTCACTCCGTGCAATGATGAGTCGTCCTCCAGATGGACTCATACTTGATATCTGTGCAGTGCTTCGCCCATCCAGCCTCAACTTATTTGTCTGGATACTGGGCAATCAGTGTGGCGATTGAATATAAGAGATTGCAGGCGGTAACGGTTTGTGCTTCCATCTGTTCGTGCTTCCTTCTGCAGAAGCTTCTTCGTCTCAGTGCTTAATACATTTCGTTCTCTAGTATCTATTATCCAATGGCTTTTCCATGGACCCTCCTTTTCGCTTTAGCTATAATTGTGATTGCGGGCAACTTTGCTTTCAAGCGTCCAAAGTATCCTCCCGGGCCTCGTAAGCACTGGTTGTTGGGAAACTTGTACGATATCCCTCGTCATGTGGACTGGGATAAGCTCCTCGCCTGGAAGCGCGAGTTCGGTCCGTACTCTGCATATTCCTCCTTCGTCGTTCCCAATCTGACTCTGGACGCCTTACAGGTGACCTCGTATATCTTACTGCATTCGGCAAATCCGTTCTAGTACTCAACTCGCACACTGCGGTCAAAGATTTGCTCGATAAACGCGCGAAGAACTTCTCTCATCGCCCACAAACCGTCATGGCGGGTGAACTCTTTGGTCTCGGCAAGGTGCGTACCATTTTCAGACGCTTGTGCGCTCAGTTCTGATGTATGCGGTTGGGTCACCTTGCAGAGTATGGCGCTTTTCGAGTACAACGAACGGTATCGAGAACTCCGAAAGTTGACACAGCAAGCATTTAGTCCAGACGGGTTGAGAAAATACCAAGACGTCCAACTTGATATCGTCAAACTGTTTCTAGACAGTTTGCGCAAGGATCCTAATGACTTTAGGATTCAAACTCGGCTGTAAGGACCTCTTAGCGCTTTCCTACGATGTATCATTCGCTTAAGTGATCGACCTTCTCGTAGCGCTGTCAGTCGCACAATCCTTGCGGTGACGTATGGGATGCCCGTCAAGCTCGCGGATGAAGGGGTATGCATTTCCTTATACGTTCTATGTTGATCTTCGAGTTCCTGACTACTGTGTAGTATATCGCAGACGCAGAATTGACAACGAAGACGGTCACAATGGCTACCTTTCCTGGTGCCTATCTTGTCGATCTTCTACCCTTCTGTACGTTCTGTGCATTCTTTGCTTCGCCCATCTAACATAGTTATGTTATAGTGAAATATCTTCCCTCGTGGTTTCCTGGTGCTGGCTTCAAGAAAGAAGGCGAATACGGCTACAAGCTTATCTCTAAACACGTTACTCGGCCTTTCAATTACGTTCGTGAGAAGCTTGTGAGTAATTGCGATGCCGGCCCCGGTACCCGATATTTCCGATGCGTACAAGATACTCAACGATAATTTCACTTCTGGCAGGCCGAGGGCATCGAACACCCATCTTTCGTCTCGGACCTTCTCTCCGGATCCGAGAACGTACGCAGACATAATATTATAGAGGACGAGAGATGGTTGGAAGATGTCAAATGGGCTGCCGGGGGCATGTTCTCGGCTGGCGTCGACACGGTAACGCTACTATTTATGTTCTTGAACTTAAACATTCGCTCATGGAACCTCTAGTCGTACGCTACTATTCTGGTTTTTTTCATATTAATGGCTCGACACCCGGACGTTCAAGAAAGAGCTAGGGCTGAGATTGATGCCGTGACGGGCGGGCGTAGACCAGTTACTTCAGAGGATCGTTCTAAATTGCCTTATTCTGCAGCGGTGATGAAGGAGGTCACACGTTGGCATGTTGTTGTGCCCACCGGTCAGTAGATGTTACACGGAGGCCTTTTCGTCATCTGATTAAACACATACGATAGGTCTGTTCCGGCGATCGGGAGACAGTGAGGTTTACAATGGTAGGAGGGTATTTTCTTTTCAATGCTGTTCCGTTATTCACACAAGATGTGGGACATTAGGGCAGTTAATTCCAGCAAACACGATAGTTGTGCCTTGTATTTGGTGCGCTGGGCTCTGTTTGATATGTATCCACACCGTTTGACTCATGCGTTCCGATCAGGTCGCTATCTCAAGAAGTAGAAGACCCTGAACGGTTCGATCCTGAGCGGTTCCTTCATGATAATAAGACACCCAATCCGTACGAATATATTTTTGGGTTTGGACGACGGTATGTGGACTCCTGAACCCATTCTGTGTGTGATTAGTTACTCACTTCTGGTTCGTATTCGGTATTAGGATTTGTCCCGGCCGTTATCTTGCGGAACACTTCATCTTTCTTCTCACAGCGAACCTCCTGACCTTCTACAATATCAGTATACCCAAGGCGTGCCCAGAGGGTTTGGCATCTCCTTCTGATGTAACATTCACCCGGACCCTCACAAGGTGCGCTCTAACTCCTTTCCATCAACGGCGCCCTGGTCTCATCATTCACTTCTAGTTATCCTGAGCCTTTCGCGTGCGATATCAGACCCCGGTCGGAGAGACATGCGGAAGATGTTGCGGCAATGGTTGCGGACTGATAAGATATATCAGGTTGGTTTAATGTTATCTACTCACGGTCATTCGGTCTTCTAACTTGTGTAATTATTGTTACTTCCAGGTTCGTATTAGAGTGTTGAACTGTCGTTCATACATCCTTGTCAAATATAGTATGTACTGGTATGGAAAGTGAGTCGGCGCCGTGAGGGAACCATTCTCTTTACCGAACACTCACGTGAAAACATACGTTTCAATACCTGTCGACTGGAGTTTGTATTGAATTGCGCGGTCCGTCATGTGCGGGTGGCAAAGTCACAGACAGTAGCAGCCGCGACCTGTCTGCGTATCAAGTACAGAAAATATTGCCAACTGCGCTATCCCATACCGTGCCGTACAAGCGTCGTTAGGAACAGGTATGCTTGTCTTGATTCACAGTACATTGCGGTGATTTTCTGATTGGTCTACATATATTAGCCCACCGTCGCTTCTTGACATGTTGGCTAGATGTACGGCCGCGATGTGGGCTTTTTTCGTGGAAGTCTAACGTGATCATCATCAACCTAATTCTCTTTCAAGCACAGTATGGCGATTGTGAAACTTTCATTTATCATACCTTGTCATGCGTTGAAGAAGTGGAGGCAGGTTTTGGATATAGAGAGCAAAGTCGACACATTGGTGTGTACGTGAGCATTCAACGCCCCTGCTTTGAGACTGTTACCTATGGCCGTCCAAAGCACTCTGTCTGGTGTTGTGAATACCTCTGGTACAGTCATTCTCTGGGTTATGACCCATGCGACCTACCTGACAAGCGGTTCCAGGAGTATTGCCTGGAAATATCTTTGACAGATTCTTCCACTCGTTCACGAAGCACACATATACCCTGTACCTCTTTACCAAATCTGATATCAGGACGACCTTGATTCCAATAGTAAGTACTAATATGTTACGGAGCGAGTTATGCTTTGAGTACGTACTCATCGAGCTTCTTTAGACATGTTTCGCGCTGGCAGCTGCGCCCGACCTGCAGTTGGGTCATATTCTTCACTCAGTCTGTTGGATTTGGATTCATTTGCTTCAATTCGATGTCTCCAACCAAACACTAAGTGAGGAAGAGGACAAGCAGAACAAGAGCGATCGTCCGCTGCCAGCGGGAAGAATGACTCTTCGCAACGCTCTTATCTTCAGATGGATCCTTGTCCCCGTCTGCTGGTTATATTCCCTTTGCTACAGCGTTGAGACATTCTACGCGAGTGTCGCCCTCGTCGCCCTGACTTACATTTACGATGAGATGGGAGCTCACTCTGGCCACTGGATTGTTCGAAATGTCGTGAACGCATGTGGTTTCGCTTCTTTTGAAATGGGTGCCACCCTTGTAGCGAGTAAGTTTCTTCATCAGAATAGCGTGCCTGTTGTGCAGATACTGAACGCCGTGTGTAGCGCGCGACAGGACGTATCTTGATGGTGTGGCAATCCTTGCCATATGTTGCAGCGCAGGAATATTTGCCACCACAATTCATACCCAAGACTTTAAGGACGTGGTCGGCGATGCTGCCGTTGGCCGTCGTACCCTTCCTATTACTCAACCTGAATTTGCTCGTTTCACAGTGCCCGTGGTGCTGACGCTGTGGTCCATCGGGCTCGGTTTCACGTGGGAATTGGGCTGGTACACTTCTTTCACATTCTTGGCATTAGCCATCGTAACCAGTTGGCGCTTCTTTTTCCTCCGATCGATTCGGCAAGATCAGATTACTTTCTATTATTGGTACAATGTGAGTCCACCACGCTTCGCATTCATTCCCCATGTTAATCATTTCTCTCTAGATCTGGCTCTCAGCTGCTCACGCACTTCCTGGATATTACAGGCATTTTCGTGCTTGATGCCCCATAGTTTGGAAGCGAGACGATGATTTGAATTATCTAAATGATATTTAGAAGGTGCTGCGTAATGTCTCGTTTGCTCTTACATCTATGTTTGACAATTGGAGTGGGTTCGGCTATCTATATGGTTGTCGTCCGGACGAGGTCCGAAAAGTTCAGATCAAACCTCCGATATACATCAGAAGTCTTCTGTTAGTATCTCCATTCTGCATAGATCTTTGAAGCATATACTGACGTGAGAATGAAGTTCTCCCCAAGGAAGTGGATCACCTGTATCTCTGGTTCAAACCGCTGTACGTGAGAGACATTTCTTGCTATCGTGTTCCGTAAACCTCTTCCTGAGACCAAATCTCAGCAGATGATTCGATGTGACCCGAGATTGGCAGATGGCATCTTGCATTATATCCAGATACGTTCACGGATATGTGCGCCTCGAGCTGACTTCGTTGTTTACCTTCTTTCGCTGAGGAATGGGGGCACTCAGGAGAGTTCCGATAGTATTTCCTTGATGGGGATCATAGAGGGGATGCACCGGGGGCCTTTGTTTGTCTCGGCTAACGCGTAGTCTAAGGTGCTTGTCACCAGTTCACCTGGTATAAAGATTGTCACAGAAGTTCGAGACTGTAATTCCGCTATGTCGGTTGGCGTCGACCCTATTGTTTTTGCAGCTTCCCTCCTCATACTCTTCCTCTCATGGAAGTTGCTCACTAGAACCAAACCGTTCTTACCACCTGGTCCTCGTCCCCTTCCTATCATCGGGAATGCTTTACTTTGGCCGAATGACAGCCTCGCATATCATTTAGAACCATGGAGAAAACGATTTGGTAGATCACTACATCTTTTACACACATGATGGCATTTCAGAAACCTTGTGCATAGGGGATATCATTCGACTGGTTGTTCTTGGGAAACCGGTTGTTTTCCTCACGTCGCACAAAGATGCTTCTGCTCTCTTCGACAAGAGGGGCTCAATCTATTCTAATCGACCACCGCTTACCATGGTCAGAGAATGGTGCGTTACCTCTCACGCTCAGGCTGCATCATTTGACCCCTCGGTTCCTTCACTAGCTGCGAAGCATCCAGGATGGTGCCACGCTATGGTGCGGAGTCTAGAGTTCCGAGGAAAATGATGAAGGAAATCTTGAAACCAAGTTCATTGGCTGCCTACGATACTATACTGAAGGATGAGAATCTCAAATTATTGACGGGATTGCTGGAATCTCCGGATGATTTCCCTCACCAACTTCGGCGGTAAGCGCAAGGCAGCGCCGATGTACCGTGTAACACTGCTCATATCCCGGTAGGATGTCCACGTCGTTTGTTTTGCGGGTTATTTATGGATACAAGATGGCATCCGACGACGATTACTTTGTTAAACTGGGTGAGAAGGGGGTGCAGATTTTTGAACGAGCCTGCGTCGGAGCATGGGCAGTCAATTTCTTCCCTTCATGTACGTCATCAACGAAGCGCTCTCTTTCGATAGTCGCGTTATTGCTGTCTTCACAGTGAGATTCCTGCCTGGTTGGCTCCCGGGTGTCCAATTCAAGCGCACCGCCTCTCAGTGGAGGGAAACCCTGAAGGAATGGAGAGAGGCTCCGTACCAATTTACAAAATCTCAGTTGGTGAGTACTTCATCATTCGTATTTACTGGAAACTGATACGATGTTGGTTCAGGCAGAGGGTGAAGCTAATCATTCATTTGTCGCGGATCTACTTGAGTACCGTCAATTCCTACTTGACGATGAAGAATATGAAGAGGCCGTAAAATTTGCAGCCGTCACCCTGTATGGAGGTAAGATGATCATTTATCAGGGGTTCTGGCTATCCCTAACAGCGGTCTTTGACAGGTGGTGCGGACACTGTACGTACCTACACGGCCTCTATGGCCTGACTTGCTCCGACTCACGTGGTGATGCTCCTTTTTAGTTCGTAGCCTCCATGTGGAGTTTCATCCTCGCTATGACTCTTCATCCTGAGATACAGAAGAAGGCTCAGGCTGAAATTGATGGAGTCACCCGTGGAGAACGGCTCCCTGACTTCTCAGATCTGAAATTCATGCCATTTGTTGAAGCTGTCTTTCAAGAGACGTTGCGTTGGGGCTGCCCAGTTACACTCAGTACGAAATGTACTCTGGACCTTTTCTCTTCTCTCACTAAAAGTTCAACTAGGTCTTCCCCATTTTGTTGACGTCGATGACGAATATAAGGGCTATATCATTGAGAAGAAGACAACGGTGAGTGAGACCTAATATGATGATCATTACCCATACTGAACAACAAATAAAATTGCAGATTGTCGGCTCACTTTGGTAGATGTCTTTTCAAGTTTAGCAGATGATTGGAGCTCAACTTTCGTCAGGCACTTCCTCAATGACACTTCATTGTACCAAAACCCGGAGCGATTCGATCCTACCCGATTCTCTGAGCGCAATGAATGCCTTGCTTCGGCGTTTGCTTTCAGTGTGGGTCGTAGGTAAGTGGAGCTATTTGTCCTCAAATTATCAAAATATGTAAGACTGTTCATACAGGCGCTGCCCCGCTGCGCATCTCGCAGAAAAGACAATAAGACTTAATATAGCGCGTGTCCTCGCTACTTTCGATATTCGCCCTCCACTGAATGCAAAAGGGGATGAAGTAATGCCGGAGGTTGTGTGGAACAAGGATGTTATAAGGTACCGTTTCAGCGCATCCATCTTAATTCATCCGTCCTGAACTCGACATGTCTTAGACATCCTCAACGTTTCAATTGTCGGATTTTGCCTCGTTCTAAAGATACTCTGAGGCTAATCCAGCGCGAATTAGCTGGTATCGAGAAGTAATATTGTAATCCGAGTTGTACTGCGATATACGTGTTCATGTTTTGCTCCCCTCCCTTGCTCCTTTCTCTCTCAAAAAATACAGAAGTAGCCTACGTGTTCCTGAGACCGCTCCCTCATCCAGTTTCTCGCCAACATGCTAGCGATCATGTGTGCAGCTTCATTCCGACCACACCCACGTTAAGACTGATAGGCTCCAATGCTGGGCATGTAATCGTACTGCCTCGGGCATGTTTGCTCACCCCGTTTGAATGCAGTTCATACTATCGTCGCTTTATGGCCGAGCGTAAATCTACTGCTCCTAAAGACAATGTCTGAGGTGCACCAGCCAGTGGTGTGGTCCCGTGTGGCCCCCGATTCTGACCGGAATTCAATAGGGAACGCGCCAGAAAGCTCCCAATTTGAGCGGTGCTCTCTCTTTTCACCGAAATTGATATGTGTCTAAGGCATCCTTGTGAGCGTTGATATAAGAGATGCGCTCAAGCAAGTGCATGGTAGTTGCGTCTCCGCCGCAATCGCATACTAGATGGAATCGGAATGGAATGACAACAAGTAATGACTTTTAGCTTAGTAAAACAGATCGCCACAGAATATCCCCTCACAAGAGCTTGGTTTATGGCAAGCCCATTCATATGGGACACGACACGCGCTCACAATTTGTCTCAGACACGTCGTGACGGCCTTTCACTTTTTCTCCGTCAGTCCGACAAAAAGGCACTGGTGCAAGAACTTGACGAAGTCATGCGGCATGACACAGACTCTTCTGAGATGAATAAATCTCATGACACTCACGCATGTAATACAAAATCGTGTCCGTGCGTCCCGGCAACATAAATAGTCAGAGTACAAATAGGTATAAAAACACGCCTAACGTGAAGCCATTCAACGTACCACTAAACACCAACTTTACTGTCATCAAGGGCCGGCATAGACGATTGTTGGCCATGCTTAGAATGCAAACTATCATTCTGTAGCTAAAACAGACTGTCAGCCAATTGCTACAAGGTGTTATTAGTAATTCGTACCGTAGCGTTCGTGTCTTTAGACATTTCTTGAGTGATCTCGATGTGAACCTGCAGAGCCTAAGTCAGGCGGTTCGCTCGGCATTTGCTACTAGTCTACTCACAGGGCGGGCTCTGAAGGTAGATAAAGCTGTGGAACCGCTGTACTCGTTTGTACCGATGACCACGGCTTGGTTCATCTTGCTTCGAAGCATGTGCTTCGTATTCAACCTGCGAAAGCGTGAGGGGCGATGCAGAGAACAGAACGATATGAAACTTACGCGCCGAATAGAGAGCTTGCATAGACTAAGGAACAGAGCATTCAGCTACCGGAGCAGAAGCTATCATTTAGACCTACGTTTGAAGACGATGATAATGAACCCATGGAATAGCAAACTTGTAGGTTGCGCAAGGTACTATGAAAGGGGATTTGTCAATAAATTGAACCTTTGCGCAAGCAGATGGCATCTCTACATACCGTAATCAAAGCACAAGTAGACATCGTACTGTTATGACAGTTGTTACCACGAGTTACACTACGATATTTGGATATTATCTTACACAAGGATGACACCGGTGTTCACAGTGTAAGCAATGAGCCAGACAACGATATCGCGGGTCCTATAGCATAATTTGCAAAACGAATATTAATCCTGGTGTGCCAGCGTCATAGACAAACGTACCTCTTGATCGATGATCGATTACGACTCAGATAATAGACCATAGAGGTGGCGATGGTGCCATCCATTGCGACAACGCATGCCAGCGTAAAAATAATAACTCTCTATAAGATGGTCAGTCAGGCGCAATGAGGCTGTCAGAACTGGAGTAACAGACCTTGGTAACGGAACCCTCCCCGAAGGCAGTCCACAGAGGGAATCTTATGCTTTTTGGTATCTGAAGTAAGATTATTGAACGAGGTCCCACACGTAAAGGCCACCTACGTCCCGGCGCAAACATCTTCCGGAAAGCGATCTTGAGTAAATAACGGACATCAAGGGTACGAGGGGACATACAGAGGAGACCGGCCTTCCAGCCTAGGAGAAGCAACACCTGCAAAAAAGAAGCGTCAGCCTTCATCTTATGACGTAGGAGCACCCCATACCGTTCCGATCGTAAGAACGAGATTCTTGCTGACTGTAAAATCAAAGGTCAAAGACTGCATACATTTCTATGTCATGAATCCGGAGGGGACTCACAGGCCCACACCCGATGTATGTAGAAACTGCAAACTCAAGTAAGTACCGGAAATTAACACACAATGCAGGACATACATCTCCACTGCAAATCCAATGAAACTCTGGAACAAGTGATATCAATAAACCGAAACCAATAGACCCACATAGAAATCACTCACGTCCGAGATCAGCACCACCTACACAACAAACGATCAGAGAGTTGTCAGCAATTTCAAAGAAGAGAAGCATACTGGGACACTCCTGTACGATTGAGTTTGATAAGTATACATTATGTCGAGAAGACCATGCAACTTACCAATCAATGCGAATCAAATTCTGAGGATTTCCGATCGTGAGGACCGTATAGAAGTAAAGTTCCCGGAAAAGAAAGCCAGATTGGATGGTCTCCAAAAAGCTGAAGAAACGTTAAAGCATTATAGCCTAAGAAGGCAGGGGGAGGGCCCGTACAAGACAATGCCAGCCAACCACTTCATCCACCTTGGATCTCGGTCACAACTGTGCAGGTAGGTGTATGCTTGAGCTACAGTGACACCATAAACCCTAAATGCAATCGCTCAGATACGAGGGTACATCATAACAGCGCAACTCACAGGAAGGCGATCCCAAAACTGACGATATATCCGCCAGCTAGCTCAGGAATGGGGGGACCCGCCGGCATTGGAGGCGGTCCTGGAGGTGGAGAAGCAGACATCTCTTTTTCTCTGAAACCGAGGGGCTGGGCAAGTATGGCTGGAAGATCGTCTATATCGATGAAATACAGTTATATACCTCCGAACTGTCACGATCATCTGGCGCCATAGCTGTCCAATATCGAGCGCACAGTGATGTAGATAACCAAGTGCAGAGGAGAACAGTAACCGGTGATGATTTGATAGGACGGCTATTGCAATTGATCTGATGCAAGAACCTCCTTTGGAGAAGAACACTTCAGTGGGAATTCAAAGCCTTGTCCCCGAATGCCTCACATGCTGTCAGTGATGAGATAGGACACTCACATGCTTCTGGCATTCCCAGCCTAGACACCGGCTGAGAGCCTGTCTCCAATACACTGCCATGCGATGTGTCTGAAAGTCTTTGGAGACGACAGAAACTTCGAAGGCGACGGTGAGTATCAGGGCGATACATGAAGACTAAATATTGTTGAAATTTACTTTGATTCGCTGCCTAAAACATTAAAAAAGGAAGATCAGTGCCGACAACCGCTAACGTGCACCAACTTTCCACTATTACCAGCGGCACATCATCTAGGTACGGCGAATGAGATGAAACACAAAGACTTCGAGAGAGTTCGGAAGACTTGTCGGAATGCAAGAGTCGCGGGAAGAGTGACCTTAAATAGGTGACGACACTGAACAGCACCATTCAGCTGCATGCCAGATATCATGATGTAAAGCGCTTCGAATTTCCGCCTCAACTTCATGCATCTGCCACTATGTATTGAGGGTCATCCTGCCCATATACAGTTGAAGCGAATCTATACATACCCTTACCTGATAGATTTCCCACCCGTTACTAGAATCGTCGAGTCCGAGTCGGGCTATACTTCGGGATCCTATCTGCCCAAAATGTCATTTGCATGTGGTTGAATCAGAAAGCGGCTTTTCAAGGTCGAATAGGAATATCTCCGATACTCTTGTTGTGCACGGCAGACGGCTATGAGAGCATAATTCAATAAGCTGCTTCGATACTCAACCACCTGATGATGACTGCCTCTTATGAGCCGTGAATGACTTACCGCAAATTTCTACCCGGGAAGAGGTATCTGACTCGAGGAAAGTCGACTAATATTCGATAGCCAGAGTTTCAAGTGTCGATGCGAGACGTGCTGCATTGGATGTTGAAGTTTGCTTTTATATTCTGAAAGAGGAAGATGCTGGCCCCGTAAAACTTATAGACCCTGACCGAATTTGCTGGCAGACGTTGAAGCTCGTTGAAGAAAAACTACAAATTCGGCCGGGCATGATCGATTGATGCTTGACGAAGATCAGCCGGTTGTGTAGGCGAGGCGGCCCGCCGCCTCGACGGCACTTGTACGGTCACTGCATACTGCCAAGTACCCTCAATCCAAGATCATATCCTCATTAATGGTTCAGTGTCACCTTTGCGCACATCCGTTCGCCTCGTAACGGTATCACGCCTGTTATTTCAAGGTATGGCTTTTCCTGCTGTTGTAGTGAGCAGGGGTTCATTACGAGTCCAAGTTGCTGCAGTTGTCGTCAGTATTCACTACATTTGTAAGATGCTTAAAATAAAGCTGAGAACACGCTTTATAGGCATTGAGCCATGAGGATTGCAGCCCGTTTTCGGTTGAGACTCCCACCATATCTATGGTACTACATCAAACGACATGACGCACTCTACCAAGATTTGTTACCATTGTTCGAGTACGAGAAGTCTCTATTAGTATTCCTACGTTATGGTTGACTCTTTCCCTAGACTGCACTGTGAGCAGATACCAGAAGGAGTTTGCCAGTGGCCCAGACCGTTCGACACATGCGAATCCCAGACCACCTGGAATGTCTTCTCCAACAGCATGGGAGCATACAGAACACGCAGTTCTGCATGAATTCACACCCTGTGAGTTATCTGGGAGTATTTGGCCTCATATGTATCCTTCGGGATTGCACCTACTCACCCCTTTATCCGACTGCTGCTTTGATGATCAGGCGATAGCGTTGGGAACGTCTGTTCATTTGGTGTGTTATTCATTGCATTTCATTCTTTGAGGCTATTCAGTCTTCCCGCTTCGACGGTGATGTACTTCCGAACTAATAAATTGAATTAGCGACTAAACATAGGTCGTCCCCTTGAATACATGCTTATATTCTCGAATGGTCACCGTGTGGACGAAGGAATAAACACCCGGTAGCTCGGTGCTCATTCCCTTCCATGTCAAGAACGTCTCTTTTGAAACGCTCTCTTTGCAAACGGCGAGACTTAAACATGATGTTGCTTGACCGCAGCACAACAGAATGATGGAGAAGGTGTCATCTTTCCAGCAGGTTGCCTTTCTCTCATCTTCGAATCCCCGGTGATGTGACTCAAAATTCCGCCTGTCTGATGAGGTTCAAGTTTGATGGATTTATTTCGTTTCTGCCGATCCTGTATTTGTCCGTGCTCAAACTGAAATCAGGGTCTCGATGCAGCACGACACATGCGGTGCAAGATAGACAGATACTATAGCAAATAAAATTTAACAGGTGAGAATGACTTTGTCTATCAGTAGCTCAACAGGCCTGTTTCGAGGCGACGTGTCCAGAAGAGTGATGTTCGTCAAGAATGATAATGTTTCAATCGAGGTGATTATGGCGGTGGCGACGACAATGTATGTGGGTATACCCCTTTCGTTGACAGTCTGCTGAAATCGTCTCTAGCTAAAGAGGGCTAAGAACGGTCTTCAACAAGCCAACGTCATAATTAATTCTCCTCTTCGCCGAAACTGAGAACAGTACACAACTTCTGTTGTAAAACATGCTCAACATATTCTAGGCGCTTGTGTGTACCGCCATTGGCAGTAAAATCCATGTTCAAGAAGTCGTTCTGAGTGAACAATGCTCAGAACGCAGGATAACCCCAACGCCATAGTTGACTATTGGCTCTCCAAAAGCGAATGGAAGCAGAGGGAACTCAATAAATGCGGGGAAATTTGCAAGCTAATCATGCCCGCAGTATACTTCTTAACATTGGCATCCCTCGTTCGGCTTCGCAAAGAGGAATCCGTTAGAAAGCACCAGTGTCTTCACGATAAAACAACAATTGTTTCGGATTCGTCATAGACTACAGGTTTGTCAGGATTGGGATATCCTATCTAAATAGTCCATGTCAGCGTACTCTTCATGATGCATTCATAGGTGTGATTCTTCTTGAAGAGATCTCGGCCATTCTGTTGTTCAAACCCAAATCGTTCAAGTGAGATGCAAACAGAGAATAGTAGTCAAGATCGATCCACATTGTTTCATAAAGATTGCGCCGTTGTGCGTTGGTCACGGGCTGCTTGCCAACACGCAAAGGTTTGAGATACCCGACTACAATCTTTGTGAAGACATCTTCTACCCACTAGGCCGTTACGACGTTAGATGACATATAAGGCTGAATTACTTCGTGCATCCAAGTCATGAAGGCCAGCAGATGTCTGCAGAACTCGGGAGGAGAGAAGCTCCTCCGAGCTGATATCGAAGGTCGAACGAATGAACATGGCACGCAAGAAATTTCGCAATGACAGTGTCATACGAGAATCCCGACATGCCAATATTTATAGGGGGATCGACCTGCCCGCCGGTCACAATCAAGTAGACCACAGCCCGAAGGGGAATGCGACTACCATGCTGTTGACAAAGAAGCTCTTCGCGCTAAACGTGATATCCGATGTCCCTTATTCATACTCGATTCCAGACATGAGCTAGCACATGAAAATTTTCTCTTTATAGATATGACTGAGTAGTGTGAGAAACGGCAACCCAAACGTTTTTGGAGGGCGGCGTACCATATGACAGGGTGGATAGCGAAGGAATCATCATTGAAACCATTCTGCCCGAATTGCATCAAAGACGTTTTGCAAGGATGGAGCATGCAAATTCTTTGAATGCCAGTACGTTTCGCGTTGTGATAACGTTACGACAGGTTGTCGCAGGTTCTTGAATCGAAACCGCAATTTTGAAAGGCTCTCCCAATCTAACCCTCGCATGCGGTTTTCCATCTCTATCTCAGGAAGTTCCTGCTTTGTGTGACGTTCAAATGTGATATGAAGACTGTCCAAGTCTCGCGACGGTATGTTGGACAGGGTATAAAGAACGAGAGCCCATGGAAGGGACGTCTGACTATCGGGAAATTCGAGCATGAACGTGATCGAACGCACGTTCACGCATGCATCCAGACCCAGAGACTCCCATGGATGAGATATAATGTCTTCGACTAGGCATAATGAAACACTCAGCTCCATCAGACAATCTATCAAGTGAGAAACATACATTCGTGTGCCTTCATCCGAAGCAGACTCAGAGATAGTTCATGCAGTTTTGGCCCTATCTCTTCATGGAGCCAGTCTCCAAGAGGCGATCGATTAACGATAGGACTTCGAAGAGAATTGAATGCAAATCCGATAGAGCGAATGGATTCCGATACACGGGCGCGCTTGAAGAAAGTTGTCCATCGATCCATGTCGGCCACATGATACATTGCGAGTGTTTGCAGACGAAGAGGATACGGGGCCTCAATATCTGATATCGTAGACACCCGAGACATAGTCAACTTCTTCACATCAGAGAAATACCGAAGGACATCTATCGTGCTTAACTCCTTATCTCCCTCATAAATATGTTGCAATGGGAGCGATGTATATACGACACTAAGAGACAGTGTCTGCAAAGGTCGAATAGGCGGGAAAGGTGATGTGGTAACGCCCCATGGTTGAGTTCCGGATATTTGATTGTTCTGCCAATCTAGCATGAACAATCTCAGGCTATGGAGTGCCGGAAGCATATTGCAAATGGAAACAAGGAGATAGGGGCCGATTTGAGCAGTACCACGATGTATGGCACGAAGATCCTCTTCGCTCAAGCGTTCGTCGTCCGCCTTCAGTACCAGCTTGCGAATGAAGCCGCGCACCGACGGATGATCGTATAGGAAGTCTGCGAAGGGCTCGAAGCCTACATCCGCGATGGTGGTACAGTATGGAACGTGTAATTCGTAGAAGAGGTGAAATCGGCATGAAGTTAACCATGCTTTGCACACCAGTGAGCAGGCCTTGAGACTAGCTTTGTCGTCATGCAAGTGGTCGAGAATGAGATCGACGATTTCAGGAAAGAACTCTCTGGGGAATGGAGTTATATGGGATGTCGGTTGTGTAAAGGCATCTTGGTGTAGGTGGTCAGCAGCTTGTGAATAGGGATTGATCCATATGCCTGCTGCCTGGCGGATTCTTGTCCAGAATCCGACCATTGTGTATGAGTTCGTCCAAATAGAAGGACCAGAATCGAAGGAGCTTCGGGAGGTTACACGTTTATCTCTGAGTGACTACAGTAGAGAAGTTCGGTCGGTCACCAAAGCCCGGTTGCGACGGTTGCGAGGTTGCGTTGACAGGCGTTAAGCGTGACCTGTACATGTTATTAGATTCCATAACAGATGTCATAGGGAATATTAACATTACAGAAGTTCAGTCGAGAACGAAGGATACGGAGGCAAGCAGACTTTAACTGTTTGAGACCGGCGAGGGGCCTGATCAATAACCACAATAAATTAGGAAGCTTGCTAGAGGGCCTTGCCAAACAACACCATACAAGCGCAGCGCCTCAGAGTCCGCCTTCTACTGTAAGTTTTATCCTGATTCATTTCGAGATCGAGTCTAATGGAGTCTTTTGGAGGTAGGCTATGATACAACAGAACTCGAATATAAGCAAACTAGGAGCAGGTTCGGGGATCCACGATCGAATATATAGTGGTACAGAAGGGGAGACAGGGAGATAAGATATGGGACAATCAAAAGATATGCTCGCGGCAGAAGGAGGTAGGCATACAAGGGCTCAGGGGATAATACAAATGACACCTCCATCAGAAATGTCTTGGGGGAGGGGGGTGAAGGGAATAAAAGAAAAGGGGGATAGGATTGTCAACTCCAGGGAGCGGATCCGACCAACGTCTCTTCGATACACGGGATAAGAGAAGATAACGGCAAGAAGCAGTGAAAGAGGAGTTATCACGATTATGTCCTCGCCAGGCGCATCTTCTCCGAGTGCAATTTGAGTATTTCGCTAAGAGCCTTCGATGACGCGAGGAAACCATGAGGCATAGAGCAAGCCAGCGAGGATCCCTTCGTCGTCGGCGTGTCCAAAGCATTTTCTCCTTCCACCTCCAACATCAAGCTCAACCGGACGCTCCTCGACTCTTGATGACTTCTCGGCTCTCTTCAACTTCTTACTCTTGCCTCGGCTTTCAGAGCTCGGATACCATCTAGTCGCTCTGTTGACGATCTCTGGCGCTTGGCATCCCCATTGCCCATTGGGCTAGCCATCCTCCCGTCATCATCGCTGTCCTCCAGCTCCTCCGAGGATCGTTTCCGTAGTCTAGTGGGGGTGGGAGCCCTTGCAGGTGAGTATGTTCCATCTACTCTCGCTCGTTTCGGAGGCGACCCCTCCCGTTCCGTTCGATTGTTTGACTCGCAATCGGCTTCCGCGTACGCGTCTGTGTCGAGCTCTCGTGAAGGTCGTTTCCTAGGGGTTACCGGAAAATCCTTACTCTCTGTTGGAGACGTCTGAAGCTCATCTTCGCTTTCAGATATAAAGTCAATTATCGAGTCATCGTCTTCTTCCTCTTCTTCGGCAAGTGCAGGGCGCAGACGTTTACCGCCTATGCCATCGCGTCGAGCTTCAGCAGCTTTAGACAGTTCCCGTGCAGGAGTCTGCGCTCGGTAGGGTACTCTATATTGAGTTTGAGGAAGAGTCAGATTAAGATCGTCTCCGCAATCATCCGGATTTTCGAAGGAATCCTTCATCAGATGAGTTTCCGCTTCGTCAAGCTGAACTTCAACGGGTTTCTGCGGTGGTTGAGTTGGCTCCTGCGGTGCGGCAGGAGCTGTGGGAGCTGGTTTCGATACATCATTGGTGGCTTGAGAAGGTACGATGTTGCCATTGGCGATGTTAAGCTTCAACATCGTCCGTTCACAGATTGAACATCGACATTGGAAAAGAGGCGACATTGCCTCACGCCACACCTATCGAATTAACGTCAGATCTTCAGGAAGAGGACAAATCGTCAAGGAAATGAACATACCATCCAAACGGATTCATAGCTGTATTGCGGCAGATGACTGATTGTGATTGGTATATACGGAATGGGATGAATGAGTTGAGGTGATTTTAAGACAGGCGCAACAGGTATCGGGATGGCAGGCGCTGAAGCAGTGCCAGGTGAAGCTATACCACCCTCTTCTTCCTTCGAGCTAGAATCTGCACTAGGTGGCGGTGACGGAGTAGTCTGCAACGTGGTAGTAGACAAAACTGGACTTGTGGTGTGCGATCCATCTGATCGTGATGAGGATGAGCAGTCATCTTCTTCAGATGGTCTCCTTCTGGCAGCTCGGATGGTCTCATGTTCCTCTCTTGCGCGGTTGGCTCTACGTTCCAACCAGTCGATCCCATTGAACCACATTGCTTCGTCCCTCAACTCAGAGACAACTTCTTCCAAAGTCATCCTACCCGCCCTCATGGCCGGATCAACACCATCTGCAGTGGACTCAATGACGATCTTGCGAACAAGGTTGTTCATGGCAGGTAAGAGAACATCTCGCATAGCACGAGCGTATGCGCGGTATGCGTTCTCCGAAAGTGAGAAAGTGGGTGGCTGAGGTGCACTGATCGTCTTGGGTCTCGGGTGGGGTAGTTCTTCGCCTACCAGCTCGGTCTCGCCGTCCTCTAGCGCTCCACAAAATGTTGCACCTTTGTTCCAAGGACATGGATGTTCAGTTGGAACCCATGCTTTTCCTGGGAGGATGTAGTTGTAATAATGGTCGGCTGGGTTGATCCAATAGCCGTCAAGAATCCGGCTCCTCGCCCAGTCCATCATGGCCAGATCTTTCACACCACCTGAATCCTCGGTTAAGCTCAATAGCTCGATGTCATCCTCCTCGTCGCTCATATCATCATCACTCCCGTATCCCGTTTCCCCTGCTTCAGCGCGCGAAGCGTAGCGATTTGCAGCAAGTGCTTGCATGAGCATGTCGGCCAACTTCGTATTTCCCCTCATCCAGAACTTCTCGCGAGCAGTGTTTAGGATGTCACCAATCGTTCCTTCTCCCATTTCGATGAACGATTCCACTGCTTGTCTTGTCTCCCAATCCGGACTCTCGAATGAAGGTCCACCTAGGGCTTCGCGATCGCCCGGCTCGCGTCCGGCAACCCGCCAAAGTGTCTCTGTCCGACAGCTCCTACATGTCGCATCGATACCAGGCCAAGTCTCGTCGTCATCATTCTCCACACAACAAACATAGGAATATTCCGATTCCAGCTCAAGTGCAGGCGCTTCTCGAAGACATAGCCCACAGAATGACGCCTTGCGATGCTCGCGACAAACAGGAATGGTACCTAGCCAAGCAGTGTGGGCGAGACGCTTCGCAGCTGCAAGTCCGGTATTGTGGAAGGGGTAATTAATCCTGCAGACAATGCAGGTATATCGATAGAGATTGCGGAAATGTTTGTGGTGAGAGATTCGCATTACGGACGCCGTGGCGTTTGAACCAGCAGTCGTAGGCGCTGTGGTTTGGATGAATCGATGCTGAGCGAACATATCATTGGGGTCTATGGCTGCGCAAGCATGTTGCCAGAACGCATGACTTTCAACTGAAACGAGAAGCATCAGCAACCATAGGTAGTATATGGAAGCGGGGACAGAACGGAAGGGAAGACAGATTGAAGTACATAATAATAGGAACTTTTCGATGGTATAGATGAAGAATGCTTCGTGAAAACAACATAACGGTCGCGGTTATCACAGGACTGTGGTGTTCTTCCTAAAGTGTTACGCTGGGCCGAGGCCGAGCATAACACTTGGAACGACGCCCAGCCATGCTTAGAACGAGTGGGCCACCCAAGCACTGCCTCCCGATATTATGCGCCAATCCAATATCGCACCAATCGTTCTACCTCGATCAATAAATGACGTAGGGAATGAAACGAAACGGTCACGTCGAGGATAACATAGATGCAAACTCAAAGAAAAGGTGAAAGAAGGAAGCATACAAGAACAAAGACGTCTTTTCGCGGAACAGAGCGCGACACTCACGGGCACTCCCCCAACTTGGGCATATGGACATAAGTTTCTCCACTTCGGGTGCGTCGCGCATGACTGTGTACACAATGCGACGAGGCCACATCTCGCGGGCCTCCCATGTTGTTGGTACATAGGCAAATGTTCTGAAATCGAGCAAGTAGTGTGTCGCGATTAGTCTATGTAAACGCGGTGGGTCAATGAACTCTTGTGGCGCAGTAGCAAAATCGCGCGAACCTGATAACCTCTGCTGGTAATTGACTCCACGAGCGTAGAACTTTGCCTTTGTAACCTATGGAGGAGGTTGTAGACGATATTTCCATTGAAGACATGGTTGTGGTCGCTGTGCTCGACGGCGACAAGGCAAGTCGATTGCCCACTGGTGCGGTCGATGTCACAGCGTGGTGGACGGTGACAAAACGATACGCGCGCTGTCACAGCATTGTCCCCTATCCCAGGATCCTGCCTCCATTAACATTCCCACGCACGGGCCCGTTCATTGTTCTTCGGTCTTTTCCGCCCGTTCATCCATTTTCGTCGTTCGTTTATGGCCTTGTATGTTCGCTGTCTCTACTGTATTTGTTTTCTGTCATTTCTGCCGCTTCAAGATGCAAAGCATGAAAGGTTTTGCATAGGTACGGCGCTGCAGGCTGTCAGCTGAACGCCGTGAGCGATTCGCTCTCGATGCCCAGGCACTCCAAAGAACGCTTCTGCGTACTTCGAAACTTCTCCTGTGGGCACGCCCAGGGCAAATCAGCCAATACGTGTATCTTGGGGTCGCCTCGTGCCGAGCTCGTTCCTAGGGTCCAGTCTACGTATGGTCAAACTCTGCGTATCTCTTGGGGAACACAGGTATGTGGGCTTCCTATGTCGACCAACAGTTCGTATTATGCATATCGCCGAACGACGATCGTTCTGCTCTGTGCATGTGCTATATGTCATTATCTGTTCCAGAACCAAAGCAACGTATACGTGAATACGTAGATGCATCACGCTGAGAATCTTTTCATTTACCTGCTCCAACCGGCCATTGCGGAGGAAAGGATGAAACTCGCCCCTGTCTTTCTCACACAACCCCTGGAATGGTCAACTATGTACGATCATGTATTGATTATGGACGTACGTACCCACCAACGGAATAACCCCTGTATTCCCCGAATTCAAAATGGCCAAAATCGATTCGGGATGATCATAACTCATTGCTTCCGCGCGGTTCATGCAGTTGAGTCTATATGCAAATGAACTGATCATCCAATGCTATCACAGGAGATTGGAGTAAAGCCCGCTGTCGCGTACTATTCTTTAACCATATGTATAGCGGAGACGGTCGATTCAAACCCTCTTCAACTCTCTCATTTCTCCGCGGAAATGGATTTCATTTCAATTTTTGGCTTCCTTCGGGACAAACTTGCTCTATGTGCTATATTCGTGTGGATATTCCCATAATGCCTCATTTTGCAATTATGAGACCTCACGAGCCTAGTATTTGTATCAGCGCATTCCAAACCGCTTGCCGAGTCCTCACCGTTCAAAGTTGTAGTCGATGGATACATTGTGTGGTGAGGACGCGGACTCGGTTTCCTGTGTTCTTTTAGAGACACCGGCAGCAAATGCACCATATACATGATGTGACTTGAGTCAGATCGAGAGAATGACACCACTGACTGTCAATCACTCCCTAATCATGTGTCTTCAATTGCGAGCCATGTTAACTACTATATAGTTCCTTCTGTCCTCCATCCGTCTGACCTCCCCTTAAAGTTCAATCGAGTTCCATTGCGATGGATAGGATGCGAGCAGGAGCAGCTGGGTATGATCTTGACCTTGCAATCGAGGTTTTAGACAACCTTCCCGATCTGGAATCCAATAATGACTTCCAATTTGAGTCTCGATGTTGTCGCTGTACGTGTCCTTCCACCAGCCGATTACGAGCTAGCGACAACTTACGAACGCCGGCAACTATTATATTACCTGGAAGTGTACTGAGTTGGCGTGATCTTTACTTTCTTGTGTTCTCGAGTCTTGAGATCTTGAGATCTTGAGTCCACACGGCGCGCTCTTTTCTCGCTCAGTCTCTCTTTTCGGCGAAGGCAAGTACTGTGGTTCTTCCCATTCATTCTACCTCTCCTTCATCACAAACGTCTGGCCACTAGAACACATCGCGTTGACTTGGGGAAACACAACTTTCTCTCTGTCACTGGTGCATCGTCACCCGTAGCCATCTCTAGTCGTTCTCACTTCGAGAGTGCGTACCACTTCTGTACCAATCGTAGGCAACACTCACAGGTTCTACTGCCAGAATGACTGATGCTGTATTGTCGAAGCCTCGCCTGGCCCCAGAAATTACGGATATCATACTCGATCACCTGCACGCCGACAAACCCACACTCTCGGCCTGCTCAATTGTTTGTCAAGGATGGCTCAATACAGCTCGTTTTCATCTCTTTCGAGAGATTACAATCTATCGGTTCTTCAAAAACGAGGGAGAGGGATTCAATGCATTCGTCACATTTCTGCGCAACACGCCAAGCGTACGCAGCTACATATGCAGCTTGACCTTGACGAACATGAGTCCTGCGCAGGACGTATCTCTCAGCCGGGATAAATTCGACTACTTTGCCATCATTTATCGAGGCCTTCTACTCGCTATCTTCGAGAACATCCCGCGGCTTCATACTCTCATCCTTATCAAAACCTTTTGGGTGCATGATGACAGTCTTCCGTCTTCGTATTCACCACCCATGCATCCGTTGTGCAACAACCTAACTTGTATACCACCGCTTAGAAAACTTATGATCTCGTCAAGCTACGACAATACCGATGTCACCATGCTGACGTATTTTACCAGTCTTCAGGAACTCCATCTCAATGAAGTCAGCACCATTGGCGATCACGAACGCAACACTGCTACATACCCGTCGCTCAATGTCGGGACCTTTCGTGCAATCAATTATAATCACGGGCTCAGCAAATGGATATCCGTAGTCATGTTGCCTGGAGTGTGTCCTTCTTTGCGGTCCTTGACCCTCCCACTTTCTGAGATCCCGCTTGGACCTCGTTTCCGTCATCATATGACATACTTCGAAGGAGGATCTGGGAAAGCGCGTTTCAATTGGCTTCATGATAAGGTGGCCCCTCATCTACACGATCTGGAGCTACTCATGGAGAGCTCAAGTGAGTGAAGTTTTATTTTTATGTGTGCTATTGCACCCTATGTGATCATCGCTCTCAATTTGTCATTTATAGCACTGCAGATAGTTGGAAGCGCACTCGAGTCCTCAGGAGACTTTGTGTTTGGCACATGTGTGAACCTTAGTTCTCTCACTTTCTCAAAGCTATTGCTCTCCCCACCCCGCTGGGGTTATTACAGAGGCGACACTTGGGCATTCATACTTCACTGCCTTCAGAACATACCCTTAGCCAACCTCAAGATGATCACGGTCAATTTCGATGTGGGTCGTGGCAGCTCAGTACTTGAGCGGTTGCGGATGTTGGACTGGGTTACGTTCAGACGGGTCTGGGAAGAACACGAGTTGAAAGGACGAATCAAGTTCAATGTGACTCCTACGATCGACGCAAAGGAGAAGGCAGACGTTTTGGACCGCATGCGCTGGTTCTTGGACCGACAGTTGCTCTAATGATCAAACTGTGACGATATGTTCACAGAGCGAAGTCTTTACAGAACGAGATAGTAGCAAAAGGACAATCGCGTGTTTCGGTTCCTGTATGAGCAAGGAGGCATTTGCGAGAAGAGCCTCGTTGTTTCCATGACGTTCAACATTGCTGCGAACACTTATCAAACGATCCCCATATACCCTGAGAGAACTCCCTAGGTGTTAAAAAAGAACAGCGACCATGAGTCAGTTCACTTATTGTCTTTGACATTCTATGAATGTAAGTTTTCCGCTTTCTGTCGGACGTGCACAGCTGACCAAAGCTCCCTTTCAGAATGATGCTTGACTTCGCTCTCCTCACACCTTGATTAATCTTCCGAAGTAATAACGAACGTGGTGATTGACTATAGTATATTTGCTCTGACAAATCCCCTCTTGCAAGATGCACGATCATATGTCCCGGACAGCATTATTCCAGCTACATTCAGAACGATAGGCCCCTCCAAAAAAATCACTCATCGTAACCGAGGTCTAATTTACACAGCTTAGCAGGTGCCGAGCTCAGGCGAAGCTTGTGACCATTTTGTGACCGGAGACCAGTCGGGCCTTTCCTGGACATTTCTAGTCACAGTCGCGCCACGACAACGATGACCGATCCATTTGGGCCATAGAGTAATTGCATGCAGCAGTAGTACAGTACTGTAGTTTGTCAGATAATGGCAAGAGTCAGGCTACCTACGTTCACCTCAAGTGTGTCAAGAAGACACAGACGGCCGCTACAGATTGGAGGCCTTTCAACCTCTCCCGTTTCGAGGTGGTTCTTCGCCAAGCACCTTATTGCATGCACACTTATGCCGGTATATATACTGACCATCTTGTACTTGAGACTATGCTCAAGGACCATGCTGCGAGCGATCTCCTTGTATTGCTTCGGTATGTGTTGCCTCATCCTCAGGCAAGTACCAGGGAGCACCATGAAAAGGTACAGATGGGAGTTACTCAGGTGCTACTACTACGGAAGCGTTGTACAAGACGGCAGTGTCTAGACAGTGGCCGCGAGGCTTGCATGGAAGAAATACGGCGTGACGGGGAGTGACAGAATGCCAGAGCGTCAGGCGGGTCTGCCGTCGAACCGGCATTGCTTCGCGTAGCGCAAGCGACTGAATGATTTTTTTGGAGGGGCCTATCGTTCTGAATGTAGCTGTCAGCTCACTGTCAATTTTAGGCGTATTACAATATGCGACCCCGGCATTGACAAAGGATTTAAGCTCTTTGCAGCCTTCCTGCATGGCGCCGCGAGCTCGGGAGCCGGAAGGTATATGCACTAGTACATCCGCATTTGATACTGAAAGCCAGAGCTACAAGTGCATTCGATTTCTCGGGACAATATATTGTGCAAGTGTCCGAGTCAATGTTGGCTCGCATGGAAGTATCTTGCCCTCTATTGTCGATGATCTTCTCCAACCCGATACGCTCATTCTCGGCAATACAGATGGCTTCATATCCTTGAGGCTCGGGACCTCTGCATTTCCAATGGTTGAAATTACACTCCGGCTCCGAGCCAAAGCGCAGTCTACCATCTCCTTGGGCACGAAAACTTCCGTGCCGAAGGTGTAAACACCAGGATTGAGATTCTGCGGAGACCGCTTTGAAGCCGCTGACCCTAAAACTCTCGAAATTATTGATAGGGAAGACATGCGTGCAATGCGGCCAGGTAGATGTTGGAGAAGTGCGCATGTAATGGCTTCATAAAGCAGGTGGGGCCTCAGTTGCGTGATCGCGTTAGTTAACAATTGTAAGATCTATTACCTAGATCTTATTGTAACGCATCTGTATTTGTACCAACTTCCGTTCTCTCACCTTTTCTGGGCTCGTGTTAAACGCATATGCTGTTCCAACTTCATTTGAAACTGCCCTTCATTTCATATGTTCTAAGGAACGTGTGCCTTGTCCACACGGAGAATATCACTATCAGTCTATCAGCACGCCAACGGGGGTGTTGCCTGTTGGAGACCACAGGTTGCAGGCGGTTCAGACAGATTTGTGGACAATTGAGATCGGAACAGAGGCCCGTGTTTAACCTATCTGCCATAAACGATGAGGTTGTGGCATGCATCAGGCAGTTCATACAATACCAGTTAAATGAAGTTCGGCACGGTGAATGATCGACTCAAGCAGACACAGAAGTCACATTAAACTAGTGATTAGTACGTATGGGGAAGGACAGGGAGACAATAATCCAAGCGTATTCTATGGAACTATGGACACAATGGTGCAATCAGCTGCGAACTAAAGAGAAGTGATGTAGGTAATGAGGCAAGACAATAAGCTAGTTATAAACAAGGAACGTGTGATAGTGTGTGGTGTACGTCGGACCCGGACGAAGAAGAACGAATTATAAATGCCGGAAGCCGGAAATCAGGAACGAAGACGAAGGACGCTGGGGCTACAGGATGTCAAATAGATAGGGATCAAGGTGAAAGGTGAAGCAAAAAGAAGCGCGTCGGCATCTTTTACTGATGGAAGTATCTGTAATAGCCGGGCAAAGCGTGTGCAGCAGAGAGCCATACCTGTCGTCATTATCAGTATAGGAGCGAGCTAGTCTGCGGAACGAAAGTACTCACATTGTAACATTTGAACGACGTTTGGTCCTGGGCGATACTGGTCAAAGCAATGTATCGATAACCGACGTATAATGCCAAAGCAACGAAAGCAGAAGCAATTCCGAAGTCCAACTCCCATATTTGCCAGAGAGTGAAGGACCAAAATGATAGAGTAGCGATGACAGTGAAACGCGCCCAGTTTGGATGAACGATGGGGAGGGTACGACGGCCAATAAGTTTATCACCGGGGACATCCTCGAAGTCTTGTGCATGAATAGTCGTTGCGAAGATGCTGGCGCTGAGGAAGATGGCCAGGATAGCAGTGCTGTCAAGATAGGTACGATCGGAAGCTAAAAAGCAAATCAATTCGCTAGCCCAAAAATGCTCAATAGACTATATGCACATACAAGCTACAAGCGTTGCACCCATCTCGAAAGAGGCAAAGCCGAGCCCATTGACGATGTTTCGAATGACGTAGTGCGCAGCGTGAGCGCCAACCTCGTCGTAGACAATAGTCAGAGCGACGAGAGCCATGCTGGCGTAGAGCGCCTGGACGCTGTACCAGTATGAGTACGCCCAGACAACTGGTACCAGGGCCCAGCGAAGAATAATAGCATTTCGAAGAGTGATAAGACCGGCAGGGATAGGTCGATCGCATTTGTTACGGGCATCCTCTTCTGGATCCATAGTTTGGTTGGAGGCGACAAACTGGAGAAGGTGAAGCCAGACCCAGAAGGCGGTTTCAGGAATGTACGAAAATTTCAGGTGTGGAGCTGCTGCGATGGCAAAACAGGTCTGGAGAACATTGAATGATGAGAACAATTGGATGGAATAGGAAAAATTACTTACGACTGGAATTAGAGTAGTTTTAAAGTCCGATTTGGTGAAACAATAGAGTGTGTACAAGCAGTCGATCGGGAGCGAAGTTACTTGATGCACAGAGGATACTGGAGGGTGAAAGCATTAGGCATATACTGACAGTGAGAGTGAGGAAGTCGACCTACCCAAAGGAGCCATACGGTGAAGCATAGAAGATTTTGAAAGAGACATGTTGAAGAAAGAGAGAAAGAAAAACAAAAGAGAGAAGGACGAATGGGGAGGGCGTTGAGGAAGACCAAACTTCCTCAGTGCTTTTTATATGAACCACGAGACTGCCACGAGCGCGATTCCGTCGTCACCACGAGGACGGCGGGCGGAAAGCGCGAAACCGCCCTGACAAGGTAAGATCGGTATGAGCGTAAGAGGGGTTGCTAGCTTCAGAATATCGCGTACACTGGATAGACTGAAAGCGGATCTCGCCTGGACTGCTAAGCCCGTTGACATATTTGGCATATGGCTCCGGGGTCTACCCTGGGACATAAAACAATAGATACATCGCGCAGTACGGACCGACGTTCGCATCATGATTGGTTGGGACGTTGACAATTGCTGTCTGAAACTTCTTGTAACGTTTCATTGCCAAATCTATACGGCATATCCCTCGGACCCGCTGCTCAACGGTGGAAATGCTGAGTCATCTGGATATAACGGGAGGACTACATGAGTGGCGCGCCGTGAAGGAGATTCGCGGGAAGCCTCGAGTCCACCGGCTAATATCCAACGCAAGCTGACGTGCGCGTACTCTCCACCCGTGTCTCGAAACGAAATGAGCAGCGGGAGCTAGCATAACAATTATGCGGCGGGCAATTCCTGAAACATTATGTCACGTCAAAGAAACCAGATGGAAATGACGTTCGTGTCACTCACCTGCTTTACCCTCTGTCAGTGTCAAGCTCTCTGCCAGCATTCTGCATCGATGTCACATTGAACAGCACATCTTGCGATCGGGGTATTCTTAACTCGGAGAACAGCCAGCATGAGCGGGGAGCTCAGAATGAGATTACCACAGCCGAGATATCTAGCACAGCGGGGGGATGGGCGACGAAAGCGATTCGTTTTGTAGAAACGTGTCAGAGGTCCGAGGCTCAATATTCAATGCCATAGATTTGAACAAGATAGACTCTGCAAAGCAGTGATCCAGGTAACAGCGCCGAAAGTTTTGCAACCGGCCCGTCGACTGCCAACCCAACCGCTGGCAAGCGTTTACTGTCAGTAAGACTTCTTTCTTGTGCTTGAACCTGCCCTGGGTTAGCAGGTCTTCCTCTTCCAAGTTAACACTTCAAGACGTTATTTCTAGAAGGACACGGTTTCTCAATAATTTCTTCCTGTTTTCTTTGTTCATGCGGTTGTTGTCATTCTCCCATGTTGAGATCTTGTTCGCTAGTACCACAGCCAGGGCTAGTTCGTTCAGAAATATCCCTAGTATCAATGCTCATTACGCCATTTCATATTTTGCATAGTATAGCAGCAGCTTGGCGGCGTTGAGAATAATGAGATGTGTCTCCACGGAGACACTATGCCTGAAAGCCCACCTGAGACTTGAGTCCCCCGTCTCTTTATGTCTGCTATTTCAACATCGTTCTCAAGAAAGCTTAGCATCGTCCAGGAGAGAACGGCCTCTCTTTCACTTGAGTCGATAACTATTGTTGCCCGTGATCGCAGACTGCCGAGGCCTACAAATAACGTTCTTGGTCTAGTATGACAGAGTTCAACGGATGATACGTTATTCACCTGTCGTACAACGTCACCGCCGACTAGAACCTACGTCCATTTCCAGCCTCTGGCTCCCGCCAGCGATATTTCACTGACCGGAAGAAAACAACTTCATTGAAGGTCCGAGGACGTGAGCATGCAAGCTCAGCGCTCCTCATCATTTCCAATCGATTCATTATTTGACTGTGCACATGTGAGTACAACTCTGTTCGTACAACACATTTGTGACATTCACTTGCCTGGCATTTTGCCGAGATATGTTGGTTCCTGACTGCATTTATCCACAGCTTTATGGATCTGTTTCGTTTGATAGAAATGTTGGAACGGAACGGGTTTATGTTGAAGTTGCTCAAAACTCCCACAATCACCTGACCTGTTTTGCATACTGCATCCGATGCACTGGCAGTACCTTGACAGCAGCAAGGTCAGTGCATCGGGGTTTTTTATAGTTTCGCTTCACGTTTCTCAATACACTCCAAGCTCGAACTCAGGTCAACCAGTCTCCGATATTGAGCGATGGACGTCTCAGTCTTAAGCCCTGTAAGACTGTACCTTGGTCTGTGCAACCCATCGGTGCCCTGTCCAGGATACATCTGATAGTATTCGTTTCACTCCACATGGTATCATGTTCCAGGTCTTCCGCACATCGTGAAGTGATCAGAAAAAGTATTGGCCAAATTACAGGCTATGATAAGTTGAGATCCAATGTAAGGGATACCCACCGGAGATGCGGTGGATGAACAAAGGCTCCGTGAATGTCTCTGCGGCTTGGAGCATGATGAATGAAAGAGTATATGAAATGGAGCGAAAACATCGAACCTTCTGTATAATCATTTGATACGAGATAAATGGAGGTATGGGTATGTGGCATTCAAAGATTCGAGTCTGGTCAGGGTGTGCGGTGTACACTACCGAAGTAGACGAATGCTACTCGTGATATGTTATGACCTGAAACAACACCAAAAAGCATTTTCAGGCATATAGTACTTCCTGTAGCATGGAAAGTGTACTACTTTACCTGATACATGAGGAACAACACGGAAGAGCATGTGCTTGAAGTTGGAGCGTAGGCACGACCGCGGTCTTCCATGGTGCAGCTCACCGAATAACGATCCTAACATCTGTTCGCCACCCAGAATAGGTCGCTGATGAGCATCACCGAAGTGCAGTGAGACCAACGACCAAAGACGACCTTTGTTCGGTAGTGCTTAAGCTCCCTGGTAATTTCACCCGCTTGTAAGTATACCCAAATGTCTTCGAATCTTAGAAAGGGTTCACATACCCGCCAGATCGTGTATGAACGAGAGCGCGAATCAATGCCACAACGGATCAATGCGATCCTATGTCCAGCGCACCTATGAAACAGAGTTGAAGACTTAGCACAGTGAAGCGGACAAGTACCCTCGTATGGGATTACCTACGGGCTCCTGGATCTAAGAGCCTGCAGGATCTGGGCAGCGCGGGGGAACTAATGAGTATCAACAGACTCACGACGAAGACGGCATCTGACCTGCGCCTTCAGGTAGGATGTCCTAATCCTCAGGCGTTCAATAAACGCGATAGAACGTTACGCGGGCACGGGGCACTTTAAAAGGATCCTAGAGAAGTGGTGGCAGTAAAACTATTCGATGAGTACGATAATAATTGAGGCCGATGGTAGAAGTTTAGAAATATGACTCGAGTTCCTTTTTTTTTTTTTTGAGATTCGAGATGTGCCGAGCGTTTCGAATAAATTCGGCGACGATAAGCTAGCAAACAATCATCAGCGCGCCGAATCTGTATATGGAGGCTCCTTAACGCTCACGTCTTTGGAAGCAAACGGCGAATTCACAAAGGCTCTTGTCATCCATATCTCGATACTTGCAGGCAATTCGATATTCGATTAATGGAGTGATGGTTAAAGACGACGATTTGAGCTGTATTGTGACCTCTTCGCCTACACCTGCCGTGCTTGAAAAAAAGTGACGATAGAATTCCGAAATGGTGGAACGTTAATAATCGGATTTTCAATTCCCAAGCTGATATGAATCATCCGGTTGTTCTGCGCAGTCTAAGGTTTGCATTATGTTAGGATATATGAAGAACTCACGATGACATAAAGGCGAACAATCGATAGTAGGCCGCGAGACGATATTGTGAGGATCATGGGTTGCCACTCTGAAACGCGAGATCAGCAAATACATCACATATACCATGACAGATTTACCGACCCTTCTTCATCAATATCTACGGCCCAAGTGCGGTGGAGATGAACTCATGAGGAGATGAACAAAGAGTGGACATAACGTACCTGTCGTCCAAGTGACCATTTGGAAATTTGTTCACTGAAGTCAAACCTTGGTTTGCTTTACTGAACAAGTTAGCTATAAATATAAAACGTTCAGTCAGAATCGTGCACTTAATCGGAGAACGAAAGACAGTCCACAGAACCCACAAACTGCGGAATCAACGGTCATACAATATGACTAATAGCATGTGCACATACTGCGATGTATCAGGAATCCCGCAGGGAGACAGGCCCCAATATGTCTTGATAAAAGAATGAGGAACTGGATAGTACAAAAGATGAGCAGTGTCAACCAGGGCAGAAGGCGCGGCTCACATCTACCTTTCGACACACTGTTTTGTTCCGCACAGTACTGAAGCCTCATGGCCTTCGGTCAGACGAGATGGGGTGGTGGTGCGCAAGTACGCGTGCTTGAAAGTGCATCGTAGACAACATATCTCAGTAGTGTATGTAGAGGACAGTTGAAAACTGTGCACCAGAGTTCGCCCCGCCACGCTTGTATCGGTGTAGATGATCAATGATAACAAGAAGACCGATTAGCGCGAGAAAGGACAGCACTCCGTTGCCACCCCCGGGAGACGATGAAAGGGCTCGGAGTAAATGTGGTTAAAATACTGATAAATTCTCTGAAGCTGGCAATCATCCAGGCAAAGAGACCGACCAATGCTCGCTTCAGATCTATACAAGGAGAGACAAAGCGCGAGCGCGGCAGGGATTATACCTGCAAAACACGACGATTCAATAAGACGCGTAAGGAGACAGGACATAAAGCGCAAGGCGGAATCATACCTGTGGGTCCACCCAAATCCACTCAAAGCGTACGATACTTGCTTCAGACTTGCAAGATTGTAATTTCTTACATCATCGCCAACCTACGACAGGCGGAAATAGGATCGTTTCCAGTTCTTTAGTGGTCAAATGACATACACATGAGTGGTAAATATAACAGCAGTATGAGGAACCGTCCTGCTTGACACGAAACTGAGAGGATAGCGACGTTATCAGTGTTGAGAAGCCAGAAGGCCTCATGCCTATAATACAAATGATACTAGCATGATTCGTTGACGTGGAGGCTAACATCTAAGCTGTAATATTAGGCAGGTAAGAGCAAGGTTGCATGCATAGTATCCATAGAGATGAAGGTGGTAGAGGTGTGATCGCCGAAGCCTCCACTCTCTCTGATTGGCTGTACACGTTATCTGTATCCAGATCCGGGTTTCGGCACACATTAGCCCGCAGAATTGCGTCCAACGCTCGAGTTCGAAGTTGCAAGAGACTTCTCTCGTCTACGTCAGTCCTATATATTCATAGACTCCGAAGACATATATACCGTCTCTATTCTGGACCCGACTCGCAACCACTTCAATCAACTTCATGATTCTCGTCAGTATCATGTTAATATATAATATACGCAGGTGAAAGCAATGCAATATCTGCCAAACATATTGCTCCAGGGACCTGCCCTTCATTCAAACCCTTCCGGTCTAACCTCCTCGAAGCTGCGCGGCAATGGGATTCCATCGTCAAGCCGATATCATGAACAAAATCTCCATGTAATCATCAAGGCAACCGGCGGCCGTCGGTCAACGTAGGCTGAATCCGATTCATAGTAGGACGTCTTCAAGTTGTTGCCTTTAACTCGCATCTTCGCTCAAACCTCTCTCTGAGCCGCTGCCCTCATCGTCTCTCTCGGTGAGGGTTGATTATGAGTCTCGGTCTTGGGCTTGTTGGCCTTGTTACCACCATCTTTCGCTTTGCGCTGGTTTTCAAGATGTGTAGCTTCCGCATGTTGACCGTGACGTGCTTCATCCTGCTCGAAGTCGTCATTATAGTCATCTTCGTCGTCGTCGCGATTACGACCGGATTCTACATAATATATGGATGTGGAACATAAAAGCGGTTAATCGTCGTACAGGCACAGAGGAAGTGTGCACGAAGGACGCACTGAGGAGACACCAGTTTGCGAGATTGTTGGAACAACAGATACCTAAAATATGCATGTTTAGGATAAAGGATAGTTAGGATGGGTATGAGTATCAGGAGGTGGTTCTTACTTACAGCATACTGAACATATAGCAGCACAGATTTCTCCGCCTTTGGGCATCTTGTCGACGTCAAGTCTTCAAATAATGCTCCGAATTGCGATTGAGAGACGTGGAGAGAGAAACGAGAGGGTATATATACGTGTCAATGTTCAAAATTCATCAGTTTATATGAACAGTTTCAACACAGCCTTGATCGACTTCTTTCATTATTCTCTGATCAAACACTTTAGTATTATTGCGAGGCGAACTCTGCCACGACTTGGTGACGAACGGACATATAGTTCCGAAAAGCTTTCATTTCAACAACCTTCGGTCGCACGATGTACATGACGATGGGAAAATGTGAACATGGCAGGGAAGCAAAACGCCGTCATCGTGTAATGAACGCTGTTTGAGATTGAATAGAGCTTCGACGAGGACCAAGGTAGTTTAAGAAGACTACAGTCAGCCAAAAGGAGAACAGGTCTTCGCCTGGTCGGTAGTTACACGCACCTGACTCCGGCAGACTAATAGGTGCATCTAGAAAACAAGGACGAAGGTGTGCATTGTAGACAGATGTAACTAAAACAAGGGACTTACGATTACAGGTACCGAATAGAACCAGGAACGTAGGAAGCCTGAAGTCGTCGGATACAAGACCAGTTGTCGTAGTAGGTAAGAAGGTTTAAGCAGAGGCGTACGAGATCTTCCCATAGGAAAATGATACTAGTCCACCTGTTCTTTGGACGCATGCAGCATTGTCCAGATGGACGTGAGGGATTGTCGGACACTTCTTCTGATTGCGATATCCCTGTAAATAGGGCAGCGCATTCGAGAGAGAGACCTGCTTTGGGAATTCGAATCAATCAAAGTGTTCAACTTTGAGGGCGGCCAGATCGTTGGAGTGGAAATTGAAGATGACAGTCATTATCGGCCCTGCAGACGGCAAGAAAGGCACCAGAAGAAGCGATATCCTCTCTGTGAGAGTACGTATCAACATGGCGGAATTCAAAGTGAGAGAGCTCAGTTGTCGAATTTGAATTGCTGGTGTAGGTGCTCGGCAAGGTCACCGGGAGTCAGCCTGAAAGGGTCCCCAGAGCAGAGTGGCGGTAGGAGGTTACAGAAGACAGGACTAAGAATGGACGGTTAGTGACAGGAGGTGGAATGAGAATTACAACGATAGGCCGCCTTCTGTAGATATCCAGCATACGAGCTTCAATCTCCCAAGGCTGTTCGCATCTGGCTAAGCCGATTGGGAACGGATTCTGGAGGTTTCGTGGTGCGGGAGTGCTTGCGCCGTCTCAGCTGTCTTGATCCTGAGTGAGTACCACTTTCAACGGAGAGCGTACTTCTAAAACCTCTATGCTGGAGCTTTCGTTCATATAGTTCTGCAAATAGCTGCCATCAAATTAGCCAAGTTCGAGGTTGGTGAAAATGTTGGAGTGAGAGAGTAAAGATCATATTGGACATCGACCTCAAGTTGCTTGAAAACCGCAAGCGAGGGAAACTTGTGATGGGAGGACATCAAGAGAAGATATGGTGGAAGCTTTTCTTCGGAGTGAGAGCGCCTCCTAGAGGGGCGGAATGCAACATGAAAGAGGTCGTCTGTGAATGAGAGTCAAACTTACTCTCCTCAGCAAGGTATGAAATGAAATATTAAATACCGATGAACTTCCTGAAATGGGCTCCAAGGCAAAGTGGCAGTAGAAGACTACAGAAGAGAGCTCGAGAGAGCTAAGGATGGAGGGTGAAATGAGAGGGGAAAAGATATGGAGAAGCCCAGCGCAAAGCAAATGATAACGATCGATGGGAAAGATATGATGCGCAATTGCCCAAGCAACCTGGAGAGAACTTGGGCACCAACGAGCCAGATCTAGAGAGGCTCACTGCACGCGGCGAAAAGGAAAAGGACAAGCACCAAGAACATCGAGAGTCAAGAAAGAACGATTCCCATTGGCTCCCCAGGCCTTCGCATTGATCCAGCCCTCGGCACTGCGCGTCAGGCGCCGCATTAAAGCCCAAAATGGAGCGCCGGAGAGTGGGGAAAAGTAGCCGTGGAGGAAGCGCGAGGGTGGCAGGAGTGAGGATGACTGTTGGTTGAGAGTCGGATTTGGACTTGAACTTGCTGCACCGGTACCCAAGCTGCACCTCTTCTCCTGACCGCCATCTCGGGGCTTGGCATATACCCTCTCTCCAACACCCACCCTACTCCTCCCGCTCCTTCCCCCCCAGTGCCTCTACGCCACACCTATCTCTGACCGCCATGTCCCAACACGACCCAAGTTCTCCCACTGCCTCCCAGCACCAGTTCAATCCCTACTCCAACACAAACTCCTACGCCGACTCAACTTCTACTCCACTGCCAGAGGGACAGACAACTCCCTTCCTCTCTCCTCCCGATCTACCTTTCCTAAACAACGACCCTCAATCTCTCGCTTCAACCCCTCGAGGAAGCGCCGCTTATGCCGACAGCTTTGGTCAAAACGCAAGCAACGCCAACCTCAATGCCGGTTCTGCTATTGGGAATGACAATGACACTCCCTTGATGGGTGGAAAGGAATACGTCGATGATTCCAGTCAGGGTTTGGGCATCATCGCTAGAGATCCTACCAAGAACAAACCCTTGTATAAACGGCCTGTCTTTTGGCTTGCTTCTTCTGCTGCACTGGTGGCTATCATCTTGGCCGTCATCTTACCCGTCTACTTTGTCGTCATCAAACCGAACCAAAATCTCACTGCTTCTGGTGGTTCGTCCAGCGGTGACTCTACTGGTGGTGGTGCCAATGGCGGGGGTACTGGTGGGGGAGGGGGTGGGGCAGCTGGAGGGGGAGGCAAGACGAATGCCGTTACTGGTGGAGATGGCAGTACCATCACAAAAGACGACGGGTCCACGTTCGTTTATAGGAATCAGTTTGGAGGTTTCTGTACGTCTTCTTTTCGCTTCTTCCCTATCTTGCAGCTGTGACTTCCAAATTCCTGACGTTCTTTTGCTTTTTTTGTAGGGGTATCCGATCCAGAAAACCCTTTCCTTGATAACGCTCAACCAAATAGCTGGACCCCGCCTCTTAATACCTCTTGGCGCTGGGGCGTAGATCGCGTTAATGGGTGAGTTTCCTTCTTTACTCGTTCTTACTGTATGCTGGGTTCTGTTCGCTTGCTTTTTCCTTGTGTGCGAGTCTCCTTTCTTGCAGGGATATGGAGACTCGGGGTGCGTATGCTCTTGGAGCGTTGGCAGAGTCTAGATGATACCCGGTTCCGATGTGCCAACTCTTCACCTCCGTTCTGCAGCGTTTCTCTTTTTCTCCCTGCTGAGGAGTGACGATGGATAACTCTCTGAGTTTTCTGGACATCTAAAGGGTCAGATCCCAAAGATCCTCTCTACATCATATTCCCCGAGGGTTTTTGGATTTCTGGGGACCCTGTTGCGTCAATGAGAAACCTTGGTTTTCCTTTTTCCCTTTTTGGTGTACCATTGGTACGGATATCTCGATATGGCGACGAGACTTCACTCTTAGTGAACTTTCTGCTTGGTCTCGCGACATCTCTGTGTTCATATGAGATATCCGTTACGCGCAAGCACAAAATGTCCTTTTCTTCTCTTCTCTTCTCCTCTCTTCTCCACCCATTGTCCATATTCGCGTAGAAACCCCTCACTCCGATGCATATGCTTGTGGAGCGCTGGATTTAGAGTTAGGATGATACTCAGTTCCGACGGCTAACCCACCACCTCCCCTCTGCATCGTTACCTTTTTATTCCTGCTGGGGGACGATGGATAACTCTTCGAGTTTTCTGGACATCTAAAGGGTCAGATCCCAAGGATCCTCTCTATGTCGAGTGCCGTCTCGATTTTGGTTTTACAAGGGTTTCGTGTTTCGTGGATGAAAACCGCTGGTTTTCCTTTTTTTTTCAGTACCTTTGGTACGGTTATCTCGACAGTTCCGACGTGCCAACCCTCGTTCCTCCTTGGTTCACCGATGTGTCTCTGTGTTCATATGAGATATGCATCCCAATGCACACCCACATCCGTCTTTTCGCTCTCTTATCTTCTCCACACATGCCCATTCTTGCATAAAAATCTCTCACTGACCTCCTCTTTCTCCCCAATCCCTCATGAACACAGAGTCAACCTAGGCGGTCTCTTCGTGCTCGAACCCTTCATCTCACCCGCGCTCTACCAACCGTTCAATGGCAGCGCGATGGACGAGTGGACGCTTTCGACGTTGCTGGGGGATCAGTTGCAGAGTACGCTGGAGGAGCATTATCAGACGTTTATTACGGAGGAGGATATTGCGCAGATTGCTGGTATGTGTTCGTTTTCTATTTTTCTCTCGTTGGATCGTTGGGTTTTTGAGTTCTGGCATTTTCATTTTGTGTGTTCGATGCTACGACGTTTTTATGGTCTTTGCCTCTTGTCGAGCCTTTTGGGTATCCAAACACTACCTTTTTTATCTTCCCTTCCTTCCCCCCTACAAGTCATTTATTCACATTGGATCGGACGCACTAATTGGTCCTTTGGCTTCTGGCATTTGTGATTTGTGTGTTTGATGCTACGACCTTTTTGTGATCTTTCCCTCTTGTCGAGCTTTTTGGGTGTTCAAACACTTCCTTTCCCCCTACATTTGCATTCAATCGAACATACCAACAGTACTGATTTTCATCCTTTCTCGATTCTTGACTCTTAATAGGTGCGGGCCTCAACTGGATCCGACTCCCCGTTCCCTTCTGGGCCATCGAGACCTGGTCCAACGTCGGAACAGACGCTACTACTGGCGCTACGGTCTCCGAACCGTTCCTAGAGAAAGTATGCTGGAAGTATATCCTGAGAGTGCTTGGGTGGGCTAGGAAGTATGGTTTGAGGGTCAATCTGGACTTGCATAGCGTGCCTGGGTCGCAGAACGGTGAGTTTTGCTTTTTGGTTGCGGTGTCGTGGAGTGGTTGTATCTTGAACGCGATTTTTTTTTTGGATGATATATAGGTTATAACCATTCTGGTAAAGGTGGCAAACCGAACTTTTTGAATGGGGTTATGGGTGTTGCGAATGCTCAGCGGACGTTGGATTATATTAGGACGTTTGCGCAGTTTATCTCTCAGGTGCGTTTTTCAATCAATATTTCCCTCTCCACTAGTTGCATAGTCGTACGGTCGCACAGTCGCACAGTCACCGTGGAGTGCAGTCGCACAGCGGGACAACGTGACTATGGGTTGGATTCATGAGAACATCGCTGACGGTGTTTTTCTTTCTTGTTATAGCCCGAGTACGAACATGTCGTACCCATGTTTGGCATCGTCAATGAGGCTTTGGTGCAGGTTATTGGGCAAGACCAGATTACCGCCTTGTACGTCCCGTCTCTTCTCTACTCTTCTACGTTTCTACGTTTCTACGCCTCTTTCCGGTTTCACCTCCCACTATTCATCCTGTTCACACCTTCCTACCCTCTATCCCCCGCTTCCTTCTCTCCTTCTTCCACCTCTCACTCGCTGCGCTCCACTCCCTACTATATTCCATTCAAATCCCCCCGCTTGCGGATTCACCCTATGCTCTACTTCTCGAAATCGAAAGTAACAACTGAAAACTGACTCACGCTTTTTTAAAAAATTCTCGATAGCTACCTCCATGCACATAACATGATTCGTGATATCACTGGCATTGGGGAAGGGAAAGGCCCGTATATCGCTATTCATGATGGGTTTATTGGGATTAGTAAATGGGCTGGGTTCTTGCCTGGGAGTGATCGTATGGTTTTGGGTGAGTTTTCGACTTACTTTCGATTTGATTCGTTCCATCGTCTCTCTTGTGGTGTGCATGTTGACGAGACGTGTTGTGTCGACGTTGGCGGTAATCTTGCTGGAGTTGGAAAACTTGGTTACGCTGAAGCTTGGTGCACCTTTCCTGTTACCTCGTTCTTGTTGTTCCTCTCGGGCGTGCAATGACGCTGGTGAAGGTTTGGTTCATCGGGACGCATTGAATGCCGATATGATTAGGCTTCTCATGACATTGAGTTGGTTTGTTGCCTAGCCGACGGGATAGGCATTGCACCGTTGTTGCTGTGCAATGTCAAGCTTCGATGCGCCTTCGGAGATGGTTTCTTTAACACTCGTTGCCACTGAGCACTTCGTGGCGTGGCGCGCTCCGTCCAAGATCTGGATTCTGCGGATGTACAACTCAAGGTTCATCATCATGTCCTGGGACGTACCTGTGGTCCTGTGTCGCCCCCTTTTGCAAACACAGGTACAGGTATATCCGATGATTGGGATTACGGGATTGAGAACCTTCTTCTTTAGTTTTTCTGGCGGTGCCGTGGCCATCGTCAGTAGGCGCGTTCCTTGCGGGTTTGTGATAGGCCCGATGGACGTACCTTTTTCGTTTTCGTTTTCGTTTTCTTTGGTTGTGCGCGATTACGTGCACGCTGGAAAGTGGTCCCTTGGAGGTCTGTGCACTGCGAGACATCGGATGTTCGCAAGCTTATACACTTGTCGTTTCTTTCTCTATCAATCTCCCATCTGTTAGTGTAATATGCGACTAACTCTATTTCGGGCTTGATTCTTTCTAGACACTCACCCGTACTTTGCTTTCGATGGTCAACCGAACGACGAACCAATCGACATACCTGCCGTTGGAGGCGATGGTACGACCCTGGGCGGACAGTGGCCTAGACAAGCTTGTTCAGCTTGGGGCAACAGTGTCAATGGAAGGTACGCGAGAGATCATAATGCAATTGTCGGTGGTCATTCTCACCTTGCGTATTTGTAGTCGGTCGAATTTCGGTGTGACTGTCGCGGGAGAATTCAGTAACGCGTTCAACGACTGTGGATTGTTCATCAACGGTGTCGCCAATGGTCCTCGTTCGAAAGCGGATTGTGATGTGTTCACGGATCCGTCGAAGTGGACTGACAACATCAAGGCTGGCGTGAAGGAGTTCGCGTTGGCTAGTATGGACGCTCTGGGAGACTGGTTCTTCTGGACTTGGAAGGTTTGCTTCTTTTACTTTCACATCCCGCAATATAGATTGTCTGATGTCTCTGGTTGTGATACTTATCAGATTGGAAACTCCACTGCGGGCATAGTGCAATCACCTTTATGGTCGTACCAGCTTGGCCTTGAGAACGGATGGATGCCCACCGATCCTCGTGAAGCTATCGGCAAATGCGCCTCCCTCGGTGTCCAGGGAAATCCTTTCGCGGGCACTTTTGAATCATGGCAGACAGGCGGAGCGGGCGCAGGTACCATTGCCCCCAGTGTAAGCTCACAATTCGGGACTTTCCCACCAACGACAATTGCCAACGTCCCTGCTGCAAGCATCACACTCTTACCCACTTATACAAGTACAGGCGGTATCCAAACTTTGCCTCCGCCGACGTTCTCGCCTGCACCGACCAAGTCCATCAATGTAGGCAACGGATGGGCAAATATCGCTGATACAGCTAGCTTCGTAACCCCGATATCCGCCTGCGCGTACCCTAACGCTTGGAGTGCAGTCGATGCCCCTGTACCCACCGCTTGTGGCGGCTCTGCTGCGACCGCGCGGTGAGCCCTCAAGCCATTCCAAGGAATAGTCGAGGCTGGATGTCCGGTGTCGCGGAAGGGCCGGATACTAGTTTTGGGATGGTTAGAGGTTTGGCGTGCATTTGTGGCTGAGGGGAGGGAGATGACAATGATAGGGGCCATTTTATCACCACCGATTTTCTATTCTTCTTCTTTTTAGTTGCATTCCCTTTTGTGTTTCGCTTGTGGTGCATCGAAGGGCGTTATGGGAGGTTTCACCATCGAGTGTTGGGCGGAGGTTCTTGGGTCATGGGTTCTGGACATCACCTTCTGTGGCTTATGGCTCATTGACGAGATTCCGGCGGCTCTCTGCATCACCCTTCTTTCTTGGATTCTTGGACGATCTCTCAAGTTTCTGCGCCACTGTTGCGGTACACATGAACACTTATCCCTTCACGCAGAGACACGTTTCTTTTTTGGCGCGCCTACCTCGTACGCATGACTATCTTCATCTTAGACCCCCTTTTCTCGATGGCGATTCAAATTCGTCACTCGTTTATCCTTCTTTATACCCCTGATAGGAACTTGATGTACAATATCTGTATCATCATTGGACACACGGACAAACTAGCAGTATCATTCCTTACTTTACTTTATTTTATTTTATTCCCCAGTCATCGCTCGTGTGTACCACCATCTTGAGTCTTATATGTCTTTCCTTTCCTCTCTATTCCCGTACTCTTTGGATAGCCGAAATATCCTAACATCTGGATACTTAGAAGCTCTATGCATCGAATGATTCAAATTACTCCAGCCTGGACTAGGTACCCCTCGAAAGACCAATATTTAAAGTCTCCCATCCTTTGGGTTCGGAATATATGGTCCGCTTATAGATCTGACCACAGTGCGCACCACAAGTCCGAGACAATTGATGGCCCAGGTTTTGAGTTCAACGTGACAAAGCTTATTAGAGAAGTTTACTAGTATTGGGAGTCTTCGAAGCCTTCGCGGAAGAAGTTCTTTTCTTACGCGAGAGCCTGAGGGTCTCGCTTGCAGTCAGCCACATTGATGTAAGTCCTGGATCTTCTTGGGAAGGCTTCTTCAAAGTCTCTCGGAGTCTGCATGCAACCCCTAAACGATGGTGCACACCCGAGTGAACGGACGTATTTCGTGATCCGGCGGTGGTTTCTTCTAATTGCTAGTAGAAACATGGGGTCATTTTGAAAAAGTCGTGACGATGTTGCCAAGAATGTCTTTGGATCGTTATCTTTGATGCGCCTCTCAATGTTTTAATCGCCTCGAGGTTTCCCGCGGAAGCCTTCGTGCGGTTCTTCGGTGTTGTGGATGGACATACTATGTAGTAGGAGTTGAGTAGGAGTAAGTAAGTATACTGAGTTATCAAGATGAGGAGTGTAACGTCCAAATATGGAACTTACATTGACTTGATGGCGGGACTTGAAGTTGACTTCTGCCGCTCTGCAAGCTCGGAACTGCTTATCACCGCTTGTCAAAAAGGTGACTTTTGAATACTGAATAAAGTTATCAAGTGGCAGGTAGAGCGGTCGTAGTGAGATAGAGAAGCTCTCGCGAAGGATATGCGCGTTTTGTGGATGTTCTTTCGGTACCGGGGTGAAAGTATGCCTGACGCTTGAGCAGAAAGCACCGGAGGTCATGCCTGATGCCTTCAGTATCTCTTTGGTACCGTAAAATCCGAAGTACGGGAGCAACTACCGGATCACTAGAAGCAGTGTCAATGTTCGCAACAATTCCTTACCGGGCGTTCGAGTTATGGGCAAATGCAAGCATGCTGCTACCAACCATTCGACGTCATCAGTCTATGTAACATATCTGGAGAAATGTAACTATAGAGCTCGTCGAGTTCCATAATAACGGGAGATACAATGGAGATGATGTCAAAATAACTCGGTATAGCTTGTGCGGGGAGTTTGCTTTCCCCAGAAGAGCGTACTTGAGTTCCGTTTGCTGACATGTTCATTATGCTATAGAATGGATTGGAGGGGGACAATTAGAGACAAGGATTGAGGCACGGGATAAACTGAGAGCATTGAATTCGCTCCGCATCGGCACCGTGAACGTTCTAAAGTGACCTTTGCATGAAAGGACACAAAGGTAAGTCGGGAGCAACGTCTGCAATGACTTCTATGAGCCTACCGGAGCAAGACAGTCCCCGACGGTACAAGGATGCTGGGACGTCAGTGAGGTGCTTCAATGTTTCTAATGCGAATGTGCCTTGGAAATGTCCATCGATAGTGCTGAGTGGGGTCATGGGAGCAAGGAACATCGAACTTGAACCCGAATGCAATGCAAAACGATCCACCTCATCGTCGAAGATTCCAAGGAAGTCTGTTGAGGCTCGAGCATAGGCAAGGTTTGGATTCTGATGTGGTATGAGAAGAACCTGAAAGACGTTTGTAATTAAATCATTTGCTCAAAGAGGTGTATAACAAAGCCTAAACTGTACCTTGACAGAAGTTGTGAGTCATAAGATGTACAAGAGTTGAGCTGGCGACATCTTCTGCTACGCTTTGGCGTCGACACCTTCACAACAGAACGTTAATGGTTCAGCTTCGTATACGATTAATAGGCTGCGCACGAAATAAATTGAGTCCAATTCCAGGAACTGTTAACACCGAAGTATAACAGTGACCCTATGACTTGAAGCTCATCAGCTTAATCAAGTAATGGAAAGGCATTCGAATACCTCCACAATAACCTGAACGTCATATTCTCGCTTGTTGTCTTGTTCCGATGACATATCCCAGCGAAGTAGAAGGTAGAACCAAGGGTCGTTGGTCAGCATTGCTCCGAGTGTTGGTACCAGAAGTCCAATTGTGTTCAGTAGCCATGAGGCACCCGATCGATAGCGTGCATCGATGGAAACGTTGTTACTAAACGTTCGGTGGCGGCAGAAAACATTGTGGGTATTATGCAACGTAGAGGTATGGATGAGCCTATGCTGCATGGAAGGGTTTTTGGCCGTCTGGGAAGAAGAAGAAGAATGGCGGTATGGACGTTTGGCGTGAAGGCAAGAGTGCTACTGCTGAAATAAACAATACACTCTTGTGCAGTCGGTGGCAATGAGCGGGTAGGAAGGAAAGAAGACACATTGGGTTGTCATGTGGAGTAGAGACTGTCCCCTGCACCTTCCGGTGCTAAGATATCGACCCAAGATTCGGAGCCGACGACGAAATCCACAGAATGAATGTGTATTATGTCGTCTTCCCTGGAGATTCCATCCTTCACATCCGAGTAGCGGAATCGCATAGAACACAGCTGCGACCCCTTGTGATGACCTCGCCTAGCACAATTTATGCCTTTGAAGACCATTCCAGCCGTTCAGCAAAACAGCTGTTCGTTTACTATCGTCTTCTGTTCAATCTCAGGCTTTGTTGAGAGATGCATACACTCACCAAATCGGAATAGATCATGACTCCGACGATATGTCAATTTTTGTTTATTCCCTGGCGAGTATGTTCTTCCAGGATAAAGAGACAGATACGATCCTTCCCTTCAAGGATGGGATTGCACTGAGCCATCGGCTGGACCTGCTCTAGGGTTGTCGTATGCCTACGCCTCCATTCCAGGGCTCTACTAATGACCATGGTTTATTGGTTCGTGAGCAGTGATGATCCGGTTATTCTGCATGAATATTCTTACCGGGACGCGCAGTCAAACCCCCGCATGTCCGCATGCAACCAAGTCGGACTCACAACCGTCCGTGCGGCAGTGAGAAAATGAGTAGCATAATACTCCTGAATCATATCCTAATCGTAGTTTAGTCTTGCACGTTGTGGACTTAACGAGTCTCCTAGGACAAAAGATCGCATTTCTCGAAAATTGAAACTTGATGTGTACTGTTATCTAGGCGTCAGTATGGCCTGCACACCAGACCTTGTATTCAAGTTGATTTGGGAATAACGAATTCAATCAGGTCCCCCGACCTGAATTATGCCGGGATGTGCTTGAAGTTGATAGGCTAACCGGCACTAAATCAAAAAAAATATTCAATAGTTAGGTGACGGACACCAATTGCACTGGCGCCTGACTATACCCCTTCAAACGCGCAGGAAGGAGAAGCAAGGCGCGCTAGAGAAGATCAGGGGTTCGAGTGTTGTCCTTGTATTTTCTTCGCAATAGACTTGCATTGGAAATATCAAAGCAACACCATCAAGTTCGTAGCTGCCTTATTTCCAGTCAAAATGTACGTCTACTTGCCTATACCGTTCTTCTCCATATGTTTGAACCTTGGAACAGCGCCCAGAGGTGCGGGTGCGCTCGACCTTGGCAGTGGCAGGTGGAAATTCCGAATATATGCGACGTATGTCAGAGGCTGGCAATCACCGCAGACGTGATGTGATTGGCCGCAGATGAAAAGAGAGATGCTGATTGGCTCGATGGCCTGAAGACTCTGCCCAGGTCATGAAGCTGATTGGTAGTCTAGACACTCAATTGGATACGGCTGCCCCGTGCTACAGCTGCGGAGGGACGACCGTGTCGATTCTGCGGCCTTTTGGAGGGGCTTGACCAACAGCTCTCCGTTGACGTTGAATTTCAAACAAAAGTGAGGAAAGATCGCTGGAGGGGTACCGATCCTCTCGGGAAATATTTCCTTTCCGAGGAGATTATTGCTGTCTTGTGACATTGCGAGGTTGGAACGTTTAATGGCCGTCCAATGAGAACCCACCGAGGCCATGAAGGAAAAAGGCTAGCTTGTGCATGGCGCATGATAGCGTCCCATAGTCCAACGAATTATTGAAATTCAGAACGGCTAGCATTGAGAGGACTGAGATGGCATATGACGAGGAAGTTGTCGCAGAGTCCTTCAATGTGGTTCTGAACGCCACACAGTGGTTGGGGATCATCGGGGCGGGATTCGTGAGACATATCGACACAGCGATTGGCTGGGGGTACCGTCGGTATTCCCATAACCAGCTTGGTGAGTAGATCTGCGATTCTAGCGGATGTACCAACTAGGCCTCTCGCTGAGATATGATCTCCGGATCGTCAACCATAAACGCCCATCCGGATTAGGACAAGAAGTTTGTTCTTTGAGGGTGAACCGACTTCATTCGGTTGGCTATTACGATGGCTGACTCAAATCAAACCTAACAATTATTCAAAGGCTTCTGTACTCCCACGCAAGCCGTCTCGGCATATCGAGACGCCATCCACCCATGGTACGTTCTCGTCTTCTCGGTGGTCGAAAGGTGCGTGCCCACCGCGATGTGCAGCAAGCGTGGTGTCTTTGTATTGTCAACTCAAGAGGGGTACGCGTGCTTTCCGATGGCACACAGCCGCATAGGACGTCGCTCACTCCAGCCAGTTGTCAGGCAATGACGCATACTTTGTCAAGAGCCTTTGGGCGGACCGGAGAGTTTCCAGAGCGGTCGGTTGGTATCATTGAGTAGTGTCCCGAGAAAACTCCAGAGCCATTGTGTATACACAAGCATGCTAGGCGTAGCACAGTCTAAGGACGCCCCTCAGCTAAAAGCTTGAGACATCTCAGCCCAGCATGAATGGGGGTTTGAATGCAGGTTTGGGATGTACTGCTTGAGTAAAACAATGCGTCATCTCTCCCGTGAAGCGTCATGAGAGCTCGGAGTTTGGTGTCGCACTGGCTTCTGTGTGCTAAAAGAACTTTAGTGTGCACCGCTGGAGAATGTCGCCGGATGCGCGAGCCCCGTACATAGAGTCTCGGGCGCTTGAGGCAGCGCAAACCGCCGTCGGGATCTGGATGGATGCGTGCGGATCTTGGAAAATAAAGTTGTTTCTTGTGTGTTTGGCCGGGATCTGCCTTGCAATCGACCGAGATCATTTTATTGGCACCCACTCTGCTCGCGGAAGTAAATAATTTGAACGTTCTTGCAGACATGCAGCAAGCTTTGGATGTTGCGCTTAGCATGAGGACAGAACGCCATGTCGCGGACGCCGAGGAGACTTTACCAGAAAAAGCAGGCAAATCGGGAATGTGCGTGGCACAACTGCCGAAGAGCCGCAGCTTTATTTGTGCACAAACCCTAACGCGTAGAATTCCCGAGTTCCCGGACTGGAAAGTAGCACCCAAGTCGGTCGCCAAAATTCATGGTTGCCTTCTTGCCAAGCGGTGTGCACGCGTTGTGGGAGTCCTTGCACCGAAGCTACCATGCTGGGTGACTCCTACAAAGGGGCGACTGCACGACGGGTACCGACCGGAAGGAGGTCGTGGGCGGAGTGTGCTAGCTGCCAAGGGTTGAGACTTCGCGGCAGACCTCGCTTCTAGCTCACCGGTGAATCGACGATTCGCGTCTGATGTCAATAACCCTTTTCGTTGCTTTTCTCCACGGTTGATTTATCGACATCTCGATATTTTAATTAGTGTTCATTCCAAGATCCCGGGTGGAGAAGGATGAGGGTGTCCAGCCTTTCGGAGATCTTGCATCCAAATCTCGCGTCTATCTCTTTTACGCTATTGCCCTATCCAGTACTATATAACACAGTCCAACTTTGGCTACACTCCTCACTTCCTTCCCATCGTAACATACGCATTCCTCTTCCCTCTGCTGCCCACCTCCAGCAAGCACCGGCAGCAATCCTCACCAGCCATGTCTACCCACAATTCTCGCCAGCCAGCTTTCGCTCAGCATGTCCGCGTTTCGTCGACGGAGGATGTTTCGTACTCTCTCCCCTCAACGGGATCCGCAGGAACGAACGATGTCATTCAGACCATTGTCACTGGCAGAAAGTGTTGGAAGACCATTAAAGGCAAGGGCGAAGTCGTCTGGCCGCCATACTTGGAAGCCGCCCTCATTGAGGGTCAGTTTGTGACCGTGCTTCTATCCCGCACGCCGTCCGCCTGACATCTGCATTCTCTGTCAGGTCTCGAAAAGTATCGACCTGTCGAAACACGATCGACAAGGGCTCTTGGTCGCTATCCAATGCGGAACAAGTTTATCTCAGGTACGTGAAGCTCGTACAATAGTCGTCGGAGCCGTTCACACTCTAATTTGACATTTGTCCTTCCCATAGATTACATCTACGATGCCACAGGGAAGCGAAGGACTCCCAAACAGGTTGGAAGTCGTCTCCAGCAATTGAGGGACACCTGTGAGGGCAAGCGAAGTATGTAATCACACCTTCACACCTCCATTACTCTTTCCTTATTGATCCTCTCGCATTCTCAGTCCTCAAGCTCCTTGCGAGCCGTTCCACTGAGGCTGCGAAAGCCGAGGAACAGAATAAGAAATGTTCCGCTGCGCGTTCTCGCTCCAAGAGTCCTCCTCCTTCCCCTCCCACCGAGTATGTTCCTATCGATGTACTCCCTTCCAATGTTGCCTGGTCCACCACCGATATAGGCGCGATTCCATGCCCCGGTTCCTCGGGTGCCTCAACTTCGGCCTCCTCGACTGGGAACGCATTGCATATTCCCCGCCCTCTTCGTGCAATCAACCCGACTGTCACTTTCAAATCTGGTTCCCCTCTTTCCGCTCAATCGTCCTTCCGAGTCTTGCAGAACGGATCTGTGGTCCATACTGAGACCTCGGATCTCGAGCTTTGCTCCTCTTCTTGCATGCCTGCTGCCGAATTTCCCTCCGATATGGAATGTACGTTCCTCTATAGTACGACATTGGTTCCAGGCTTTTGGTCTCAGCTCTGCGACTGTCTCGGTATGTGTCTTCAATGTTTGTCTCACTAGTCCTCTATGGACTCATTGCTTGCCTATCACAGACTTATCGCCGTACAGCATTGTTCAAGACATTATACCCTCTCCTGCCCAGAAGGACTCCGGTTCTGATTCCTCACCTGCTTCACAGCAAGTCATGCTGTCCATTGTGTATACATTCAATGTTCACAATACGAGGATGGTCACTACTCCTCGTTCCCCGACGTCGAGCCTCAGTGCAGGTCCTGAAGCAGATCACTTGAGCTTCTCCTCGTCTTCCACTGTTCGTCTTCCACACTTCCTCAACTTGATTATCATCTGATTCACTTTTTGATGTCTTTAGCCTGAGCTTGGTGGTGAATTCGACGACATGTTCAACTCGCTAGCTCGTCAACAAGTGTCTGGCTTCGTGCCACCTCCTATTCAGACACCCTCCTATGTGGCATCTTCGTATGATGCGCCACCAGACCTCATTCGTGATGGTGAAGAAGGCTACAATAGCCTACCCCAGAGCCCACTCGACTACGCTTTCCCCACTTCGATCACTTCTGGCATGATGGCTGGTGATCCTGCAGCTGTCCTGCCTCAAACGATCTGCAGAAGTTATCTCGATGAGACTCAAGTCATGTCTGCTCACCCATCATGTTTCAACGATGGCATAGGATATAGCGTCACCCCAATGCTTTCTGGCATGTCCTACGTAAGTTTCGGAACCTTTTCTCTCCGTATTAACGACGTGTTTCTAATCATCGCCACTTGACGGTTGCAGCAGACGTTCTGTTCATGATAGGCGGTTCCTAGAAGTGTTAATATCACCCATATCCATTGCTGGGTGCTGGTGGTGGTTTTTGTCCAGAAGTAACATGGCCCTGCACACGATCTGATACGGATGACGCCAGCCTACTCTCGGCATACCTCGTCGCTCACCGGATGTGGCGGTGGCGGTGGCAAATTATGATGAAAAACTCGCAGAGTCGGTGAACCAGAACGCTTTAGCTGCGACCACTCGACGACGGCGGTAAACCGTGCTTTGGGTCAGCTGCCTGCCTTTTGCTACTTGTTCTGCTCTACCAACGATTCGTCAACAACATACCCATCTTGCGTATTTTGGTCTGTCATATGACTCTTTGCATGTATCATTACCTTTCCCTTCCCCTTCCGCTCCTTGTTCTTTTCTTACCTCACTTATAATATTTCCATGCACTTTATGCTCATCGTATGTAGATATATATTTACAAGTATGGTGATACAGTGCGGACGCTTGTACGTTATTTCTGTCTAATATAATAGCACCGTTGCTTGAAGTTGTTGACATCATATTTGCTTTCCCTCTCCGGATCCGTAAGTTGAGGTTCGGCGGCTAGTATCCGAACCAATGGCTTCTCGCCGGAGTTTCTGAGCTCCACTTCGTGCAAACCCTGCAGGCCATTGAACAATAATAGATAACAATAAGATGGCCTAGAAGACGTGAAAACACGTATTGAATGGGATGTAGTCAACGCGATTCGGAACAATGGAGGCGCTAAGGGAGGCTTGTATCGGGCGTTATGAAGGAACGAGGGATAACCTACGACACACGCAAGATCTATTGAGAGCACTTGAGTTCTCACAACATGACTTCTGCACACCACACCGCGCTGAACCAGCGTGTATCAATCAGATAGGTCGAGGCACCCTTCCACCAGAACTGCCGTTCAGGAATCGCTAACCATTTGAGGAGCCTTCGCCATACACATATATATACACCAAGCAGAACTCTGAAGCTTGACATATATGTCGGATGGATCCGTCATATTTATTGACCTGACCCTGAGCTTCGCGAAGGATCTTGACCTGAAGATAATGGTGGGCGGTCCATGGGGTTCGTGTGTGCTGGCTTAGGGAGGCCAAATGTCATAATAATGAAGAAGAACGCTCAAAAGACGATTCCGCCTCTACTATGAACGTTTTTTTTCCCGTGATCATGATACGAGATATTGATCATATAGATTTCATATGACACGGGCGGCTTGACAAGAAGATCATCCGATAATTGCGAATCAGGCTTCGCCGAACCTAACCTAAGGTGCGTTCTGACGCGGGAAAAGCTTGTGTATCGAGAACCGTGGATTATCTTGAGCGTTGGATGCCTAAGCCAATATATGACGAGCGAGATGATGCATGCAATGAGCGGAAGGTATCGATGGAAAATATACACGAACCTTTTCAGCGCGATCTTCGCCTAGAGTTCAGTAGATCACATAACATGCGTGTAAACAGTTTTCATTGAGTTAAACGCGTTGACGCGTTCTGACGCCCGGAGAAGTCACGTCCCGGAAAGATACTTTGGAGTTCACAAGCCTCGTCAAAGGTCCGCAAATCCGAATGCAGTGACCTTGGCAAAGTCGGTGACGCCACATGCAATTCCCGTCCCGGAGAATGAGGATGTTCTTGAAGCTGAGGGGAGCCGGGGAGAGAAGTCGCGATACAGGGAGGTGAGTAAGTGGAGTGTATAAGTATAGATGCTTGAGCTCAGGTCGATGAGTCACTGTGTACTCTAGGCTTGTCCACGCTCCGGAGCGTAGGTGGCTCTCGGTATTCCCAAGATGTCCTGGAGAGCCTGCAATCGAGGTAAAGGCAGGACGTGTGACCATGATCATTGGACATGAACAGTCAACTGAGATCCAGTTAAGCGTGCAAGGGCGACTATAAACAGTTCAACGAGGGGCGCACAGAAAGCGGGACATGTCGGCATAAGCGCGATTGGTGGAAGATGGAGAAGGATATGATTCGACCATGAACAGGCTCGAACCTAGCACCAATCAGAGAGAGGAGAGGTAAGTATGTGTACGTACTGATACGTTATGTGGCAGGCTGTTCCCTAGCGAAATCCCATGTCCATCGAAAGAAATACGGAACAGAATGAAAGAAGCCGGAGAAGCTTGGGAAACCTTATTGGAAGCGAATAAGAACTGGCTGTGTGGACTGTTATGGTTACATTGCTTCCCGTGCCTACTAGGATCTGCGGTCCGCAGCGGTCCGTGGATCAACAGCATCAAACGAGGTGCACTTACTCTTGGGCTGGAGCAGCGCAGCCTGAGTAGCTTTCAGACCTCAGGTGCGGTCAGAAGTTTCCCATTCATTTGCGGAATCGGGCGTGAACCTTCGGGTGCCTCAGGAAGCAACCCGAACGCCCATGTACTTGGAGAGAGAGCGATGACTGCACGAAGTTTTTACGAAGCTTCTCCATGTTCTCCGATTGCATAAATACGTGCATGGGACAGTCTACATATGGCAGCGCTGGACCATGGTGGCAACGAACAGCATCATAAACGCCAGTAAAAGACGTTGACGCTAGTTTCATAGCTGGCGAAACGCCTTCAGGACGGATTAAAATGGCAGAAATCATCTACCAGGAGCCTCTGAGTGAGAAATAAGCGCAAGCACTGGGAACACGGTGTCAAACCAGAAATAGTCGTTCAGGGAGATGAGGCGGTGAGGAAGACACTGTCCCAACGACCGCCGCAACTTGGGCGCCGGTTTGAGGAGTGTGGGGTATTCAACGGATGATCGCAATGACCGTCTACCGACGCTTCTAGATGGAGCATTGAACGACGATGAGCAATAGCCAGAGTACTCGAGAAGCTCACGGCGTACGTATTTGAGAAGATGAGGGTTACACTGGCACCACCATCAAAGCATTGTGAAGGAGCGGTTAGTATGCAACGTTGGTGCCACCCCACAAAGGCCTATGGCTGACAGCCCACGTCGAAAATATGGCGTTTCGAAGATCTCATCTGACGATGGGTTGCATGTAGAGAGTGGGTGCTGTAGCCATGTTGCCCGAGGCTGTAGGAGGGATTTTCATGCTTAAGTTGGCTAGACACCACAGAATATGCCGGTAAACACGAGAAATATTGATCGAGTGCGCCACAGGGTGTGCCATTATCCCGGATAGCAGTGCTTGGTGAAAACACTTGTTCGGATGCTATTAGTTCTTCCTCAATATAAAGAAGACATATTTGAAAACATACATCTCCGTCGCCCCTCATTAAAAAGATCTACACATCATGACACCAGAGGAAGATTTGAGCTAATTGCGGGTAGTACGTGTTGGCCGAATCCTTTTGGTTAAGCCCGCGAGTAGTTCTCCTGAATTATTGATCTTGAAATAGTGTGTCAACAACTGCTAGAAACCTCTGATTGGAAATGTGGTACGGAAAGTTCAGTCAAAATAAAATATATCAAAGGTGTAGTTCTTTCATCGCACATTGGTGTGTGAAGCTCGACGTCCGTCTATCGAACAATGTACCGTGTGATCACGCGAGGTTCGCCCAATAGTGAGCGACTGATGCGATTTGTAATATTTAATTGAAGCTTCCGCCCATTTCTTTTACCCAACTCGGTTTAAGGGAGGGGGCATAAGGTTCGGACGGGAGATTCAATCAGCTATGCATCGGCTAGAATCTGGCCGGGTTCTTTTGTTGGCTTGTTGTGGCCCAGCTCGACTGCCTCGTTCTCTCTGTTTCACACAGGATCTAAACCCTGCAAAGGTCGACGTTCCCGCGTCCACGCCCCGACACTAGCATGCTGTCAGTTACCTATCATACTACTGCACACTCAAGTCGCCACTCACCAACAGACACCGAAATCGCAGAGACAGCAGGTTAGGAGCAGATAGACAGCTGTCATAACTAGAGCTTTCCAGAGACTTCCTGCGGCACAGGTATGTAGAACAAGCAGTCACTACTTTATTTTCGGGAGAGAATAATAGAAGCCTACATACCAGTAGGATGTATCCATCCTAGAGTTGTGTCGTCAGGAGGATAGGGCCGTTGACATACGTTATATTGACCTCTTTCTACCACGCCATTGAGGCTATCGATAAGAATCAAAGTCAGTTGGTCAATATACCAATGCATCCGCTGGAACTCGTCTATTTTACCGACTATAGACGCAGGTCTTCACGCCGTAACAGTCCTGCTGGAGTCCAAAAGGATGTCTGCTTTCAATGCGTCTGTATTCGTCAATGAAATTAACCCTGTTCATTCCGGCCATAGAAAAAGACCTTACTACGGGATCGTCGCTTTAAATGGTCCGCATGAAGACGGACGCATGCACACAGCAAATTGAGGGAACAAGAATATCGCTTTGTCTTCGGTGCGGGTGCATTGTTCTTCAAAGCTTCGCGGGTTACTTGCGATGCATGGGTCGAGATGCAACTCGTTCGTAATGCCCGCGGAGAGTGAACGAAACTGTCAGTCCGAAGTGGTACTGCCAGTAGGTTGTGTCTTGTGTTTCGGAAGTATTTCCGTTCCTTTTACGGCGTTGAACTGGGCCAGAACGATACGCCAGGGTAAGAGTGAAAAGCAAGAGGGACCGGAACGGAAGTTTATGACGTTCGTAGGCTTTGAGAACAACGCCAGCATCCATCTTTCCCGAGTTCAGTCAGAAGCAATGGATACTTTACAGACACCATTGTGAAGCGGTTGTAAAGATAGAGAAAAATTATAAACTACCGAACACGAAATGCCCACTGGCTGGATTGAACAACCGACCTCACCATTACGAGTGGCGCGCTCTACCACTGAGCTAAGCGGGCTTTGACCTTCATACTTAAAAATTTATAGGTTGTAATGTATCAGCATTACCCCATCTACGATTCCAGGTCTTTCTCTGCTGCCAGCCTTGGCTCGTACGACTTGGTGATTCTTCCGATATGCTTTTCGCAAAATGAAGATCATAACTAACGGCAGTTCACCATCATAGTCATCCAGCAATCGCCATGCTTCGCTCTCATCCATTGGCTCGCATCATGCGAGTGGGAACTGGTGTCAGATGGATGAGTGCATATACTCCTCCTCAAGGCGATACGAGCAGTACGTGGTTCACGTATCATGAAGCTTGAATGACTTAGTAACGACAGCAGCATCCCCGCGCCCTAAAAAGGTCACCATTGGTCACCTTCGTCAACTATGGAGAACCAAAACGCCCATCACTGTGTTGACTGCTTATGACTTCCCAACTGGACGACTTTGCGAGAAGGCAGGCGTCGACATCACTCTGGTTGGCGATTCTTTAGCGCAAGTTTGTCTCGGATACGAGTCCACCACTCAGTTGACAATGGACGAGATGATTCATCACTGCCGAGCGGTAGCCCGAGGTAGCAAGCTTCCTTTCCTGGTGGCAGACATGCCTTTCGGAAGTTATTATTCAATAGATGAAGCCGCTCGGAATGCTTTCAGATTAATAAGGGAGGGTGGTGTGGATGCCGTCAAAATCGAAGGCGGAAAAGATATTATTAAGACCGTAGCAAAGCTCACTGCAATAGGTATTCCTGTGATGGGGCATATCGGGCTCCTTCCACAGAGGCACACAGTCTTTTCTGGCTACAGAGTCCAGGGCAGGCTGGCAAACCGAGCGGCATCTATCGTCGCAGATGCTTTCGCGCTACAATCTGCTGGCGTGTTCGCCATTGTCGTCGAGGCGGTTCCCGCTCCCCTTGGGGCCTACATCACCGAGAATCTGCAGCACGTTCCAACGATCGGTATTGGCGCGGGCAAGGCAACAAGTGGCCAGGTCTTGGTTATCAATGACGCTCTAGGTGTGGCTGAATGGGCACCGAAGTTCGTTAGGAAATTTGGGAATATCGGGGAGAAGGCGGAGGAGGGGGCCAAGGCTTACATTCAAGCGGTGAGGAACAGAGAGTTCCCAGACAACGAAGAATCGTACTTCATGGCTGGAAACGAATGGCGCAAGTTTATTCACGAGTTAGGCGGTTCTTCAACGAAGAGCACCTGGGTGGATGTGACATCGAACGGCGAGGACTCCTCCGAAAGCACAGCCTCTCTAAACGACTTTTCCCTGCCTACCTTGGCTGGATTTATGGAAGAGGCTGATATCGTAGAAGTAGACTCGCAAGAGTCAAAATTAGAAGAGCCAATATCCGAAGTGTCAATATCCGAAGAACCACAACCCGAAATACCAAAACCCGAAGAACCAAAACCCGAAGAACCAAAACCCGACGAATCAAAATCCGCAGAGTCAAAGCCCGTTGTGCCTCCTTCGCAACAATGATGCATGGCGGCTGCCTTGAACACTGTATTTTACCTGTGAGTTCAGGTTTGCTCTGTTCGATCGGTGGCAACTCACCAAGTACTGTACGTTTAAGTAATTTCATAATCAACTTGACGGTTTGAGCTGTGATAGACATAGAAGGCTTTAGCCTCTCTTCCACTTGCTTATAGCTCTAGGTACGTGTTTGTGTGAAGGTCATATACAGCGTCCTGCGACGTATCGACAAGCAAGCGTACAAATGTGTCCAGAACCTTAAAAGCCACTAAAATATGAATAATACAGGACAGATGGATTCGAGAGTCGTCTTCATTAAATGCGTTATTGGAGTCCATAGTCTCCCGCGACCCGACTTTGGCGGGTTGCCCGATACCGAGTCACCGTCGACTATATGACATGATACTCCTGATCTCCATTACCACCTCCAAAGGATATTCGAGAGTTGTGACCTCCGAGTATGCTGGTGTTCGGATTGCCATATCCCTGTAGGGCTTCTGTGCACTCTGGTCTTCATCGTTGCTATCAACACCTGCTTGATCGCTGTCACCCTCCATTCCAATCCAGACCTCCTCGAATTCCGATTCAAAAACTACCTCGTCGAAGTCATGATCCCGGCGACCAAGTTGCGTGCCCTCTGTAGCATCATCATCCCCCACGATTTCGTAGGCAAGGTGATGGCACTTCTCCATCTCCACGTACTGTTCAATGCTAGACATATCGAGAGACATCGGAGGCTGCACAATCGTTCTGAGGTGCTTGAACTTCTGGGTATATGGTCCTGTTCGGGTCATATCTCCCGGTTGCAGGGATGAAATGTCATAGTCATCCTGGAACAGACTGAAATCCGTGCGGTGCGTCTTCCATCCCTGATAGAGAGGGGAAGGTGAGTCAGAGAGATCGTACATCTTTGCAGCCGCAACTCGGCGGACGAGCGGACGCAACAGCTCGTGTCTTGTACGCTTCTTCGCACTCACCATCTCCATCTCCTTTCCCCTTTCAAACAGCTCCTTTACATGGTCAAACTCGACTTTCGTTTCCAGATCCATGTCGCTGTCAATCGAGGTGCAGGAGGAACGGGAGATCGATCGCGAAAATATCGAGGATTGGGAATCGGTATCGGGCAGTGAGCTATAGGTACTATCCGGGGTGCCGAAGATCGTCTGCGATCGTTTGGCAGGAGAAGAATAAAGACTCCATTTCCCCGTCATGATATGATCCATGGCTTTCTGACCAGATGCATGTTTCTCGAGTCCCAAGTAGCGATTCTTATTGATCCAGGCAGGATTTAACATCGTGTCCTTGTGGAAGTTAGGCTGACAAGCCATTCATCAGCGAAAACCGAATGGAGGTAGTGTTGTCGCATCGTACCTCCGCAACGGGTGGCGCAACTATTGGCCCCTGCCAGATCTTCCCTCCCTGAGGGTAGATGTGAGGCCATCTCGAGATTATCTTATTAGTGAGTATCTCTTTCAGAAGTGACCCTGCGCTCTCGAGTGACATGATCGATTGAACAAATAGGCAACCGTGAACTTGGGAGGATGAGGGCACTTGGAGGAGGATGTGGCGTAGTGGACGGATGAGATCGTACACGAGGAGAAGTCAAGGAGAAGTCCAACGCCGACACTGACGGCTGTATCGATGGTGGGGGACCAGAGACAAGTGGATGATAGTCTACTATCTCGGACTTTGCAGGATTTATATGTCTGGGTTAATGTGCAAGTGATGAGTTCGACACAGTCTTTGTCTTGAGCGTCTATAAGACAAAGAGATCGTTTGTACGGACTCCGATCCTTTCTTCAAGCGGACTTGGGGGTAATCGTCTTCAGCACTGCTTTCACCTACTAGATGTTCTATGTAGTACTTTCATTGACAATTACACGTGGAAGTAGGCCCGTGTTCTGTTGAGCCACTGGTAGAAAGTTGCCTACGGCGTTCCGAGTCTCAGTTACCGCTGACGCCTTGTGCAGCAACTTAATACAAGGGATCGTATCTCTGAAGCCGTTGAACCAATATTGCTTTCCTCCCTTGCAGTGCAGTCATGTCGCTACGATCTCAATTTCAATTTCTTAAATCAAAATGGACAAACATCCATGATTGTATGTAAAGTAGGCGATGGGAGATCACTTACATTCTGGATTTCCTCGGCATGTGAACATCAGACGATAAGCCATTCAGTGTGCACATTGAAAGGTGATGATATCCACAGAAAGGTCTCAGCGACATACACTAGGAATCCGCTTGTGTGTGTCCTGACTTCTTGTGACGTCTGCGTTTCTTCTTCGTCGGACCCTCCTGAGACTCTTCGTGCTCTGGGGTCTTCCGCTTCGACGATCTCTCTTCCTTATCATGCTTCACCACCTTCTGCTCCTTCTGCTCCGCCACATCTGCATTCTGCTCACCTCCACCGGCAGTAGCCACAGCCTTCTCCTTCATACGCTCCTTCTTACCCTTCCTCTTTTTCGCCGGTTTCTCAGTCTCAGGGAACGCCTCTTCCGGACGTTCACCCATGAGCTTCGCGCGTCTTTCCTTAATCTTCGTTTTGAGCTCCTGAAAACGAGCTGCACGATTCTTGTCCCAGTTACTGCCGTCCTTACGATATGGCGCGTACTTCTTGATGCCCATGTATTGGTTAAGCTCGGCATCGGTCGCGAGGAGAATCTCTTCTGGTGTGAGGGCGAAGGCCTGTGGTTGAACTTTGGTGTATTTGAATCGTGTCGGCATGCCGGCCACCTACAGAAACACAACCGAGTAAGCGTTAGCAAAAGCACCATGTGAGATAGTTGATGTCCACGCATACCATATCGTTGAACTCCAAATTGTATAACTCGTCCATGTATTCCTCCAATTTCTTCTTCCGCATTTCCTCCGTTCCGTCCCACTCTTCCTCGTCTTCGTACTGCTGAACGTCGGCATCCATCTCGTCGACATCAACGCTTTGTTCCCACTCTTCCTTGTCCTTTTTCTTCTTCTTTTTCTTCTTTTTCTTCTTGGAGGATTCCCCTTCCTCGCCTTCAGATTCTGGAGGTACGATATCGGCGACGTCTATATCATCATCCCAAGTTGGCTTGTCCTCGTCCACAAGAATATCGTCCTCTTCTTGACCGTAAATGTCGGCCATTTGGCGATCGTGCGCTTCGGGGTCCCAGTCGGCTTCGAGGTCGAGCTTTTGCAGAGCTACAGAAGGAAAGCTTAATTGGGTTATCATTTTTACGAGAAAGTGAAGACGAAACATACCTATCGTCTCTTCAAGATTCTTTCCACCCTCCTTCCCAATTTGCTCCAACTTGACTCTCAGCTCTTTCATCTTCAGAGCTTTGAGTCGCTTGACTTCTTCTTTCTTCTTCAGTACCTCTTCTTCCTTGCGAGCCTTCCGCCTTTCTCGTTCCTCTTTACGACTCGAATCTTCTCGTCGGACGAGTGATGTGATGTTACGAGGATAACGAGGGATCGAAGCAGCATCACTACATCGGTCATTCAACGCAAGTCAGTTCAAAATTAGATACATATAGAAAATGAGACGTACGGTTCCTCGAAACGGAAGTTATATGAACTTTCGAAACGGTCGGCGATTTCATCGAACTCTACCTCCTCGGAGAGTTCTTCATCTTCGGCCGTACTTTCGTCACCACCATCCGACTCCGTTTCCGGATTCTGTTTAGCCTTGCCTTTTCCTTTGCTCTTACTTGAGGCGGTGATTTCGTGGTATGTAGGAAGACGTTTCTCCGATTTGTCTATCCATCCACGGTTGAGAATGTAGCTATCAAAACGGAGTGTTAGGTGGATGTACGAAGTGAAGAGAATCTAACACGTACTTCATGAGGAACTCTTGGTCATCCGCTACTTTACTCTTCCGGGGCTCTTTCGACTTCTTCTTTTCTTTCTTGCCCTTTTGACTCTTGCTGCCCTGCTCTGCGGCATCTTCGTGAAGAATGGCGATACCTTCTTCAACAGTCACAAGTCCCTTCAAATCCTCTCCAACTTCCCGTTGTAGGAACTCTCGATACTCCTCCTCCTCTCGTTCGATCTCGTCCTTGGTCTTCTCTCGAGGAACAAGCAGATCGTCTTCGTCTTCATCGCCCTCAACAATGATCGCACCATGGAACGCTTCGATCGTTTCTTTTTGGAGAGCCTTTTGCTCTTCGACGTGTGTGAGCGGCTCGGGTGAGGGTGATCGAGAGGTCGGGATAAGCGCGGATGCGAGGGCATGTTGACGCATAGTCAAAGGTTTTGACTAAAGAAACATTAGACGAGAGTATTTCTTGGATAATGCTGTAACTTGGACGTACCTTGTCTTTCGTAGTCCGTTTCTTTAGCCCAGATTCACCTGTCTTCTTACGTTCCTCCTCGAAGACATCTTTTCCAGCTTCGTATATAGACGGGTCTTTCCGCTTAATCCTAGCAAGCGTACGCAGGATCGCCACATCCACTGCAGGCGTGAGCTCTTCACCGTCTTCATCCTCGGATTCAGCCTCTTCAGAGTCTTCCTCCTCGTCGCCGTCCTCATAGTCAGAGCCATATTTCTCCTTGACTAAGACATGCTATTAGTATTTCAGTACGAACACTTTAAGTGGACTTACGTACGTTTCGCTAATTCTTCCCGTTCCTTCTTGTACTCATATGCTTTGGCAAAATGCTCATTGATGGTAAGCTGGTGGATAGACTGAACAGACTCATTATCTGAGTCTTCAGAAAGCATGTTATAGGTATCAGGGTGGCGAAGACGAGTGAAAGGAAACAAAATGGTAGGGTGAAGCAAGACCAGCTTGAACGATCGACTGCAAGAATTCCTGCCAAATTCCAGCAATATAAAGTTATAGGCGCCTATAAATTCGAATTCGCCAGAAAAGGATAATACGCGGTCACGTGCTGTTTAGTTGTGACAAAGCACGCGAGGTTTGTGATGCGTGACATTCTTACTTCTTGCACCTCGACGTCCATCTTGCACACTCTCTTTACCCCCCTTTGCCCTATTTTCCCGAATATCCTACTCATCATTACTCTTGAATATGCCAAATATACGAAATCGAAAACCGTTACAAGACAAAACACCCAAGAATAGTCCTATACCACCCAAGTTATACAACCCAGGGTCGGTGAAGCCCCTTCCTGCGTTGCAGCTACCACATGGTGGACACCATGCAGGAGAGGGAGAACCAACCTTTCCAGCGAAGCCAAAGTCAAAGGTGTCCAAAGCGTTTATCGAAGAATTGCTAGCTAGTCCTTCCCCACTCAAAGGGAAGAAACCTTCCGGACCGTTGGAATCAACACCGAGACTTATCAAACACCATCGAGGACTCGCTCTTCCGTCCGGTAGCCCAGCACCACGAAATGTTCGCCAGTCTTTTCCCACAGCCCGCCAACCATTTCCAGCCTCACCCCTTCCTCCCTCATCCCCCCCTTCAACCTCTGACATCGAATATGAGTTCCTACAAGTATCACATGAACTTACATATGAAGAGGAGGAAGAAAGGGAGGAGGAGATCGATAACGAGAACGTTGCAAACGTAGCACACGTCAGCTCTAACCACTCCGGAGGTTCGAGTAAATCGTCAGAAGATCCGTTTGGTATTTTGGCTGCGGAGAAAAAGTTGAAGGCGCAAAGGAAGCAGGAGCAACAAACAGTGAAAGGCAAAGGCAAAGAAGTCGTTCCTCGAGCGCCTCTGGGCGTTTTGGCATATGCCTCTCCAGAGTCACAATCTCCGCTGCCCAGAGCCGTCTCGAAACGTCCTCCAACGCCGTCCGAGAACAACGATGACGATGATGACGATCTATACGCAGATCCTTACATTCTTGACAGCTTTGATCAAGCTGGCCCAAGTCGCATGCAACATCAGCAGGAACCTACTTTTGACAGGGAAGATGGCGTAGATGACGACGATGACGAGACTGAAGACAAAGAGAATGCACCTCCCCCTACTGAGGTTCAATCATTCCCTTTTGCTGAAGAAGAGATCCCAACGCCACCTGGCACTCCTCATCCACGCCATATTGATCCCTCTCGTTTCCCTCTTCCATCCCCATTCTCATCGCCCAGCACACCATGCAACCGGGACCTCGCCATTGATTCGACAGAGTCTACACCTTCTCCTACCAAACCCCTTCAGGTCATAACACCACTTCGTCATGTGCGGCCTGGTCCGCCGTCATCCGCGCTGAAGGGTAAGGGTCGAATGAGCTTCCCATTGCTCTCATCTACTGCGCGAGATAGTGTTCTTATCGAACCTCGGTCGTCGACTCCACATGACGGTGAGAGTATTCGTATCGGACCTCCCTCGTCCGCTGCACATCGCAAGACTGTTATCGTTTCGGCGCTCGGAAAGCGAAAGGCGGAGCAGGAGGTGAAACCTGCTCCCAGGAAGAGAACTCGTGCCGCTGCGACCAAGAAGGAAAACGACAGTGATCCCATGGTTGTCGCTAAGAATTTGGAGGAGTTGTTACCAAAGAAGCCAATTCGTAGATCAGCGCGGGCTTCCGCCACTACTCAGAGAAAGGCAAAGGAGCCGACAAAGCCTGTGGCGAGAAGAAGTACACGTGCTTCTGCAAAGACCGAACCTGTCGTTGTGGACAGTAGTACGGAAAGCAATGCCGGGGATGAGGCTGAAACATCTGAGGAAGAGGTGGGGGTTGGGAAGAGGAGGAAAGCCGCGGGCAGAGGGAGACCGCCTGCTAAGAAGGCGAAAGCGGGAGGAAAGAAGCCTGCTGCCACCAGAGTGAGGAAGCCGGCGAGTAATGCGGCGAAGTCGACGAAGGCAAAGGGTAAACAGAAGCAGACGCACGTTGACTCGGATGAAGATTCCGTGAGTGGACTTCATTGACGTCCATGTTGCAAATAAACATCGGGTTAATGGTCTGCATTCTGCCCCATCTGTAGGAAGTTGTTCGGCAGCGACAATCACGCATCGACTATTTTAAGAAGTTGGATAAGGACTATAACTTGGCGCAGGAGAATGTTTATGTGGTTTGACTCGTTTTGATAAATACTCCGTTCGTTGACTGTATCTGATATGTAAATTGCAGTAATTGGATCTGCCAACTTGTATACTATGTTTATTGGACGCTTTCTCTGACGGACTGGACTCTATTCTAGTTTGTTCACAATTGTCTCCGCGTGGGCGTCTTGATACGTGTACGCCACCGTCATACATGCACTAGAAGAATGGCTTCCCGTCAACGTCGACTCAAACAAGGGCCAAACATTTTTGCTGAATATTTAAACTGACATGACATGGCTCCATGGCATCGCCCCACTTTCACTCCCTTAAGGCCTCACTAATCACGCCGACTCCAGAGGAGCAGCGAAGCATTAATCGATCAGCAGCCGTATACATCATCGTTGCTTGAGGATTCGGGGAGCTTTGATATTACCTCCGCATTGTAGACTTGATTCAGGGCCCATGCAAGCCATCTCCCACGCGAAGGTATTTCTTTATGTTGTTTCTCCCCGCTACACTCTTGTCCTCCCTCAGAGGTTCGCCAACTCATACTTATGGTTGTATCCTAGCTTAATTCCCCTCGGACTCCGAAGATTACTTGTTTGTACTGCCGAACGTGTGTGTAGCCCTCGCCGCTCCGGGACAGTAAATCGGGAAAACAAACAAACAAACGAAAAGGGTAAGCCATCTCTACCATTCATCGCCAACTCCACTTCGAGCTAATACTGCAGCATTGCTAGTCCAATGTCGGAACTGTTTCGAGCACACAACGACGGTCTTGCAATCACCAGGATCCCGCCGGAAATCCTTTGCCAGATATTCCTATACTACGTGTCCGAACAACGGCATTCTCACACAGTGGGTCGGGACTGGATCTACATTACGCACATCTGCCATCATTGGCGACTCGTCGCTCTCGACCTTGCGAATCTATGGACCGAAATTGGTAGCGGTCCGCTCGAGTTCAACGAGCTATTGCTCTCTAGATCGAAGCAAGCTTCTTTGAAACTCGTTGTCCCATATCTCGAGCCGCCAGATATAATTCCGAAGGCTTTCAAGGAGGCTCACCGTTTGGAAACGGTAGACATCTCCTCAGTATTCGAATACCCGCCATTGCCAGATAGTCTATTCGCACCCCGACTGCACTCTATTGCGTTAACACATTGGGGACAGGCAACGAGCTTGTCTCCGCATTTTCAGAATTATGATATGCCTAGATTGGGGAGAGTCAAGCTCGCCGGCTATGAAATAAATTGGTCCAGCCGCCTTTTCTGTCCTACCTTGACCTCTCTGGATATCTCCGATGTAATTGTGCATCCTGGACTGGAGGAAACCCTCTACGCGTTGTCCAAACTCCCCAAACTCACATTTCTCAGCTTGAACAATATCTTCCCGACGGATTCGCGTGTCAAGCCAGTATCAGCTGACGTCGACGTCGCCCTTCCCCTTCTCGAGGTATTAAAATTATCATGCGGACCAGGCGTTATGGCGTCCTTCCTCTCGCATGTATTGTTGCCTGCCAATGTTCGTTTACTTCTTCAGACACATACGACTAGCCATCGTCCTGTGTCTGGCCTTGCTTCCATCTTGTCTTCCCATCTTGTCGCTTTGCAAGAGTTGGAGAATGGAAAGTCATTGATCTGCGCCGGAGTGAACATCGTAGGGAACAGAATGGAATTGAAGTCATATATTGAAGAAGAGTCCACGCGAGAGGAGCCGATATTCGAGATCGCAGTGGTTTGTAGGGATGGCGTGGACATGGAGGACGTAATGGAGAACCTCTTTGGTCAATTTCCCCTTGGTGCCGTTCGCGTCTTTCGCATGGGTTGCGTTCCGTGTTTCGTAAATGTCCTTTCGGCATTTCAAGAATTCCTCAATCGCATGGTGGACCTTAAAGAGTTACACGTTGACGGTTCATCAATAACATGGCTCGCCTATATTTTATGGTATCGGCCCTACGACGGAGTGTCTGTCTGCTCCCCGTCTTCACGAACAATCCCTCTGCCTCATTTGCAAGTCCTCAGCATTGAAGAAGCGACACTTCCTCGAGCGTGGGGGAATGACTCGTCCTATCTTCATCGGCATCTAGCTGATGCTTTCCTTTCTCGCAAGGGGCATAGTCCATGCTTCACCACTCTTGTCCTCAAGAATCACCACACTCATGGAGATGCTACCAAGACGAAAGTCCTCTTACACGCCCTTGTCGAGATGTGCGGAGACCAGTCCACGATATCATGCACTTCGAAGGACATTGGGAACTCCGTTGTATATACGCTCCATAAGTGTTCTCATGCTTTGGAGCGGCCTTTGACGGCAACGATGAATACTCGGAGTCGCCATAGGTGGTGCGGATTCACGTCGTTCGGTTTCAATTTTCCGACGTTCAAGTTGATGCTGACGGCGTACGTCGTGTCCTGGGTTGCAAAGCTTGTCCCATAACTTCGTTTCTGTTTTCCCTTGTGCATTGTCAGGGTGCCGTGCGAGAGTGTACTCAAGACGTCTGGAAGCCAGTGCTGTATGGAACTCACTATCTCATACATCAGTGCTGAGCATTGTGGCGCCGAGGTCACGAGTAAGGTTATGTATTCCCGCATCCAGAAGGAGTTGATTATGCTCTCCGTAGGTATAGTACGTTACCGATTTACTAGGTTTGCATGCCGAGAAATCGTCGCCGCTGCGAAGTCTAGGCAAGCGGCAATTTTTGGAGCCGCCTTCTCAAGATAAGCGAGCTAGCAAACCCTTCGCATTATATTTCGTTTGATTGAACCTTTACAGGCCCAACAAAAGTATTTCATTCTTATATGTTCATAAAAATCATTTCAAAATGCAGAAGAGAAAATATACCTATATGCTTCTCACCAGGCCGCCGCCAGGTCCTCCCGCACAGCAGGTTCCTACTACGTTCTACCAAACTCCATCCAACGCACACTTGACTCGCCAATAGCGTCGCATGTGAGCCGAAGCTTGTGTTTCAGGGTAAGACAGCGTTGCAGGAATGAGAAGGAGAAACATACACTCAGGTAGAAATCATCTGGAGTTGCAAAATCAGGAAGCGCGTTGTATGGACTTCCTACCGCGACATAGAGACGCTGCATTGTACTTGTGAAGACCCATTCTCGCAGGATCAAAGCGTTAGACTCACCTGTGGAACAACAGAGTGCACATCCCTGACTCTCAACTTCGCCTTCTCCGCAGCCGCATATGTACCGCTCTTCTGCAAGTAGTTGACGAAAGGTCCAGAATTATCATATACACAATCCAACACAGCAAAAGTTCCCGTAATAATGACTGGATCCACAACAATAGTTCGTGGGACCTGATTCTCATGAGACTCAACTTGGACCGAGAGAAGACAGACATGACGATACCCAATTCTTTTCCCAGAGCTTAGAGAACATATTGCTGATATGTGGGTCAGGTCTTCTTGGGTCGGGATTCTGAGGAGCCGTTGCGTCAGGTACATGCATAACCCAGAATCTGGTCCAACCAAGCATAGTGGCACGTTGGTCTGAGTCCTTGATGAGCCCACCCCAAGTGGTGATGAGTTCCTGCCGACGATCGTTGTCGACTGTGTCGAGGATTGTCGAAAGATCAATGCGATCGAAATGCAAGTCTGACGGCACTCCAAGATCGGCTAAGGCACCAGACTGAATATCCTTGCAAAGTTTCATTCCATCACGGTCGTAGAAGTGCATTTGGACATTGAAGCTGCGCAGACGTGTAGCCAAAGTTCGCAACTGGTCTAATAGATAAAAATAAAGGCAGCCGTAGATGTCCTCGCGCTTGCAACCATAATCTTGTCCGACAGTCACCACAGTAGGCCTACTGCATATCCAGACGTTATTAGCTTCGAAGACAAGATACAAAGGAAACCCTTACTTCCATGCCTCCAAAGGGCTAACAGCATCATTCTGTACCCATACTTCATCGTTGGCATCTGCAGTTGCAAACAAGAAGGGGTTTATAGCAGAAAACGTAGACGTAGATGATCCGAAAGGAAGGACCACTCCTGTGCCACGAAAGTGCTCCAAAGCCAACCTGTGGGAGGGGTCAAGATGACCATATTGTTTCAGCCGATGTGTGGTTTCTTCTGGATTGAAGCTGAACAAGAAATGTAATCAGTCAAATAATCTTTGTTTAAAAGAATAGAATGTATGTACAATACGCGATTGCGTTGATCGCGAGCTTCGTCAGTTGTGTACCCCAAATCACCCAAGGTGGACAGAATCTGAAGAGCATCCTTCGATAGTACACCAGATATGAACGCGTTCTCATGAAGCTCTTGAGAGAAATGATCTCCAGAGTTCGATTGCTCAATGACGCCTTGGAGGGTCGATGTCAGTGCTTGAGTTGAGGCTGGCTGTACGAAAGAAGAGAACCAAAGGTGAAGTGCAGCTTCTGCGGCTTCTGTTACACTGCCTTGACTCGCAAGCAACAGGAGCAAGGCGAGATTCTGTGCAGCTCTCCGAGCGCTTTCGTGGTTCAAGAGGATTGTCAGCTTGCCACTATAGTCCTTAGGCAGGCCGTTGATAGAGAGTACGAGATTCTCAAATTCCGTATCTTTCGGGGCCAGTATGTCAGCACGGCGTATGCAGTATCCAGTCACTACGAAGGTCCTTACCAGCAAAAGCAAGAGCATAACCCTGCGACTTTTCATTATCGTTCACGTTCAGGACATCCATCGCTGGTACCTGTTTCCAACTATATATAATTAAATATTGACAATCAAACGTACAGTAAGATCCCACTTACAGACTTTGACCGTTCCCGGAACGGGGTACTGTGACTCGCTCAGCACCAGGTGGCGTATTAGAAAGGGTCCAACGCTGGTCACGAAGTTTGTGCTTGCAGTCTAACGAATGTGAGAAATATGAGCTCGGCTCGGATGTTCAACGCGCTGACCTTTCTTATGAGTCGACCAATGCTCCGCTTGACATGTCTACGGAGATCAATCAGTATCCGATTTTGATGGATGTGACACAGTTTACTTACAGGAGAACAGTACATGACCAAAAGACATCTTGAGCATGTCGATGTCGCGTCGTTACTGCAATTAGTGTTCTGGGAGCCGTTAATGTTAGCGCAAGGCGGTCGCTCGAGTGGCTTAATGGCGTCCTGTATCACCTCGATGAGTGATGGAACGCACGCCACAATAAGTGATAGTGATCACCATGTGTGCACTTGGCAAACGACGGTAGATCGCACACTGACGATGGTGAATGAATGCAGTTTAAGAGCTAGAGGAAGAGGTCAAAGAATGAAGAAGGCGAATCTTGGATACTTACCTCATATAAGGAAAGGTTAAACTTCATTAGACAATTGTTCAACTAATTCGGTAAAGACATCCACATTCGAAGCTGTGCGAAGAGTTTATCCGAGGAAACGCCCGTAATTTTTATTTCCTGTAAGCGCAAGCACACAAGGAAAGCCAGATATAGTCCAAGAAATCCGTCTAGAATACACATCCAATATACAGAGTAGAGTACAAAATTACAAACCTGATACGCTCGTGTCTAGTGGAACAATGTCCCTGACTGTAAAAACGATACCTGTAGACCTCAAGAAGCGCGATCACGAAGAGATAGAGAGTTGAAAGAAGCCTGCCGGTATTTGCGAACCTGAGCAGCAAGAACTGCACCTATTGCAGAACTGATGACGCAGAAGAGTACCCACAAGTATCCGCCGAGAGCGTCATGTGTGATGGAGAACGCAAACAATGAGCTGATGAAACGGCGTAGAATCAATACAGTAGCACTAAAGGCATGGAATGCTCTTTGCAGACGAACCTGACAACGACAGGCGCGCCTGTAATCCCTATCAGCTGAGCAAACTCCATCAACCCGTTCGTGGCACCGAGTGAACTCGAGTTAGGTGCTGCATCACGGGCGAGAATCATGATAATACTGCGAAGAAAACATTGGTCAGTACCTCACCAGAATCGGAATAGGTACAAATGGGACGAACGTGAATCCGAGACATCCCAATCGACTCAGGAACAGTACGATGGAAACGGCAAACCACATTACAGCACTAATTCCGCCCTCCTCATGTCCGTCATCAGCACCGAGCCATTTGGCCACTAGATGCAGGACTATGAATCCGATGAATGTGATCGGCCAAGTGCGCATGGCGAATATCCAGATATCTGTAGCTTTGTCTTCAAAATGAGGTTTCAAATTTGATTTGAGCGAGGATACAGGGGTGCCAGAAGGTTTGAGAATACGCGTTAAGCTGAGTTTGAGGAAGATTGAAATAAAGCCCATGAGAGATAATGCATGACCAATTCGTCGAGGCTGGAATGTTTGATATGAGTATCAAGAGTATAAAGCCAGCGAAGAAGGCATACATCCAAACCTAAACCACCATGATTCATATCCGTGTAGGCGACGAGCACGATTACGACGTTAAACGCTGCAGCGACACCGCCCAGAACAAATGATGAAAGGCAGATCGAGAGGATGAGCGGAATCTGGAAGAGCTTCCGAAGGGGCAAAGGCCTCTCAGGTTCGGGTTCAGATTCAGTTGAAACACCGGAAGGTTCCACCACACTTGTTTCTACTTGAGCTTGGTCGACCTTCTTCCGCTTCGTAGGGAGTGTCTACAGAGAACACAGGATCAGGTCCATATCGTTCAGGTATTATAGGGACAAGAACATATACCTCATCTAGAAAGATCAACCCCAAGATGGCTGCTGTGACAGCTAACGCTGACGTCGTAAGACATGGTAGGAGGTACGGATACTCTTCAAAGAGCTCTGTGATACCTGACGGTGACGTCAGAGGATTGATGGGGAATGGTGAAAACGACGGCATCGCCATTTGAGTAGGCGATTGCTTAGCGGGCGGCCACGGCCATGATGGATGTTTCGTAGGATTAGCGAGATTGCCGCCAATGAGAGGTCTACGACATTGCAGCTTGAGCAGTTAGGTCACGCAGAAGGGAGATCCCTGCGCACCCTATCACAAATCCAACAGCTGCAACAATATCGTACAATGGAAACGCTATTCCTTGATTTGTGGTATCTGTCAGTTCACCCACAACCGAATGAATAGCTCCCGTAGTGCCAGAGAAGATTCCACCTAAAGTGAAGTGCATAGAACTCTTCAAGATGTGCACCGACAATGACAGGAGAAACCTTACATAGGAAACGGGTAATGAGAACCCCAGTAAGACTGTTCGATAGCCCGAATAATGTTGTGAAGACTGCAAGTCCTATGGTCCCGATAAAGAGAACCGGCAGACGACCGACGCGATCTATTGCATTTCGAAAGCTCGTAACTACCTACAATTTAACAATAGTGGTGCTCACCCGAAAGGTGTGACCACGGATATATGCTCAGCATGTGAGCGAGGGAATGAGTGCTGCTCTAGAAGGAAACTTAGGCATATAGCTACAAAAGCATACCATTCAGTCCGGTCAGAGCACTCACGACCAGCCCACTATAGTAGCCCACTTTCTCCTTGCTACTTCCTGGGAATGTCTCCATCATGAGGTTGAGATAAGGGGCTATCTGCGTTGAAGCAACAGGAAGCAAGAGCTTTATGAAGAAGACGGTCGCAAGCTGAGCCTTAGGAAGAGGTGTCCGAGCTTTGCTCGGCGCGGCAGCAGCCTGTGGTCCTTCATCGTCTTCGGATCGAAGAAGTGGTTGTCGCTCGTCTGCGTCGTCCTGGGTGGCCATGGATGCGGTTCTGCAACACCCACGGCGCCGTTCAGCGCAAGCAAAGTATAAAGAGGGTCTGACTGAGCATCAACTAAGAGAAGTTAGTAAGATAGGGAATTGCCAAGTCGGCATGGCGCTACATCGCGTCAGGCCGACCTCATGTTGCGTGCGCTGTAGCTCAAGATTCACGTTTCAGACTGGCGGAAAGACTACCTTAAAAGGGACTCCTGTAGAGGATCTTGCATAATACTGTCAAACAACGCCCGTCTTGAAGGCATGACGTCACTCCTTCTCTTAAAACGGTACGGACTCTAGAAGATTGACTTATCCTATAAATATTAAAGTAACCAGGTAGCCGGAAATAGAGATATAGCAAATATCGCTATTTTACCTCAGTAACGCACGGGATCACACTAATGATGGCATTGCCATGTAACAGCGAAAAGATAGTCAAATAGTCCAAAGAATGGGTAGATAGTAGAGTATATGTCCCAGAGGGAGCGTCCATAAGCACTGATATAGGTCAGCACAGATCATAAAGTCCTCTTAATAACTAGCACAGAAGGATACTGCATCCTCATCGAGAGAACACCTTCATGAAAGCGAGAGCGGGGGCAAGCATCGCAATGAGAACAGTCAAACTAGGCGCAACATATGAACTGAACGCAGCCCCCGTACTTCCTTTACTTGTGCTTCCCATGAGTGCCCTATCGCGTCCGCTTTGGCCATTGGATGTTGCCAGAACGTCAACGTCAACTGTCGCCGTGTTTAGCTAGATATGAATTGCAGGGTCAGTAAGCGCGATAACGTCTACAGCAAGTGCAACGTACAGTACGCGTTACAGCGGTAGTGGCATATGTAAGAGTGGACGTGGGTGTCACTTCTTGTAATGCCGCATCAGAGAAGAAGACCAAGGCGACACCAGGTGCTGGAACCTTGATTGGGCAGATGTTGGCAGCCTGGTCGCAAGCAATAGTCTCGATTCTTTCCTCTCCCTTGAGACGACCGTCGGATTCAAACTGTCCACCGAAAGTCTAAAGAAAGTTTCAGCGAAAAGATTAACGGAAGGAATCGTTCATACGAACCTGACCGGCCCAAGTAATGTTGAAGTGGTCAGAAACGGACGGCGACCAGAGGTACCTAATAGCAGCGGACAATTCAGTCAGCGAGCAAAGATAAAATGCTTTCCCAGGCACTCACTTGACTTTCACTTCAGCAGGAACTGCGTTCGGCGTTCCAGTTTCTCCCCCTCCAACTGATATGCTCGCAGTATAATCGCTAGCGCCGGAAGGATCCGTCATGTAGTTCATGAGTAAAACGCGGACCAGGTTACCGCTCTCATAGACGGCGTATCCGGGGGTATGAACGTCACCAGAGTTCGGCCACAGGTCAACCACCTGAGAGGTGTTCGAGTTTCCAAGTGCCTCAGCGACGACGACGATGGAATACATAATCGGGTTCACGGTCCATTGGTAGAAGGTTGACACACCCGTCGGCGGTGCTGCAACAAGGGTCAGAATGACATCGCATGTATTACAAGATAGAACTTACGCGTAGCAGGCTGATTGGAGGAAATGGTGTCAATCATATATCATGAATCGGGAGATGAAGAGACGTACGTTGTAGTAAGTATCTTGACCACCAACGTGCAGAAGCCCGTGAGTGAAATTGCTGAACGCAAGCTGCATGCCATAATCTACGGCCCACAAAGCTGCACCAAACGAATTACTTGCACCAGGGAAACCACCGCAAGAAGCCGTGTTCGTCTCGAACATGATCATCGGTTTGCCACTTGCCTGAGCGATCGCTGCAGAGTTTAAGAACTTGTCAAGCATGTGTCTGCCAGAGTACTGGCCATCGTGGGTGAGGTAGTTGACGAACTCGGCTTGGACATCGTGGGGTCGACCGTTACCTCCATAGATGGCGAAACAATTGTCACTTGGATAGCTTGAAAACCGGTAGAGTGAGATTCCATCAATCACCGAGAAAGGCAAAGTACGCACTTTTCCACCGTAATAGCATACAAATTGTCTTGGAAACGAGAGACGAAGCCTGCATCGTAAACTAACTCAGGACTCCATCCACCCGAAGAGACACTTGGCCCAATCAAGTTATTTGTGATCGGAATGTTAGGGTTCGTCTGCATGGCTTGAAGTACCTTATCGAATTCGTTACAGTAGTCTTCGGGACCATACGGGGCGGGACGAGCGGAGTGCCTGTACCATACAAAACGTGAGGACCTGAGCGGCTATGATACAAGTCGTAGTAAACGCACCTTTCGTAAAGATCAGGTTCGTTACCAACTTGAATGCCAAGCAAATTATCGCCAAGGACTCGTTGGCCGTGCTCGGCGATCTCCAAGTGGATTTCTTCAAGATCCTTGAACGGGACGCCTACGAAGAACAGAATGAGGAGATGCTAGAGCACGAGACAAGGAACATACCTAGATACCACTTTACATTGGCGAGAGATGAAATGTTTCCAAGGAGGTAAAACAACTCCATAGTGTATACAAGCACCGGCGTTGCTGTCTATCGCTCGTTCAAGACACATGTTTGCTGCGCACAACGCATTACTCACAGGCTTGTTGGGATCGATATTCTGCTTCTCAATCATCCTGCCATCTACCGTGTTCTCGACTAGTCTGGCCGTCTCTTGGGTATTACCCCCAACACGGATGTGGAATCGCCCAGCCCGTTCAATGACCGTGGATATGAGATTAAGGAAGGGGACTTGAATGAACGACCTGTGTCAAGTTTAGGGTGACAACGACACAAATAAGTCCATAGGTATACATACGAGTTAACACCCACTGCAAAATCGGGTTCAGCGACAAAACATATCACAACTGGTACAGCCAAACTCACAAAAATGATTGATGACGGACGTTTCTACCGACAATCCCAGCAAAGCACCGCTGACAGGAATTGAAAGACCAGGAACATTGCCTGCCGCACTTTGAAGCTGGAGCGCGAACTGGGTTGCTGGACGAGGATCTGGAAGGGGAGGAGGATTTAAGGTAAGGGGATCATAAGCTTTAAGCCCGGTATATTCAGCAGCAGGTGCGCCAGCAGTCTCTGTCGAGGCAAGTGTCTGGCCAAGAGGTTTTTGGCTATAGACGGTAACAGCAGCGCGAACAGTGGTGAGATACCAGAGGCAGCAGAGGAGGAGAGCCCAAGAGCCCATCCTGCCTGTGGATGGTTGATGAGGTGAAAGGAAACGTTCCGCGGCTTGTGGTTCCCGAAGAAATAGTATTCCAAGGAGCGTCTGCTATCCTTGGCGATCTCTACCGTTGGGCATTGCCAGTTATAGACCGCCAAGGAGTGTAAGACCATGAAACATCGGTCTTGGCGCTTGGCAGATCATTCTGCAACAAAATGGAGCGTATTTGGGAACATGAATATCGAAGTATAGGGGTCCTGTCAGAAGCACTTGTCAGTAATGTTAAGTATATACCAGTGCTTAGAACCACGGAGAACCACTCACTTGATCAACCCGTACTTGACCCTGGCCAATGTACAATTTGGGGTAAGTTTGAACATCTGACGATGAAAAGGAAATCGTTTGAGGACCCCGAGTAACCTCTCGAACACGATAACCTGTGGAAGATTGGAACGTTTGAGATGCTGCTGGCAAGTACTGATTCTGGTTGAACTGTGCCAAGAATGAATCGTGGTGAGCGGCCTTGGCAAATCGGCATGCGTCGGGACCCATTATCAACTCCCAGAAAGGGAACCGAACAAGAAGATGTTGGTCAATAGACGTAAATAAAGCAATCGTACAGCTCTCCTCGTCTAATTGCTCAGTATCTCAACGATCCGCGGCTTCTTTAAGGAGCCAGAAGCTTGGTGTACTCGAGTCTGTTGTGTTTCAGAGTCAAGCCGCACACGGGCCCGCGGACACACTGAGAAATCAGATCTCAGACCCTTGAAGCGCTTGTGTTAGAATCTCTACCAAGCAGGCTACGTGCAAAGGCAAACTTTAACGAATATGTCTTTTCGGGACAGCAGATCTTTTGTCAAAAGGTTGAACAGACTCAAAGACCATCGATACCCAAGTGAGACTCGAACTCACGACCGGATTCCGTCGAGGCATTGGTTTCGGCCGAGATTACGTGGCGTTGTGACCAACTCAGCCATGGGAAATAGATCACTTTTCGTGCAATTATAAACTTCTCACTGATTGAAGTTCGAATATGAAGCAATAGCATGTTCACCAAATGGGCCATTTGCCTCGCAAAGTGTGCATGCTACTGTATACTGTATGTTGAGTCAATAGGGGAGTTCAGTAGACGAATATGGCGTGTGTATAAATAAAGTGTGAGCGCTTCCGCAATTAGAGTGCGTACACGGGTCGGCGACTTTCTCGCAACGCCACCACGCACTCCCACCGGTCATTCATCTCTGCCCATCCTGGCTTTCATCTGTCATGTTTTCTGCGGGGTCCCATATACGGGCGGCCGTGGTCATCTTGAATCCTAGTCGAACATACTCGACTTGTAGCCAGTTCCGTTTCAAGGGCCTCATACATCATCATGGACTTGTGCAGCGGACTCCGTGTCTTTCACTGCCCTCACTGCAAAAGCGATCACTCTCATCTTCGCCTGGTTCATCTTCTACCGGTATATCTGACAATGCAGCACCGAGAAAACCCTCAGTGTTAGCTAAGATACTCCCGTCCTCGGTCGCGGCCGACCCCACCAAAAGTGCATCTTCGTTTCGCAAGATAGTTGCATTGGCTAAATCTGAACGCAAACCGCTTGGCATTGCTATTGGTCTTTTGCTTATTTCTTCATCTGTATCTATGAGCATACCCTTCACGATCGGAAAGTTAATAGACTATTTCACCTCAGCTAATCCCGTATGTCTGCATCTCCTGACCTGCTCGTGCTTTCGAGGCTAAAGTCCGCCCAGCAAATACCCTATGGCTTGTCATTAGGTCAAGCTTCTGCCTTGCTGTTGTTAATGTTCACTGGTGGTGCTGTGGCAAACGCTGGCAGAGCCATGCTCATGCGGCTGTCTGGTACGTCGGTGTCATCTTGTATATATATACTGCTCTAAGTATGTTAGAATATTAGGTCAACGTATTGTCGCTCGCCTTCGTGAACGTACTTATGCTGCTGCCTTACATCAGGAGGTTGAATTTGTGGAGCGCGGAGAAGGTGACGTACTCAGTCGGCTGAGTGTCGATTCAAGTATCGTTGGTGAAAGGTAAGTCGAGTCAGTCGGCGTGCGTTATGCTCTTTCGTTGTGGTCTGACTAGGCCTTCTTTGTAGCGTGACGCAAAACCTTTCAGACGGTCTGCGGTCGGTGGTCATGGCATCGGCGGGACGTGAGCGGTTTGCGTCTTTCACTGGCACGTCTGTAATTAACTTACCTTCCTTAGTCGGCGCCATGTTCTATATCTCTCCGACCCTTACTCTTCTGATGTTGACGGTTGTTCCTCCTGTGTCATTGGGTGCTGTAGGTCTCACCTTTTCTGTCGATCGTGAATTTGTACTGGACTGATTCCTCTTTATGAAGGTTTTCTATGGTCGTTACCTCAAACGACTCTCGAACAAAACTCAAGAAGCCCTTGGTGATATGACTAAGGTTAACAACAGCTTTTTACCACATCATGACAATACTCATTCATATTCTGTTAGGTTGCACAAGAATCACTAACTGCCCTCCGTACGGTTCAAGCATTCAATGGCAACGCCCTGGAAGAGAAGAAATTCCACGAAAAGGTCACCAACGTGCTCACTCTAGCTCGAAAAGAGGCCATCGCTAGTGGTATTTTCTTTGGAAGTACAGGATGGAGTGGAAATGTCACATTACTTGCGCTCCTTGGATACGGTCAGTACATTTATGGGACTTGCTGACACCAATCTGAGCCTTGTATTGGAAACTAGGTGGAACTTTGGTTAGCTCCGGCGCTATTACAGTAGGGGACTTGACCAGTCTTCTGCTGTACACTGTATATGTCGGTAGTGGACTGCAAATGCTAACGTTGGTTATTTCCTCCATTTGCTCCTTGCATCCTATATGCTCACCGCGAAATCGTTTTAAAGTGGATTCTTCGTGGGTTGTCTCTCATATCTTCATGATTTCGATCTCATGTCCATGTCAAGTCATCAATTATGCGTGGAATCGGTGCTGGTGTTCGCATATTCGAACTTCTTGACCGCAGACCGGCCATTCCTCCGGATACGGGCGTCGAAGTCGACCCTTCACGCCGAGGGACTGTTCGATTCGAGAAGGTTATGTTCGAGTATCCTAGTCGAAAAGGCGTAACCATCTTGAACGAGCTAGATCTCCAAGTTGGCGTTGGCGAGAGTGTTGCCATTGTGTACGTGATTTCTATGAAGGCGTAGTTTGCCCTTCTGACCCCTCTTTACAGTGGCAAGAGTGGTAGTGGAAAGTCTTCTATCACTGCCCTCCTTATGAGGTACTATGATCCAATCTCGGGCAAAGTTACTTTTGATGGGCAAGGTTCGTTCACGTATCTCAGCACTTTTCTCGTTTCTCATGTTGCTTTCTTATCAGATATTCGTGAATTCAAGCCATCGTCGTGGAGGGACGTGATCGGTGTTGTCCCCCAGGTGGGTAGTCTCCTCAAAAAGACCTCCGTTACTGTCTTTACAGACATTTCACGCAGGATCCTGTATTGTTCTCGGGTACCATCGCCTCAAACATCGCATATGGCCGCGAAGACGTCCCTCGCGAGGACATCGAGGCTGCTGCCCGCCAAGCCAACTGCGAATTCGTCTGGGGTATGCCGAAGGGCTTTGATACCGAAAGTACGTCATGGATATACACTTCACTCGTATACTGAGCTTGACTCTATTCGACAGTTGGTAGATTAAGCTTGAGTGGCGGCCAGAGACAGCGGTTGGCAATTGCTCGAGCACTGTTGAAGAAGCCGGCGATTCTTGCTCTTGATGAGGCCACCTCTTCGCTAGATGCAACGTCTGAACATCGAGTATGTCCTCAGAGTCTTCTAGGTCACTGCTTCTAATACAGAGTTTTGCAGGTGAACGATGCGATCGACAAGATCCTCCATTCACGCAATACTACGTGTATAATCGTAGCGCATAGGTTATCAACAATTGCTCGCGCGGAGCGGATAGTTGTCTTGGAAGGTTTGTAATGCACGTAGCAACTAACATAACAAAGCTAACACCCCCGATTATTTGCACAGAGGGACGCATAACAGAAAGTGGCACATATTATCAACTGGTGCGTATAAGTTTCATTTCATCCCTTTCCTATGCTGATATCCTCCAGGTCAACAAACCTAATTCGAGGTTCCGAGCTTTGATGGCAGCACAACTATCAGCTACAGTAGGTGGAGCACCATCTCCGTCCAATGCGGAGGCTCTCGTGGACGCAGCAGAAACGTCACAGGAGGACCAGCCGCCCGCATAAACGAGGGTTTAGGCAAGTGCCTGACCTAGGCGAAGATCTATGGACACTTTGACGAATTGAACGTCAAACTTTAGAAGTAACGTGTGCAATACATACTGTATCGATATCCGTAATGTTGTTTGATAGCTTCTTATAGACGATCTACTCCCCTTTACATCCGCGTCTGAGCGACCACGCGTTGTAGGCGTGCACAGTGAATGGTCGCACGGACTATATATACATATCGCAGCTACAGAGTACATTTCTCAACTTTACTCACCCGTCCACAGGCGATCCCCATCTTTAGAATCCTTTGACATGGCTGCTGAAACTGTAACGTCGCCTACTCTCTCGCCGTCGTCATTACATGGAAGTATGTATAGTGCGACGACAGTCCCACCAGAGGTCACGACAGTGACCAAGACTTTGCAAGAGATGAAAGGCTCTTTGGGTAATCTTGGGGTTGGTAATGTATCTGTCCGCGTAGTGCATTTCTGAACGCAATCATACTTGCTTTCAGGCGATGCTCGACGCGGTCGGCCAGAATACCGCGCACATGGTCCAGATCGGTGGAGAGATAGAAACCGCTCGGCACCTCAATAAGTCTGTCCCTCTTAAGCTTAATGATGCAATGGGAATGAATGTTTTGTGTGTGAAGGGTGAGACAAGATTTGGCGGAACAGGATCGCAGGCAGGAGGCGCAGATAGAGGAAATCAAAGGTAAGAACTACTCTACTCCCAGCGCGGTACCATATGCATATGCTCACTTCGGTCAAAGCCGTTCTGCAGAAAGCTTTAGAATACGACGTAATTGAACATTTGAGACAGCTCAGTATGTCTTGAATCCGAGACTGATTAGAGTGCCCTTCATAACTGATTTTCGTGCGTACGTGCAGTCGATGCTGGAATCATGGAGCAAATCGACGAGCTCGTAAAAGAGCAGGTCGCGGCACAGCTGCCTAGCTACTTCCCGCAGGAACTTCAAGATGAACTAGATCGACATATGTTCGAATTGGATCAAGTCCAACGAGCGCTGCATAATTCGTTGGTGATTCTGAGAGTCTGAGTCCCAGATTGATACTTATTCTCGACATTCTTCTGCAGCGAGTCTCGAAGAGCGAATTCACAATTGCGTTCGAATCACCTCAAAGACCCGTTGCACACGATATACAAGTCGGACGGGACAATCAGTCCGCACTTCCCTAGAGACGTGCATAGTCTGTTCTCCATGGATGGTAAGTTCACAGCTTCATTACCATCAAAGAAAACCATACCTGACAGCGCCGATAAATGGTAGCGGATACGGCGAAATCATTGATGGAAGAATACGGACTAACAGACATATCTGAGTCGCGAGAGAGGAATGTGAATCGGTTCATGCAGTTCTGTGGCGTGACCTATCAGTTGGTACGCCGAAGATTCTAGTTTGTACAATGCATAATTTCCGACGAATGGCCATGGAATTGGATTTATTTATTCTAGGTCACGACCAAAGGCGGCGGTCATGTAGTCCTGAAGACGAAGGCAGCAGCATTTGACTGATTGTAATGTAGCGAGTCCGACCATGAGTTGATGGAATAGCATGTAGCATCCCGGGGGTGTGGCTTGGATATGTAAAGCATTACGTCTCAAGGACGACGTTTAAGCTCAGGGCTGCAGATTCGAGACTATCAGTTGCAAGTCGTTGTGTAAACGGAGAGAAGCGCCTTCTTGCTTCGAAACCATTGTCTTGACAGTAGGATCTGAAGCAGAGGCAGACAGTGGCATCATAGCTCGGGAATGGTACTGCCAGCATCTCAGTCGTGACTACGACGAACCTCCAAGAAAGATGATCGCACTGAGATAATTCGGTAAAGGGAGCAGATTCTGAACCGCAGTAGCCAGTACCAGGAGCTGAAGCATGGAACGTCGGGCGAAGCATTCATATGAAAGACATAGATATGTCATGCTCCAATGAAAGGTCCGAGCTCTGGCGGCCTGGGAGATTTGCTCGATTGAGCGGGCACGCCAAACGTATATGCAGGAGGCGCGGGGCAGGACTGTGCGACCATACACAGATGATAAATGAGCCTAGAATGCAAAAACGGTAAGCAATCATTGGATCTACTTGTGAAAAAGAATTGACCTACCGGTGCAGAACCGCCAAGACGACATTGATTCTGAATACGTTCGTGGCCCTCCCGTGCCTAGTCATTTCGCTTCCATGAGTCTATTCAACGCGATCGCAACCTTGCGGACGCCCTCTTGAACCTTTTCTCTATCCTCCAATCGAACACGGGATAGAATCCTCCCCTCAAACTTGTCGGGATGAAAACGTAACATCGTCTCGCGAAGCTTATCCCGCCGCTCCTTCTTCCCATCTTCGTCAGTAGGAACCATTCCGTGTTCGTCGGATCGTGTCGTAGACAGCAGAAACCTGGAAACCGCCTCCACTGTGATGTCCTCGACATCGACATGAGGCTCTGTAGCCGGACGCTTGCCCTTCTTGTCAGGAGAAGGCCCGACGTCGACCACGAAAACGGGCCAAGGGATGTCTTCGAACCGGAGCTCAGCCTGTGCGCCTTCGCCGGAAAGTAAGAGCTTCCACTGCTTCTCATAGTGCAATCTAGCTTCCATCCAATGTTTCTCATGCCGTTCATGTCGCTGAAGTCGACGCTGTTTCTCGGCTTCCCGCTCCAGTCTCTTCGTCTCCTCACGCATGGTCTTCTCTCGTTCCAGGCGTGCCGCACGCGCAGCTTCTTGGCGAGCTTGTTCGGCGTACTCTTCCGCGTGTTTCTTCCTACATGCTAATGTAAGCATTGACGTAGAGAGAGGTCGCGCATATACGAACCTCCACATCCCAGCTCTAATCCATTCTGCATAATCTTCGTCTTCCATGTTCGCAGGATCAATGTTGTAGTCATCCTCCATTCTATCCATACCACCCGACCGCCACCGTCTTGGAATATGAGCATAGTCATTCAGACGAGACTCGACTGAATGAAGCCGTTCGTCATCTCCAAAGGCACCCCATAGTTTCTCTCGGAATCGCTCCTCCTCTACCTGAGCTTGAATCTCATCATAATCTACTTTATGTCGATGAGACGAAGATGAGGGCGGCGGCGGCGGTCCATAAGCATCGTCCTCCAGGTCTATAGGCGAATCATAGGTGGAACCCCGTCTACGTTTCTGAGAGTACGACTCAGAAGGTCCCTCGTCCGAAGATTGATGAGCTCGTTTGGCCGCTCTACGCGCCGCTTTGCGTGCCTTCCGAGCATCGTGAGCAGCCTGCTCTGCAGGAGTCCGTTTCAATTTCAGTTTTCCTTTAGCCATCAGTGTAACGCAAATTTCAGCCGAAGGCCTAAGGCATTTTAATATAAAGCCTTCGATTACGGAGGTATAGCATCGACCAAAGCAATATGATGGTGGTGGTTGAAGGCCAGGTAGCACCTTCGTTAGCGCCCCACCAATAGTTCATTATATCAGTATACGCAGAAGACCGTCGGTTCAGGTATATAAGGCAGGCATATATAGACTTAGACTCTCTAGATAGGGACACGACTTGTTTTATAAACTAAGTAAGTATTTGATTGGGGATATTATTTGGACAAGCTCGAGTACGGCGGTCAAAGAGAGTGACGGACGAGCGCTCAACATGTACCGATCAATGATGTTTTGAAACGGAGGACTTCTACACTACGGAATACTGTACATGTACATGCTAAGGATGAGATCCAATGTGAAGCAGCATCTGAAGAAAAGGATTAGCAAAAGGTATGCGCGTAGACGAGATCTGAAACTTCCAATTGTTATTCAGATGAGCATCATGCTACTGTGAGTGAGCGATCGGTTAACCAACGTGAGTTTTATGGTGGAATTGGGAGAAAACAGAGGCTGGAAAGGCGATAGTGCATAGAGTCAAATATTTCGTAGAGTTTCAGATGATCAAGAGAGGCCACTGGTACTTGAATGCTTCTTGGGCCGTGCCCTACACACCCCGTCATCCCTGTGAGTCTAGCTAGCCGGCCGTCCATAAGCCGCAGCCTCTCCATATCATCCACCATTTCTTCTACCTCTGTCCCTTCCGTCTCTTGTTGCTCGCCATTCTATTGATGGTTCCCCGCCCGTTTCCCCGGTAGCTCCGTTATCCTCTGTTCTCGGTGGCGTAAGGTGTTCGAATGTAGAACCAAGATGCATGTCGTTCTATCTCAAAATGCAGAAAAAGAAGTTAGCGTGAGTTTTGCATAGCGCCGCCGCCGCCACCAATAAGGACTTGATAGAGTGAACCGCGCGACCGATCTCAAGTTCGAGTTTGTCTTCCTCAGCTTCTTCGTCTGCCTAGATATCGCAGTTGGACGTCTCGAGTGGTGTACTCCAGCTCTTCAACAAGCTCGTTCCATTCCTTGGGTTCAGCAAGGTATGCAGCCATAGTAACTCGCAGACGTTTAAGCATTGCGCCATGCTGCTTGCGCTTCAGCAACGATTCCCCCAGTGCTTCTCTCGTAAGAGTCGGTTCTATATTGGCCTCGGGGTTCCAGAAGGTCCCACGATGGAGATGCACAGATTGTAATGCGGGGAGTAGAATCCCCGATTCCGTAATCGAGCCGAGGATATCGGGAAGTATACCAGTCCTCGTGTAAACAATGACCAACCTCTTCAGGTTTGGTAGGCCTTCCATTATGCAAAGCCAGACTCTGCTTTCTATGAAATCCAGCCAAGTGATAAACAACTCCTCGATGTCCGATAGCATCATTGCCCGGAAAAGTGCAATGAGTATTTCAACGCTCTGCGATGATATCGCTGTTACATCCAGCTTGGGAGAGCAGCGGATCTTGGAAATGGTTTTTGTGCGACCAAATGCTTCGATGTCATCCAACTCAATACCTTCAGTCCAGGCCAGAAGGCGTACTTGCCTTAAGCTATCAGGACTAATATATGCAGACACAAGGGGAATGGGGTCGCCAATAATCCTGGGCCCCATCACACACGCGACAATCGAGGATGCGACATCAAGGAGACGGTCTGGGGACGGCGCAAAGAGTGAAGAATCCATTGAGACTTTCACTTGGCAATGGGAAGGGAACAGGAGCCGGGTAAAGAGATAAATTGCGCAGGCACTGGCTAACTCAATATCTAGGATTTTGAGTTGTGGTAATGACACTTCGGACGAAGTGGTTGGCAATCCCGATGCATGGTCATCGTTATGCTTCTTCTCGTAAACGAGCGAGAGAGATTGAAGGTGAGGTAGGTGTCGAAGCATATCAAGAAGGGAAACCATCGAACCACAGTCCTCAAACCGGGGGATTTGAAGGACCCGCAGATTTGGTGTGTTGGGAAATAGTGGCAAGACAAGGCTGACGTCAAATCCTGTCAGCTTCAGAACCTCAAGTTGAGGAAAGCGGACACAATTGGGAAAGGGATCTAAACTCATACTCCCGAATTCCGAATTGGAGTGTTCAAGTGTAACGAATCGCAATTTCGAGCTGCCCTCCTTCAACTTTGTCACGACGAGAGAAAAGTCGAAATCGGAAGGAGGTCCAGATAACTCGATGGTAACCATGCGAGCGAATGCCCTAAATATCACCTCAAATATTGTGTAAGGCGACGAACGGCCACTTGATACAGTTATATGGGCCGGTTGTCCTGGGACTGTGTGAGTGATATCGCCCACTACAGATAGCGCAGTTTCCTTTGATCGCCTGAGCAGCTCCTCAGCATGCGCCACATTATGACAGGGCAAGTTAATATAGCTCCAGAGCCTGGCACTCTGAAGGGCTACTTCCCGCCAGTAATGACATACGTGGGTGACACGCATCCAACGGTAAGAACGGCAGCCTGCTCGAAGTACTAGGAAAATCTGTTCGAGAATTTCTGGCGGAAGCACCCTGTTCATTTCTCGTGGAAGCGTGGTGATGGCTCGAGTATGGTGGTCAATATTTTCTGGCAATTGGATTCCTTTGTCAATGGCCTTGTCAGATAAGATGGAGCTTTCGACAGAACTAGGATGGTTGATGTAAGTAGATGAGATACGATGGCTGCAGAGTACCATCGATCGTTACCGTACCTGGGCACACTCATATTCCCCTCTAATGTACCTCTAGTTCACTATGTATTGTACTACAGCTGGAAGCACCTGGGATGAGGTAGTTGCTAACAGGAAGAAGGGGGTGGGATTTCACTTTCTGCACCAGCTGTGACGTCGACCTAACGTAGCCGCTACTCACTGAGAGGGACCCCTTTACGGGTACATAGATGTCCTTCGCAGTTCCTCTACGAGACCTTTCCGTCGTGTATGATAGCAAAGAGTTTCAACGTTCAGTCTACAACGACATGCAAGAGCGTATGATACAAGGCAAATGAGGCGTGAGGCGTTGAGGGCTGATCGCTTTTTGTTTGTACATATTGTCTTGCACCTTCTACCGCATTACCATATCTAGTGAACGGTTTGGGGTGTCCGGGATGAAAACCGATCCAAAGAAAGGGGATCGGACTATCTCATTTTACTGGCGGAAAATAATGAAAAGAACGATTTACTTCCTCAGCAAGTTAGCTTTCGAAATTTGAGCGGTGTTCAGGACTGATCCATCATGTACATCAAGAACATGTGTCACCTCTATCTATGTGACGGACGCGTATTTCACGTGTCAAGGAGATGATACCGTTCCTTGGAAGGCTTCAAAAGAACGAGAGGCACTTACATTCATCGTGGTATGTAAGGGTGGGTGCACACCGCATGTCGATAACACCTGGAGAATTTCCACTCAAGTCAGGTTTCGAATGGGGTTACATCATGACATTTGCCGATAGCCCTGCCTGTCAGTCCGATGTCTATGAGTAGTACAAAGAATGAAGAGATAGATGAATTGCTTACCTTGCCTCTTCAATTGTCCACTGAAGCTCCCCGACAATCGGCTTCAACTCATCTGGAGTTAAAAAGTTGCGCGTTTGGGAAAGGCGTAGTAGACCAAGTTTATAACCGTTGTCCATACGCCACTGCAATGCATATCGCAATGAGGAAGCGCGAAGGGGAGGAGGGCCACTGGTGTAATGTAAGAACGGATGAAGGAAGGCGCCGCAGTGAAGATGCACATTGGTCAAATTAGGAAGCAATGCGACCTGGGGATATTTATCTAAAACATCCGTCGTGACTGCCTCCAAGATGCCTGTGAGAGTACCCGATGACGATTCGTTTACAGTCAGCTTCTCTACGCAGCGCATACGATCCAACCGTTGGATCCAAGTCTCACTAGATGTACGATCCAGTCCAGTGATAGCGAGAGTGGAAACATCGGAGAAAAGGCGTTCGCGACACAGTGTGTCGAGGACCTTTTCTGCTATAGGGATGTGGTCCGGTACCATGATGGTTAAACGAGGGTTAGATGTGTTCCTAAACGTGCACGCCTTTTCGTCAAGGGACAAAGTAGCGCCCTGAGACCAAGCTTTGACAACCAGTACTGGTATCTTTTGTTGAATGTCAATACTGGCACTAGCCAAGGATATCAATGGCCCAGAAATCCCGGCTCCCTTTACCTTGGAGACCACTGAGAGCACTGCGCCCGCAGCGTTGTCTACGTCGAATATACCAGCATCGACGGTTATCGACATGGCAGTATTAGAAGGGATTATCAGGGAATCGAGGAACTTCGCGCAGTGGGTATCTTTCAACGCAAAACTCAGATAGCTGAGTTTCGGCAAAGTCGCCTGTGCGATTGGAGCTGTATCCAATTTAGTCGAAAGCATGCCCCTGCTCAATATCAAGGATTCAAGGAGTGGTAGACTTTGCAAAATGGCCAGTAACGCCGACATCGAATCCGAATCGGTGAATTGAGGGATTTTCAGATACTTCAACCTAGGAACGCGTCGTAAGAACTGTCGAATGGACGAGATCGGGTAACCGGTAAGATGAACCCTCTCGAGGCGAGGGAGGTCCCCGGTAGAAGGGAAAGCAGGTGGAGAAGCTAAACTTCTGGAAGAACAGTTATCGAGCACGATGGAGTAGAGAAGAGGCAACGATCCCCCAAACTTCTCGATTATCGATTTCATAATCGTGTTATGGGCACATACACGGATGCTGAAAACGCGATGAAATTGTGCGAGAACCGCATTCACCGCAACTTTCATACTGTTAGACTGAGCCTGACGGCCATAAGCCTCAGGCTGCAGCCATTCCAGGTGTGCCTTGAATGCTAATGGTGCCTGCTTCGAGCGTTCCAACATATGGAACACTGGCACGTTGCTATTGCGAGGGAGCTCGATGTAGCTCCATAACCTCGGGTTCTCCCTCGCAACCTGTCTGAAATGGTGGCAGACATGTGTGACTCGGATCCACGTGTAAGGACCTGGACGTCGAGTAGCTTCTGCCCCGGCGTCCGTACAAGGTTGCAGCAGTAAGAAGATCTCAGCGAGGAGTTCTGAGGGAAGGATGTAGATCGGAGAGAGTTTGTTCATGTCTCGCCGGAGGTTCAATATAGAGAAAAGATGTTGGTCGATCTCTGCTTGTATGTCCATTCTTTGCCGAGCCACCTTTCGACGATGAATCTGACTAACACAAAATCAGCACCCGTGATTGAGCGTTAGAAATTTGGACTTACATTGCTTCCATACCGTGATTCTTATCAAAGGTATCTCTAAGTGAGATATTGCAGTTCGCAGAGAACGAGATGGTTGTCGAAATAGATCACTGGGAAATCCGGCGATCCGGCAACCGTGATTTGTACCTGTTGTGTAAAGGCAGTTTCTCCGAGCAACGTTTGTATCCAAACCAAATCAAAAATCTGCTTCAGTGCATTCGTCCTTGTACACCATAATCACAAAATAATACATACATACATATATTACAAGTAGTCGAAGAGTCCATTCTCATGTTGCTCATAGCTGCGCTCGAACTGATCTTTGGTTCAAAGAGCCCTCGACCAAACTTCCTTACCTTTGACCCATGTACTCTGCACGTACCCCTTCCTATCCAATACCACGAGATCCGCATCTGCACCAGGGCGCAGGGTACCTTTCTTGTTCTCGATCCCTAAACACCTCGCAGGATTGAGTGTAGCACACTTGATAGCTTCGCCCAAAGAGCAGCCCGTGAATCGAGAAAAGTTGCGGACACACTTGTCAAGAGTCACGACGCTTCCGGCGAGAGTATCAGTACCCTCGAGGTAGAGTTTGTCACCCTCCTTGACGAAACGTTTCCCGTCGCGCCATTCATGAATTCCATCACGAAGGTGGGGATCGAGGATCTTCATGGCTGTAGAACACATATGAGATATGTCCCGATTCTCATACTTCCGTGTGTACATACCATCCGTGATTAAGATACATCCCTCTGGGAACGCTGAGTACGCAAGCTATTGGGAATGTCAGTGAAAAATAAACCGAAGACTCAGCAAAAGTACATACTCGGACCGAGTTAGGGTGCGAATGAATTCCATCCACAATCAACTCATAGAACGGCCTTTCAAACGGCATCTCCGCCTTCTCACCCTTTTTCAACTGCAAGTCCGAGTCCACACCAGCTAGCACCGGAGTTTGAGGTGGAGTCGTCAATTCATCGAATGCCTCCGAGGTAGCCTTCGGACCTTCCCCAAGCGCACCTTTGATGCGGTTCGCTAGAGCATTGGAAGAGGGCGTACGAGGAATCGTGAAGCTCGCGGATGTGGGCGAGGCTGGTGACTTGGGAGACAGGTTGGATGCAAGATGTGGAGAAGCACCTAGGAGACCAATGATGGATGGGTCTCGGTGGTGAAGTTGTGGCATAGCATTGAAAAGATGGGTAATGAGGCGGGCTCCATTGACCACTGCGGCGGCAGCAATGTCTGTCGAACAAATACTATCTCATCTGTTAGTCATGTCGTTAGGTCTTCTATTGAACTTGTACCTACCTGTGTCCAATGGAGATAACGATTCCTCGCTTGACAGCCTCCTTTACAGCAACCCTAACACCTTCAACCTCAGGTGCCGCCGTAATGATACGTACTCCAACAGTGTCAGAATCACCGTCATTGGCCATGAGCCAGTCTTCTGTCACAGCGAGGTTCTCAGTGCCATATACTTTCTCGAACGACTGGAAACCTTCCGGAGCGGGGAGTAAGAACTCAGGTAAATGCGCGCCTCTCTTTGCCAACTGAATGAAAGGGCCTTCCGCGTGCCAGCCTAGAAGGTTGGCCGAGTTGGGTCCGGACAGCGGGCGGAGGAGATTCAGGATAGTGGGGTAGAGTGATTGTTGTTGGGTCTGAGGACGTTGGTAAATATTAAGTGAATGCAAACCTTGAACAAATACTCACAATAATCGTTGGTACAAGCCTAACAAAAGAAAGGTGAATAAAAGCCAAGGTGAAGTGGGTTAAATGGACTTACGATGTAACACCTGTTTCGACGATCTTCTCGGCAACGGTTTTGAGCCCCTGGCGATAAGCCTCCTCGTCTCCATCATATACAGAGAAATCGAAACCATAGGCTCCATTAATTTGTATATCCATCAAACCGGGGCTACACTACATTGAGTATGGATGAGAACGTAGTACTACCACAAGCATACCTCACGATGTTACCTCCAAGGTCGATGACTCTGGCAGGCCTCTCCTTTCGCAGGAAGAACGTACGCTGTAGACGTGGCCCACATCAACCTCCTCAGTCATAGCCGAGTTTACGAAAGCCTCACTTGCGAATCCAAGACGACCCCCCTGCGATCGTCAATCCAGAGGTCTTTCTCAATAAGACTGCCATCCTCCTGTGGCAACAAGCAGTTTGTGAAGCAAACGAGGCCGTTGGAGGAAGTCATTTCATGGGTTGAAGGTGGTGGTTAGAGATTGAATTGTCCATATTTGAAGTCCTGGCAGGTGGTCCTGCATGACTATGAATGGACGAGCATATGGAGTGCATGGGTCGGTCCGGAATATTCGGTGGGAGCCTCAGATGCCCTTGTGGTGAGTGCGAACGTGCCTCTTCGTATTTATCGACGCACATACAACAAGCAACATTGAGTTATTGAACTGCTTTGCTAAATACAAAGATAAGACAAGCGAGTTCTGCAGTGATAGATATCAAGACGGTCGGTAAGCTCTCGGCAGCAGTGACTGCTAAAAGAGGCAGACTGTCAACCTCATGCTTGCAAGCGAAAGCTGTCCGTCATTCTTCTTGCTTTCATCTTCTTGTGGTCTCTTTCCATCTCCTTTCCCTCCCCTGAGCGATGCAACAGACTGTGAGCTCCGTGTGTCAGAAAGAGGCTTACATGTGGCCGCCGGAGAGTCTGAATAATTCTGAGCGTGGGAACGAATGACTACAGATAATGCCTTTCATCCGTCGTCTCCATCCGATCCTATATTTCTTCCCTCTAGACCTTCGTCCTCGTTCCCCTCCGTGCCCGAGTCATGGCCTCTCCATCTCCCCCGCCAATATTCGACAATCTTCCGGGCTACTCTTTTCCTAGCCATCGCCTCCACAGGGCCCTTAGAGACCCCGCAAAAGAGCCGCTCGTCTTGGTCGCATGCGGCTCCTTCAGTCCTATAACTTATCTACACCTACGCATGTTCGAGATGGCGAAGGACTATATTCGTCACAATACGAACTTTGAAATCGTAGGAGGGTATCTCAGTCCCGTCAGCGACCAGTACAAGAAGCCTGGTCTACTCGCCGCGCACCATCGGTGTGTATATTTTCACTCCGATCGGTTCCTGCGCAAATTGAATATCTTCCTGCCGACGTAGAATAGCCATGTGTACTCTTGCAGCAGAACAAACTTCGAATTGGCTTATGGTCGATTCATGGGAAGCCATTCAGGACTATCAGCGTACAGCCGTTGTACTCGACCACTTTGACTACGAGATCAATACCAAACTAGGGGGCGTTACTACTGCGGATGGCGAGCAGCGCCATGTCCGGATCATGCTCCTCGCAGGGTCGGATCTCATTGCGACGATGAGCGAACCTGGAGTATGGACTGATCGCGATGTACGTTTTCTCGTATTTACCCGGGTTTCGCCTTGCTTGCCCGGTCAATATGACTCCTCTGACTTGAAATGTGTGACCTCTAGCTTGAGCATATCCTTGGGCGCTACGGGGTTATGATTATCGAAAGGGCAGGAGCAGATATGACGCAAGCCATTGACAGTCTGGCGCGATGGCGACACAATATCCACCTTATACACCAGCTTATCCAGAACGATGTTTCCTCCACCAAAGTCCGACTATTCTTACGGCGTGGACTTTCTGTCCGTTATCTGCTCCCATCGCCCGTGGTGGATTACATCGAGGAAAATGGACTATATACCGACGACGGTCCGATCTCCGCGGCGGCCATTGGGGCTGCTATTGCGGAGAAGGAAAAGAGGGAGAAGGACAGGGACGGGAGCAGTCGAGAGGCAAATCCCAGCGCATCCAAGCTACAATCATGATTCCCATTTTTCATTTTTACACAGCGTCATATGTGGTCCACACCATCATCATGACCACGACGCTTTAGGACAAACAAAGTTTCTGCATCGCATCTCGACAAGTCAATATTAAAGGGAGGACTTGTACGTTCAAGAAAGAAGTTTTTTATTTATATAGATCTCGTGTCGACATGTTGATCTGTGCTCAACTGTATACCTTGCTTCATTTTTTTTCTTACGCCGACGTATCTTCCGGCACTTATACTTTCTTCATTACCCTTCTTATGCTCTTTCTTCTTAGGGCTTGGAAAGTTCTTGTTTCGTTTGCATTGCACATGAATCATTGTAATACCTGCTACAGTAAATGTTAATCACCGGCTGTTCCTCTTCGTGTACGTTCGTGGTGTCGTCCTGACTTTTCCGTCTCAAGGTTGGTGGACTGTCTTTTCGTTGATCAAAGCTGATATACTTAGCCGACCTCACGACTCCACTACATGCAGTCGATGTTTCAACATACTACGCCAAAATAGTGGTAACAATCATCGCCAGCTCTAACGACAGAGGAAGTATCTTACACATCCATCCGCTATTGACCCGTAGAAGGTATGTCGAAGGATCAATGTAATGCGATGTTTATCAAACCATTCGAAAGATATACGAAAGATACATCTTCAGATGATGCTATGTCCTTCGTCGTCCCTGACGTTTCCGTCCACGAAACTTAATTGATAGGTACAAGAGTCGTTCTCTCCAAGCCCCACTCTGTTCGCCGATGCAGTATTTTATCCACGGCCCTCATAAACCCCAAAATATCTGTCAATCTGTTTGTAAACAAGTAGTATTGTTGATGAGGATGGTGCACGGCGGTTGCGGTGTTGATAGTAAGTTTGCGCAAAGCCGGGAAACGTACGTCATACGTGATCTTGTCGGGGCTTGGCCGCCTATAAAGAAGCGTGCTGATCAAGTGTTTAGAGAATGAAGCGTGTATCGTCAACTCCTTGACACCCGTCCATACGGAGAAGATTTCTAGCCATAACTCTGATTCGATCGATTGTCCAATAAGTTCTGTGGGTGCCACAGTGAGATCTTCGACGGCATTGAAAGAAAGCGAGTTACAGATGGATCTTATGTTCTCCACACCCGTAATGTAGCCACCCTGACAAAGAACGCGGAATGATGCCTCGCTCTCTGCCTGATGAGTCCAACATCTCATCTCTAACATATGAAGTCCCCAGGTTCGATCCTTGTTATCGATGCAGACTCTTTTGAAAGGTCCATTCCGCTCCGTTATGGCAGCTATTTTGGCCTGGATAGAACGAATGAGCGGTGAGTCCGGTAATGCAACAGGAGGTTCGAGATCGGATGCGAGATGGATTGTAAGACGCGCTGTTGGAGGGAATATCAAGTGATCCAATGTATTTTCGACACAATGGACACATTCTGGATTGCAGAAGAGATGCAATGACTTGAGGTGTGGCCACCGACACACAACGAATCCGTCACCGAGGATATCATATCTGGGTTGGAGGACCGCCTCTTCCATCATAGGCATCGCAGCCAATACGGTAAGTAATTTCGTTTCAGAAGGGAACATGCATCTGAAGAGTATCAGGCACGTAATGGTTGGTGCAAATAACGGCTTGACGCCAAAATAATGGAGATCGGCGAGACATAAGAGCTCTAGGACCGGAAGACCCCCCGCTTGGAATAATGGAATATAAAAATCGCCCTCCCAGTCCCTAAGTTTAAGGGTCCGGAGCATTGGGGCTGCAACGTCTTTGAATTTAAAGAGCCTCCGGGAGATGCCTGGTGGCTGATTGAATATGAGATGACTGATACGATGAAGCTGCTCCAGCACCAGATTGAATGAACAGATGATACGTGCTGGATCAACTTCTGAGTCCTCGTCATCGTAGATGTCCTCTTCATAGGTCCCAGAGAATTCCGCATGGACATGCAATGGAATATCTCTGCTGCGAATCAGGAACTCTTTGATGCACTCCTCTACATTTGGCTTAATCACTATGTTTCGAGCCCATAACGTAGGACAACGAAGTGCAGCTTGACGCCACCAGGCGCAGATGTGTGTCACCCGGATCCACTCATAGGACTGTGGGCCGCGAAGCCTACGTGTCAGAGCAGTGTGAATCATGAAGATTTCGACTAGGATCTCCTCTGGAAGGCGATTGTATGGAGCTAGCTCGTCTTTACCTCCGCAAAGGACATCGCAAAGTTGGGTATTCAAAATAGCATCTGCATCGCGGAAAGAATCCGTCGTGGCTGCGATGTCAAAGTCTTGTCAGTATCTCCTTATGGACAGATATGTAAGAATATACCTGTATCCATTCCTGCCAATATCTAAGTTATCAAGTCTAGGTTTTAAGAACATAAAGTCGAAAACAAACTCGGATAAAAGAGATTTGTGTCGCTGCAGCCATCGATCACTCAGCGATCAGGACGTCTCAGTTTGGATATTCTTCAAGATCATCTTCGGAGTCACTCTGGTTGCGCTTGCCATGTATTAGTAGCCCTTCGAGCAACTGCAAATGCACCGAAAAATGGCATTGATTTTAAGCATCCACTGGAAATAGATCGACTTGTGCACATTGTTACAGTCAGGATTTCAGACTGAAATGAGCGTGTTCGTCTCATGGGCCTGAAGCCATCGACTGAAGGCAAAGATTCGGTAAATTTCAGAGCTCAGATTTTTGAATCTGTAGATACAGGAATAGATAGCACAGGAAATAGGAAATGGATCTTGCTAGGAACAGCGACCGGAAGCGATCAAACATTTTCCAAGTGACTGTATCTAAACTCTCCAACAAGATCCCGAAAGGTAGCTATTCGGGATTCAGAAAGCTTGATTGAACCATGAATTTCCAACCTCCTCAATCCATGTTTGTTGTCCCTACACATTTCGTCAACGTAGCTCTGCAAACGATCCAAGTCGGTCTCTTCTATTGACATCCATTCTGGGGATATTGGAGTCGTGATAAAGAGCGTATGGAGCTGCGGAAAGTTGTATGCACGTTCGGTGGGCGTGTCGAAGTAGGGTTTGACAAATGATGCGAATGTTAAGGTGCCGCAAAGTTGTAGAACCTCAATAAAGCCTAGGTAGTCCACCAATTGCTGCCAATGCTCATCATCAATCCTACCGCCCAGGGAAACAGCTCTGAGCCCTGATAAAGGCAACTGTTGCCACAAGGCCCACCGTCTATCCATAGGAGGTGACTGTACTCTGTCTCCATCCAGAGCGATGCGCAATTGGAAAGTGTCAAAATTGGGCATAGCGCCATCAGTCCAATCTTCACTTTGCGCTATAAAGGTTACACCTCCAGTGTCGTTCACCTCAAACTTCACGCTTCTGAGAGTGGGAGGTGCTCCTATTACTCCATTACCACTTAGCTTGGATGCGATCGAGTTGATGGCGTCCAAACTACTCTCCATTGTCGATGACGAGAAACTTTTGATCGTCGCATCGATGCTTGTGGACGATGGAATGCAGAGCTGGTCAAGAAAAGCCACGTCGCATGGGAAGTTGAACCAAAGACTGAGGTGCTGTAAACGGGAGAGCATCACCGTTGGCATTGCAGGTCGTTCTGAAGTTTGATCACCGGCAGGTCCTGGTGTAAGCTTAAGGGTTTCAAGGAGGGGAACAGATGCCAATGCGACTAGAAAGGCGTGCATGGACGGCATGTCCTCAAATTGTGTGATGTGGAGGTGGCGAAGGGTTGCATGACCAGCAATAAAAGTATTTACTTGATCAAGAACACAATCTGGTAATTCCAGCCTTTGTAAGGATGGGAATTGGACGCCTGACTGTAAGGACGTCTGTGTGGCGGGAAAGAAAAGGTCAACCTGATTTGACCTAACTGTCAGACTGCGAAGGAGAGGATAGGTGTCGACAAAGGATTCCATGACTATAGGAATTTCGCGCGAAGGGATTCGTACTTTGATGCTCCACAGTCGATGTAGTTCCTCAGACATCCGTTTCAAGCAGGATGTAAACTCTGGCGATGCATCGGTTTGTACAGGTAGCCAAGCCCGCAATGACAGGGGCACTCGTCCCGATCGCAGCAAAGCCTCCGAAAGCGTGTCCGGCTTTACGGATTTATCCAGTAGAATATAACTCCAAAGTATCGGACTTTGCAGAGCGACATCTCTCCAGTAGCGACAGACCTGAGCGATATATGCCCAGGAGTATGGGCATTGGGCCCCTTCCTCCTCGAGCTCAGTAGCCGCGTACGAAAGAACCAGGCTATGAAAAATCGCGCCAAGAAGTTCAGGTGGAAGCAAGTTTACGGAGGATGGAGCTCGGTGGTCATCATGTCGCGTTGATCGAGGTTCCTCGACAGCCTTGGATATCTCGCGGACTTTCAAGCAGAGGCTGCTAGCAACACTTGGTATGCTAGGATCGGTATTATCAATCATACTGGTACTCGGGATAGAAAGAGGTCGTAATGTCTGGACACTAGTGGCCAATCAGAACTGCAACATCACGAGCATATACAACACGTACGGGTACAATATTTCCATGACTTGCACCGAATCAGGATTGCACAATCTTCAAAATCGCAAACCAATACACCTACTGCGCCGATGGTTCTGGCGTGAAGGCAGCGGAGAAGGCACTGCGACTCAGAGGGCTCGAACCCCAGACTTGCAATAATGTGGGCGTCTAGTCGCGAGTTAGCAGGAATTTTCCCACAATAATGACCTCACACAACTCAAATGTACACCTCCACGTCCTGTACTCGGCTCTTGAGACAATTCATCCACCATATCGGTCATAATAACTCTTGTAGACCTCATTATCGTCTTTTGCATCAATTCGTTCAATACCCTAGAACCGTTTCGAATCCTACTACCCTAATACACCATCGCTTACCAAGGAATTCTCTTCGAACGTTCTCAAGCAGTAATGTTGTCCGAGCATCTTTAGCATCGCATCCTCCGGGACAACCAACGGAACTGGTGTATTATCCAACACCGTCATCACTTCCACCACCGGAGGATCCCGATGATCCCGACGTAGATTTGGTGGAACCAGAAGAGGCCAGGATAGAAATGACTGAGCGAGCCGCAGAAGTACGCACGACTGCTGCCAGAGTACGCGTCCGAGAACTTGACCTCTGCTCTCTCTGTAGCAACTACGTTCCATTGCCAAACGACAAGGAAATTCCAATGCGGCGTTGCGAATAGCAGTCGAGAGCGGTGGATGTCATGGGTACCAGTACAAGATGGAACTTGCGACCAAACGAAATCCCGACGACTAGTAAGCTATCTCTTTATTAGGTCTAAAGAACGACTTTTCAATCCTTCTGTTGTACAGTCACTTCTCACATCCTTCCGTGAGACCTTCGAACATTGTCATTGATGCTGTATCTATGTCCCTCTTAAAGGGTGCGGTGGTAGACTACGCGACTGAGCTCATAGGAAGCAGCTTCCGCATATTGGATAATCCACAGGTGAGTACATCCTTTTTTTTTTTGGTTCATTCGCTAATACGATGACTGAAATGTTGGCCTTCTAGGCGAAAGGCAGTGGATGTGGATGTGGTGTTAGTTGGGAACTCAAGATATAAACGTCAATCGCCCGACGACTGAACATTAATACTCTAATTTATTGGGTTATGACCACCCGTGCATATCACAGACAATACTTTGTAGCTATAACATTTCACTTCTCGATTCGTCATGTTGCGTTCATGATGATCTAGCTCATCGTTCCCCTACCAGGCTACGACGTATCTCAGTTTCTCCATGTGTCCCAAGTTCTGTCAAGGCGCCCGGGCTTAGTTGGATTACACTCAGCACCTTCAGCCAATGAGCACCTTCTTATTACAACTCGACTCAAGCCTTCGATGACGCGTCTTCACGGCGTTCATCCAAGGCGACAATCACCAGCCCACCGTCATCTTGATGATAACTAGATTCATCTCTGCAGTCCGCGACGGCTCTATTCCACTTTGATCTGTTCTTTATATCAGACTTGACCAAACCTCTAGGGGATATTCTACCGCTCAGGGTCTGGAGTCTATCAGGGTACTGCAGTGCATCAGTTTCAGACCGAACACTCGGCGTATGGCAATGCCATTGCTCGACTGAACCTAAGGCGAACGATACGAACTATCAATGACTTTAGAACATGATCGTCTCACGCTGTCCTACTATGCCTCATCTCTGCGAGCCTGCGTTATCGCAGAACCACGTGAGGAACCGTGCGGGGTGAGTGCCTTGGGGCTTTGAGACATCATAGTACTCACGTTTCCGTCTTTGATAGGAACTTTGCTAAACCCAAGATGTCCCTGTAATGCGGCCGCAAGTTCGTTCTGGAAGTGCGGACTTGGGTCGGGAGGGCCCAATCGTTGAAATTCTTAACTTGGTCTGTGCAAGTGATCTATGGAACCTCTCGCGATACAGATAATTGCGAAACAATCAGGAAGAGATTGAGTTGATGCACCTGAAAATGACGGGTTCATGGAGATGCATCAAGTGGCTCAGGCTCACGCACCAACTTCTGCAAATGATGTCATTACTTGAGTTTTACACTGGAGCAACCAAGGACTTGGGGAGACAGTGTGGCGAGAATGACGTTGGCTGTTGGTATGCACCTATGCGCATTATCTCAGTGTTCTGCTATTTCTGCTTCGTCCGACAAGGTCCCGAAGACCGACATTCCTTCTTGACATAGGATTTCTATACGGATTTCCTTTCTCCATGCAAAGCCAACAAATATCGCCGTCCCGACCACGAGGACACGGTTCATAAAGGTTATTTGAGATCCTCAGATTACTTTCCGAACGCGCACTGCTCCCATTTGGAAGAACGGTATGATCGAGAGACTATGTGGGGAACTTGGGTCTTGCGATTTACGTGCGATTCTGGTCACGGTCCCTCAAGTATTTATGGCTGCTCGTATCACCCTCATGGTCAAACCTCGGGGCATGTGTTTAGGTTAGGATGTTACTTTCTGCTGCGATTTGGTACCTTTGTCACCAGAATGACTTTTCTCTCGAGCGTATGCTCGAAATGCTCAGTTGACTGCTAATATGCAACCGGGCCTTTTAAGCTGGTTTACAAATTTTCGCAGTGAATGCTTTGCTCTAACGTCAGGTGGAATATGCAAGTTTCCTTGGCAATCGATTTTTTTTTTCAATTCAGACTGTCAGTCAAGATTGAAATGCCACTAACTACAGTATTGGTACTTCGAATAAGAACTGTTAGGGGACAAGCATGGAAAGAAAAAGAGGGTACACACTGTGCGAAACCGTTTCGGTTTGATATGAGACATGAAGAAATGCCGGTAATAGTTTTTTATGGTCTTGGGCATGGAACCGTTTAAATGTCACTGGTCAGCTATTGCGGTAGCAGTTGGGTCAACAATCGGCCAACTGTCCATCTTTCCCCTGGCTATTCTGAGCCTCTGGAAGCAAAACCCATCTATCCAGGGCTTTCGGAGGAAAAGGGACGCTGTGCATGTGGGATCAAGGATCAGGAGTGTGAGAGAGGCAAATCAACAGATTTGGGCGCAAGTTAGGCGATATAAGTCCGCCCGTCGCCAAGTTCGCTTGAAATTTCTTTCCATTGAACCGTTCACCTCCCAACCACCTCTCCTGGCCCTTCCTCGACCCAAATGCACGTAGTCCCTCCTCTCAACATGTCCAACATCCTCGCACACGACGCTCCTCTTATGTCCCCAACCACCGCCGAATGGGATCACGTTCCCTTCTCACCGACCCAGCTCGACACTTTTGGTCTTCAGCTTCAATATCCTGTTTCTCCGACACCTTCACATGCCATGAGCCATATGCAGTCACCTATACCTGCTGCTATGATGTTGCGAGGCAGGCTGAGCCCAGATTACTCCGACTCTGAACCCCAGATGTGTGTTCCTACCCATCAAGTGTTCGACTGCCCACCGGCACCTGTTTCTCCTGAGCCTGCCTCAGAGGTTGCTGAGCCCCCAGCTAGGCTTTCCATCACTGTGAACCCTCCTTCGAGCGTTGTTCCCGCAAAGCGGGCTTCAAGCGCGACGCCAAGCACAAGCAAGAAACCGCGGGCTGCTGAGCGTGTTACGACCAAGGACTTCGTTCCCCCCGATGTCTCAGGTCTGAGCAAGAGGGAAGCTCGTCTGGTGAAGAACCGTGCTGCTGCTTTCCTGAGCAGACAACGGAAACGAGAGGAGTTTGAGAACATGGAAATGTATGAATTCTATTCGTTTACTTCTAGACGCTCTTCTTACTCCTTCTCATAGCCGAGTAGCGGAACTAGAACAGGAGAATGCTCGTTTGCTTGCGCTTGCGAATAACAAGCCTGAGCCTCAGGAGGATTTGGTCTCCGAGGTTGAGCTGCTGCGCCGTCAATTAGCTGCAGCTGAGGAGCGCGAACGCGAACTGAACGAGGAGCTCTCACGTAAAGAAGCTGCCCGTTCGCAACCGGTGAAGATGGAGATGGTGGAAGATTCACCTTTACCATCACGTTCGGCATCAGTACAGCCGCAGATGAAGAGCGGAGCTAGCCTCGGTCTTATGGTATGCATAATTTCACATTAACAAATATTTCATGCTCAGTTTGCTACAGGTCTTGCTTTGCGCTTTGCCTACGCTTCTGTCGGTCCCTACGCATTCGGCGCTGCCCACTTCGTTTTCGTTCCCCATCTCGGATTCTTCTTCCCTCCCGCCATCGTCCTCGACATTCGACATCAATTCGTTCATGCCGGGCGACTTTGACTGGTCGTTCAATGGCGGGTCGATCATGGACTTGGACGTAGACAACCACGGTCGGGTGAGCGGTTCTACGCTTTCGAGCGCAGGCAACGGCAAGAAACTGGAGTTCGTCGACGTCGATTCGGAGGCGCTTGGTTTGAGCGGTTTGGACATTTCGTTTGATGCTCAGGCATCACAGGACGGCAAGATCCGGGTTCGCATCCACCCTCCTCCGGCATCGACGCCTCCCACTTCAGCCCCTTCGCCCGAGTCGCATTCTGAAGGCGAGGACATGTCGGTGTGGGGCGGTAGCGAGGTCTCTGGTCCCACTTCTGATGCGAGCTCGAGTTCTCTTGCAGGTGCACTTGGTAATCCACCGGAGGGGGATCAGCTCGGGCCTTTCCTTGGTATTGGCGGCGATATGGACTTTGGCTCGCTATCACATCTGTCCGGCATGTCGATAGACGCAGGTGGGGTGGCTTTCCCGCCGTACTCGTCGATGGACACGGGATTTGACTTTGGCGGCTTATCATCGACATCCTCATCTGGCCGGCGTAGAGTGAGGATCGCGCTGAAGAGCCTTCCTGGAGAGGGCGCTGAAGGCGGCGAGTGGGAAGTCCAAGTCTGCTGAATAGAAATGAACTTTCATGGTCGTTATAATGGTTTGAATATGTCTCTTTATTGCGGGTTATTGTTAGTCTTGGTGACGCTTTCTGCCTTCACCCTCCCCTCCTCTCTACACGTACATTGATCGTTTATTACTTGTCCATGGCTCTCGCTCTCGCACTCGTTTACATGCACCCTCTCTATGCACACTTATACAGATACATATACATAGCACGCGTCTTGCACCCTTCTAGTTCCTAGTATTTCTTTTTGAAACTTCGTACCCCTTCTCTTGTTGTATATATTCAAAAGTAGGATAGCTCTGGCTGCCTCGGTTTTTCTTCGTGTACATGTGTTGTTTATTCTTTCTTATAGTGACCCTGCCATACATACCCTTGGAATAGATACCTTCGCGTAGTTTTCATGCAATGATCCACTCCTTTCGTTATGCATTCCTTACTTAGACTCGGCGGAGACGGACTTCATCAGATGGCGACATCATAATATCATGCTCCGCGTCCTTCATTCTGCCATCTGGGGTCAATCGTCTGTTAGACCCTGGGGGCCTGGAACGAACCTTGCAATTATAGCAGTCAAGGGTAAACTGAACACCCACTTTGCGAAGCGAGGAAAAGGTTGCTGAATTTTTATGCCAATTGGCATGCTTCAACGGCTTGGTCTCGTCCCAGGACAGCTTGGCTTGAGCTTTGCGATTTCCTAACGAAAAAGAACGAGTTGGGCTCTCATTACGGGATGACTAGTCCAGTATGCTGACTGTCCACAATTGAGAATAACGTAAAGTGTGAATGTAAGATAACAGCGTGTCTATTCACTCGGCTAACAAAAAGCGTGCTTTTCACTCCTTCCCACTGCGGTCAATGCTGTCATGAGCACCTCGATTGTTGAATATCTCATCATTCACCGTGCAACAGAAGGCGTACTCTGATAGAAAGAGCAGCGGCGGACATTTATTAATGATGTTTCCTGCGATAGCCCGGAACGTTCATCGATCATTCCGAAGAGGTCATCCAGGAATACCCAGACTTGCTTGCGAAGAACTCCCGCGCCGTAACTTCTCCCTATCTCGTTATCCTTCACAACGATTACGTCTCCTGCCAGTGGGATCCCGTACCATTTCCAACATGTCGACAGACCCAATCGCCACCAAGTCACTTTTTGTTGTGTACGCTCCGGATTACCCTGATCCGGAATGTGTGAGTCGTAGGTTGTCCGTTCGACCTTCGCATTTGGAAAATGCCTCCAAGCTCAAGGAGCAAGGGCTTCTTAGTGAGTGTCGTCGCACTTAGGTCGTTGAGCCCATGAACATGAAAATCTAAAAATGAGAATGTTGCGCGTTTTGCAGAGATTGGAGGCGCTATGATCACGCCGGAGACATACAAGACAGATCAGAAGAAGATGGCCGGTTCCGTTATGATCTTTTCTGCAAACACGCTTGAGGAAGTTCGCGAGCTCATTGAAAATGATATCTATTATAAAGGCAATGTGGTGCGTGGTCATAGTAGTTAAATGATATTCAAGGCTCAAGCGATCTTTCATAGTGGGATAAAGAGAATCTGGTTATCATGCCTTTCGCATCGGCGTATCCTTTGTAATTCCCTGAGGGTTTGGATCGCATGTGTGAGTTCTTCTCGATTTATCAGGTATTCATTGGCGGTTCAAATGATATGGAATTCTACCAGCTACAACCTGTATCTTCTTTCAAATTGAAAATGTATAATGTCCGCCATCTTATCTTCCGATCCGTCATATACCAGGTTGAGAACAATTCGTTGCGACTGCGACATGTATTATTGACATGTATTATTGAACGACGCTTGACTGGTACATCTGAATAATATTATGTCAGTTCTGTCAATCTACTGGGGTCGTGGCTTTCGGGGAAATCGGCCACGCTTATGCTGCGAGGCGGATTTACAACTGCCTCTGTGGAAGACTACAAATCCGGCAATTCATTTCATTTGTACCGCTTTTGAGAATGCGGACGAGCAACGTCGGACAAGGAACTCCGATAACATCTCGACGGACATAGGCAACAGCATTGCAGTATGCAAGACATCATAGTGATAGTAAACCTGCAAATCGTACAAAGAGAGGACGGAACAGAAATCATGAAGACAAGGTCAAGGCATCAGGAATGACTCGTGATACATGCTTCATTCCCGAATCCATTGCCACCTTGATTTTGTCGTAAGTAATATAATGATCGGACGTCTCCATATCAAAGTCTTCATCAACTTTGTCGCCGTAGATAATTCGCCTATCACTTACCGCGTCCATTGCGGACTGGCCGTCCTTCAAGATGCGGGCGACTTCGCAAAGCCACATGGAGTATGGAGCAAACTCCTCAGAGAAACGAAGAGCTCGGACACCGCGGGTTACCAACCGTGTCTTCGCGTCAGCCACTGCAGCAGCACCTCCCTCTTCCCAATTCTTGAGACATTGTTTACGTCTTGAAATGGATGTCTTCATTTTTGCGCTGATTGGGAGCTTCACCGTGCACCATACAGCGACGTAAAAGATACTTTCAATGTCATGTTTGAAGTAATGCGGAGAGTTTGGGTTTTCGAGAATATCAACCGCCATGAAAGGAAGGGTGCCCGTCCTATGTCTCGCTGTGGCACCAGTTGGTTCTCCTTTGTGGTCAACCACACTGCTCGTATTAAAGTCGTTCAAGATCAAATAGACTATGCCTTCGTGAATCTCATACATATGCTTCAATGGACGGAAGGATCCCTGACGTTTCTATCAGGGTTGAAACCCATTCGCTGCCGGAAATCCAACCATTTGGGTTGATCAGTCCGTGTATGGCACGAAATGAGCCAGATGAAAGCGGTAACCTCTCTAGAGGTATCTGATGGTGGAATGATAGCCAACCTGGTAAGATTCCTCATACCTTTGCCGACTGGTCAAGTCAATTGGCCTCCACTCCATACCCTTACCGTCGCATTTTCTCCTGTTCGTCCGGCGGCTCGTGAAGATTTGACTCGCCTTGTTCAGGCACTGTGAGCACGTATGCGCGTTCGTCACGAACCCATGGAGCTGCGTTTTATCCACGGTTGCGAGGTCAACCAGGAGCAATTTGCTGGCTTTCGTGACGTGGTTGGGCAACTTGAACTTTCCATCCTGCCGAATGAATTTCCGCCTGCCAACACGATCATCTGATCATGGTAACTTATTGATTGTTGTTCAGTTTGCTATTTTGTACTCATATCCATATGTTGGGACAATGGGACAACTTGGTTAAGTTGGTTTCGTTCTGTGCTTGAATTGACGTAGCGTCAAGTCCATTTAGTTTACCTACTATAGTATATTCGCGATATCTGGATCTGCGAAAGAACTCCCACGCCGCTATCTTCTCTAAATCCATGTTTTTCGCTGTTAACCTCCTTTCTCAATGATATGTATCATATCCCGTACCATGTATTTGCACCAACTCAAAGTCAGGCTCTCCTCACCTGCCCACAATCTTCGCGTAAATCGGAGCTTTATGTTAAGCACTTCAACACAGAAGGTAATTATACCAAGTCTTTCTAGTGTTTTGGGTATTGGCCTCGAGCGCAATGCCATTTCCGTCGGTTATGTAGGAGCGGGTCAGTCGGACCGTCGCACAATGAAGTCATAAGCAACCACCGAATGCGACTCCAATTGGGACAATCACTTTCGTCAATCTCGACGATGTACTTCTTAGTTTGACCAGCTGACTCTTTGTATTTTCTAGTTCTCTTTTCGTGTATTATTATCTTGTATCAATATGCCATTCAAACGCCCAGCATCAACGCGTTCTCCGTCTTCTGGACTGTCATCTGCATCCGACTCGAAGGAAGAAATTGCAAACCCACCGAAACGCTCCAAAGTCTCGAAATCTCCTAAAGCGCTTCCAAATGTGAAGGTTTACATCATACAAGCCAAGCTTAGTCCTCAGCAGGTGGTGAAACTGTCTGCGTTGGCAGAGAAGCATTGTGCGAAACTATGCATGGACGTAGACGAAGCGGATGTCGTGGTTACCGCGATATCCATGAGGAGAAGGTTAGAGAGACATATGTCATGGGATGTCGCTGTGAGTGCTGCTCAAAACTAGTCATGTCCTGTAACGTCTGGTTAAGCGGGATCACATAGACAAGCAAGGCGATCGTTACTCCAGAATGGCTGACCGACTCAGTCAAAGCGAGTCATGCATTGCCTTGCGAAGACTATGTTGCAGTTGATGATTTACGTGCCAGCACTTTGAAAAACTGTCCGGATTGTAACAAGTCTCCTTGTCAGTGTGACGACACCGACTATGGTACCCCAAGGTCACCAGTCGTCTATCCTTCACCACCGTCTTCACCTTCTGCTTCTACTAAGCAAAAAATTCTTTCGAGAGACAAATTACCTCTTAAGGACCTTGCAGAGCCTGCTGCTGCTTCATCGGTTTCAATACCTGCACACTTGCTTCCCCCACCTGATCCTATCCCAACCAATTTGGAGCAGCTGTCATACCTGTCAAAATATGCTTGTCAGCGTGCATCTCCTCTCATATGCCCTAACCAAGAGCTTGCGGTTGAGCTTGATATCCTCAAGCGCAGTCGGGGTTTGGAAGGCGAAGAACGTAGCGCTTTGAGCTACGCGCGGGCGATTAGTGTGGTTAAAGGTATGCCACCTTTCTCGGACGAACGTTGCATATTCTGAACAGGGTTGAAGCATATCCACATCGAATCACATCTAAGTCGCAAGTCCAGAAACTTCCGCATTTCGGCGTGAAAATTTGCTCACTTGTAGGTCGAGGTTTAAATTGTGCTCTTTACGTATGACGAATGTGGGTATTGTTACAGGTCGAGGAGTTCTTGGATACCGGAGAAATATCAGAAGCTCGTGCGTAGTTTACTTGCGATCTTCTGTACCCACTGCTTATCGTGGTCCAGGATCGATCGCTTCTTCGGAACGTTTCAAGACTCTATCTGACTTTTCATCCGTTTACGGCATTGGTCCAAACGCTGCTCAGAAGTTGTATAATCTTGGTCTACGAACTCTCGAAGATCTTGAGATATATTATGGGGTTGATCCAACCGACATCGAAACCAATTTGATAAAGCTCGAGAACGAGGAAGCTCCTCGTGGCTCTACGAGACGCAGTCAGGGTCAAAAAGACGAGCCTGGTGAGAGCTGGATCAAGGTCGCCTTGGGGTTGCGTAACGATCTGATGAAGAAGTAAGATTCGCATTCAACTTGGTAAGGCGGGTGATTGACGGCTCGTTTCCATAGGATTCCTAGAACCGAGGCGGAAGAGATGTCTCGTATCGTTATGCAGGAACTCGATGCAATCGAGCCAGGCTGCGTATCGACTATCGTTGGCGGCTTTAGACGAGGAAAGCCGGAGGGTAACGATGTCGACATTGTGTTTACCCATCCAGATGGCGGCATGGTTAAAGGTCTCTGTAGACAATTAGTCCAGAGACTGCATGAGCGAGGGATGGTGACTCACGTTATGCGTATGCCGTCGCCTTGAACGTGATACAATCAGTCACTGACAACCAGGCCGTAGACTTATCCAGTTTTCATGGACCTAACCCTCTGCGGACCGCACACTGGGATTCACTGGAAAAGGCGCTAACAGTATTCACCCTTCCGAAGTCGTCCCCTCTCTATACTGGTACTCGGAGACGACTTGATTTGATCTTCGCTCATCCAGACGTTTACTGGACTGCGGTCATTGGATGGAGTGGGTCTGTCATGTTTCAACGAGACCTTCGTCAGTGGGCCAAAGACAAGTAGTAAGTTACCCTGGAGCCTCACAACGCTTACTGTTTCTCATGCCTGATTTTTCCAGCGGCATGAAGTTTGATAGCTCAGGGATGTACGTTAAGCCTCGCACTATTGTTTGCCACAAACGCTCAGCTGTCTATCCGTCTAGCACCCGGCGACATGATTCTAAACCGTTCTATCCAAAGACAGAGAAGGAGGTGTTTGAACTCTTCGGGCTAGAATGGGTGGGCCCGACCTGGCGAAATGCGGATGTCTAATCACAATGATGAGCTTTGTTGATGCAGCTCAAGGGTGAGTAAGCCGTTCTGATTGTTACAGTCTTTCTTATCAATGGTGTGCGCGCAGATATCGTACTTACTATCAATTTTCTTGCCTTTGGCTCTAGGTTTGTCGTCGTATATTCAGAGTTGACTTGACAATGGCTCGGATGGTTACGGATATTCAGCATTGCTTAGTCCATACGAGCTCGCGGTCTATCGGCTGCGCTCAATTGCAAGTGTACGCCCGTTGCATAGCTGACAATATTCAAGGTGGTGGATAGTCATTTTGGTGGCTCCATTGAACACGTTCCCCCTTTCGTGCCACCCAAATACGTTCACATTGTCAAGAAATAAAGACAGCGCGGAAATTAGATCTCTTTCGGACGGAATCGTCCCGTCGAAGTCCAAAGAGGTGTTGCGGTTGCTTACAACCCATTGGACTTTGATGAAAGTCGCTCCGAGCTTTTCCATGATGTCTATGGTATTTGGGCTGTCCGACATTCGAATTCGGAATTAATCACCGCCGGTGTGGTGTTGGACCATGCACATCGGCGAAGACTGCGCATGATGCTATAATTATCGATCAGGACTCAGTACTCGGGGGTACAATAATAGCACGTCTATTTTTGGGATATTCTGGCAAAACTGCGTTTACACTTCAAGTGCATTGCTCTGACTTCAGAAGCTTTGTACATACGATCCCTACGTTTGTGCGGTTGTAGGGTGCGTTCCATTTACTGTGCATCAGTCTACTATCTAATGCAGAAGCAAGTAGTCCTAGGTTCTAATTCTATCGTGCAAAGCACTCATCAGAGGCGGTCGTCTAAAGTGACATTCTAGTCTATTTCAACAGGTCTACATCTTCCAAGCAACTCGATCTGGCTCTTAACGCTGCGGACGGGTGTAGCCGATTTACTCCGAATAACCATCGTCACGGACAATAGTGATGCGCATCCCGTGCATGCGTCCGATGGAAAACGGTTCTTTGAAAGTTAGCGATTCCGCTACTATCTTCAACGGCTTGAAACCCCCGTTCGGGCTGCAACGGTAACGAACTACTGAAAACGTTCGAAACCCGTCAGTCACCGGTACTCATCAATTAGAACTGTCCGACTAGACGATGCGTATGCCGCGCGGCAACTTAATCTGGCTCAGCAGCGCACTTTTTTTGACGTGGCGCGTCGTGAAATGCTCGTCTAGAGTGGTGTCGCCTTTGGTGGCTTGTAGTATGGTTGTGTCCTATGAGAATAGCGCATGACTTGCATAACGCTTCGGATCTTTCTTTCAGGTACCTACCCTCTCCCGCTATCGTGGAATTAGCAAAGCGCCTTGACAGTCCACCGTGCCTACCTGAAGGTGGGGCTCGCAAACGCTATAGGAGATGCCGTGCACAGGTATCTTTGGAGACATATATAAGGGACTCATGAAAGTCGACTGAAGACAGCTTGCTATCTCACTGTTCTTCAGCATGTACAAGCTACTGTCTACTGTGCTCTGCGCTGTTCTTCTCGCAAATTCCTCACTGGGGGCACCAGCTAGTAGCTCACCATCGTCAACAACCTCCACCGTCGATGGGAATGTAACTAGCGGAACGACGTCCAGCACTGCTGCAACGCCTAGCTTCACGGTACCGCTGGCCAGTGATGATCCTAACGATATTGAGTGGAATGTGACGACAACTGACAACGTTCAACCTATCCGAGGATCGCTTGGTGCCACAATCCTAGGGCCTCAGAACCTCCCCATTGACCAGCAAAACCCTGATATACTTGCCCCGCCTACGACCGATGCTGGTAGCGTGTATGTCTGCAATATGCCCTCTTATTGCTAGCGACATTGACTTTTGCGGTATAGACCCAACATTAAGTGGCCTTTCAGTCTCAGTCACAACCGAATTCAGACTGGTGGCTAGGCTCGCCAGCAGAATGGTATGTAGTCACAGTCTGACGTCTTGGTGTCATCTTTCGCTCATTTGCCTTTAGTCCAGGAATTGCCTATTGCGACTTGTCAGTGAAACGTATGATCGTTGTTGTTGTAGGTGCTCACGATATTTCTCTTCGCAGCGATGGCCGGGGTGGATATGAGGCTTGAGGCTGGGGCGATTCGGTATTATTTTCAATTTATTCCTTACCTACTCCACTGAACCTCTGGGCAGTGAACTGCACTGGCACCAAACTGCAGAGGTATGTCCGTTTGTTAAAAGATGGAATAGTAATTTGACCCATTTAAATCTATAGTGGGCTTATGTACTAAAGGTATGAGCGTCGTCAAACACGTTGAACCTAAGCTCATCGAGATTGTCAGGGCACAACCCAAATTACTGCAGTTGATCAGGATGGGAAGAACTTCGTAGCTAACGTGGTGAGCATTTTTTTCTTTACTAAGAGTCAATGTGAGCAGTTCGTTACGAAACATCTAGGGACCCGGTGATCTGTGGTATTTCCCTCCTGGTATTCCTCACTCCTTGCAGGCAACCAACGACACCAAGGAGGGAAGCGAGTTTCTTCTCGTAAGTGATATCTGCTCTCTCTTACTACTCGACACTAAGCAGTACAAAAGATCTTTCCCGATGGAAACTTTAGCGATGATGACACTTTCTTGGTAAGTAGCAATGCATTTGTGTACGAAGAGTTCAGGTTTAACAGATGCGCCCAATCTCTAGTTAACGGATTGGTTGGCGCACGTACCGAAAGAAGTGATTGCCCGCAATTTCCAGACGAACATCGCTGCATTCAATGAAATCCCCGGGGAACAACTATACATTTTCCCTAGCGGTACGTGACTATATAGTGAAGTATAGACTAGAAAAACGTTACTCATGAATTTGTGATAGATCCGCCTGCTAACGACGTCCCCGTTCCGGATCCACAGGGTCAAGTCTCTCAATCGTTTGCCTTCAACTTGTCCCAAGTTCAGCCAACTCAGTATTCTGGAGGAACAGCCAAGATTATCGATTCGACCACCTTCAAGGTTTCCACCCAGATCGCTGTGGCTGAAATTACGGTTGAACCTGGTGCAATGCGGTGAGTGTTCACGCGCCATATGATCTTGTGCACTCGCGATAAATGGCTTATCTCTCTCATATTCAGGGAACTTCACGTATGCCGTTCCACTCGTATGCTGTTACTGCCTTCTGACATGATTTTATTGACAAGTGGCATCCTACCCAAGACGAGTGGGGTTTCTACCTGTGAGTGCGAAGTTTACTCTGAACATCGAATCAATCAATCATTCTATCTTGCAGCGAGGGCGCAGGTCGCATGACCATTTTTGCCTCCAGCGGTAACGCTCAGACTTACAACTTCGAGGTATGTGTCGCCTTAGGTTTACAACGGCCGCTAATCAATATTTTCGAACAGCCTGGAGATATCAGTTTCGTACCTGCGACATTCGGTAGGTCGATCGCGGTGACTCCAGATATCTCAACCTGATATCCGTATTTTAGGACATTACATCGAGAACATTGGGAACACAACCCTCCGCTTCCTCGAAATCTTCAAGAGCGGTACGTCTGTCATTGCTGTACAATTCACTACGAAATTCAGCTGAAGCATGCTGCTTAGATCGTTTCCAGGATGTCGGCTTAGCACAGGTTAGTGTTCAAGCAAAATTCATGCATAATCTTTACTGACAAGTCGATTTGTAGTGGCTTGCTTTGACTCCGCCCGCCTTGGTCAAGGCTCATCTCCAACTTTCTGACGAGACCATCAGTCATCTCAATAAGACCAAACAAGTCGTTGTTGGACCTGCGAACTGATGGTTATGCGTTGAACTCAGCGGTACCAACTTCGAACCCGTGGACTTCGAGGACTTTTGAATTTCGATTTTGAAGTCATTTCTAAGGCTACATTATAAATCCTCATGTATAATATCGTTGATACACCTGACCGCAGACAACTATACAGGATTTCTGGTCAATCCGTAACGGGAAGAACCGAAGGGTGATGCTACAGCACTAACTTGAAAACCTGGAAACTTTCACCAGCAGTACTCAAAGAAGTAACATTAGTGCTTCAAAAGTAGTCTACCCCAGGCAGATCTGAATACAGATCTATGGCAGGGAAGGGAGGAGAGACGACCCGTAATCCAAAACACAATACCAGAAAAGCTCTTGACATGTAGTGGCAAACAGCTCGCTGGATGTCGCTGGATGTCTGAATCCTCTCGTCGCACCATAGAACTTGAATGACACAAAAAAGTCTATTTGTTAGAATCCGAGTAACGCCATTTTACTGCCTCAGATATCCTTGCTTCCCGCCCGTGTCAATCCGAAAGGTCCTCGAATCGTTCCGGGATAGCATCAAGATTGTGGTGTTTAATTCTTGGATTAGAGACTGGGGTAATCTCTGGTTGCCTTTCTACAGTCAAAGAAGATGCGTGAGACCATTCGGACCCCATTGAGCTGAATGAAAGAATACTGGAGGAATCAGACGATCTGGACCCCATCGTGCTGGACGAAAAGATGCTTGGAGAGTCATGCAGTGTAGAGTATGCGCTTGAACTGCCACCCGGCATGGTCTCCTCCTGGAATGACAGACGTTCATATGGTGTGTCCTCCATTGATGTGTTATTTATGAAGGGCCAGTTGGGCATCATCCAGGCGATGTCCGACGGAAGTGATGAAGGTGAGACATTCTCATCATCCAAATCAAACGGATTGGTGAATGTTTCGTCTTGTTTCAAGTGGGAGAGTAATGATATAGATGTCGGTGATGAGCTCGAAACGAGTTCCCGTGGCTCAGACACAAGTACACCATCCATATCGCCGGCCTCTGGTGGATTAGAAGGCAACTTTGAGGACAAAAAAACGTCATCAGACTCTTGGATGAAATACTGGGCAGAAAGGATGCAAGAAGCAACAAGTGATGAGATGTCCGGCCTGCTCGATGGGCGACTAGCCCAACATTTTTGAACGAACCTCCAGTCATCTAGGCATAATTGGCCGCTAAAATCAGGGTTGACAGAGGGCCATTCGGGAATGGCTCCCTCCAGCACCTTAGCAATCATCTGGAAATCATGACGGAGATGTTTGAATGGTGGATAATGTGTATAGACCTGGGGCATTAGAGTGAGATTTCAGGTCAACTCGGTATCACAGCGTCTTCACTTGCCTCCAGCCAAACACACCCAAACGCGTAGACGTCGCTTGCATAATTCGATCTTGAGCCACGGAGCAGTTCAGGAGCAAGCCATCGCACTGCACCTCCTCCCTGGGAGCCAGCGCTGGCGGAGCTCGCGTCCGCGAATTGTGCTAATCCGAAGTCCGCTAATTGTACTCGAAAATCATTGTCGATAAGGATATTTGCCTATGAATACTTTCTCAGCATTGCTGAGATCCGTGAAAGAATACGGGACATACGCCACGCAAGTCACCGTGAACAACCTTTTGTAGGTGAAGATACTTCAGGCCGAGCGATATTTCCACGAACTGATGCAATTAGATGACCAGTCGTAGGAATGGGCCAAATTACTTACCCAGCGCTCGAGAGGTGCCACCTTGCCCGCAGACAACAATTGATAGACGCAATCACTGATATTCCCGTGCTGCATCCAAAGAGACACAATGCAGCAGAATGGTCGAAACGTGTCGGGATCCACACCGAGGAATGGAAGAATATATTTATGTCGCAGACCATGCCAAACAAGTGCCTCTCGACAAATCGCCTAGTATCCGAAGAGAATTATGAATTGTCATCGACAACCAACGAAGGAAGACGCACGTTGTACGTCACCTCCACATTGCGGCTGCTAGACCTCTGAAACACGCGTAGCCGTTTCAATGCTACTGGGCGATTATTAACAGTTGCCTTGAAGATATCAGCGCACCCTCCGAGCGCGACTGGATTCCGGTCCACGCAAAGAGTCCGACAGAATAAGGATGGCGGAAATGTGCTAGATACTTTTGACAAATTCACCAGTAAGCGTCTCACAGAGTATGGGTCCCAAGGAACGTGAGTTCTCTTCCACGCTTTTTCAGCAACTTCATCAAGCATCTACTAAAGGTGGGCGAGGCTTGAAGAGGTTTGAAAGAATGAAAGGACGCATCTCCAACATGCAGTCCATTGCTCTTTCGGCCTTCTTATCTCTCCAACTGAACATTTGACATCTAAATTCCTGGGACGTCACGGCATCGATTATCTGCTGGCGGAGATCCTGGGGTTGTGCCAAATCGACCGCCTCCAAAGTAACTGCTGCATTTGCCTTTTCGTTCTCATGGCCATGCAGAGTCCCTGGATGACATACAGATCTATTCTCGACTGCAAGGTTAATGTCCTAGCAACTTCTGCCAGCAAGAACATACCTATTATGCGCAAGGTCCTAACATCCGGCCTTCAGGTAAGGTGGCACTCACTCAGGATCAAGGCTGCTGATACGGAGCAAGCACTCTTGCACTTGTATTCTGCACGAGAAGGGTAAAAGGGCAACTTGATTACACTAAGGAATTTTCTTTGCAGCGCCAATACAGGTGTGGGGGGTGCCGACTGAAGACCTAACCAAACGGGTACCCGTGGGTACTCGGGAGTCTGGGGCCCTGTGCCGGGAGAAACTCTGAGAAACTGCGAGGATCGCCCAACGGCATGCACTCGCGTTGTAGAACTGGAAGTCTAGAGTTTGTGAACCCTTCAATATCTGTTCGTAACTGACTTTGAGAAGTGCAATGAACCTTCGGAGAGTGAAACTCGCATACTGGATACTTTCCAAAAGGTGGCCTATTGTTCCGCAAATAGCTGGTGAGGCAGTGTGCGGCGACTCTCAATGGCACGTTCCCAAGCGTCAATCTCGAGAATCAGGTGGGACTTACTTGGAGTTCAGGGTTGGTTCGGGGTAGTTGGCTTCGTCTCCACACATGACTATGAATATAGAGGCTGAAACTGAGCCTAGACTATGAAGACCTTTTATCACAATCGTTGGGATCCTGCAATAAGCGAGAGGCGACTATTAATGTGGCAGTGACCGTAGATTGCTGAACAGGGAACGTCCGTACCACTTAAGCTACATAATAACTTTTTGTGCGAGAGGTTGGTAAGTACTGCGAAGCACAGCAGAACGCGAAAGCAGGCCTGAGGTTAAGAATAAGTCATTTGGCGCCTAAGCACCATTGAGGCCGATCGTATATTGTACTGCCTGCCATGATGATGTATTGACTTGGACAAATGTCCCGACCTCGTACGAAGTTCGCTCCTTACATCGAGGCTTTGAAGGCGATTTCAACTCGTACCGGATCACCATTGCCATCGCTGGTCCTATCATTTGCCATCCTGCATGAGTTCACCGCTATAGCGCCGCTTGCTGGGTTCTTTCTCGGTGCACGAACACTTGGAGTAGGCGATCGAATAGTACAACAGGTTGCTCAACCACTATCGGATCCTGATTCGGTATATGGCAACTTGGCAAGAGAGAAGTGCAGACAATGGGTAGATGAAGGCGGAAAGTGGGCACAGAGAGTTGGAACTCGCTATGGAGTATTTGGCTTTGAGAAGCAGAGCAAAAACGATAGGACTAGAGCGGGGCAAGAAGATGCCGTCATCGTGGATGGTGCCTTGTCTTCTAGGCTGGCTGGAGATGCGGCAAATGCGATTCTGGCATATGGACTCACTAAGGTATGATGCATATTGTCGTTATAAAGCGTCTTTTTCCTCATCTCGTCAATGCTAGGCTTTGCTTCCGGTACGAATAGGACTGTCACTGTATTTTGCACCTGCATTTTCTCGAGGAGTAGTAGAGCCCTTGCGCCTTACATTACTACGCGTATTTCGTCGATCGTAGTAGATGTGGAGGTTTATGACATGATTTGTGGGACATCTACAGTGTACACTATTCGCTTTGGTATTTTCTTATAGTCTAATATTGAACAGTTGAAATCGGTTTCAAATGAATTCTATTGTGGGCGTTTATTTCGAGATGCCTGCCCTGAACCGGCGTAATGCGTTATAAGCGTGATGTCTGCGTAATCGCTCCTTCGGCTCTCCCCACTTGACTTCGCGTTTGCGATTAGTTCTGTTGGGATCCCACTGGACGAGTAAGTTGCTCTTCGCCCTGATTACTTTCTCTCATCTGACCTCTGTCTTTGCAGCGGGCGTCGTTCGGAAGACGGCTGGAAGTTCACTTCTTTCACCGTTAACGAGATCGTCCGTTGATGTCCGCAGTGAGTTTCCAACATCATTTCAGTTTTGCACATGTACTTATGTCTCATTTCAGCATCTCTTCGGGGATATGTGGATTCAGGGAATGTTTCGGGCCGTTTGCTCGCAACATTTTGCAATCCCAATGAGGGTTGCCGTATCTGTCGCGCGGTGCTGAATTAGAGCACGCTGCTGACTTTTTCTGCAAATCAAATACCCCAGGCCATCCAGTCCTATGTTGAAGTCACATTACATGCCTGTTCCTTATCCAACTCACCATACTCGTACCTATTGCGACTCCTTCTCCACGCGGCTGGCAATCATGGCAAGTTACGTCGCCAGTTCGGTGTGTCATCATTCCCATACCCCAATTACCGAAGTGCCAAGGACCCATGGATGTCGAGAGCGAAGTGGCGGGGAATCCCATGAAGGGTTTTGTTTAGGAGCCGTGTATCCAGTGCTCAGCCGGCGAGCCAGTGTGCAAGCTTATTTTTCAGAGTGCGACCGACCGGGTGTTATGTTTCTAGAGCTGCCGTGTGTGACGGGTGAGCCTTTAGAATATGAGTTTGGTCGAGTTGGACTTGTAATTGGTGTATGCATGTACTTACCGAGAATGTCAAGAGTTCTCCAACTGTGGACTAATACATATGCTATCCTATGTTATGTCTGGTTGAGCGTCGAGCAAATTGACATCAAGATAGTATTTTGAGTATGATCCCAAATCTCTTATGGTCAGCCAAGTCTTATCAACCACAGCACATCTAATGTCAAGATAGATATCTGAGCAGTTGCATTGCCAAACTCAAATATGCAGTGTTCTCTAGTCCCATTAGATTGAGCAATATCATACGATGTACAACGAGTTCTCTTGGGGCGCAATTATGAGTGACCCCCGAAGAACTTCCACACCCTCGCAGCTAACGAAGCGTTCTCCTCTGCCCGTGCCTTCCTCTCCTGCTCCAATCTCTGGGATGTCTGTTCCGGCGTCTCAGTCAGCTTCTCCGGGAGAGGCTTTTGGGCCAATTCGCGAGCTTGCACGAGGAGGCGTTGACGTTTCGTCATGGTAGATGAACGTTTTCGCTCGGGGGTCGAGGAAGTAGATCCAGAAGGAGTTTGAGCCGTCGACTCCGAATCTGAAGGAGTCGCAGTAACTTCCTGGGTCGTTTCAGCTTCTACCTGAGCGGTGGCAGCATCGACCTCTTGTTGAGCATCCGCAAGGTGATTGGATTCAGCCGCATTGATCTCCGTCTCAAGCTCCTCGGAAATAACTTCTGATTGCTCTGCAGCCTTGCGAGTCTTCCTCAAGACGATATCCCATCGTTCCTGAGCCTCGGCCATTCGAGGGTTGGGAAGTTCGTTGGGCTCAGATCCTTGTTGGCTCGAAGGTTCAGAGTACTCAGAAGACGCGAAACCGCCCCATTTCGCAAATGCCTCTCCGAATTCGAGAGTGCTTTTTTGCCCCATGCCTTTATACTCCTGAGTTTTGACATAACGGATGTGAAACTCTACGATAGTTCACCGCTTTGAATACAACCACCACGAGACAGACAGGATGTGCTTACTGGTTTTCTCCACTTTGACGTCTACAGTTTTGAAGCCCTCCTCCTCGGTCTCGGCAGACGTGATGCGGGATGGCATATCCCAGCCCTGGGTATCCTCGATAATCTTGTCCTGGTGCTCTAAATAGACACGTAAATCAGCTAGTCCAGGACCGCCTTGTTGACTTCGCGACACAATGGGGACCTTGACTTTGACAACAGTCCCGTCATCAGGTATTTGAACATCATCTCTAAACTCGGCTCGTAGGTAAGGTTGGAAAACGTCTGCGCGGTCGATATCCTGGGTAAAGATACGTCAACGTAAGAGACATTTTCAGTGTGGTTCGAGACTATACCACACGTACCCGAACGAGTGCAAAATCAAGGATTCTTCCAAAATGTCTTTCGATACCACGAATAATCGCCCACGCTTCTGGGACGGAGTTGATTCCATCCCAAGGACGGACGAATACTGTCCGTCTTCGTCTCAAATCACTCAGTGTCTGGACAGCCGCTTGGCGTCTTGACGAAGACGCAGATGTTTGCGCTTCAGAGAGGGTGGACTGAGCACGTCGTGAACATTGTCGGACGGTCGTCCGTCCCAACGAAGAGAGCATTCGAAAGTCGAGCAGGAGGAGGAGGATGAAGTGTCGATTTCGTCAAAACATGAAATCGCGCGCGCTTGATTGGGGTTAAGGTTAAGATTTATCTCGACGCGCTAGCGGCTTTTGAGGACTTGCATTTATACCTTGCTTACTACCCTGGTGCTAACTCAACTCTATCGTCCAGAGAAACAACCTCTGGGAGATGGGAAGGGCAGAGATAGAGTCCTGGATAGCTTCTACCTCTAGCGTTTCAGAGGAATACGATGACTCGGCAAAATCTGGTCCGCTTGAATGGCGAAGAGAACTGGTCCTAACGGATTGGGATCAAGCACTTCAGCTTGCTCAAAATAGGCTGCTCGCTAGCAGTACAAAAGCTCGTATACAGTTCCTGAAGGAAGAACTGTTGTTTCTCGCAAGACATGCTGGTGGGTACTCACCGAATGGCATGTCGATCTGACATTGACGTTTGCCGCAGATCTTTCATTATCACAAATGCTGGATATATTCAAACTGGTGACCCAGACGTATACCCGTTATATGGATACTTCATCGAGAGAAGCTGTTGAGGATGTTGGCATCGAGCTGGTGCGCCAGGATGAGCAGCGCGAGCAGCCACTTGGAATCACAGAACAGATACTCGGATGGCTTGTAAATGAGGTTTCACAATTCGCCAAACGGCCAGGGTACGTAGGTCCCATATTTAGATTTATTCATGCTCATTTGTTTTTCTCAGAGGTTTTGCGGCTTCAGACATGTTTGTGTTACTGAGCTGGAGCTGTGGATTGTATGCTGTTTGCTTGAAGACAAACGCAAATTTCACTAGTACCCCGACGTGGCGAGCACTAATTGGTGTCATGGCAATTTTGGTGGATTTGCTGCTCGACAAGTCGAGTCATGCGAAGCCGTCAGTGCGCAAGAGCACTCTCGTTCGCGCTCGACGCGCTTTGCGTTCGGTACCGAATTTTCATTCGTGTCATTCGGCTTCATACTCATTCCCACCCAGAATCCTGAACACCTTCCAAAAGTGATGGATACCCTTCTTGCAATCGCAAAGACCTCCTCAAATCCGTTATCTGTGGCTCCTCTACTTGGTATTTCCGTCGACGTGACACTGAGGCTCAAAAATGTGAAAGACGAAAGCTTGACTCGTGTTTCTGCCGAACTTAAGGTATAGAATTACCTTCCTTTCTAATGACCACGCTTACCGTTTTACAGGACAAGATCATCAATTTTTATAGTACTTCTGTGCTCATGTCAAGGACGCCTGTCGCGTCGCATGCTTCTGTAAGTACTCTTGAATACATCTCTGACTTCAGCTTACATGATTATCTTAGACCGCCCTGCACGACTTCATCGAGACCTACGTCACAGAAAGTGATCTTGCGACCACAGTGCTTCCGACGATGGAGAAGTCCCTCCTTCGTTCACCAGAAATCTCTTTGAGTGGTAAGGATCTCTTTCTTATCTTCACGAGCGGGGCTTCTTACGTTATGTGATAGTGATCGCCGACTTCTTCTCTGCTTATGCGCGAACTATTGAAGGTGACATTTTCCGCAGACTCTTGACCCCAGTCCTCAACAGTGCCAGATCCGCTAACTCGGTTGTACGAACCAATGCTGCTCACCTGTTCCGCGTAATCATCGCCAAGACCGAGTTGTCGGAGGACTTCGATCACACTCTTACCGAATTACTCAGTTTGCCCAAGGCTGGCAAAACATCCGGACCTGATCATCGCGTAACCCTTTACACCATGCTGTCGTATTTGGTCCCATCCAACGCTGTATCACCGAAAGTCTTGCAGTCCATCCCTCCGCTGCTGGCGAAGGAGACTCATGACTTGGCTGTAACGATTCTCGCATCTGGCTTAAGTCCACACTTGACGTACTGCTTGCGGGAGGATATTCCTATACATGCTGATACTGTCACGCTGATCGTGAAGGAGATGAATGGCACCAAGCCAGTCTTGCGCCGTGCATTCTCAGCCATGACCGGTGACGCCATCTGGAACCTAGGTGTAGTCTCAACGCCGACATCCCTAAAATTCGTTGAAGATATCTTGCCTGCTTTGGATACAAGTTTGAAGACGGTATCTAGCAATCCTCTGGGTACCGCAGCAGGTCCATTGGAGGGTTATATTGCTGTCGCAGTTTTGCTTGGACCTTTATCTGCAAGCGGCAAATTCGGTAGCTCTCTATCGTCTTATTATCTGTAATATAACCTGATCGTATTTTCGCCCTGTGCTTTGCAGACGATTTCATTTCCCGCAATGCTACTATTCAAAGTTTGGTTGCGACTGGCGTCAAACCGTCTTTCTTGATTTGGGATAAGGTCTATCAGAAGCTTACTAGTGCGGACGAAGAAGTTTGGCTACTCCGTGCAAGTGAACGCGCCTTAGTCTTCTGTAAGAGTCAGCTCTTCCAGAGTGAACAAGCTTGGTCAGTTTCATGACCTTTTTGTTTTTCGATCACCTACCAACGTATCCGTTTTAGTTCAATGCTTGGTTTTGTCTTCCTCCATCTGGCCGTCGAGTCCGCTTCACCTGAATTAAGACGCTCGGCCAACGCTTCTCTTGCGAAGCTCGCACCTCGGGAGCCTGAAATTCTCATCAAGACCGTATCAAACGCGTTGACGTCCTACTTGACAAGAAGCAAACAGCCAACCAAGGGTCATGTAAGCGACGAAGAGCATGAAGCTTCTATTAGCAAGTCATCAAGACTGGTGGCATTCCTACTGGCCTGTGCATCTTTTGGAGAGAAGGTCGAGAAGTGCATTAGAGAACGGGTACTGATTGACCTTCTTGTCCTCGCACATCATCCATTACTTTGTAAGTCCATTACATGCACCTATGAACTATTAACAGAACCTTACCATGCCTGCTGACTAGGTGCGCATTCGAGACAAACCTGGATTGAGTTGTGTCAAGCTGGTCGGATAGATCCTCATGACTTGGTTAGCTCCCACGCAGAGCGAGTACTATCCAAGGTCTTAAGCGCTTGCGATGTGCAATCAAAAGTATGTTCTTATATACTATCATATCTTCTTTGATAATGAATTTTTTCCCAGTCGCTCAACCCGAGTTTCGCGGAGGCTAGTTATCGTGCCGTGACTACGATAGCTTTTGTAGCACCGGAGGCTGTGGTCCCTCGTATCGTAGAGCGTATCGGGCTCGACCTAAAGGCAGACACCATAGAAGCGTTGACTGATGAAGATATCGGCATCTGGGCGACCCCAGATGGAACTACCTATGTCGATGGTAGGTTTGAGATTTATTCTTACCTGCAAATTTTCAAACATCATACGTCTTTACAGTGCTTGCTGGAAAGAAGCAAGATGAACCACAGAAGAAAGGGAAGGGTGCGAAGGACGCTCAGTGGGAAGCTGAAGTCCGCAAGTCCCTTGCACAGAAAAAGAAGGCTGCTGGTCCACCGGTACTTTCGAAACAGGACGCGGCTCTCGTTCAAGCACAACTTCAAAAGGAGGCAGTTGTCAGAGATCGGGTGAATGGTATCAAAGCTCGATTAGAACGCGGACTTCACCTCGTTCACAGTCTTGTCTCTGCTCGTGTGGATGAGCTTCGTGTCCACCTGTCTTCCATTGTGGAGTTGCTTCTTCGGGGCGGTTTTGGGAAGGCAGTAGCTCTAGTTGGCTCTACATCTTTTGAGAGATATTTGGTGAGACTGCTTTTCTGCGTCGGGTGGAACATATTCATAATGCTGTCTAGGATCTGTCAAGTTGTTGTTCCGATCGTCTCGACAACTTCAAGAGATGGGTCGGTATTGCAACTCTTCGTAGTCTTGAGGTGCAGGGAATTCCAGAAGAACTTCAGGCTGAGCCAATCAACTGTGAGTATTTGCTTTCACAAGAAGCGAAACGAAATCTCATCATATGACTTCTAGCGCTTGTATCCCGAGTGCTTTATCGGCTTCGTTCACTGTCAGAGCGGGCCCCCTTCGATTCAGCGACATACTCTTATGCTTATCCTCTTTTGAGTCAAGTCCTCGTGAACGGGGGTATCGGCCTAACTGAGGAAGACGATCCGCTTGAACAGATTGTACTTTCTTTGCAGATAGTGAAGTTCCACAGTGGCGAATGTAAGTTGACGTTCATTCCACCAGCATTGTCCGTGAACTGATCACCATTTAATTAAGTCTCTGACCCGGTTTTCCCCCGCACGAGAACAATCAATGACCTACTGCATACAATCAGGTATCAGCCAAAACTTGCAAAGGACGCGTCATCCACGTTAATAGAAATCGCACAAGCTATGCTTACAAATGCAACTCGTAAGGAAGTGGAAGTACTACTTCGCGGCTCTCTTAGCCAGGAGGTGTACGTCCGAAATGCCTGCCTACAGGCGTTGCAGGTATGAAGTTGAATTTTGTGTGTATTTCTCGTTCTAATCCAACTCTCAGCCATTCGACCTCACCGATTTGGACTGGTCTCCGCAACTTTGGATTGCATACCACGACGAAGATAATCAAAACGCTCGTCTGGCACAGCATTTATGGGAAGACAACGGCCTTGATGTTCCTCAAACTTTCTTACAAGACGTTCTCCCATACCTTGGTTTGTCGCTCTATCAATTAAATCCCCACGCTCCTCACATATGTCTATTCAGAGCATGACAATGCATATGTTCGTTCAAGCAGTGCATCTGCTCTAGCGGATGCAGTTGAACAGTGGCCATCATCCATTTCGAACGTATTGGAGGCACTGCAGAACTTCTACCGCGAAAAGGTGAGGATCATCCTTTCTCAAAAGATCATATATCCTGACATTCTCTCAAAGGCTAAGGTGTTGGCGCCTGAGTTTGACCAATATGTAAGTCCTTCTTAATTTTTTGAATACCTAAATACCTCCAACACGTCCGTAGGGAATGCTCGTAGCCCAAAGCGTTGATCGCGCAGATCCATGGCCGGCTAGACTTGCCATTGCTCGCACATTGGAACTATTGGCACCACATTTCACTAGCGAAACAGTGGTGCCACTGTTCAAGTTCCTCATCAACGACGAAGCGCTTGGCGATCGTCATCCGGATGTTCGCCGTGGCATGCTTCAAGCAGGGACTGCTGTGATAGACCAACATGGCCCACTGCGCCTTGCTGAGCTCATCTCCATGTTTGAAGATTATCTCGCAGCTCCGGGTTCTTCCAGTGAAGCTACAGATTATATCAAGGAGGCAGTTGTTATTCTGTTCGGGCGTGTCGCACGACACCTTGACCCATCTGATCCACGGATTCCACAAATTGTCAAGAGGTTGATCGAAGCCCTGAAAACTCCCGCGGAACAGGTTCAAATCGCAGTATCGGATTGCTTGTCGCCACTGGTGAAGATACAGCATTCTACAGTATCGGATCTCATAGATTATTTGTTCGATGAGCTCACCAATGCACCAAAGTATGCTGCTCGTCGCGGAGCTGCGTATGGGTTAGCAGGTGTCATCAAGGGTGCTGGCATTTCCACCATGAAGGAGTTCAACGTCATCGAGCGTTTGCGGGCCGCTGCCGACGACAAAAAGCGCTATGAGCCACGACAAAGTGCTATGTTCGTTTTCGAAACATTTTCCACTGTTCTAGGCAGACTTTTCGAGCCATACGTCTTGCATATCCTACCGCTTTTGTTGGGTTCTTTCGGCGACGCTACAACTGATGTTCGGGAAGCTACACACGATGCGGCAAGGGTAATCATGGCAAACCTCTCAGGCTACGGTGTCAAAACCATTCTCCCTTCCCTCCTTGAGGGACTTGACGACAAACAATGGCGATCAAAGAAGGGTTCGATTGAGCTGCTGGGTATGATAGCTTATTGTGCTCCGAAGCAGCTATCCCAGTCTCTTCCAATAGTGATTCCTCGACTGACTGGAGTTCTTACTGATTCTCATGCTCAAGTGCGTGCCGCGGCCAACAAGAGCTTGAAACAATTCGGAGAAGTCATCAGCAATCCCGAAATTCAGTCTTTGGTTCCTGTCTTCTTGAAGGCAATGGTGGATCCGGACAAGACCTCCAATGCTTTAACTGCTCTGCTGAAAACATCATTTGCGCATTATATCGATCATTCCTCACTTGCGTTGGTACGTGTCTGCTAACTAGGCAATCTTTGTATTTTCTTGCTTACACCGCATCCAGGTTGTACCTATAATAGAGCGTGGCCTTCGTGAACGTAGTGCGGATACCAAGAAGAAAGCGGCACAGATTGTTGGGAATCTCGCATCATTGACGGATTCAAAGGACTTTGTGCCATATCTCTCTCAGCTCCTTCCTCTAGTTCACGTGGTACTAGCTGATCCTGTACCCGAAGCTCGAGCTACTGCTGCCAAATCCCTGGGTACTCTGGTTGAACGGCTTGGAGAAGGCCACTTCCCAGATCTCGTTCCCGGTCTACTTCGAACGCTCAAGGCCGATACGTCAGGTGTGGATAGACAGGGTGCTGCGCAAGGTCTCAGTGAAGTACTTGCAGGCCTTGGAATGGAACGCATGGAAGGTCTGTTGCCCGATATCATCGCCAATGCTCAAGCACCTCGCAGTACTGTTCGAGAAGGGTTCATGTCTTTGTTGGTGTATCTGCCTGCAACGTTTGGGACTCGGTTCTCGCCCCATTTGCCAAGGATTGTTACGCCTATTTTGAGTGGTTTATCTGATTCCGAGGACTACGTTCGCGAAGCCGCTATGCGCGCGGGTCGTATGATTGTTACGAACTATTCGAACAAGGCCATTGATCTTCTTCTGCCCGAACTTGAGCGTGGGATGTTCGATCCAGGCTGGCGCATTCGGGTAAGTGATCGTGCAGGACGAGAATTCACAAAACTTATACTTTTTCGTAGCAATCATCTATTACACTCGTTGGAGAACTGCTCTTCAAAGTCTCAGGAATTAGTGGCAAAGCAGAAATTGAAGAGGAAGAAGTTGCAGAGACAGCAATGGCGGAATCTTCCCGCAAGGCTCTCATCGACATTCTCGGTGTTGAACGCAGAGACCGTATACTCTCTGCTTTGTATCTGGCTCGTCAGGATGCTGTCAATGTCGTTAGACAATCGTCTGCGCACATCTGGAAAGCGCTCGTGCACAATACCCCTCGAACAGGTTTGAGGTTTTGCCAACTTTTTCGCTTCCATACATTGACATCTCGTAACAGTCAGGGAAATTTTGCCTGAGCTCCTTACACAAATTATTGCTCTCCTATCCAGCTCTGAACCTGACCAACAGGAGGTAGGTGGCTATGATTATTTAAAAAGTTTTCTGACTCAAATAGTCTGTCAGACTGCAGCCCGCACCGTCGCTGAACTTTGTCGCAAATCCGGGGAGAAGATCTTGGGAGAAATCATGATCATTCTCCGCCACAAGTCTAGCTCGACAGACCCTCAGACTCGCGAAGGTGTATGTCTCTTGCTGTGCGAGCTAATGTGAGGACTTTCACAGGAAGATTGTGTACGATTTCGCTGATGAGACTGGACAATACAGGGAAAGTACTACAGATAGCCAACGGGAAGATCATGAGGACGCTATAATATCCATGGTCCGCGTTTCACTGGTTGACGATGAGGCTAATGTACGTTCCGCCGCTGCCAAGGCTTTCGATATACTGCAGGAGCAGGTTGGTGCGAAGGCAATCGATCAGACCATTCCTACACTTCTGGAAGCTCTCCGACAACCCGGTCAGAGCTCAGGTACTGCGCTTCAAGCACTTAGAGAAGTCATGAACGTATGTCGTACAATGTTTAGATGTGTGGTACCATGAATACTCATCGTTATCGTAGGTCCGCGCCTCGACTGTGTTCCCAGTCTTGATACCTACACTGACCGCCTCTCCAATGACCGTCTTTAATGCTCGGGCGTTGGCGTCATTGGTGACAGTCGCTGGAAGTGCACTTAGTAGACGACTCACTGTCATTCTCAATGCTCTTGTCAAGGAACTTGAAGCGCAAGATAAGAATGCCGAATCTGAACTTAAAACTGCGTTGGAGGACGCATTACGAGCACTTCTTCAAGCAATCTGTGACGCAGAGGGCCTGAATACGCTGATGTTGCTGCTTTTGGGATGGTAAGTAGCATCTAATCTACTATCCCCTTCATTGTCTTCGTTGTATGCTTATCCATTTCCTAGGGCGAAACATGAATCCGTGGATCGCCGTGTTAGCGCATGCAGCATTTTTACCATTTTCTGTCAAGTCTCAGAGTTAGACAACTCCCTGTATCGCGTCGACTGGGTTCGACAACTTATCTCTCTCCTGGATGATCCTCAAGTACCTGTGCATACATCGGCTTGGAATGCCTTCGATGTGTTCGTCAAGTCAATTCCAAAAGACGAGCTTGAACCACTTGTTGTACCGTTACGGCGCACTATCGAGGACACTGGTGCACCGGGTACATATGTTCCAGGGTTCAGTCTTCCAAAGGGTGTTTCATCCACTGTGCCCATCATCATCGCAGGTCTTACCACGGGAAGCAATGAGCAACGAGAGAACGCAGCGTACGCCATTGCTGACCTGGTGGAACGCACGGAAGAAAGCGCTATCAAGCCTTTCGTTGTACCCTTCACGGGTCCACTCATTCGTGTCGCAACACAAGCTACAACGTATCCTCCGGGCGTAAAGATGGCAATTTTGACGGCTTTGGAGACTATGCTCGAAAGGATTCCAGTATTCGTTAAGCCATTCTTCCCTCAACTTCAGCGCACTTTCGTCAAGAGTGCTAGTGACCCGTCGAGTCTCGCCGTACGCATGAAGGCAGCGCAAGCTTTGGGTGTTCTCATGAAGAATCAACCTCGTGTTGATCCAGTCGTGACTGAATTGATTACTGGTGTCAAGAACAACGATGATAGTATAGCGAGTAGTTTAGTCCTTGCTCTCGCTTACGTTGTGAGCAATGGCGATGCAAACATTGGAGAGAAGGCAAGGGAAGCATGCATGGATATAGTGGCTGAAGCGTTCAAGGAACATCATGACGGTAAGTCTAACTGTACGGTTTCTAGTGGTAATTCTGACCCATTTCTCCGCTATGCAGAATCCTTCGTGCAATCTACGGCTGCGTTATTTGCTGCACTCGCATCGCATCCTGACCTGCTAAGGCCCATTGTCGAGTACGTTGGATAACTTTACGATCCCAAATGATGCTAACTAGGACTTGTGATAGGGCTCACCTTGTAGCCGGCACGCCGCAATCTGCCCTGGCTTCCCATTGCATAGCTGCTGTACTGTCACCCAGCGAAGACGGGCAGAATAAGGACACCACTCTCTTCCACGATCTCTCGGTTTTACCGAGTGTATCTCGAAAGATTCAGGAAAGCGTTGCAAACGAAAAGCCTTCCATCTCACGACCGGCTCGGGAAGCTAGGGATTTGCTCAAAAGTTACGAAGTCAATCGCTAATTCGTTCATCATCACTATTGTCGTCGCATAGCTGCTATCGAAATCCTGTAATCCTAGACAATCTCTTCCTCGTATTCCCATTGTTACGCCGGCTGAGTACGATACCCAGACCAATTGCAATTGACGATGCATGTATAGGAAAGCGTGCAACATAGAACAATATGCTACATCTAGGAAACGGTGTACAGCATCATTAGACACATCAAATTTACCGTCCAAGTTTCGTCATGCTCTAAGTGTGCATGCTAGTCTAGGTGATTTGAATCTAAGTGGTTTAAATTGATCCTTTCTGTGCGTCCTCCATGTTGGCAGACTGCATCGTTTCCCGGATCTCCTTGTCAGTGGCTTTCTCGTCGACTTCGGCCTTAGTCTCTTCCCGGTCTCCAGTGTTTGCCTCTCGCGCTTGAGCCTTCAACTGTTCTTCGTCACCTCTTGTCAACTCCTTGTGACGGATCATCAGAACACCAACGATGGTTGCAAAGCCAGCCAAACAGGCATTCAAAATGAAAACCGCCCTGAACCCGGTAGTGTATCCTGCAAGAATCTGATTGGCCGTTGAAGGTGAAATGCCTAGATTCCCCAGAGGATTCGACGTCGAATTGGAGTTCAAGCGGGCACCCAAGATCGTGGGGTCATCCACAACTTGATCAATGATCGGACCAGGCAGAGAAAGTTTCGCCATGGAATGCCGAAGTGCGTTGTTGCTGCATTGTTCCATAATACACATATATCAGTAACGATGATGCGTCACTGGCAGGAGTATGGAAATCAAAGACAACGCACATGATGGTGGCACCGATGGCAAGGGAGAATGTACCTCCCAGCAACCGGACAAACTGTGAAATACGCAGATTCAACAAGAATCAAATACAGGCCATATAAAATACCCACATTGCGAACCGCCGTAACAACCGACATATCCTTTCTTGAGACGCTAGCTTGCGCAGCGACCGTAGTCGTTTGGAGAGTCTAAGATGAAAACAAAAGGTTGAAATGTTGCTCTCAAGCAGTGCGTCAGGCGACGATACCTGTCCTGCACCAGTTCCGGTCAACAGCATGTAGAAAACAAGAAGACCTTTCGGTGTCGCCGACGTGACAGTCGATAAGCACCCACAGCCTACCGCCCACACGGAGAAGCCGATGTAGATGATCATCTATATACAATAGATCGCAAACATTGAGCTCAGAAACGAAATGTGTCGTTGATAAAGTACGTACCCGATAGCGACCAGTTTTGCTTACTATCTGGCCCTGCAACCCGAGTCAGATTGGAGCAATGGCGTGACAAAAATTTCAACACTGACTGCAACGAAACTAGCCAATGTTTGGGTCACTAATACCGGAAGGAGGAAGACTCCTGACCGTATTGGGGAATAGGCCAGCGCAACCCGGAAGAATTGCGGAAGGTAAAACAAGCACGAGTAGAAAACCACGCCGCTGTAAAAAAATGACGATCGGTATTCTGTTGATAACATGGTAAACAATCATGTACTTGATAAACATAGTGATGTAGACTCCGGACACCGTAAGATGCTTGAAGATGTACACTGAACGGAAGCGATTCAGATGGTTGAGAAAAGGTGAGGCAGATTGGAGCTCACTAGGAACAATTGGCAATCTCGCTCCCTTCCATTCCCATAAGCAGAATAGCAAAACAACAAAGAGACCACAGCAAAGTGGCGCCAAGACGACAGCAGAGGTCCATGGGAATGTTACGCCTCCCTTTCGGATTGGATCAGTTTGCTGAGTTCCGACAAATTTTTGCCTGTATACGTACCCAGATGAGCGGCAGAGAAATCATTGCACATCCTGCAAGGGTGAGGATAACACCAAGATAATCAATAACCAAAAGTTTCCTGCATAAGTCAACTAGCTAAGTAAAATGTCCCAGACAATAGCTTGGTTATTTGCTCACCTGCGGAAATCGCCTCGGACAGATTTCAGAGGAAGAACGAGGATCACAACTGCCATTGCAACGGCGGATATAGGGATGGTGATCCAGAAACACCACTAAGAGCACGCATACGTTATCCGAATAAGCAACGGCACGGCCTTGCGTTTGGAAGACGAACTGCCCACCTTCCATGATACCTTCTGAGCCAATACGCCTCCGATTAACGGGCCAATTGCGAAACCAAAAGCCACAACACCACCGATGATACCTTGGTATTTTCCCCTGTAAATTCGGCGCGTGCGTTAGGACGCACGCTGTATGCGTGTAGACCTTTTACACACCTCTCTCGCAAACTCACTACATCTGACATTACGATCTGTACGATACTCACGATGCCTCCTCCACCGGCTCCCGCAATCCCGCGGAAAATGATAAGAGAAATGATGGAAGGGGAAAAACCAGCAAGTAAAGAGCCTAACATAAAGATTGTCATAGCAAGACAAAGTGTCGCCTTTCGGCCGAAGATATCACTGAAGCGGCCATCTTCTTGGGGGTCAAATAAATTTCACTAATGATGATACAGATAACTCACAGAGTGGTTGGAAGGCCGTGGAGGTCAACAGATAGGCAGACGGGACCCAAGATACGATAGATCCTGCATTGAATGCAGTTGCGATTGTTGGTAGAGCTGTCGCTACGATCGTGGAGTCCAGGGTTGAAACCAAGAGGCACAGGGATAAGCTGGCGAATACGACAATAACCTTCCTGAACGGAAGAAGGTTCGTCTGATCTGTCAATGTCAGCGCAGTTATTGCATCCACAGCTTTGAAAGCTTCTTCACGACTGCCATCTTGGCCATCATGATGGTGGATAGAGGGGACCCTCGTACTGGGCGAACTCATTGCCAAGCAACCTCACGTCCAAGGCCTTGAGAGTGGGGGCAATAAAAAGAAAAGTCTGTCTATGTGGCATGCATATATCTCGTGTTCGGCCGTACTTATCTTTCAGTTCGTCCGAAAAGATCTAATTATAGCAAGGTAACGTGTATAGATAGCTGCACGCCCTGTATGCATATCAGTATGCTGCATAGTCGGAACTACAACTCATCGTGGGATTAAGCTTGTGTGCTAGAGAGACTAAGTACCGTTATTGGGTGTACTCGAGTAGGATTAAAAGCAAGCATCGTCTTGACTTGCGGGAAAATGAAAGACATGCTGTGTAGGCACCGACATGGTCGTCGCTAAAGCGCTTCCCACGCTTCGAGGATAGGAGGATCGCCACTAGAAGTACTGATGAAGGTGTGCTCAATAACTGACATGTAATCCACATCATGATCCTGGTGAATCCACATGCAAAGCATCTATGATATCCTCAAGCGCACGATTTCCGCCAAGTCTTCCTAGTCCCTCTCGAATGTCATTCTCCAATGAAGCCAACACCGTGGCTGTATAGTCGAAAGATTTCGTCTGGTCTTTGAGATAGCTGATCGCATGTTTCTTGAGTGTCGGCGTTGTTGGTCTTTTCTGCAGGACGTCTGAAATGAGATGCACGAAACAGCTTTAGATTCGACGAACGAGGCATGATTAAAGAGGGTGACACGGGGAAGAGAGAACATACTGAGTATTTGTCTGTTGGAAGTGTTCGAACGCACGCCGTGGACAATAGGGAATGAGAATTTCCCCTCAGTTAGATCCTCTGCGAATCCTTTGTTATCGGCGTACTTGAATGAAGTTTGATTAAGCTAGAGATGGCAAACTAAACCGAATACTCACTTGGGTGCTCTGTAGGTTCATATAGTCGTCACGAATTTGGAAGTGAACGCCAATAAGGTTGACCAACGGCACATAGTCACTATTTGACAATATTCAAAATTAATTTCAAAATGTTAACGAAGGCATCCGTACATGTCAGTATTCATAGTGGCATAAGCCATCATCAGCTTCACGGCGATCCGGAACACGCCGCCAGTTTCTGCAACAGAGAACGTGAATATGTCATGTGTGAGTGTAGAACGGACGCTTACTATTATTTACCATGCTAATATAGTCTTCCTCCGTGGGGCACTGCAGCGAGTCTCGCCAAAGTAATTCGAGACCTTGGCCTCGATGAAGGTTTAGGAGTTCTGCTATCTCATCGTTTCAGTCGTAAAAGAAGGAGAGTCAAAGGGAAAAAATTGCTTACAAGTGACTACGCTGTCCAGATCGTCCACTGAAATCAATCTCTTCTGATTCGCCTCCCCAGATGACTTATTCTTAGCATCTTCCAAGGCTTCTCGCCGCATAGAGAAGAGCTCCTGATAAGCAAGAAAATACACGTAGTTGGCAGAGTTGATAACTTGTGGGATACCATAGATCTTGTGCGACGCTGAGATCTTCGATGAGGAAAGTTTCATTTTGTACCATAACACAGAGCTAACCAGGCACTCCCCGTCGTAATTGCGCATCGTCTTCGATATCGTCGATTCTGATGGTGCATTGATATATTTCCATTCACTGTGCAATGCATCAACCGCTCACAATAGACTTGCCGTATGCAGCATGCTGACAACTTTGGAGATGACGCGAAGCTTGTCCTCAGGAACGTTCAACCACGTATTGAAGGCTGCAATCATTTGTCCTCGAATCTCTTTGCCTCGAATATTATTGATGTATGTAAAGGGTTCCAGTAATGCCTGAAGACCTTTGAATAATACAAAAGCACGAATATCAGAACTCAACGTACATGCTCGTTAGCTTCTGACCACGCTGCGGATTCCCCGATGATACGATGGACATCAATGCGGCCTGCCATGTCTGAGTCCTATCTGAGAATGTGTAGCAAGGAACGTTTGAAGTGGTCGTTGTCCCTTAGAAATACCTTCGTATGGATAGGGGAGAGTCAACGTTGGGTGTCATCGTCAACGCGTCTGACGACCACGAATGTAGCTTGCATTGATCGATCAATACTCACATTAAGACGAACTACTACACCTACTTGATATAGCAGTTCCGCAATTGTCGGACTTCACTAGCACTACCTGAGGCTAGCCTTGGTTGACGATCGCAATTTGACTGCAACTGCATATGGCTAGTCCAGAAATGTTACACGCCCGTATTAATTTACAATTTATGTCCAGCCTACACTTTGATTCCGCCACCGTATAGACCAATTTCAGAGTTAGCACCCAGGGGGAATGATCGCGAAGACATTATCATGTGAATACACAGGCTTTTGTGCCTCGGTGAAAATATGTCGCAGACGAGGCGCTGCACTGGTGCGAAATACAGTTTCCTGCCGCCGGAATGTGCAGACGCTTAAATCATTGATTAGCACTGGAAAGGCAAACGTTTTGGGCATGTGTGGATCAAGGTCCAATCTGCATACTGTTGCTCCGAAGGCCCTACTGCAAATCAACGTATCAAATCATTATCCCACACAGATTGTTATGCATGTGCAAAGACAAGTACATGCGATTGTCGAAGTCGTCCTGCCAAACTTCCAAGCACTTCAGATAGCTGCTGACTAAGAGGTGTCTCCAACAAAGACATGCTCTGATCAAGCTGTGAAGATTACATACAAGTACAACAAGACATTCTCCATCCAAAATAAACCGCCCCAAAGTGTAAAAGGAATATACAACGAATGTTAAGTTACGAATCGTCGTAATTTCATGATTAGTGAGTGTCCCTGGCACTATTAGTCCTTTGTCCTAACCCAACGTGCTTCAATGCTTGAACACTCCGCCAACGAAATCTTCGCTGAAGTTGCGTTTGCGACGAGGCCGAGGCCCACGAGGGCTTGGCACATTGATTCGCCTGTCGCGAAGTGGTGGGAGGCTGGTCTGTTTAATATGTCAGATAACTGTCAACTGTGTGAAAGACAACTCTCACCTCAACAGTAAGCGGTATGTTCTCCTGCGATGGATGGCGTGGAACATTGGGGTCAATCCTATCCCCATAAGACAATCTGGCCGGCTTCACGATAATCTCTTCCGGAACATATTGGGCAACTCGGGCTTCGGATTCCACAGTCGACTCCCAAAGCAGCCGCTCAAAGACATCCATCGGTGCCATCAACAGATCCTCATCAATGTCCTCATAGAGACCCTTATCGAACTCGGTATCGCGGGAAGCCGGGGGAATGCTTCGGTTGAGTTCCTCTTCGAAAAGATGGATAGTCAGCTCTTTCGTCAACGATGTTGACGAGGACTCTGGTTTGGCCGACAAGGGCGCTGCGGAAGATGGAGCTGTAGAAGATGACATCTTGCGTGAATGATAGATGAAATCGGTGTCGAAGATCTCTGAACAAGGAGAGCTGCTGATTGAGCTAGTCGGGCTATCCGGCTGTGCAATCTCAGTAGTATGTACATCTGTCACTGACATGGCGTCGACACCGATGTCATCAGGTACGGGACTGACGACCATGAAGGGGCTAGTTGCAGATGGCGGATAAGATGTCTGGAAAGGAGTGAAGACGAAACTGCTCTGGGTCAAATCCCATTCTGCGGTGAACGTGAGAGCGGTTTGAGGTGTCGTTGCAGTGAAGGGAGGTAACCCCAGCGGCGATCGCGGTGGCGGAAGAGGAGAGGGGGGAAGAACGAGCTGAACTCCAGTCGTGAAGCCCCTTCGCCGGATCTTTTTGACATCTATAGGCGTAACATTGGCCTTCTTATGTATATGTAACGGTTCCACCTTGACCGTCTTGACCCCAATTGGAGTCTCGTCGATTTCCTGAAACAGGTTATGATGTCAGACGCATGAAGAAACAGACCAACGTGAAACACGTACGATCATGGGTAGTACTGGCGACGGTTCTGCTGAAATCCACTCTAGTCGTCGTGCGATACTGGACATTCTGCCCAATATCGGGGAGTCGATCATATCAGTATCTCCCAGGGTAGGAGAGTCGATCATGCCTAATTTGCCTAGCGTAGGAGAGTCCATATTGCCTGCTCGACCCAGCGTAGGGGAGTCCACGATGCTCCAGGCATTGTCCGTGCCGGACGGTTGAGTAAGGTCAACATACGAAACGCATCGCGCAGCGACCATATCCAGCGAGTTTTGGAACCTATGTCGAATCTTCGAAGAAGGTGCCATATCTTCGCAAAAGAGGGGGGAAAAGGAGAATATGAAAAGAAACGAAAAGAGAAGGGAAATAAGAGAGAAGGTGGCGAAAGGCAAGGTCAGAAAGTTGCAGCCGCCGAGCTTTAGGACATGGACAGAAGCACAGCTACACGGGCACACATTGACAGATGATGGACAATGACACCCCTTCGACGTGAGGAAGTACGATTGAAGTTATTATATAGCATGTGACATCCTCTACATATGATATGGCGATGGACCAATCCGGCGGGACGTCATTGCTTGCTTGACTTTTGTTATGATGGGAAAAGCGGGAGGTGCGCTAGTCTGTCACGCAACGCTGCGATCTTTCACCTAGTCACAGATCACGGGACGCGTTACAACGTCGCGTTCGTAACCATTCAGGAGAAGGATTGATGGATACAATATCAATCATGTAGATGGCATGACTGTTGGCAGAAGCCAGACGTTGCTACAAGGCGTGAACGAATCCTTGAGGCAATATCCTAGGACAACTGACCGGCCACTGGACAACTCCCGACGTGCGCGATGTCTACGCAGGGCGCAGATTATGGCTAATGAAAAGCCGCTATCCCAAAGTTCAAGAAGTCTGTGGACGGATACAATCTTGTTAGTAATGATGATACCGCCTCGGACATCGGGATATGGCCCTACGCAAGTTGCGAACCTTGTGGCGTTTTCTGGGTCTTCATATCAAAGTGGCAACCTTGAGTTGATTCGTCCCAGGAGAACGTCACTCCGGCCTTCCGCCAATCTGATCACTTCTCCCATGGTTCCAAGCACCTCATCTTGGAAGGTCCTTTGTTTAAGCAACGGGTTATCAGGAAGCATAGACTCAATTTGGTCACGTAGAACAGTAGGGTGCTTGGGATCCCATGCTTTTCCGACTCTCCTAGTCGGTCCTAACCGGTGAGACTGCTCCAAAGAGTGCACAACTTTTCCTAAATTCCGTGTGACTTTGTGGGGAAGACCTCTTCGTAAGGAAGCATTTGACAGAAACGCCAAGGTGTGATCGACTGAATAATTTATTATCTGTGAGAACAGAAGAGCAAACACCATATGCACACCTCTATTTTGCCAGATTGTAAGCCAACTTCTGAGTCTTTCCTGCTCATTTGCGGGCGAATCACCGGAATGTTGCAACTTCCGAATCACGACAGCGGCCTGTTGAAAGCATGGCCGATACAGAGAACGTAGAACCTTTGTACTACGTGGATCATCAAGCACAGCAGTCGAAGTACTGCGAATGAAAAGCCGATACAAACTTGTGAATGCGGGAGGAAGTGGAGTCGTGGCTCCTGGCATTTCGGTGCTGTAGAAGAGGTTGATATTTGGAGTGTGAGGGTAAGACTAGACTTCCGAATTAATGGCTCGATATGTTCAACGTTGCATACAACGTTTCACAAAGCCTTTCAGAAACGGTACGCGTTTGAACGCTGGTGAACGTCGTTCATTGGTTTCTTCGGCGCTTCTCCATCGGATTAGGAAGGTTTAGTGGTCAAACCTGACGTTTAATTTTGCCTTTCTTCGTCCAAGTCCCTGCAGCACACAGCATTCTCAAGCGTACCTTATCATCAACATTGCTGTCATGTTTCACAGGATTGTGTTCAGAAAGTCCATTTTGTACCTGCGGCACACCCCTCAGCCAGACGAGACCCCGTCATGTTTCCGCTCGCTTGACTTGATATAGTAGACATGCAGTTTTTTCGATGCCTGGAGCGCCCAAGCCCCTGCAATACCACAATGGACACCTTCATGAAGTGACATCACCGTCAAGGACAAAAAAGAGGCATCATATCAAACCGTGGGGAACGACATCGTCGCTCAGCACACCGCCATTGATAGAAACCCTCAGCCTCAGTAACGACACCTTTCATCCGGATACCCCGACCTTCGATTCGAAGCTTGTAGGCCGCCAGTCTGATTCCATGATAAGAATGGAAGTGGTTCACAGAACACTCATCATTTTCTCTCTCATTCCCGCAGACGTAGTGGCGGCGGCCCCGCGCTCCAAACCTTCGTTGGGCTTGTATCGACCGTGCCAAACTCACAATCTGCGCTGTGCACTGAACGCTGATCTTCTGGCAGATAGCACTCTTGGCATCTTAAGATCTCAGGTCGGGATAGAACTGCGGCTTCATTCGCCAGTCTTTTCGGGTAGCTAAATTGTCAGCCACACTCGCCGAACGCATTTCAATACCAATCAGAGATGAGTGTGGTACGCTTATCCAAATTATTTTTCACGTAGGAGCTTTAGATCAGAACTCAAGTCGAAGGTTTCGTTTGGCCTGCCTGGCGATTGCAACGTGTACCCAGTCTTTGACCCCACCTGCCGATCTTGGTCATAGGTGGCGCCAATAAGCTATTGTTCCCCAGCTCGCCAGCCAGGGCCAAAAAACTTTGCAAGCATCCACACTCAAACCAAAACCACTGGAGTGACTTGTATATAAGCGGATTCATGCACAACCAGGTTCCCCTCTTCGCCTAGTATCCCGACCCTGCTTGGTTGAACACTGCACTAGCTCTTGTCTGTATTGGCCGGTCCTATACTTCACCATGACGAAACAAGACGTTCAATTGTCCGTTTCCACGGTAAGTTCTATTTACAGATATTGTAGCCACGATACTAATTCTATCTTGACAGAACGGTCTCGCGATCGATGATTCGGCCCCTTCGAGTGATATTTCTGCGCCACCTAATACACCGGTCTCGGCCATTTTCGAGCTCAGTGACTCTCCCTACGATTCGGATAAGTTTGACCTGTCAGGCAAGCTCGGAGTGAGTCTCTATCTCTCCATTCTTCTTCCTGCATTCTGGAGCTGACATTTCATATTAGACTATGACACCTCCCACGTCGGTATACGATGTGACGAATCAGTTTGAAGGCAACCTATCGGACTCTTCTCTCGAGGACGGACCGAACTCCCTTCAAGAGATCATGCTTAGCTTGAGTTACTTACGCGGCGACAATGTGGATTCCGAGGACTCCTTTTTGGACGACTACGACTACGCAGAGAACACATCTTCATCAATCGAAGAGCCCAGCCATCTGATCCAGGAAACCGTGTTCACTCACCCGACTCACGTCGTCACTCGCACCGTACTCCGCCCAAACCAGTTCGTTCCCTCGTCTTGCCCTGAGAGTCCTGTCTCTGCTAGTCCAGCTAGGCCAAGCACCCCGATCGAAGGATCCATGTCTGATATGTCTGCGTCTGATGACTTTATCAACAGGCTCGTGTATAAGCTGTCTTTCGAAGAGGATGTGGAATATCGCGAATACCAATGGCTCTTGGAGCAATTTGGTAAGACAGAGGTTTACGTCAGTACGGAGGTCAAACTTGAAGGCGTCGACTTCAAGGCCAAAGGCGCGGATATCAAGGGCAAAGGTATTGACTTTGCATGCAGCTCTAGGCCACGCGTCTTCACCTTGCCTCCGCGGGCGTAAGGGCACAACTTCCTTGAGTTTATTTTTCTTGTTCATTTTCTCGGGTCTTCTCCGCAGTGTGCTATATTTTCAAGTGTTCTTAATATGTATGTTAGTTGTCCATCTGACGGTACTATCCAATGTTCGATGCTGTTTCCCTCATGCCATTTCTTACTATGTGATCGCATTCTATCAACACACTATGTTTTATGTCTTTATGCAATGCCAATTCGATGGGTTACGATATTGAATATATATCATTGAGTCATGTGCCAAGGAATATACATATGTGATGCAGGTGAAGCAAGAGAGCAAAAGAAATTCAAGGAATCGGAAAGAAAGGAGAGGAGGAAAGGTCAAGAAGCCCAAAACTGTGTACGCACGGAAGATGCCTAGCCGGGTAACGACTAACGCAAGCATGAAGAAGAAAAGAACAAATACTACATAAGCAGAAGAATGAGAGGAGATGCATATAGCACTATACTACTGTTGTCCGCAATCTTGATGAAGGAAGAGCACTAACCGCCCTGAGCAGATGCGGAACATCAGCACTCGACGGGATGGAGAGAGATAGAAGGAGACTTCACCACTATGCATGCCGAATCCCAGAAGCGCCAGTGATCTTCCCACTCTCGTACGTCGGGATCGGTTGGGATAGCGGGTAAGGCATAGACGGATTGACACCTTGGTACATGGGGTATCCCGGCATCATGGACTGTGCCTGCATTTGCAACTGCCATTGCGCCTGGGCTTGAGCTTGCGCCTGAGCCTGAGCTTGTGCCTGAGCCTGAACAACATGCATTTGCATTTGCATCTGCATATATGCTGCCTGGGCTTGGGCTATACCTTGATTGCCAGAAAATACGTTACCACAAGAGGCATATGGTGACGGGTAGGGGTAGAATGGAGGAGACGAGAACGTCGTACTTGTCGGAGTGACGGGAAGTCCGAAGCTAGTCATCGACGAAGCGGGAGAAGGAAAGGTCGAGATCGTAGACGTCGATGAAGATGGCGGTGTCATGGAAAAATTACTGTTGACACTGCTATTGGAGCGTTTGTGACCCTTCTTGTTCTTCACCACAACACGAGGTTTGGCGGTAGGGATGCCTTCGATCCACCCGTCCTTCCCGATAATTGCTTCTGGTGCCTTGCCTTCGTTCTCGCAAACACTAGTGATCCAGCCATCAATATCAGCCCTCTTGTCCGAGCGGGACTCAATCAACTTCGGCTGTTCATCGACTTCAGTGCGGGGTTCAACGATAGGTTCGGTTATCCGCGCTTTCCGCGAAGCTTCCCCGTTAGCGGTCGAAGATCGTAAGCGATCTACAATCTCCCTCGTCTTGAGCTTTCTATTCCTAGGTGCAGTTGACGAGTCAGCGAGGAAGGCAGGAAGGAGTACAGCCGACTGCCTTCGCGGGGTGGCTGTTCGAGTGGATGCGTGGGATCGTGCCACAGGGGAAGGTGAAATTGAAATTTCGTTGTAGAACCCTTGTTCGTCCTTTCGCAGGTTGGGAGGTAACGATCTTGCGCCTGAACGTGACCCAGATTGCTGTGCATTCAGTGAGGGAAAGTGGAATTCATAGGTAGGGGATGTATAAGGGGACTCTGACGAGTCGGGGGAAGGTGTAGATTCTGGGGGTGGCATGCCAGGAATGAAGTCCAGCGCAGACGCATTGAGCGGCTTTGAGGGTGATGGTGCTACGACTGTGCGTTCACGATGGATCTGTGATGCCTGTTCATCGAACACGACCGCAGCATAAGACTTCTTGTCCCCATGAGGAGTGGCAGGCATAGGGTCGGAATCGGTTGAGAGCTCGGAATCCGTCAGATCGACGAGCTCGGGGGCAGACGACTCGAACTTGACGTCCTCTGCAAGGTTGAGATTCCAAAGCTTGCGATCCACCTCGTCGTCATCATCAAGTGGGTTGTATTGGGCTCTTGTCAGAGTACCACCCATGAGATCTCGCACCTGGTCATCCCACCGCTTCTGCGCCATAGCCAACTCTATCTCATCCAGTTCTCCAGAGAACAACGGTGGGTTGAGTCGAGCGACATAAGGGAAAGGATCTGAACATAGTTTCGACAAAGGGCCATGCATGCCCACGTCCACCTCGTATGGTCTCATCACAGCAAACGCAGCTCGCACCCCCATCAAATCCTGGTTCAACTCCAGATCTCCAACACCCTCTGACCCTTCCTGCAGCTGATCCTTGTCGACAAAGAGCTGATCGTGGTGGTAGGGAGGTCTCGGATGAATGGCCGCCCGGACTCCTGTTGAAGTCCACTGCTGTCGCCTGCGATATGCCCACGGAATGTCCTTGTACGACAACTTCCACCAGTCAGCAGGAATGAGTACCCAGTCATCCTGATCTTCAGCAGACATTGAGGAGGAAGTGGTAGTTATGGAAGACGAAAGCCAGCCAAAGCGGAGAGACCGCTAGACTGCCCGGGACGGATGAAAGAAACGGTCAGAGTGGCTCAGTGGGCAACAACCGAGACGGGTACATCTATTGTGGACTCCTCGTGGACAACAAGCCTGTCTGAAATTGCAGGAGGATGGTTGTAAGAACAAAGACCCGCTTGAGTCACGATGATCAATCAATGGAGACACGTTTCGTCCCGTCACGCTGACCTCCACTTTGGACTATCTCACAAATGTTGGCGGAATGCTTGCGAACAAGTCTCCTGTTTCAGTCGGATCGTATTCCAGGGAATTCGTTGGCGGGGTGTGGATGGGAACGCGGAAAGTGTGGGCGGATACCGGCTACCCCTTATACAGTGTATTTACATAATGGTGCAGCCGCCCTACCCCACAAATGCAGCAACTCAGGTCAATGCGGTCCCAATTATCGACTGAAATGCATAGGATTGGGTCTACATCGTAGAAGAATACATGATTGCATAAAGACCATCATACTAGAAAACAATTGGTGCTTTCCGTTTGAACTGGCAAATGAATCGGTTCGTAGGGCCATTCAATGTTCACGCTGGCTCATCCCAAGGGGGCAGAGGTAATCGACGGTGGCGAAGACGAGAGGTCGAAGGACAAAGACTGTCCGAGTTCCCAGAGGATTGTTTGCCAGCATGTTTTGAGCCACTCGATTTCAGAACTTGCTCCTCGGAGCCCAGGTATCTTGCGGAGTTATCTTTTGACGAGGCGCCAATCTTCTGTTTTCGAGTAAAATCGCGACCATTCTTGAGTGTATCAAAGAAGGACTTGAAATCATCACCAGAAGTGAGTTCAGCGGCTCTCGTAGATGTTGTGCGCAAGTAGTTGAAAAAAAGAGACGGCGAGAACTGAGTGGCCCTCCAGTGAGTACATTCCACGAACAGATTTGAGATAACCCACCGGTTCACTGTCATCCTCTTCATCCTCGTCGTCGCTGTTTCGTCGCCCGGGCAAGGGAGGCTTCTTAATCTTTGGCTTCAAACGAGGCTTCTTGGTAGAAGGGGTTCCAGGAATAACGTACGCGTCGGTCAAAGAGACATCTCCATATGCAGAGAGGGTATACTCGTCCTCGCTATCAGAGTCTGCCTTGCACTCACTGGTATCAGGGGAAGAGGTTGGGGCACTTGCCGGCGCGAAAGAATTAGACGACATTTGTGGACCCGTCCTCCACAAGGATTGAGCAGTACGCTACGATTGATATGAGCATCCGTAAATACGAGATGCATTAAATGACTCACTGAGAATTGAGACATAACAGGACGGGAGTGGTGATTGGTGGGGATAAAAGAGAGCAAACTTACAGACCAGGCGGCATTTATGGCGGGCCAAAGAATCTCGGACACATTACCAAGCCGCAGTGGCCATAGTGCCCCATTCGACCCAAAGCTCGATTTCAGGCTACTCGTACAAGCAGAAGCGAAAAGCCGACCGCAGTAAAAGCTTTGCGTTATCATCTTCATCCAAGGTACATCCAAGGCGCGATCAGTATTTGTACTTGAGGGAAAATGTGATTATCCGGCCCAGAGATGCTTAATTAGCCAATCACTACTTCTTGGGCTCAGATGAGCGCATCCGTGTTCCTGCTCAATGGTACACTAGTACTTCGAAGGTGCAGATACAACAAACAGCTTACCATTTCACAAGAGATTCAGGTCGCTGTTGACCGCGTTAATAGCTGTCGAGACGCTGGCGGATGCAAATCCGGATCCTGGCACATCTTCACCTGTCTTCCTCCGATCTCGACAAGGCTCGACGTGAGTGTGGACATATGGTCAGTTACTCATTTCAATGCATGACTGCTCGAGCCGAGGTCGTCTTTACAGCTTATCGCAGAAGCCGAGTGAAGTCCCGACGCCCAGGGGCGCTCCGAGTTCTTATGACATGCCAAGGTTCCGTTTTAGGGCTCTCCGCGTAGAAAACAGTCCGTTCTCAAACCAAACCCCCTAACTCTGACAGGGCCTCACGCCTCTTATTTCGACAGAGTATACATGTCGGTGTCCTTGCAGCACCATTTAACTTACTATAATTGACATCGATGCCGTTCCTCAACAGTAAATTGTGTTAAACAACTCCAAGACCTCTACCAAGAACGACAAGCCCGAAGTTGTCTATGACGTGTTATTTTGCGAACAACTTCTCTTGGCTGTGCTGAATGAGGAACTCTATATATACAGCACTTCTCTTGGGATTCGCCGACCATACGTGCCCACATACTTATCAGTCCAGGCCTTCTTAACGCAATCCTTCTTTTGCTTACCTGCGACTCTCGCCATTGTGGCTACCACGTTCGTTCCATACTTTGACATACCCCAGAAGTATTCACCTGGGTGAGGATAATTTGTAAGTCATCCTTCGTGATCGCTTATCTCCATGAGCCAGTTCTTACCCCAGCCAAACATAGGGATACCACTGTTAGGACTGTAGATCATGACAAAGCAACCAACAAGGCTGCCACCATTGGCGGATACCCCTCCACACACTTTGACGGCGGAAGAGGTCGCACGCAAGTTACGGGTTGATGTGCAGCAGGGTGAGTAATTGTTCAATATGATGAGAAGTTTCAAAGGTAATGGATTTCTGCAGGTCTGTCTGAACATGCCGTGCGACATAGGCAAACTGAATGGGGCCCGAACATCGTTATCTCCGAAGAAGAATCGACATGGTTTAAGATTCTGATAGGTATGTTGTATATCACCCCCCTCGATAACCTCTCTTCCTGGTGCTCATGACAACGCTCAAGGCCAAATCGCGAATGCTATGGTGTTGGTACTGTTGATCGGAATGGTACGCAGTTCGGATTTCGAGTTCCCTCTGACTTTCACTCAATGTCCGTCCGTTAGATTGTGTCTTTTGCCATTGAGTCGTGGATCGAGGGGGGTGTGGTTGCCGCTGTCGTACGTACTTTCCTTTCATTTATAACGATGGCCATTATTCACATATCTTCAGGTCATTATCAACATAGGCGTTGGCTTCATTCAGGAATACTCCGCAGAGAAAACTATGGCTTCTCTTCGAAGTTTAGCTTCTCCAACCGCTCGAGTTATCCGTGGCTCATCAACCAAGGTCATCCCGTCTGTTCAAATCGTCCCCGGCGATATCGTTCTTCTCGTTACCGGTGATATCATACCTGCCGACCTCCGACTTATCGAGGCAATGAACTGCGAAGCCGACGAATCCATGCTTACTGGTGAAGCTGTGCCCGTCGCAAAGAACGCCGAAGTGTGTTTCTCTTCAGACAAGGAGAAAGACGAAGTTGGAGTTGGTGACCGTATCAATATGGCCTACTCTTCCTCCTGCGTCACTCGCGGTCGTTCCAAGGGCATTGTCGTCGCCGCCGGAATGGACACTGAAATTGGCAAGATCGCACAATCCCTCATGGCTTCAAGTTCTAGGGTGAGGCAGCCGAAGGTGAACAAACACGGCAAGGTCACACATAGGGCTAAGGCTCGTGCTGGAGCGTTGACGATTACCGATAATATTGGTTACTTTTTGGGAGTCAACAAGGGCAGTCCTTTGCAGCGCAAGCTCAGCCAAATGGCCGTTCTTCTCTTTGGAATCGCTGTCGTATTCGCAATCGTAGTGATGGTGAGTTTCTTATTGTACTTTGCTAGGGTTCAAGCATCTAACGTTCTTTCATAGGCCGCAAACGATTTCAATGGAACGAGAGAAGTCGTATTGTACGCTGTTGCTACTGGGCTGTGTATCATTCCTGCTAGCTTAGTAGTCGTTCTGACTATCACTATGGCTATGGTATGTCTATACGTTTATGTTGTGTTCATTGGCTGACACGGATCTACAGGGAGCAAAGAGTATGGTGAAGGAAAACGTTATCGTCCGTCGCTTGGATTCTTTGGTGCGTTACTCACAAGTGTTGGTCTATTTCCATTCGTGCTAACTATACTATAACAATAGGAAGCACTCGGTGCTGTGTACGTATTAATTTGTATCCGCGAAAGTTCAACTGAATTGACATATATTATAGCACAGATGTCTGCTCCGATAAAACCGGTACACTCACGCAAGGTATGTATATACAGAATATCGCTCTGTAAACATCCTAACGTTGCTTTCTCAGGCCGCATGATTACCCGCATGTCATGGATCCCTGCCGAAGGCACAATCCAAATTTCCGAAGCCGATGAAGCTTTCAATCCAACCATCGGGAAGTTGACTTTCCACCCCATGAGCGCCCAGGACGTAGTCGCTGCCACTTCTACCGAGTCGGACACTCATCCCCTATTCATGTATCCTGGGCAGCATCCCCCTACCCCACCGAAGTTGATCACCGAGGAAATTGCCGATCCACATGAATGGGCTAAACGTTCCCCCGCAGTTCCCTTACTCTTGAATTGCGCCGCTCTATGTAACCTAGCCAGCGTCTTTCAGGAAAAGGAAGACCCATCCGAGCTGACTGACGAGGATGAGAAGCCGGGAAATCTGACGGGCCAGTACGCTGCGACTGGTGACCCGACTGAGATTGCCATCCAAGTCTTTACCCACCGCTTCCATTGGGGAAAGCCGACCTTAACGAACGGTGGGACCAAGTGGCTGGAGGTCTATGAATATCCATTTGACTCCACCCTCAAGCGCATGGCTGTCATCATGCAGAGTCCCAACGGGAAGGATCGTAAGGTGTTCATGAAGGGCGCAGTCGAGATGGTTCTTGACTCTTGCTCGACAGTTCTCGTGAAGAGTACCGAGACTCCTGACGGTGTTCAGGTTTCGCAGTTGGACGAGGCTTGGAATGAGAAGATTACTGCTAACATGGACGCAATGGCATCCAAGGGCTTGCGTTGCCTGGCTTTGGCAACGAAGGACTGGCATGAAAGCGAGGTTCTGGATGAAGACTACAAAGAAGAGCTCGAGCAACCCGTGAACGGTAACGGTGTGCATGAAGAGAATGGTGGAAATGGTGAGATCGGTATAATCGCAGAGGAAAGTTCTGAGGACAATCAGCCACCTCGGAAGGCTGTTGAGAGAGGTCTGACCTTCTTGGGCCTCGTTGGGTGAGTCGTTTCTTAGTTTTATGTGTGTTCGGATACTCACCTTTCTTCAGAATTTACGATCCTCCTCGCCCAGAATCAGCACCATCCGTAGCTCAGTTCCAGAAGGCATCCATTCTCACCCATATGCTCACCGGTGACCACCCTGGAACCGCTACTGCAATTGTATGTTCTCTTCCATTTCTTGCGTTAGTTCGGTCTAATCGTTATGAATATAGGCTAAAGAAGTCGGTATCGTGCCATCTAATTGGCAACTGCTTGCTAAAGACGTCTTTGATTCCATGGTCATGACGGCAACCCAATTCGACAAACTTTCTGACCAGGAAATCGATGATTTGCCTGAACTGCCTTTGGTTATTGCTCGATGTGCACCCCACACCAAGGTTCGCATGATCGAGGCCCTTCATAGGCGTGGAAAGTTCGCCGCGATGACTGGTAAGTTCAACTAGCGAAGTCGCAGATCGTATGTTTCTAAAACTATTTAGGCGACGGTGTCAACGACAGTCCGAGTTTGAAGAGGGCTGATGTTGGTATTGCAATGGGTACTGGAAGTGATGTCGCCAAAGGCGCCAGTGACATTGTGCTGACTGATGACAATTTCGCCTCGATTCTTTCCGCTGTGGCTTCTGGAAGGACAACCTTTGATAATATCAAGAAGTTCGTCTTGGTGAGTGTGCTTGGTACTGTCTTGTTTTCGTATGCTTACCTTGTTCTGTAGCATCTTCTTTCCCAGAATGTGGCGCAAGCTATTGTGCTGCTTGTCGGCTTAGCCTTCAAGGATTCTACAGACTTGTCCATCTTCCCTCTGAGTCCAGTCGAGATCCTGTGGGTCATCATGATCACCAGTAGTCTTCCTGCCATGGGTCTTGGAATGGAACCTCCTGCCCCCGACGTCATGTCTCGTCCTCCGCATAATGTCAAAGTCGGTATCTTCACGCTTGAGGTGTTCATTGACATGGTAAGTTCGAGGTCTGATGGAACCGTATAATCACAGACATTACTCACACAATATCTTTAGATTGTGTATGGCATCATCATGGCCGCGCTCTGTCTTGGCTCATTTGCCGTGGTGATGTTCGGGTTTGGAAACGGCAACCTGGGCGACGGAACTTGCAATGAATCCTTGGATGAGATTTGTCGAGAAGTCTTCCGTGCCCGGTGCACGACTTTCGTTTGCATGACTTGGTTCTCTCTCCTCCTTGCGTGGGAAAGTAAGTTGATTTTTATTCAAGGACTTTTCTCGTGCTCATGCATGTATCTCAGTCATTTCCTTCCGCCGTTCGTTCTTCCGCATGCATCACAAGTCCCCATATCCCTACACTCAATGGATGCGTGATGTCTGGGCCAATCCGGTTCTATTTTGGTCGGTGGTCTTCGGATTCGTCACCGTCTTTCCAATTGTGAGTCTCGTCATGGACTTTTGGCCTTGCAAATGTACTAAATTTATACCCTCCGTGTTAGATTTATATCCCCGTCATCAACGACAGGGTCTTCAAGCACGCTTCCATTTCATGGGAGTGGGGTGTTGTCTTTATCACTTGTTTCCTCTTCATGGGTTCCGTTGAGGCTTGGAAGTTTGCGAAGAGGTTTTACTTCAGGAGGAAGGATCACAGACTTGGCATTCGCCGAAGCCTGACATTGGAGGATCAACGTTACGTTCCCAAACTCAGTGTTTGAATATGATGTGTCTATGGCTCGTTACAGGCTGTACGAGAACGAAGGTAGAAGGGCTTCATTGGAGGCCGGAGCTCCTGGATACCATCTGGTCATGATTTAATGGTCGTATGATTGTGGTGAATGACTGTAATATACTTGTCCTCTTGTAGACTATGTACCAATGGGGGACATTCGCGTTCAATAGATCTAGAGACTTGAGCAACCATCTTGCATCTTACATGCTCATCTTTGCTCGCAACCCAATTGTGACAGACACGATCATGTGAGCGTCACAGTACGGTTAGTGTCACGGACTCGCGTTCACTTTCTTTCGACTTTACGGTCGTGTATGTCTGTTCGGACTGCGGAAGACATATGGTCAGTTACTCCCTCGAGCTACATGGTACCTGCTATGCGTTACTCATGAAATCAATCGATACAGACTTACTAACAGCGCGAACAGACATGCAGATTTCATGCTAAGATCACACTCGTCTAGGTCCTTAATCGCGTTTACCATAGGCTGAACTACCCCTAGACCATTACCGTACTGCAACAAGGCTTCAGCTGAAGAAATAATCCAGCATAATGGATATTTCGATACCAACGACCCCGTCACATTCACGACATACCTCTAATGCCCATCGCCTTTTGTATCGTGGAGCGTTGTCTCTTCCTGACTCGTACCTTCTTTTGGATGGGCTCAGTTTCACAACCGATATAACAGACTCACATGTTACCAGCACACCGTCGAAAAGACTACTGGAGAATCCGCTAGCTCTGGCTCTCGAAAGTATGCGAGGACGGCCAAACCTACATTTCTTGGGAACCGAGAAACTCTCAGACGTTTGGCTCGATACGAGTCGTGACGTTCATGTGTAAGTGAACATTAAGTACTAGAACTAATGTCGAACGTCCTAACATGTCCCCCAGTTACGTTCACGATTCCTCAATATTGACCAAGATATACTTCGAAAATGTCCTTAGTCTGGCTCCGATCACGTCGAAAGACGGACGGACAGCGCAAGGTATTCGTGTAGGCCTCAGTGATAGTAGTATGTCCCCAGTCCAGACTCCCGCATGAAACCAAGATTGACCACGAATCCTCAAGGCGACCACGAAACAATTGATTTCCTGATCTATGGTCAACTGCGTCCAGACCACTTACAAGACCATTTACCATCCACCTCATCCAATGCTCCAATGTCGCTACACATACTCGCTGCACGCATCTTACCTAACCCACCGCCCCCTCTTGTTCGCCCTCCAAGACCAGACGATCCAACACCTCGTAAACCACCAGCTCATCTCGCGACATCCAGTGCTAAACGTAAACGCGATCTCTCGGGCGTGAAGGTCGATCTTGGCTCTAACGCAAAACGAGCAAAGAGCAAGACAGAGATGGAAGAGGATGAGCAAGTGAGACTTGCCAGAGAAGTAATGCTCAACATGCCGAAACCTGGCGCGTCGAAATTTGGCGCATCCTTACCTAAAGTCCTGGGTAAGGATGTCAGGACAGGCAAGGCCGACAACGTCTTCAAGGTTCCGGAGGTACCTCTTTGGTCTCAATCTCAGCTGGATGCGGTAGAAACGGATGTCTTTGGCGACGTCAGTGCCACCATGGATCCCAAAGGAAAGGGACGGACAACTGAAAAGCCGGGGTCTGATGAACTCGAGAAAGCAAATAAGATTGTAGGTCGTGACATTGGTCTCATGAGTTCTCATCTAAATAATACATTCAGGTTATCAAGCAAGCGGCAGTCTCCTGTCTCATCAGACATGGTGTTCGGAAAGGTCAAGCAGAATTTAACGAGATATACCAGTCGATATATCGAGGGGTACAGTTCGCCTTGGTGTGTTCATCTTTTATCCTCATTGGCATATAGAAGAAGAAAGCTAAACCAAACTGTTGTAGCGGAATATCACTCGGACGCAAGCAGTCAATCCCAGAACTGTTGATAGATTGCTGGAAGCTCACGCTAAGATGTATGTCAATGGAAATGGAGAAAATCATCCAATTACTCCTACCCAAGACAGTAGAAAGTAACTAGATGTATTAATGTTTCAATCTCTCCGTATTGTAGTCCAGAACTCGCTGATTCTCTGCCATCTGCCGAGGAGACCTTTTTTCTCCACAACCGGAGGCGGCGGTAATTCCTTAACGAACCGCGACAGATCCCCACGTGTGGCAACGCCATTGCTCTGTGCTATCCACCGTTTAACACATTCCATTACAGTCTTCTCCAAGAGTCTTAATCCCGTCGCCTCTCGTTCCCATACCCCGCTCGTCCATATGGACAATGGACCCGCCCTTGAGGACTTGGTCACATTCTCTTCAGCAGTTTTTTCAGTGTCTTTAGCACCGGACTGTGCCTTCATTTTTCGAGACATGCGGTTTGCTAGGACAACATCCGTAAATATACGATCCCCGATGATGACGAGCTCGTCATCCTTGACGGGGGTAGGTAGGGACGAGAAGTAGTTGCGTATTGATGAAATGCAAGCATATGAAGGCTTGAGATTCTTATGTCGGAGAACGGGCACTCTGAGATGATGGGTTACCGATTCGGCCTGAACAAAAACGGATACTGTTATATGATGTCAATGAACGACGACTTGGAACTCACCTGTATCTCGCCTGGGTCCAATCTCGTACCAGCAGTGTTGCTCACAATCAAGACGTTACCTTCTCCAAAGGTAACTCGACATTCCTCCCATGCATCCTATTATTTCCTAAGTCAAAAACCTAATTGAAAGCGAAGTTTCATCACGAACCTGCAGTTCTGGCACGAGCTGATCTCGATGTGGAAGTGTCTGGTTTAAGGCATTCAGTCTGATTCCGGAACCCACTTCATTCAGAGGAAACGCACCAAACAGTTATCTTTATCAAACACTGCACCCTTGTATCCGGCTTTCCGCAACTCCCTAAACTCAAGCTGGCGGATATCTTTCTGCAACGGTAGTCTGAATTCGAAGCTTGTGGGAGTGTTAAAACTCGCGTCCCTCACCTTTGATGATAATAGAGGGTACCACCAGGCGAGGGTTTACGAGAAGATGTAATGGTACAAGAGTCCCGGAGAAATTGAACGGCATAGTGACCCTCCACGACCGTTGAGTGTGGGGAGAAGACCAACGGCTTTGCAGGAGGGCGCTCTTCTTCGTTCAAGCCGATCACTCATGATGTAGCCGTCCACTTTGGGCAAGTTTGGTGGTTCATTGAAAGCGGCCGTTTGCAAGTTCAACGTTCAACCTGGAATGAAATATCAAATATTCGTTGACTTCATACGAGTCAAACGAAAACCTCAATACAATACAACATGAGATTGTTCAAGACAAGGCAAACGTCTGTCATCCGAATAACATCATCTACTACGCAGCCGTTGTCGTCTGGAAAGCCTTTGTCTCCTCCTCCAAATAATTCCAGAGCCTCTCACCAATCTCAGAATCATACGCTTCATCTCTGCATCTCCCAACCCTAGCCCAGGGAATAAAAAACTACGTTTGATAAGTCAACATCATTATGGCGGAATATGTATGTGATGGTTGCCATACCTCTCCATTGTATTGAAGGGTCTCCGGCATAGTGCCACCCCAAAGTTGAGTGAGGGCGCCATTAGAGGCGGGATATAGCATCGCTTTCTCCTATTAATCTGAGAATGAGCAATGGTCATCTGATGAAAGGAAAATGTACAATAATCTTCGTCTGCCAAGCGGGAACGTGTCGTTGAAGATCCGTCTTGAGATGACCTGACAGTGTACCAATGAGCATCACGCCATTTTCCACATCACAAAGGGGAGAACATACCAGGATGACAAGCGTTAGATATGATCCCTTGCGGACCATATCGCCTCGCCAGTTCGCGAGCGACAACCACATTGGCCTGTGCCTTGCTCAGCAAGGTAAAGGATACAGAACATGAAGGACGTACGAATTTGCTTTGGAAGTACATCTTTTGCGTTCCAAGTTTCTTGCGAACAGGCCCGTCTTTGAACGAGTCCCAATTGATGGTGAAGTAATATGCCCCATCGGAGGACGTAGTCATGATGCGAGCATGACCATCAGGAGAGCTCTCCTTTCCCGCCCATAAGGCGGGGAGAAGAAGTTTGGTCAGTAAGTGGTGGCCTGGGGGTTCAATCAGTTTCATGTAAGATATGATGAATTGGCCGTTTGGAACCTTACCAACGACATTGATACCAAACTGCAAATCGTACCCGTCTTGGGTAAGCTGTTCGATTGGAGGAAACATGACTCCACTTTAAAAAGATCAGGACATATGAAGAGGACACAGAAGGCATAGAGACTAACGCGTTGAGAAACAAAATATGCAACTCGTTTTCCTTGCTGTGAGAGCGGATACGTCGATGGATGATGAATCTGGCATGTTTGTTCAAGTACATACCTGAGGAACTCTTGTGCAGCGCATTTAACAGATTCGAGACTACTAAGGTCTAGTTCCAAGAAGATCGCATCCTTTCCCGTGGCTTCTTTCAGTTCCTTCATGGCTACTTCGGCCTTGCTCTTGCTACGGCATCCCATGTACACTTTCGCATCGTGTTCCAATAACGCCTAGAAGGAACATGAGACCACTGCAGGTCATATAAGCCGATGATACTTTACCTTCACTGTTTCTTTACCGACGCCGGCGTTACCACCTGAGAAAGTTCAAGATGAGACGGAAAACGGCGATGTACACAGTCAATCAAACGTACCAGTTACAATTACGACGCGTCCTGTGAGGTCAGGGATCTGATCGGTAGAGAATTGGCTCTTTGGAGGGAAGCTTGAAGTCCAAAGAGCTTTGGCTGTCTTTAATCCACTACCACAATTTGAGTCGGTCTTAGCAACATTAGAAGGGGAATGTGGAAGCTCGAGTTGGGATGCCCGAGGGGAAGACGTGTTCTTGCAAGGACTCATCGTTACGTTGATTGAAAATACATATTGCACTTCGTATAAGTACTCTCAATGTTAGATCCCGTTTGAACGATGCCGATGGGAATTGAAGCCCACGTCATCTTGGCAGTGGCTTGGACTTAGCCTTCGGGAGCTAATTGCGGTAAGAACGCATCCTAAAAGTCACATCCCGGCAAATGAAACGCAGGAGAAATGACCCTTACCGCTAACTTTGTCAGAAATAGCGTTGATCAACTGCACAGACGGCAAGAAGTCGGCAAGTTTTGACTAGCGGCCCGAAAGGGTACGCGTTCCTCTGATCTCGCGCCCATCCATGAGATTGGGACGAACACCCGTGCAGAACTGGTGAGCAACGAGGGCAGAGGAAAGGGCAAGCTTTCATTTACGCTTTCTGAAAACTGATGCATGAAAGGTCGAGGTCGAGGTCGAGCTGGAAGAAAGAAATCGATATCGAACTACAACACCTACCCGATTAGGTGAATTTCCTGTGCCGAAATTCTTCTTCTTTCACGCTTCCACTCAACCATCATCACACCGCAGAGCGTTGACGGTCACAGACGGCGAGTATCTTCGTCCAATATTTACGCTACGCGCAGAAAGCACCATTATCATGGACATTGTTGACTTGACACATACTCTTGACGAGAACATCCAGATATACCCCGGAGATCCTCAATTTAGCTGCTGCCCTGCACTTACTGTTGAAAATGATGGGTGGAACGTGCAATCCATATCTTTAGGCTCTCACACAGGGACACATATCGATGCGCCATACCATATCCTCAAGGATGGCCAGACTATCGAGACTATTCCCATCTCCCGCTTCATAGGTCCTTGCATCGTCATTGATGTGACAGGCAAGCAGCCGAGAGAGCGCATTCATTGGGAGGCATTGGCCTCTTACGAGTTCAAGATGCGTCGAGGCGCACCCCACGGTGCTGTCGTGCTGCTGCGGACTGATTGGTCGAAGTATTGGGGAAATCCTCGCTATTTCGACCACCCTTTCCTCGATCGCGAAGCCGCGCAGAAAATACTAGACACCGGTATCAATGTCATAGGCATTGACACTCTCAGTCCGGATGAAACACATGTCGATGATAAGCACGATTGTAATATCGATGTGGGCGTTCATCAAACCGTTTTAGGTGCCGGCGGTCTGATTGCAGAAAACCTCACCAACCTGGACATCATCCAGGAAGGTAGTTGGACCATTAACCTTGTCCCGCTGAAACTGCACCATTGCGATGGTTCGCCGATACGTGCATTCGCCTCGAGAAATGTTACGTAGGTCTAATTGATTGAGGTATGCTGCCTACCCGACTCCCAAGCCACTGCTCTCACGGGACTCCCATCCAAGCTTGTTAACCTCAAAGGGAGGAGACTGACTACCAAATCATCCAACCGAATTCCGCTCTCTACAACCTTCTCCAACCCGTTCAAATTCTCTACTATCACACCTCCATTACCCAATACCAGTCGATGAACGTCAATGCAATCACCCTTCTCTGGATTCACCTCGTCAGGACTCATTGCATCAATCCCTATCACCCTCACCCCAGTTTCAAGTATCCGACGAGATGCCTCGCCATCAAGATATGGATGGTCAGTGTACGTAGGCTGACCCCAGTTCTTCGACCATCCGGTGCATATCAGCACTGCTACACCCGCCCTCATCCTTGCCGTATATGGTCCCAAGTCCTCCCATGTAATTGCCTCGTGCGCATTCTTCTTCCGCATGTCCACCAGTATTGCGGGAGCGGCAGTCAGGAGCGATAGGTCGAGTTCGTCAACTGGTATGCCGTCATCAAAGAAATGATATGGCGCGTCGATGTGCGTTCCAGAATGTGTGCCGATTTGAAGGGTATGAACATTGGCTATGTCGCCTTTCGCGAGGCTCAGCGTGCGTTGTGCAGCATACATTGGGTGACCGGGACAGGAGAAAACGTTGGACGAGATGAGCGGATGAGTTAGGTCGATAAGTTTCCTCAAACTTAGCGGTGATACGTCGTTGGAGGCTGTCGAAAGGTCGTGCATTCTGGGTGGCATTTAGAGTTGTAGAATTCTGTCATAGCTCTCCTTTATATGTTTGACCCTGCGTTCTAATCGGAGCCTCTAGTCACCAGGTCTTCCAGAAACGGCAGCACCATACGTTTACCAACGGATTGGCGGACCGCACGTAACGAGAAGTCTGGAACTTGAACAATGGGCGCAAAATGACGAGAGAGATGGAACTTAGATATAAAAAGTGATTATCTTTGCCTCTGCGAATGCCAAACGGATTTCTATGAAGATGTGGCTTGCGGAAACATGGGCCCCGTGAACCTTCGCGTGTGTGCCCCAAAGGCTGGTTTGACTTTCCATTGTGATACGGAATCATGTTCTGGCCCCCCAGATAATTAATTGCTTCCCCGCTAGAGCCATCTTCATCGATACTACTCGACTTGGCAGTCACGTTTGGCAGTGATCCTTGACGTAGTCCCCGAGGTAAAGGACATATCCCCACCAGGAAAATGGACGTAGTCCTCCTAGACTGGAAACCACATTTCACTGCAGTCATATCGACCATTGTAAGGCGAAGTGAAAGCGCCGTCCGATGGTCCAGGAGAGATGTTCCTGTCACGCAACGTGTATTGTTCGATACCATGAACAGGGTGCCTCCGAATCAAATTGGGACCCTGCAGTGTCAAGTCGAAGGATTTCACGCTGAGAGAGATGGGAGAGGAGTTCAGTCAGAGAGTTGTCAATTTCCGGAGATGAGATAGTAACATTCTCGAGGTATTGAAAGGTTGATTTCTGAAACACGGAGTTGAGAGAAAGCCAAGCTTCCTCATTGACGTCGCTTATTGCCTCCCGAAACTCGAGGCACACACCAGTGAGCAGTGTGATAGCCAAATCTTCGAAGGCCTCCACAAGCTCGTGAAGGAACGCGACGGTGAGTTCGAATATTGTGAGAAACGTTAAATTTGGCAGATATTCAAGATCTTTGTCTATAAAGAATTGTTGAGAGTGTATCAGATGATTTGGCAAGGAGGAATGTACGAACTGAGGTTAGGATGGACCAGGAGTGTGACAGAAATGGACAGCCGGCGAAGCATAGGGTTATGAGACAGCAGTGCGAATTGGTATAGTAAATCGTCAACAGCTCCGGCATGGTCGTCTTCTAGGGAGTTGGGTTCAATAGAACTGAGGGGATGCCCAATAGACTGTGATATCTTGAGATCAATAGGGGAGGATGATGACGGTGTCATGCAGAGCCAACTGCACACGTCGAATATTGCTTGAAGTTGATGGTCACATGTATGACATCTTAGATCGATGGTAGTCAATCGAGCTTGCAATTTGAATGCGCCCGATGGTATGACGGTTTGTGGTAAACGCGACCAAGCATGAATATCTCTTATGGAAAGATGACTCAGGGATGGAAAGGCTGCTACGATTCGGGAGAATTGCGCGGAGCCCTTAAATAGTACTTGCGCTAAAGAGAGATAGCGCACAGCTTTGATGGAGGAAAGAGCCGCGAAGAACCTGGGGTGGGTATGAGAAAAGTCCATGCCAACGATGGCGATACTGATAAGGCGAGAGAGCGAGGGGAAGAGGGAAAGCGCGGCGGCGTTGATCCATGGAGAATCCACTACACCCATTCGGCCCCTATTAGGTGGTGGAGAGGATAGACTACCGAGATGAAGATAGCGAACGTGGCGGGCCAAGCCGGGCCTCATCTTCAAAGCTTTCCTGAAAACATGAAGACGTTCAGAGCTTCCAATATGAACAAATTGATACAATAAATATAGACTACGAGACAACCAAGTATTGCATGTGAGAGCACATGAAAAAAGCGTACGTTTGCGCAACGAATACTGCTCAATTTCCCCCGAAGGCGCCATGGTGTCGTTGACTGCGTCGATAATAAGTTCACAGAGTTCCGTGGGCAACCTTGGAATTTGAACAGGGGAGGTTGAGTTGGACATTTCCGTATTAAATGCAATAGCACAGTGGGGATCAAGCAATGTTTCCCCAGGAAACATGTGCGAAACATGCTAGAAAATGAAATAATATTTATTACATGTTTCCGGCAATAACATGGTAGAAATATTTCTATTGTTTCCATATTAAGGGATGTCTTCGCCATGTTTCCTTGCATGTTGCCCATTTTGGTCATGTTTTCCACATGTTTCTGAGAGAAACACTTAGAAAAAATTATTTCATTTTCTGCTGTGTTTCAGCAATGTTTCTTGGAGAAACATTGCCATATCCCCGCTGTGTAGAAGCCTTGACCCTTCCAGTTGTAAGTCTGGTAAGCGCAAAGTAAGTAACCAGATGTGAGTCGTTCAAAAGTTGATATCATGATGCAGCTGCCGACTCGGAGGCGCTCTCACTGGATGGATCAGAAGCCATTGCCTTTTATGGCCAGTGTCGTTATAAGGCGGCTCATTCAGCTTTGCTCTTCAAGTTCATACAGTGACATATACTCAACTAACTCCAAAATGGATGCCTATTACAACGAAGTGGAAAATATCATCGTTTTCTGTAATGCAAACCCCACACGGTTGGAAGAGGATATAAATAAGTCACATTCGGTCAAATTAATGGTATCTCATTCAGGATCCTGTGAGGCAGAGACATATTACATGAAACGGTAAACATAATGAAAACAGAAATAAGTCCATAGAGGTAACCACGATTACTTACTACCTGCCTTTCAACATCAACAACATCATAAGGAGCAGCATACGGTGTTTCCTCAAAAGCTCAAAGTCTATCTCCAAGTCGCAAGAGTCCCTTGACTTGCTTGCGCATGCCATGTCTTTTGGATTTCTCGGATTCCTCTCTAGCAGTGGGCCAAACGGTGTCGCTAACGTACATGGCATGGCGCCATGTTGGATCCAACGGAGAAAACCGTTCCGCAGGTTTATAAGGGCGGAGATTTGGTTGCTGGTCAACCGACAGACTAAGCTTTGGTCGAACGTTTCCATCGCTGCCGGCAGTGGGCACGTTCTTTTCAGCCGTTTTTGATGAGCTCGGATGAGCCAATTGTTCGTTACTATTGTTTACCACTCGTCGAGTGGCAGCTTGCTCCCCGGAGTCCTGTAAGTAATATTCATCAATGAAGTTTGTTATAGGGCAGGTCTTTTGGCCGTCCGCGGGATGAACAAGTATAGTGGGCAGGTCCTCTGAATCCACAGTTAGAAAATTGCTGCCGGAGCTCGGGTCCTGCCCGTTTTCGCCTGGAATCGTCATCGAATCCTCGACCTCATTCCAAAGGGTGCCAAAATGTCCCAACGGATGGCGATTCTGCTGTCACCGGTAGTTGAGTCGGGAAGAAACATTCCAATGACGGCAGTACGTACTCGCTCTATGATCGTATACTTGCCCGAGGGCAGCTCCTCCACAGGAGGAAGGACGGGGGGACCATTGGAAGCAGAGACGTACATGAATTTTTGATTTTCGAAGGTTGAGAATGAAAAAGAGCTGCGCCTGGCAGTGTCTTATATTGCACTCATTTACTTTGGCCGCCGCGTGCTTTCTGTCGTGCCACTGTGAACAAAGGGCATGGACCTGCCTCGTATGGTCACTGCCATTTTTAGTGGTTAGTGTGGTTATTTGCTTTTGCCCATTGTTCTCGAACAACGTGTAGAGATCGCCTCGCTACGCAAGTTGGCGACAAATCCGAGTGTCGTACCGGCAGTTCCGTGTGACTACACGCCTAGTGGGCGTAGGAAAGAACGACGCCGCGCGCTGGTGGCTTAGATCTAGCTAAGCTCTGGAAGCTTGAGATTGAACGTTTATGAACCTAGATATTCGTCTTTGTTAACAGCGCCAGGTTACGCAGCTCGGTCGCTCCGCTTACGTTGTAAAATGGCTCTATTTCATATCTCAATGCGATGTGCACACGCAACGTACATACCAACAAATGGCCTCCCTAGGGCGGAGTGGACAGGCACACGAACCTCCGTACCTCAGGATATTCACGACGCGTCGACAAAAGCTGAACAGCGTTCCGATTTATAACCCTAACCCCAAATACGACTCTGATTCATGAGTTACGTGGAATTGTGAACTCGCTTCATCTGCGACTGTGATCTGGTATTTGCTTGCCATATCTTCTAGCTAATACTGGTCTGGTCGCGTATGCCAGGATGCGAGCCTTAAGCTCCTTGTTACTGCTGGTGGCCCTACCAGTAGCTCTCTCGGTCAAAACCCAAGACTTCAAGACATGTTCCCAAGCTAGCTTCTGTCGACGAGGTCGCGCACTAGCTTCTCGTGCTCAAGAGAATGTATCATCCTGGAAGTCTCCATACAGCGTGGATGCTGACTCGCTAGCAATCTCATCCGACCAAGCATTATTCACAGCTAGAGTGAAGTCATCATTATACCCTGACATCAAGTTCGGTTTAGACGTTCGGGTACACGATGATGGTGTCGTCCGCGTTAGACTAGACGAAATAGATGGCCTGCGGAAACGTTATGACGAGGCTGCTTCATGGGCTTTAGTAGCTGAACCAAAGATCAGCCAGGACATCAAGTGGACAGTTGGCAAGAACGAGGTTCGCGCTACTCATGGGAAGAAGAAGGACGTGGAGGTCATCGTCGCGTTCGAACCGCTCAAAGTCACTTTGTTACGCGGAGGCAAGGAACAGGTGGTGCTCAATGGTCGTGGATTGTTGCATATGGAGCATTTCAGAACGAAATTAGCTGCCCAGCCCTCTGACATACCTGAGGAAGCTCTGGATGCTGAAGATGCTCAGACTGTGCTCAGTGCAAACAACCCTAGATCGTGGTTCGAGGGTGACTCTGAAGATGGCTACTGGGATGAGCAGTGGTTATCGTGGACGGACAGTAAGCCCAAAGGTCAGTCGGTGCTTCACTTGATCCTGCACCATTGTTCAACTGCTTGAAGGTCCCGAGTCACTGTCTCTTGATATCACCTTCCCGAACCATGGACATGTATATGGTATACCCCAACATGCTACGAGTCTCTCGCTGCGCACCACCACTGGCGAATCACCATACTACACAGATCCTTACCGTCTATACAACGCCGATACCTTTGAATATCTTGCGGACTCTACTATGTCACTCTACGGTTCTATCCCACTCATGCACGCTCATTCGGCCGACTCTACTGTCGCCGTCTTCAACGCTGTCGGTTCCGAGACCTGGATCGACATTGCTCACCCGACGCCTAAATCTACTGAAACGCAGTGGATCTCCGAGTCGGGTATTCTTGATGTCTTTATCATTCCTGGACCCACACCTGAAGCCGTCTTCGAGCAGTATGCACGACTTACAGGCGCCCAAGCTCTTCCGGCAGATTGGTCCCTTGGGTATCATCAATGTCGATGGAACTATGTGAACTCGGATGATGTGAGGCAGGTACAGGCGAAGTTCGATGAGGAAGATATCCCTGTGGATGTCTTCTGGTTGGATATCGAGTATGCCGAGGAACATAAGTATTTCATTTGGGACAAGAAGAACTTCCCTGACCCCCTTGATATGGTCAACGATGTGTCCGCTAATGCTCGCAAGGTATATATCAATTTCACTCGTTCTCCCGCCCCGCTGACGATATTAGTAGATGGTGGTCATCATTGATCCTCATTTGAAACGAACGTCGTCATATCCTGTCTACCAAGAAGCTGTCGACAACGGTGTTCTCGTAAAGACCAAAGATGGGAACGAGTACGAGGGTTGGTGCTGGAGCGGTAGCAGCGCTTGGGTGGACTTCTTTAACCCAACAAGCTGGGACTGGTGGAAGGGATTGTTCAAGACTTATCCTATTGAGGGTAAGTTCACGTGGGTGGACAGCACCGAAGACGTGCACATATGGAATGACATGAACGAGGTAAACTCTTTGTCACTCATAACTGAATGTCCAGTACGATGATTGACGTTTGGCTAGCCTGCCATCTTCAACGGTCCTGAGATCAGTATGCCAAGAGATAACATTCACCATGGTGGATGGGAACATCGTGATGTCCATAACATTAATGGAATGCTCTTTGTAAGTCTCCATCGCACCTCACGACCTTTATTTGACATCCTCAACCTCCAGTCCAACCTTACTTCACAAGCCGTCATGGCACGTTCTGACCCGCCGAAACGGCCTTTCGTTCTCACCCGTTCATTCTATGCAGGTTCACAACGCTTCGGTGCGATGTGGACAGGCGATAACCTCGGTAGTTGGGAACACATGGCCGTTGGCATCAAGATGGTCCTAGCGAACAGTCTCTCTGGGTTCGCGTTCAGTGGCTGTAAGTTACCTTTGAATTCACTAGATAATCTCTCTGATGTTGGCGACATAGCTGATGTCGGCGGATTCTTCGGCAACCCCGAACCCGAAATGCTCGTTCGATGGTACCAAGTTGGCGCTTTCTCGCCATTTTTCCGTGCCCATGCGCACATCGATACCAAGAGGCGTGAACCTTACTTGCTTGACGAACCTTACAAGAGCATCGTCAAGGATATCCTTCGCCTGAGGTATTCGATGTTACCGATTTGGTATACTACGTTCCGGGAGGCCAGTGTTAGAGGTATTCCTGTTGTAAGGTCGGTCTATGTTACACTGGTGGCCTGCTCAGAGGGCTAAACTGGCAACGTGATTTAGGCCACATTACGTTGTCATCCCCCACGATGAGAAGGGTTTCGCTATTGACGACCAATTCTGGGTTGGAGGTTCTGGCCTGTTGGTCAAGCCTGTTACGGAGAAGGGTGTCACCGAAACTACCGTGTACCTCCCAGCTGAAGACCAGGTACGTCCTTTAATGTTGTTACCTATTACTCAAGTCACGGATGTTGACGTATATTCAACAGGTCTACTACGACTACTTTACCCATCAGGCCTACCGCTCGGCTCCAAAGGGCAAGAATATCACAGTCCCAGCAGCTCTACACCAAGTACCCCTCTTCATTCGTGGCGGCTCTATTCTTCCCACCCGTGAACGCCCAAGACGTTCCTCACCTCTCATGAAGAAGGACCCCTTCACTCTCCGAGTTGCTTTGGACAAGTCTGGCAACGCTCGTGGTGAGCTCTACCTAGACGATGGTGTCACATACAACCACCGGGAAGGCCAGATCGTCTGGCGCGAGTTCAAAGCAAGCAAGGCTGGAAAGGGCATCAAGCTCTCCAGCCACGATCTTGTGAGAGCTAAACCTACTGATGCCGTCGATGGTGTGGCTCTGGCTTCGTACAACCCCACCAACGACTTTGCTAAGAGCATTGCTGGCGTGCGAGTGGAGAAGGTTGTCGTTCTCGGGCTCGAGAAGAAGCCGACAAGCGTAAAGGTTGCTGGTGGCAAGGAGGTGACCTTCGAGTTCATACCCGGAGTTGCTGCTTCTGGTAAAAAGGAAGGCGTTTCGAGTGTGCTCATCATCAAAGACCCGGCGGTGAGCGTTGTGACTGATTGGGAGATTGTTGTTTCATAGAGTGATCTCTCGGATCAGAAATATTTATGTAGATTCCGGAAATGCATTTGTACTCTTGTTTTCGCATGCCCTTCGGCTTTGTTCTCGTTCTTGCATCTGACCCATTTTAGATTCTTAGTCCAAAACAAATTCACTGATGAAATTGGCTCGTTTTCCGTTCCTACCGGAGTTGGCAAATGACGTCATATATCTATTGCCCCATCCAACTCCATAGCCCGCCCTCTTACTTACCAACATGCAGTATATATACCAGAGACAATAATCTTACGCCGTTATACCTCAACAACCGCTCCTACGACATTTCAATCATGACTTCGACGTTTCCGCCCCTCATCCAAGCTTTCTCTGGAGGGTTTGGGAGTGCAGCGGCAAACGCAATCTGTTATCCACTCGATCTTGTCGCTACACGGGTGAGAACTACTAGCTCAAAAAAAATCAGAGGTGAGGCTTATCCGTGAAACCTGTCAATACTTATTTACCTAGGAATGCAGGACTGCGAGGTATCCTCTTGACCATCCGGCATATTCACCGCACGGAAGGATGGGGTGGTTTGTACGACGGACTCGGAACTGACACCCTGGCCAACTTCCTCTCGAGGTAAGGAAACATGAACCACATTGTTTCTTAGTTATTCTACTGATGAGTAGTCTCGTAGTTTCCTGTACTTTTATTTCTACAGCTTCCTGCGGGCTATACTCGTCCGTCGGAAGGCGCGTTTCTTACTGCCATCAGGGAAAGCTAGGAATCCAGCCAGAATCCTCTTGAGCGCACCTGAGGAGATCGGAGTTGGGTTCCTTGCTGGTGTTGCTAGTCGTTCGATTATCACGCCTCTCAATGTCATCACAGTTAGACTGCAGACGGTACACGATGACAGTGATGACGAGGAGAATAATGCTGAGATACCTACGCCGCAAGAACCAGGGCCTGTAGACGTTACACGAGAGATATACAGTGAGGACGGTCTGCAAGGTTTCTGGAAAGGTTTGTGAGACAATGTCTAATAACAACCGACGGACGTTCTGATGGTCTTATGACAGGATTTAAGACGGCAATCCCGCTCTCATTCAACCCAGCACTTACCATGTTCCTCTTCCAGATATTCCGCCGCGTACTCAACATCTATCAACCATCGAGCGCAAAACTAGCAACTCCGAGTCCCCGAGAAGCATTCCTCGGTGCAGCATTCTCCAGCACTTTCACTACCACAGTCTTGTACCCACTCATCCTGGCAAAGACCTGGTTACAGATGCAACACCACGAAGATCCCGAGTCGCATCATGATCCGGGTGTCGCGGCAAGTTCTACGTGGTTGATCTGGAAAAAGGCGTACAGGAAGAATAGTTGGTCTGGATTGTATCAAGGTTTAGAAGCTCAGCTAGTGAAAGGCTTTGTGAGTCAGGGTGTCGCCATGATGGTTAAGTCGAGGTATGCATGAACCCTCATGATTACGACGCGTACTGTATGTTGACCTTCAGATAGGGTTGAACTTATGATCTTTGCGCTGTATCTGAGGCAGTGGAGGAAAATTCATTCGTAATTCTTCGTTTGGCTCTTGATGAAGTACTCTACATCCGTATATCTTCTCTTGTGAGTAGAGATTAAATTTCTTGGAAAGCGAGGGCAGTTTCGACAGGCTGATGACGTCATGTAAACCCTAACCCTGTTCTTGGGCTTGAAACGTCTATCGAGGCTCTGAATCGACTTGCTTCCATTCTGCCGACTCAGCTCTTTCAATTGTTGCTGATATGAACATTGATTTATCGTTAACACCTTCATTACAACTACGCTGTGTATTGGTTATATTTTATTATGTGCTATAACCGTCTGAGAAGTCGGTCAACCTATGCATGAAATGTCCCTTACTTTTCACGTGCGAACAGTCCGAACTCTTGTTCCGGACCGAGCCGCTTAGCTCTCTGCTCAAGTCTGGGGAAGAACCGGGGCCCCGATATTGTTTGAACGTTGAGGACGGCTAGGACAACATCGTCTTGAAGTGTATCTTACTCCCTAGAAGCTGGCAGTCCGAAATGTCTATCGCACATGGCATCAAAACGCTAGGGATCTTGGGTTCGGGGCAGATGGGTGAGTGCCTTCACGTTACTGGAGAAGTTTGGAGCAAGAGGTTCGAATGATCTTGCAACAGGATTGGGCATTGCATATGTGGCCGCACTGAGAGCTCGAGTACCTGTTTTAATTCATGACAGGTCGGAAGCCCAGTTAAAGAAAGGTCTCGCGTTCATGGATAAGTTGCTTGAGAAGGATGTAGCGAAGGTATGCTTCGTCTACATGAAAAGGATCTTTGGCGGTCTTATGAAACTTATTACATGAATGGGTTATAGGGCAAGATCACCAGCACAGATGCCAAAGAAGCAAGGGACCGTGTAACTGTGGTCTTACCCGATCGAGGATTGGTAGGTCTACGAGATGCAGACATGGTCATTGAGGTAGGATTATTTATTCTGCGAGCCCTCTACCCAAGTCATTCTCATATCATTCTGTAGGCTGTATCAGAGAATCTTTCTCTGAAAGAGGCAATTTTCCGAGGTCTCTCTGCTGAACTTGGGCCCGAGCCCATCCTAGCTAGTAACACGTCTTCGATCAGTATTACGAAGATTGCGGCTGCTACTCTGCCTGACGGCGAGGGCGCCTCTAGCGAGAAGGGCAAAAAGAGCGCAAGCAGAGTTGTTGGTGCGTACAGCTTACCGTGCTACGCGTATCTAAGATGAGAGAATGAACGTTCTTCGCTTCCAGGCTTGCACTTCTTTAACCCTGTACCAGTCATGGTATGTCCGGGCATATCGGAAATGCCGGATGCTAGCCCTGAGCTCACTTGCGATCTTCCTAGAAATTAGTCGAATTGATCTCTGCACTGCAAACGTCGAAAGACACGCTTGATCGCGCTCGAGCATTCGCGATCGCTTGTGGAAAGGGTACGTTGTCTGCTTTGATATGAGTTACGCGTCCCTGTGTGCTCATTGCATCGTTGTACCGCTTTCCCAGAGGTGACAACATCCCAAGATGTGCCGGGTTTCGTGTCAAATGCGCTATTAATGCCATTCATCAACGAGGCGAGTCTGCTTTTGGTAGCATGTCAACTCCTCGCGGGTCACTGATAGCCCTTCCCATTCCGCAGGCGATAATGTGTCTTGAAAAGGTGTGAATTCTTTTCGCGTTTTACGCTCTGTTCACTTGCCATCTTGGGCATGATTCACCACGTTTTGGGTATGTTATAGGGCGTGGCTACGCGGGATGACATTGATAAGACGCTCAAATTGGGCATGAATCACCCGATGGGTCCTCTTCAGCTAGGTCCGTCTTTATCGTTTCTTTGCGTCCCGTTCACTCGCACCACTCACACGACCTTTCCGTTTTCTTCCCTTCACTTGCACCTGCGCCGCTTTCACTTGGATCGATCAGCTGACTTGTAAGTTCCTCACTTCTGGTCTACATGCTTCATCTTTCCCTTACGTACAAAATCGAATCTAGTATCGGGCTTGATACGTGCCTCGCCATTCAGCAGACACTTTACACCGGAACAGGTGACTCAAAATATCGGCCTAGTATCCTGCTTGAACGCCTGGTGGATGCCCAGTGGCTAGGCAAGAAGAGTGGGAAGGGCTTCTATGAGTACCCTGCGTAAATGTTGCGGACCGTTCTTCCTTGCCAACTTCCCTGGCTCCGTATCGCCCGCGGATGACCTTGGTCTTCAGATTCAAGGACGCACTGTGCCCTGTTAAAATGAATGGAAGTCGAATTTTGGTCTTCTCGCGCGCAAATCTGGAAAGAAAGAACACTCTGGGTATTAGACTTGTACGTATTTTCATCTTGTGTTTTACTCTTACCGTATCAAATGCTGCGGACGCATGGTGTTCCCCCGTCGGCTTGCAACTTGAGCTGCTATATCATTATGGTAAGCCACTTGATGATCAACCACCGGAGTTCCCCCTTGCCGTACGAACGTGCGTATTCGCAAGCGCGTTCTGTACTTACAGACAACTACTCGGGGTCGCTCTTGTTCGGCCTGGCTGTTAACGTGTGGCTCACTTGATCGGCGGGGTGAGAAGACGCTCCTCAACCTGAGTCTCAGATCGTTCTTCCAACTGCGTATGTGCTCCAAATGTGATTCTATAGCAAATCGATCCAGTCTAGCGCCGTCGAATTCACCGAGTCAAGTAGTCCGGCTACCGTTGACGGTCAGGGTAAGTGCTCGTGTGACTCATCCAAAAGTAGCGCTGCATGGATGAGAAGTACGAAAACTTGAGGCTTAACATGTCCGGAGGTTCACATCGGCAAACGTTTCTAATCCTTTGGATTCTTTATAGCATGCCTCCGCAACACGCAAGTTTCGATGTCAATACAGTCTGCTTGCCACGAGCAGATCTATCCAAGGCACACGTAAATCTGACAGATCACACGACTTGCTTGCAGGTTCCCCTTCCTTCGGCGCGTGTTCAGAGCGCTTTGCAAAGCGAATGTAGTGCGTGCTGCTGCCAGCTTTTTTGGGCGAGGACGACCATGAAACCTCCAAGATGCCTGTATAGATCATTAACCCCGGATATGTTTGAACTTACATGATCTATTTTGACAAGGTCCTTCTTATCCTCGGACGAATCATATATAAAGGCGAGGTGTTGGATATCTAGAACTGCACTACTCCTCGACGCTCAATCCCCTTCCTCACCAGCCCTTCACCTAGTCTGTATCCCTTGCTCCTCTCCTCGCTGCAGGTCACTGACCATTGCCCACAGCCAAACTCCAACCTCCAAACGGTTCATTATGTGTGAAGTCGAGTGGTACGCATTGTAACCTCCTCTCTTGCACTCTCGTCTCCTGATTCTTTCCACAGCTTCGGTAACTACCATCGGAAATGTCAAGTAAGCTTGCCGCAATTCAGATACTCAAATCCGTTCTGCCGGCAGAAGCTCACCGTTGAATGCATTCGGTACTATTTCAGCATTACGTGAAGCTCTATGAATCTGGAATCATTCGAGATTGTGGATCGACCAGATGTGGTGTGAGCACTTCTCACAATCATTCGGCGCCGAATTGCCCTTGCCCCAAGGTACATGGATCTTGTGATTAGCATGGCCCTCTTAGGCTCATGATTTTACTCTGTCTGCTTCTAGTACTACCAGGAACAGAGAAGGGTTCTCAATCTGATACAAGAGCGTTGCGATGATTGCAAGAAGGCTGCGTGGGCGAGTCTCGGTATTGAGGAACGGTGGTGATTACCGATTCAGAATTCTTGGGTCATTGGGAAGAACACTGGGTTATTGTGTTGGACTTCACGGACACCACATTTGTACTACTAAACACCACGGCAATCTTTCTTTCTTGAATATTTATAATCTCGATCATACATGAATGCGTGAGGTAAATCCAATACAACTCTATCAGAGCGTAAACAACGATAGGTACAACAAGGCAAAATGGGGTGCTAAGATCGTTACAATCTCGATTTCTTTTCCCGGTAGAAACGGCCCATTTCTTTCATGACTTCGCCAAACGTCTCGGTAATAATTAGGCTCTCCCCAATCCACTTCGGTAGTTTGCTACGGATACGAGGGGAAGAGTACCGACCGTCGATTAGCACTAGGGACGCCCAATCGTCCTTATGCCGGATGGCACGACCTGTCAAGCAGGGACCATCTCAATACAAAAGCACAGTCAGCAGGTGTGCTTAGATACACGCACCAATACTCTGATTGACTGCATTCATACACATATTCTCATAGAGCTCTGTCGCAGCATCCTTCACCCCAGGCAACCTTTTGACACCTCGGCTTTGCTCCAATCTATTCACATACTGCATGCGTTCCCGCAGTTCGGGCGAGGCCAGGTTCGCGAAGGGTAGTCCAATGATCACGACAGCTCGAGCCAAGTCATCGGTGAAGTTCAGTCCTTCCGATAACTTCGCGCCGATCACTGCGAACAGTAGCGCACCGGCTTTCCTACCGCTGCCTGGAGCAGCCTTGACCGTCTAGAATACCGAAGTCACAGTTCCGATCAGGTAAAGTATAAGTGCCTTGAAATCGGGAGAACGCACGGGGACTTGGATCTCAGCTGCGTACTCACGTAGCACCCGCTCCACTCCGGAGGCATCCTGGGGCTCCATAAACACCTGCAAGATTGATTGTTCAGCAAAGGGGTGGCGAAAGGAGATCGGACATAAACACGAGCATACCCTCTTTTTTGACCGGAGTTTCTCTAAAGTGCCGCTGCTTTCCCAAGCATTGATCAACACATGGAGGAAGCTATATGAAGGGACGAATACGACCATGCCACTCGGAACCACATTTGCGAAGTTGAGCATGATCTGTCCGAGTTCTGCTAACTGAAAACATCCTCAATCAGAATGTGAAAAGCATGTCGAAGAAAGAAATGGGCTCACCAAAGCTTGGTCGTTGCGCCGATCAAATTTGAATTGCAGGTCTCCGCCCCGAGGTCCTTTCTTTACTACTAGCGTCTGAAGGTTGGACGCCGGGATAATGTGACCACAAGAGAATGTAGTTAGCTTCTCCGCAGATAGCCAAGTGAATAATTGATTGGTAACATCTGAAATCTATAGCTATAATGAACATCTCGCGTTGGATATGAAACCCAAGTGCTCGGAAATGACTTACAGGAGACATCGTACCGCCAGCGAGGACGACTGAGCGAGCGACCTCGACCACCTCTCGAAAGTAGGTTGCAGGGTTCAGGTGTTGGTATTTGATCTCCACTTGGTCATCGATCATGGAGAATGTCACTCGACCGTCTAAGCAACTTCCGTGTCAATGGATTTCATAGACGAAAACTAGGGTGTAACTGCGCACCGTCGCTGGATGCAGTCAAAGCAACAATGAAGCTTTCAACGGCATGCAGGGGTGGCGTCGTATTTGAAAGTCGCGATAGTTTGGCTCGTTTTAGAGGGTCTGGATCGTAGCGTGAGTTAAAATGCATTATAAAGGGCAATGGACATACCTGCTCCAGCAGCCTTCTCGAGTTCCTTGGCACAATATCCAGATATCTTCCGGGCAATCCTACTCTTCTTCAAGTAGGCCTCCACTTCGAGCAAGTTGATACCTTCAACCTTCCTGCCAAGTTTGCGGAGTAATTCTCCCGATGTCATGGTTTCGACATTTTCCTTTGCCTTGGCGGGTCCCGGATTCGGGTTTACTTTGTTACGCTCGCCCTTCCACTCTTCTGCATACTTGAGCAGTGCATCTAGAAGTCCTACAAGGCGCTTTAGGTGCAGAGAGTTCTGAGTCGACAAACGGTCTTTGAAGCGAGCGAGGTAGATGGAGAGCTGGTGCAGCGATGTTGTAAGCGTCTTCAGAGGAAGCTGGATGGTGGAGAGTGACAACAGCGTCGAGATAAGGTCTGTAAGGGTCATATTTGAAGCCCGAAACTATTGTCATACTTGCAGACACGTACTGTGCGCCTCGTCAATAATGATTACTTGGTCTTTGAGGTCAATTCCTAATGATTCTCTGGCAGCACTCTGCAGTAGTAGGTTGTAGGGGAGCATAACTAGCTGTATTCAAAACGTTCTCATCGTTGAGCGAGGCATATATTGTTGTAAGAGTAGCATACCTGAGCTTGAGTAATAGCGCGTCGTGAACCGAAATACGGACACGTTTGTGCGTTCTGGCCAGAAACGACGAGATCTTCTATATCCTTTGGCGTTGCCTGGAATAATGTGAAACATTCCTTCTAGACAGTGATATGGCTGCAGTACGTACGAGGACTTGATCTCTGAAGTCTAGTATACGAATTTCGTCCTCAATTGGTGGTAGGTACTGACATCGTCTGTCACCTTTTTCTGGTACATCACAACCATTGTCACATCAAGCATTCGTGAACATCGATTGAAACAAACCACTGTGACCTACCGCTCAATCTCTGTCTGCATGCCTCATCCAGGTCACCAGCTTTGCCTTTCAAGTTCTCATTGATACACAGTTGTTTTCGAGATCCCAATGAGACTGCCCGGACTTCCGGTGTCGTAACTTCATCATCTTCGTCTACAAGAGATATCGGTCTCTTGGCAGAATCTGGAGGAGATTTTGATGCTTCTGGATGCAGTGACAGAACGGATGTGCCCGAAAGATTGATTTGCAATTTTTCCAATTCATGAAGAACCTGTGAGAGCTGCGAATGTGTGCGCGAAGCATAGTAGATCTTTGTGCAAGTCGGCTCAGGTTCTGCGTCTACTTTGCTTGGCCGTTCCAATCTAAACAGCTTGGGATGATGAATTGGAACGACTTCTCATCTTGTAGACTCACTGTTTCATCATTGCGCGTACTTCTGGCGATAAATTGTCGTCTTCGTCCCTAGCTTCGTTATCGTCATCAGGAAGGAAGGCCATGTCATCTAAATGTACGTCTGATGTGGACGACTTCTCTGTTCTCTAGCTCAATATCAGTTCCATGCACAAGAGCTACATAGACGAAACTGCTCGTACTGCTCGTTTCGCCCTGTTTTGAGCGGTTTTTCGTAAGCTTGCTTCTTTCTGCTTGGCTTTTCGAAGGCGTTCCGAATATTCAAGTTCATCGGCCTCCAATTCGCGTCTTTTGCGTTCTACTGTTTGCGCAATTACCCAGTCCAGTGCTACGTAATGAAATGAGAAATCCACTCAGGCGAGAGCTTGTTTGTATTTATGTGAATACGAACCGTCTCCCTCTGATGCTGCAAGTTTCCCCCTTTTGACGCGGTCCAGCTCATCGCGCAACCATGTCAGTGATGCGCACAGTAAACTTAGAGTTTTTCCCTTAGATCAAATGAGTTATATTCTCGACGTGAGTGGCTCTAAACGCACCGTTCCTGTAGGACTTTCCACAATGGTTACCTTCCTATCCTCAATGGAGGTATAAAGGTGTTGCATCAAATTAAACTGAATCTCATAAGGAAGAAAAGGAAAAGCAGGAAAACTTCCTGGAGTCTCCAATTTGAGAGACATATTTTCTGCTACCTAGAAGTGGAAGTGAGTGACCAGACGCGCGACAAGTTGTGCAAAACGCGTCTGTGGCTGAAATGTGATGGAGCACGTGCAGCTCGCGTGGCATTCGACACTTCTCCTGTCTTCGAGCCTTCAAGCATCTTGGGGCACAACTGTCTCGTTTGCCACCGAATTGGCATTCAAGTACTCAAACACTATGCCCTCGCATAAAGTCATCTCTAGCCTTGCATTTTCGCACTATCTTCAATTTTGCTTGGTCAGATAATGACTCGCGTTCGATCCAGTAAATTTCCTATGGTAGGCGTTGTGCAATGTGGACCTTACAGGTTGGAATTCCGAATTCCAACTTGAGGTCCAGGAGTCTAGCATAGGGTTTTGAATCGTACCTTGCCATGTCTAGGCCAGCAGCACCAGGTATTGACGTTCAGACAAACCGGTGGACAACATTATCTCATTATCTCTACCCATTGTTGTGCCGAGACACGCACTAACCTACTTCGGCCAGACGCGTGAAGTAGACATTTAGGGTCCACTTACGTGTTTCATAGACAAGGAAAAATGACGTCAAGACGTTTCGGTTACGGCTTCGGGCTCGCTATTGTTACGCTTGTGCCTTTCGGGATAAGTGAATAGTGAGTGATCCCGAAGATACGCATGTGTAATTAATGCATTCCGTAACTTACTCAAGCTTCCTCCGCCAGTAATGCGAAATAATTCAACATGCGGCACGAGAGGGTTCACAACCAACAGGGTCGATTTGTCAATTTGACTTTGAACGCTCTCAGGTCGCGGTCAGTCTCGTCCTTTAACCGATGTCGTCGGTTTGGTGGCAGTGGAACGCTGCCATCAGATCAACACTGCATACCGCGTCTATAACAGATGTAAGAATCAATCAACCTTCTTTGTCAATGTCCTTTCCACGTGCATTGTCACATGTTCGTGTTAGAAATGCAATATAACCGTTTGATGGACAGCACTGAGGAGACTGGCGTAGGCGATTCCTTTCTTCCCAACTTCTTCCACCGTACAAATAGCGGGTTCTCGTCAACGAATCGAGTGAAAGTGTGTAGTGTGCAAAACGAAGGGCGGTGGTTCACCGAAATGGCAGGGTAAGTCTCCCATCTACGAAAGACTGAATACCCATAAGGTGCTTACTCTTCACGTCGGAGCAGCCGCAGTCCCCAGTTGCTGAAGAAGACGGAGAAGTTCCTCAAGCACGACATCCTCCTCCGTCGGGATTTTATATCTACGTCTCCGTCCCCAGCTGCGGACGCTCCCTTGGATGTGGTAATTCATGCGAAGCGCCAGCAAAATTCGCTTCAGCCAGTAGCTAAGCTCCCTGCGGAGATCTTATGCGACATCTTCGTCTTTTGTGTATCCAATGCGGAAGAAGATGAACATGACTCCCACTCAACATGCTGGCCGAACGGATACACATGGATTAGTGTCACGCATGTCTGCCACTACTGGCGAGCTGTCGCACTAAAGTCCCCAGGTCTTTGGGCTGTGATACCAGCATCAACCACCGGGTTTGATTTTACACTTGAAATACTGCGGAGATCCCAGCGCATGCCTCTGGACGTGGAGATCAACACGGACATGCAGAACTGGCGATTGAATCTGGGGATAATTCAGCAGGAAGCACAACGGATTCGAGGGTTGGTGCTCTTATTTGAGCCCGATACTCCAATTCCACCTCTCACGGTAGAGGAATTGCCGCACTTGCGCTCCCTTCACGCTCGTGTCAACGGCAATTCCACACGAGAGCTTCCTGGGTTTCTTGACCACGGCCAGTTCCCTGATTTAGTACAGCTCAACTTGTGGAACATTCGAATCTTCATGACGCACCCGATCTTTTCTCCTCGCCTGACTCAACTATCCCTTTGTGGCATCCGCGAGCCCGATAGAGTCAGCGTCGACGAGGTCCTCAGATCCCTTCATAACATGCCGCTTCTCGAGGATATTCGACTCGCTTACATATTCGACTCCCGACCTGCAATGGCGCCTTCACGCACTATAACTCTATCCAATCTCAAAGCGTTACTAATTGTAGACTCACCGTCACCTGTGGTGGAAATATTCGAACACATAATCTACCCTCCTCATGCGTCTATCCAAATCAATGTCGACATAACCTCGGAAATCTTCACTTTCAACGCAATCGTGTTTGGACGCCGACTAGCTGCGCACATGCAGCACTTGATGCATCTGAACCCCCTTCACACATTTGTAGCCGGCACTATTCGTCAGGAGAATTGTCAGGTCGACAAACACTCCATCATGGGAACCGCCTTTATCTTCGATGGCGCTCCAGGTTCTCCTAACGCTAGTGGGAATAGTGGAAAGCAACTGCTTTCGAGCGTCTACACATTCTCCCTGGCGTTGGTCGTTCCGCACTCCTGTCTCAAGTCTCCGCATGTCACACGCAACCTTGCTGCCTGTTTCGCTGAACTGCCTTTGACAAATCTCCGTTCGTTCGATATGGAGCGAGTCAAGGCATGGAACCACCTGGAGGACGTCTGGATTCCCGTGCTGCGGATGATGGACAAAGTGTACGAGCTTGCCGCTGTGGAGGATTGCGTGCGACACCTTCCCACAATTCTCGATTATCGCGAAGAGGAAGTCGAAGAAGGTTTTGTCACTTCAAGACGTCCTTTGCTGAAGAACCTAGTGCGTCTCAGACTTGAAGAGACGTACATCGATAAGGGTTTGCTCAGCAAGCTATGTTATTCGTTCCACGATCGACGTATTGGCGGATGGCCCCTCCAGTCTTTCTCAATCAAGAATTGCCACGTTCGAGACAAGGATCTTGAGACGCTTGCTCTAGCCATGACCGAGAGGAATGGTAAGCAGGAAGTGTTCCAATATCAGACGGGAAATGGAATAGAATGCGTCATTCATGACTTGGGGAATTGGTGATGTATCTTGGTTTTCTTTATGCATAAGTATTTCATTGTATCATATGACCGCGAGTTGCTATTATAGATCGGAATGCTCTGCTTTACCGGACGGAAGTTCTATATTTTTGCTACTTGTACGCTGTATCATACCTTAGCTTCGTTTGCCAGACGTCTTAGGATAGCCTTATTGATAGTGTACTTAGATTACGGACCTCGATATTGTTAACCACTTCTCTAGACCTAGACTTGCCTTTTACGGCGAGAGGTGTTCAGTAAATCCGTTCAGTTGGTCAATCGCCAACAAGATTATGTTCCTTCGTCATACCTCTATGTTGAATCCCCGTCAAGTCCTAATCCACCTTCACAAAAGGAATGACGAAAATGATGAAGAGTTGCAACGCAACGCGCGGTGACTATATCCGAGGAGGCAGACTGGCCAGTACGCTGTCCGTCGTAAACGCACGTTTGCTAGCACAATAATGCTCAACAAGGTGAGACTTCGCTGATCTGTCAATATAATCCGTGGTTACTGTCGCTATCGGAAGAGGCATGGCTGAGTCGTGGGCTCTTATGATGACATTGACTGGCACGAAGGACAAAAGGTCAAAGATCAAACAGGGTCAAAGCTACGCGAACTATCTGCACGTGGGCCCAGGCCAAAGATTTTTGTCTTGTGCCACCATTCCCGGCCTCAAAAGCTTTCTCTTGACCCTTTACTACCACTGTACTTTTCCCCCATGCTTGCTGTATCCCCTGTAGAGCCACCGTGCAAGACACCGCCTCCTCAGAAACGCAAGGCCGAAACAACGTCGTAGTACGTCTGCTATTACTTCTGTTGTAATTATACCTGATGGACCGGGGTTGTAGCACCTCGGCAAAGAAGCTCACGAAGAAGATACGAATGAGTCCCCTACAGGTGCAGAAGGCAGCGCTTCATGCGGAAATGACGCGAATTATAGCGTTGGGGAGTACAATCGGCAAAGCTGGCATCCTGCAGCTCCTTACCGAGAAGTACCGCGGGTTCAATGCAGGCCGTGGACCGTGTCGTCTCCCGCGAGATGTACTCTCGAAGATCTTCACCTTTTATGTCGATGCCACTAGGGGCCTTCCCAGGAAAGTCAATTCACCTCCGATGGAGTACTCTTGGATGGCCGTTTCTCAAGTCTGCCACCTTTGGCGAATTGCCGCTCTTAAAACTCCTGCGATCTGGACGAATATCTCTATACCACCTGCTAATGATATACTAGTGAATGAACAGCTTGACCGGTCCGAGGACGCGTCTTTACGCATTGAGATAGCACTCTCGCCCAAAACAATCACATCTTGGGTCGCAATTCTCTGCGCGCGATGGCGATGGCGCGAAATGACTCTCGATCTTACTCTCTGCCCACCGATCACTTCTCCCCTTGCTGGATGGAAACATTGCGGCGTTCAAGTGTTGACGCTCAGAAGTCGCCAGATGCAGCCCTTGCCCATCGTCATGGATATGCAGGAAGGCGATATTGCTCATCTACATACCCTCTCGATCATGAACCTTCGTGTTCCATGCACTCATCCCATGTTCCGCTCATCACTGACTACGCTCAAGATCACCTGCTCGACGTACGGCCACTTGAGTACCACCCCACTTGAAGACATGATTTCTGAACTAGGACGCATGCCTAATCTGGAGCATCTCTCCATCGAGAAGTTGATTGGGATACCGGAAGACCTTCTAGGACAAACTGTTGCTGAACTGAGCCGACTGTCAACATTCTACATCCTCGACACACCGACGGGCATCATCGGTCTATTGGATCATATGACATTCCCTTCCACAACGGTGGTTCGACTCATGCTGGATCTCAGTGAGCTTTGTGACGAGGAACCCTCTAAGTTGGGCCAGGCAATTGTCTCGCGATTGAACGTTATCCGGTCACAACAAGAGCCTGAGGCAGGCCCTGTCTGTTTTCCTAGTGCTCAGTTGCAACAGTTCAATGCCTCAATATCCGACATAACTATTTCTCTCCACGCATACGCTGTGCCTTCATCCTTATACCCTTTCTCGCTCCAAATTCCTATCTTCACGATTGGTATCCAGGGAACACGACCCGTTCTGCGTGAAACAGGGCAGAGTGGAGGATTCGCAGACTTCATCACGCAATTCCCTCTTTCGTCGATTCGGACATTCCAGATGTCCGTTCCTCTCTGGAAGGACGGTTCCGCTATGGTCTGGATACCTATGTTACAACGCATGGACAAGTTGGACAAATTGATCGTCTTCGGAACCGAATGCGTTGGGTCATTTCCGGGTATTCTCAGCTGTTGGAAAATGAATTCCCCCTCCTACCAGATAGAGGGCCATGAGGATATACATCCTTTCCAAGGTCTTCGCAAACTCCAATTCATGCAAGCAACAGTTACGACGTCTACCCTGGAATCGCTAGAAAGTGCATTTCGATCACTGCAGTACTATCCCCTTCGCATGAAAAGATTTATCCTAGAAGGATGTGAATTCGAGGATGAAAACTACGCTGGTCTCGTTCCTGCCATTGAAGCCATAAAAGAGGCATGTGGTGTTGACGAGCATGATATACGGACGAGAGAAGGTTATAATCTTTACGTCTTTACCTTCAACACCCCGTGAGGATCCTTTCTGTACCGTATTTATGTTATCCAAATATAGCCGTATTCAATTCTCGTAATATGATTGGACGGCGATGTTATACTTGATAAGTGTAATCTTAAGTGATGATCGAAAACGCCACTAGATGCTCTTTACGTATCTCCATTTTTATCGCGACTCTAACGACCCGCGACCACCATTCTGCCGTCAACACTATCTCTCTGAAACATATATTTCGCAGGGTCTTCCTATCGCTCTGGCTTTGTCGACCCAGATACCTCGCTCTCATTTCATGCACACATGGATCCAGATGGTCCTAAATCCGGAGAGCCCATTGCTTCAACCTCTGGAAGGTTGACACCACATTCACCTACTCCTGGACGAGCACTCTCAGGCCATGCCTCGGAGGCATCTTCTTTGAGGCACATGTACACGCAGGGTACTTCTGGGTTAAGAACTCCACGAACACCTGGAACTCTGGACGAGCAGGCAGCATTACTGGGACGGTTGGATGACATTGATCTGTACGGATCTATAGCACAACGGGGTGGGATAGGTGTGCCAGAATACAAACCTTAGAGATATTCAATGAGCTGACGTTATCAATTCATTGCTCCAAAACGTCCAGAACCACCTCCACGACCTCCATTAGTTCGCAAAAACTCTAATTGGGCGAAGGTTAAATACTATGTGCCTTCAACTGCGTGGATACCTGAATACTCCTGGTCATTGTAAGTCGAGCCACACTAAATCTCCCTGGTAGCTGACGGCGAGCTTGAGGCATGCAGACTCGGCGGAGACCTTCTGGCCGGTTTGACAGTAGCTTCTATGCTGATACCTCAGTCAGTTTCGTATGCATCGTCACTTGCTAAACTCAGTCCCGTTACTGGTCTGGTGGGTCTGTCCCACTGAATCTTTCTGAAAACTGGCATCTTATTTAGTTTGTAGTTCTCTGCATCTATACCTGGAATTGTCTATGCACTCCTTGGTACCTCTCGACAACTGAATGTTGCTCCGGAAGCAGCTCTATCTCTGCTCGTGGGCCAAGCCGTCGACGAAATTTTGCATGCTGATCCACATAGCATTCCCGCTAACCCTAATGCCGTTTCACTGGCGGTAGCAACAGTCATAACATTTCAGGTGAGTGGTTATAGTGAATTAATTGTTGAGTCGTGCTTAGGAACTTTATGATGTAGGTCGGCTTGATCACCTTCCTACTGGGCATTTTTAGACTTGGATTTCTAGACGTCGTGCTTAGTCGCGCGCTGCTACGTGGTTTCGTTACTGCAGTGGCTATCGTCATCATGGTGTATGCTTCTTCTGTCATTTTGCTCCCCGACATGCTCACACGTCAATTTATTAGTGAGCAACTAATACCTATGTTCGGCCTCACCGAACTTGAACATACCCTAAACCCACAATCCACCCTAGACAAATTCATATTCATTGTCGATAATTTATTCTCACATACCCACAGAATAACCGCTATCATCAGTTTCAGCGCCTTGTTCGCTTTAGTATTGTTACGATCCTTCAAGGGTGCATTCAAGCGCTATTGGTGGATCTATCGCGTACCGGAGGTCCTGGTCGTTGTTATCATCTCTACTAGTGAGTTCATTTCTCAACACCCAGTTTTGAGAACTAAGATTGGCGCAGTGCTTTCTGCCGAGTTCCGATGGGACGAGGACGGTGTCGATGTCCTCGGTTCCGTACCTATCAACACAGATGGTCATTTCGTTAATTTCCCTCTACGGAGGACGACTCTGCGCTTCCTCCGACGCACTACTTCCACTGCAGTGCAAGTAATTCACTCGCTCCTAATAAGCGCTCGCATTCTAATCAGTCACTAATCATAGGTTAATTTCTGTCGTGGGTTTCCTTGACAGTATAGTTGCAGCGAAGCAGAATGCGACACGTTTCGGCTACAGTATCTCTCCGAACAGGGAGTTGGTCGCATTGGGTGCGGGTAACATCGTCGCCTCCTTTGTACCTGGCACCCTTCCCGCGTATGGATCTATCACTAGGTGCGCTATTCACTTTAATGGCGATCCCACGATCATAGAGCTGAACTTCCTTCATTACCAGGTCTAAAGTGAACGGGGATGTTGGGGGCCGTACACAAATGGCGTCGTTGATCTGCTCTGCTCTCGTCCTTCTCGCCATATTTTTCCTCTTACCGTGGCTTTATTTCCTTCCGAAGTGTGTCCTTGGATCGATGTAAGGAGTTTCTCATGGGGTTCACTCCTATCTGCTGACTGTTAGCATAAATTAGTATTTGTCTTGTCGTTTTCAGTTTACTTGCGGAAGCTCCTCATGATGTCAAGTTCTACTGGCGGTAAGAGACATATTAATTTCACATTCCGCTGATACCGATGCTAATAATATTCAACAGAATGCGAGCATGGATTGATCTCCTGCTCATGTCGTTGACCTTCTTCTTCACTCTCTTTTGGGATGTTGAGGTTGGTATCATGGTTAGCTTGGTCATCTCCCTCTTGCTCGTCGTTCACCGGTCGTCGAGGACTCGCATGACTATTCTGGTATGTTGCAGGCTTTGCTTTACCATGACAATTACTCACAGGGAGTGACGATTAGGGAAGGATTCCTGGAACCGACAAATGGAGATCGATCAGTGAGGATGCGGAAGCTGGAGAAGAGGTTCCTGGCGTTCTCATCGTTAGGATACGGGAGAACTTGGACTTCGGTACGTCTTCTTACTCCCACTCTCACATGATTTTGTGACTGGGCTTACCTTGCGTAAATAGCGAATACTGCGCAGCTCAAAGGTGCGATACTCTTTTCACATTCCTTTGAGCCAGATACTGAAGTTTTGAACAGAGCGTCTCCGTCGGCTTGAACTGTATGGACACGACAAGCATCACCCTTCAGAAGAACCTCACAGACAATACGCTAATGTCCTGGTCTTCCATATGGCTGATGTTGATAGTATAGATGCTTCGTACGTTTCTTCGGTTACTCTGCACTATGTGACTACTTATCGCGGTGACAGTGCTGTACAAATCTTCCGTGAGCTGGTGGAAACGTACAAGGTAAGGCATTACATTATGTCTTCGTTTATATTGCACACTCTGACGGATCTCATGCAGGGTCGTGGTGTGGGTTTGTATATTACGCATCTGAAAGGAGGCCCGAGGGAGTCCTTTGAGCTCGCTGGCCTCGCGGATCTACTTGGCGAACGTGCTTTCTGTAGGGACGTGTCCAGCGCCATGACCCTCATTGAGCAGTCGAACGTACGAGAACGGCCTCTATAGACTATGGTTGTGCCCTATATGCTCACTTTACATGCCGTTATATTACATGACTTGCAGTCGACTTAACAGCTCTCGGTCACATTCAGCATCAGCGAAGGACATGAAGTATATTGATTACGAAATTACGGGGGAGATCGAAACCTCGCAATTGGTAGAACACATTGTGGCCGGCGACTGACGGACTGCCGACGTGTTGCGTTGAAGTGTGGCTCATTTGGGAGGAGGTGCACTGTAAGCGTCTATTCCACACTTCACAACCTGACGATCACTGACATGCATGTCGAAACGTGGCAAAGTCGAAGACTAAGACTTCTGAGTTGTCCGCTAGAAATCTGAGGTTTCCCGTGATCGGACCCATGAAAAGATCGTATCCCCACCCCACACCTCTACAAATGCGGCAGTCGTATCAATGCTAAATCTTTTCAACAAAGTGACACGAAGGATGCCTTTTTTAAAAAAATCATGAAGCAACACTTTGGGATGTAGGCAGCTCTTAGAATCATTCATACAAGTTGTTCGGACCTGAATATCATGTTAGGGCGGCTGTAGCTCGACATAAGTTCCTAAATTGTCTATCCCCGTTTCCCTATTACTTACTTTCACAGAAAACCAATCTTTGAAGGACGTATGCATCAGAAAACCTGCGTCATTTCTCAATGGTCTATTCGGCGATGCTTATCATTGTCCGTAGGCTCTGGAAGCTCACTATTGTAGTTGTCAACATTAGGTGAGTCCAGCATTGTGCTCGGTTAACGGTACTTACCTAGCCATTGAGCTGGGCGTGTCTTTGCAATGAATAAGCAGTGAATATCGATGGAACGTGGAGTTTAGTGCCAACTCTGTTATCCATGTGAGCAATAGTTGAATTTGAAGTTTCTTCTCCGTGACTAACGGCCAAGATTGGATGCACTGCGTTTCGTATAACAAACTATCCGCTAGGTGTCAGCAAAGAATCAAGCATTGATATCTACAAGTCAGGATCCTTATTGTAGGCGTAGCCATGATACCCTTAATGAGGAGCACAACTGACAGAAGCTTCAGTAAAGTCATAGTCTTTGCCTAATACGCGTCGACGAGAAGATGGAAAGGATGTGCGAATGTTAAGGTGAGTTGACATAGAACCTAAATGTCTCCATCCTTTTATAACTCTGGTGACATGCTTCCAACGAATTACCCGATGAACAAATGTCGTATCTAAGTCAAACCAGTCTTCCCCCATACCAGGTCAACTACACGACGCTAAAGAGGCGGGCACACGACCCGGAATGAAGATGTAACATCGGACGAGCATTTAAATGATGCGACTCTACCTATCATAACCGGTAGCTCAAGTCTCGCATGTTCCGAGGTGACTACAAGACCCCGACTGACAAACTGAACGCCAGCTTATCGCATCCCCAAGCCCGCGAATTCCCGTTCAATATAGCATGTTTACACAGGCGCAACACAAGCCCAAGTGGTGCCATATGCTGCGCTGGTCGTCCTGGGCTTCGGGCTAGGTATGGAATCGGCCGCAACTTGCGTTGGATTTCGGCTCTCTGAACCGTACGCAGGTTCGAGTTGTCATTTCCGTTCAGGTTAGTACGAACTCACCAAGTTACATTGTTGATTGCTCCAATTATGCCCGAAGATGTTCAATACCAATGGGGATTCTCGACATTTCAACGGCAGGGAGGACGGGGACTCAAGTCATTACCGAGGTCGTTCCCACTTGCTTCCCCGGGGAGTTGCTTTCCAAACAAAGGCTGTCGTGAATGAGACACTGACGCAACTGCGCTGCCATGGGATGGGCAAGGCAGACTATTGCACTGACGTCTGCGTCGCGATAGGCTATTTCAACCTTGCTGCAGAGCCTAAAATTCGCAATGCGATGATCCCAGATGGAAGGAACGTTGAGGTTCGCCATGTAGACGAGGGTGACAGCGGTTGTTTCGAGGCCTTGTTGAGATCTGTTGCAGGCAAGACGTTGCGAGATCAAGTGCTCACCAATTGTTCTCCTGCGATGATCAAAGGAAATCCCAATTTTCATCTCTGTGAAAGGTGCTATGCTTATCTTCAAAGCTGACTTGATCAAAATCACCTTCCACCGGAGCTTTTGCCTTTCCAATTGATCCTGAACCTCTGACCTTCCCCGGGGAGTTATATGAGAGCGTAAATCCTCAGAAGTCTCAACGAAACGGTATTTATATAGCGCTCTAGATTCAGGCGGGACGCACACTTACAGGGTGTCGTTTGCAGACAGAAATGGACTTCTCCCAGTCATCGACTACGGCGGTATACAAGCCAACCTTGTACAATGGCAGGACGACATCACCAATTGCAGACGTGGCTCGAGGCATACAATGAATGCTATCAAAGTGGGCACATACGAGGGGAAGACTTAGTCCCACATCTTGTACGTGACTGCCGCGGGCGGATGTTTATGAGACCTGATACGTACGTCTTCCTTGATGTTTCTCCGTGACTTTGCTAATTATCGACCCTCAGCTGGCCTCAGCCACCAAGGATCGGCAGAACCCCCAAGTTCTCTATATTCCCTCTTATACCCGACTCTCATATGCCTTCTATCGGACGCCTACCGATTGAGATTTTGATTCCCATCGTTCGTGACGTTCCGATAGCTTCACTGTTCGCGCTGTTATCGACGTGTCGATCGCTTGGCGCGCTCATCGCAGAGCAGTCATTCCTAGATCAGGAGGCCATTACTCGCGGTTGCCTTCGTTGGATCTTACCCTTGGAGTCTTTGCGGGATGAGAAGAAGCGTGCGTATGATGCCTTGCGACTCTGGTTTCCTGAAGACTCTCGGCCCGAAGAAATACTATCATTCCAAATAGAGCCAGGAAGTTCTCTGGATCAAGACGACGAAGACGAGAAATCTGATGATGAGGCTATATTGCTTCCCCAGCCTGACACGAAATCCTTTCCTGCAATTGCGTCGCTCATCGTGTCGCCCGGCTCTCCTCGTTTGGCGTTTGTGCGAGAATGCTGGGAGTCGGACTCGATAATGAATCGGAAGAGGCTGTGGGACCAAGTCGCGCAATTTAGTGCCCTTTGGGAAGACTATCGTATTCGTGGTTTGCGAGTCAATCGATTTTACTTGTCTAACGCTATGCCAGCCTCGCAATAGCAGTGAAAACTGTAAGTCAAGTTAGTCAACCTAGGGTATTCTCCAGCGAGGTCTGTGACCTGCTGTACATTGCGCAATCTGCAGACTCACGGGCTATTTCATGTAAGTCTGACTCACAGGTATGACAAAGTTGTTCTGACGACGATCAATCTCTGGTTTAGGAAAGGCGTAAGCGAAGATGGAACCCAAGTAGTTCCTTCAAGGCTGTGACTGTGACGATGGGCCCTTGTTGTTAGCCATATTCATTATCTTCAAGGTTGTCTAGGTTTAATTTTCCCTATCGAATTCATGCCTACTAGACCTTCTGACCGCGAGTCTTCCCACGGTTCGACTGTGGCAACTGTGGCCTTGACTATAAGCCTATACTGCACAAGCTTACAAATTCTGTGCTCAGCTCTTCGTTCACGTGTGCAATCTCCCTGGAACATCACGCCTGATCATGTATAAATCATCTCGACTTCAGATTGTAGGTGACTCTCGTGTGTCATACTGTCTATGGATATTCACTTTTCTTCAGACATCCCTTTCAAGAATGGAAGCACGTCGGACCCCAGTGGGGACTCGTTACATTCCTAAAGCCACCAGTATGGCAACCAGGGCCGGCCACAAGCGAAAGAACCAGTCATGCAAAAGTGAAGTCGCGGAGAAAAGATCAAGAACTGAGGGCCGGGATGAAGAAATTGAAGACAATATTAAGACCACTGGCCCTTCGCAAGACGTCGTCAAACAGGTTAGCCGTTCTGCTCATAGGATGCTTCTTTTAACCTATGGAGTACAGCCGCATTGCATTACGACGATTATCCAGGAATGTACGGTGCAATTTAGGTAAGTAGATTCGGATGCTTCCGAGTACATGGTTTCCACGGAGATCTTTTGGATCTCGAATTAGAACGAACACGTTTCTCTGATAATTGCTTTGAACTTCCTGTACCGCCGAAGCCGTGGGTCTGCGTATCTAAGGCATCACATTGCCGATAGCAAATGGCGATCATCCTTCGCTGTTTCCATTGAGTGCGCTGACAGTTGAACGTCCTAGTGATGGAAACGCCGAGGAGAATGCAGACATTACGTCCGCTTCTAAGGCTTTCACGTGGATGAATCAGCGTATTGGACGGCTTTCCTAAAATTGTGTTCGAGGGTTGCTTCTGTCCGGACGATTCAACTGATCAGGACTGTGACGATCATAGTTTCAGATACATAGTCTTCAAGAAATACTACCCGCTTGACCAAGTTCTTAATCCCCTCAATACGGGATATTTGTTTCAGCAGTTGTTGGACTGTAGATCTTCGAAACTTCTTGGACTTTGGTTTGTATTGATGTAATGACTTCCAGTTGTCAATCAGCTGCATAATGTCGCTCGCACTCTTTACCGGGATGTCAGACTGAGCAATTTCATGTACGGCCGGTGCAATGATATCGGCTACTTAATTCTCAACGACTTTGACATGGGTAGCGTGGTTGACCAGAATAGCGATGTCATTGGGGCCGCGACTATTCACCGAACAAGAACACTCCCTTTCACGCCTGTGGACCTGTTTTACACTCCAAACTCTCCGTACTATTTTAGACACACTATTGAGAGTGTTTTCTATGTTGCAGTGTGGTGCATGGCCAAACTTCCCATGGAGACAACTACTGGGTCGGAGTTCCAGAGGTGCAAGGCTCAGTTCCTGAATTGGGAGCGACGTGGAGCTGGAGCACTTTTTAACGCAAAAATTGTGCTATTGCATGACTACGGACTTGTCGACCTTCCTATTTCTGATGATTACACCACATTCGTAAAGTGTTGGACGCAGGACAGAAGGCGATCACAGACATGAGACGAGATCTAAAAATTCTGGGAATCGTCCCAGCGGATAGCTTCGATATAGAGACAGGCGGTCATATCACGTTTGATAACGCGAAAAGAGTGGGTATGGATGTCGTTTCCGGGGAGCTTCCTAATGATTTGGTACAATGAAACTGCAATTTAGCCTCTTGTACTAACTTACTATGTACTCTATATTAACGACCCGCCATATGATCTTGAATTTCAATTGCCTAATATGAACGATGGTGCCATCACGATCGATTAAGTCTCTCGGCATTTAGGGAAGGCTAAGTAGAAAGAGATAGAAGGATAGAACCAAGTATCAGGCTGTACCTTCACCACCTACCAGTAACGAATATCCATCGGCACGCCGTTGCCATTATCTCTTGTGAGATTTGTCTCGGTTGGTAATTTCCTACCCTTGAATACTATTACCGTGATGTTTGACTTACTACGCGAAGATTCCCACGGTTCGATTGTGCGACTCACTTTTACAGTTGTATCCTCTTTCCTTACTATTGTAAGAAAATGTATGCCAGTATAATGTATGCCAGCGTAATGCATCTCGCTCATTGTTCGTTATGTATAGCCACGCAAACCGCCTGCAAGCCGAGTCCCCACTTTGATTGTGCGCACGGTCCACACTCCGGAACCTCTCCTTTGTTTATGTGGCCAGGGCCACACTCAGCGCAAACTCGCTAAAAAGCCCAGGTAAGATATATAATGGTTGTTTCGGCCACATCCTTGTCTCACTGCACAACTCACCATGAATCCCCCAGACTCTCCGAGGACTCTCGCCGCTTTCATCTCTGCCGACGACACTACTGGCATCCCTGATTTCTTTGACGAGCCAGGCCCCCCAACCTCTCAAGTTACTGAAGCTGAGACCGACAGCGATTCACAGACTCTTGGAACTCCGGAACGCGGTGGCACGCCAACGCCCATCAAACCGTTCCCTGCTTTTCCTCGACACTCATCTAGGTGTTCCCATTACTCCTGATAAAGGCCGTCACGAGCGAATCTCGAATAATACTCAGAGTACACCATTTGCACCTTCGAAGCCCGCAGGGATGATACACCTAGATCGCACCCGGGATAACATGAACCCTCTTCTCCGTCGTGACCTCGAAGAAAGAAAGACCGTCAATCTTGATATATGGATTCAGGCTGTGACCGGTAGAAGCCCTGAAACAATACGTCAATGGTCGGATATTATACGCCAAGATAAATTTTGTACTGATGCTATCATCGACGACGCCGTTACGGAATACTGTGCACTCGAGAAGCACGAAACTTATCGCTATCGCCCTTGGTGCCAAATGGCCAATAGGATACTTTCCTTGGCTCGTAAAAATATCGAGTCCCTACCTCCGTACGCTTACGCTGACGTTCAGTACTATCGCAATGACCCTATTATCGTTGAAGGGAATGGACGCTGGGATGAGTATGCTCATCGTAAACCCGACGTGGTCTCGATGCGCAAGGCCACTTTCGATCACACGTGGAGCAGAGTTCAGGGTCAGCCAGATCCACTCAATCCACGCATGAACAAACTCTGTTGGCCGGAGATTGTCTCTCTCACGGAATTCAAGGACGTGCCTGACCGACATCTTGTGGAACTCGAAAAGACATGGCATCTGGTATTGGAGGCCGCGAAGGGCCGCAAAGGTGAGCTGGCAAGTCTTGAAGTCAAAGATATGCCCCCACGAAGGTCGCCTCGAAATCACGCAGTATGTATTTCAACTCTATCCCATTCGTATTCCAATGCTAAGTTCCTTGGCAGGCTTCCACTTCCGGAACTGGGATCACATCAACACCTGCAGACATCCCTCGTGCTCCTAAAAGCTCTCGTATATTAATCAGTGCAGGGCAGAAACGCAAGAATACACAGTTCGCCAGTCAGGCAGTCGAGAAGAAACCAAGGGTCAGCCAGGAGCTTGAGGAGGAAGACAAACCTGAAGAGTCCACGAGTTCTGATCCTCCAAAGAACGTTGTGGAACAAGTCGGCAGTTACGCTCTCGAAATGCTCGCTTCGACTCACGGAACACGGTTACACAGCATAATACCTCTCATTCAAGGATCAAAAGTTCAGTTTTGGTATGCCGATGCCTCTGGCTTCGTCGTCTCGACGGAAATCTGCTGGATTTCAAACTTCGACAAGTTTGCTGCTCTCCTTGTCGCTTTAAACTGCTGTACTGAAGAGGATATGGGTCTTCGTATGCCAGGCATTACATTACCTACAAAAAAGGGTAGACATCCTTCTCCCGACCCCCCTCTGACACTCCAGGGTGCCACTTTGACTATGGAACATCCTGACGGCGGAAATATCGAAGTCACCATGGGCGAGGAAATCTTCACTCAATACAGTCTGGTGGGTCGACGCACCAACGTCTACAACATCAAGACGTCTCCTGGGGTGGCTGATTGCGACCTAGTGATCAAGATGTCTTTCCAGCCGGTTTGCCGACATCCTGAACAAGACATACTCAGACTAGCCGAGAATGCGGGTGTTGAGCATATTCCCAAGGCCTACATTTGGACGAATCAGCGCACTGAATGGCGTTTATCTAATGGTATTCGAGGTCGCTTCTGGCCTGACAACTCAACCGATCAATACTACGATGAGCGTAGTTTCAGATGGATAATCTTCAAAAAATACTACGCGCTTGAAAAGGCTCTTGATCCTCTTAATATGGGCTATCTTTTCCGGCAGCTTTTGGACTGTACGTCTGTCGATTCTCTTTAAAATGACCTCATTTTAACACAATGACTTCTAGGTGTCAATCAACTGCGTACCAAGGCTTGCATTCTCCATCGCGATATTAGTCTGAGCAATCTCATGTACGATATTCGCGATGGCACCATCTACCTGATCCTCAATGACTTCGACCTCAGTAGTGTGGTCGACCAGAATGGCGAGCCAACTGGAGCGACCGCCCGTCACCGGACAGGGACGCTCCCTTTCATAGCCGTGGATCTTCTTCATAATCCGGATTCTCCCCATTACGTTAGGCACGATATCGAAAGTATTTTCTACGTTGCAACGTGGTGTGCAATCAAACTTCCCCTGGAGGATACTACTGTGTCTGAGACCCAGAGACGCAGGGCTCAACTCCAGGATTGGGAGCTGCATGGAGCGAAGTCAGTTGCCCGTGTCAAAATAGAGATATTGCACAGCGATAGATTCGTCAAACTTCCTCTCTCTGACGACTATGCTCCCTACCTACCATGGCTTTACCAAATCTGCAAAGTTATGGAAGCAGGGCAGAGGGCAATTACCGATAGGAAACGAGAACTGGCAGTCATGGGCATTATTGCAGAAGACAGCTTCAACGCTGAAACATGTGGTGGTCATATCACTTATGAGAACGTGAAGAAAGCCATGTCGGTGGGTATGGCTTCCGTTTGTAAGGCACTCACTAACGTTATGGTGTAATGACTTGTAATTATTTTACTACTACATACTGTCAGTGCGCATGAGTTTGTCTTTGTCGGGACAGCAACTTGAGATAGAGTCTTCTTCGCGCCCCACTGCTCGTTAGTATCTCTGAATGTGTTGAAGAGGCAATTGGGACAAAGTGCGGTCAAATACGAGACTACTGATTCATTGTCAGTTTATGGCACAACTTGGAGGGATTTCTAATATACATTTACCATATACAAGTATTCTCCGCATCATGCCTAATTTGCGTGGAGACGGCGGATCGACTGGGATCGACTGGGAACGATATTAAAGTCCGACATGAATGTAAGTACCTCGCAGACTCCTCACAGCATCATCAAGTGCATATGCGACTACGTTGGGATCAAGGAGACCATGCAAGTCAAACGTTGCATCGCAACCCTCATATGCCTTGCTACTAATGTCAAATAGCACACGATACACAGTAGCAGCGACCATGGGCCCGTCTTTATCATACATGGACCTAGAAAAAGTATGTTCTCGGTATTTCAACATACTAGAGCTGGGGCAGAGCTCTCCACATGGTCCCGACTACACTCCTGAATCCGACGAACAACATAGTAGAGGCCAGATGAACCGCCTGACCCGGTTGGTAGCGAGATCCCTTCGCGGTGTCGCATGCACTAAGAAATGCCAGAAAAGCATGGGGTGGGAATATTTGCATCAATTGTGTGAGCGTCACGACATCATCGCGGAGGATAAGACCGCTAGCCAAAGGATTTCGTCCAACCTGGATATCGTGGCAAGCTAGATGCACCATGGTAGCCTGTGATAGGCGCGACAACAAAGTATTCGAAGATAGTCCTGCACCGTCGGCACCGGACAAGACATCGTCTTCGGGCGGAATAGATAGGATGACTTCAGGAGGGGTGTCCTTGTATCGATGTTGCTCCTCCGAGTGGATCTTCACGTCCATATCAACAGGTCGAACTTGAATAGTCTTACACATGTGGCTGAACGTAGGCATGCCTTGCAATTACCATTGATGTCTCCAAGGGTGAGAACGATCATCTCTTCGAAACAATCGTGCTCGCTGAACTGATGAAACAATTGATCAAAACCGACCACGCTGTAATCATGCTTTGATACAGGTCTATTGGCTGTTAATCACGCTACAGATAATGAATGCATTGATGATTCTCAAAGTGCGCGAGATGGTGAGCGCGGTGGTCGGGCCAGAATATCGTAGATATCGAACTACAGTAGGCGGCCCGCTTTGGTCGACTCTCGCAGGACAACAACTTGAACATCGCGGTAAACGGGGCAACAGTACATATACAAATGAATTTGGGTGTCTGTGGCTAACTCATTTCATCACAGCTGCGACTCAGACTCTGTGCTGTTCATGAGGCGAAGGCTTTCTACTCTCGCTCATTCGCTGCGTTCCTCCCATCGAGCATAGTTTCCGAAGAAGTCATCGACAGTGCTATCGCGTTTCTCCCATCGAGCATAGTTTCCAAAGAAGTCATCGACAGTGCTATCGCGTGCGGACTGTTGAAGGCAAATATGAGCAAGTCTCAATAGGGACAGCCCGAAACCCAAACGTTACTCACGTTTTCAGCCTCTCGCTACCAGAGCGCCACAAAGTGAGTACGGTGCACAGATGTTCTCTGACTATCGAAGACTTACGCGCGTAATCTCGAAGTTGGCATCGCGCTTGGCTACTTCATTATTCTCTCCGTAAATCTGCATCTAATGGTCAATGGGGAAGGATAAAGTATATTAATGGTGTCACTGACGGGGGTTGCAACCACACTGCTAGCTGCGATGATGAACGAGAGGAGCGTGAAAAGCACAGTCTTCATTGTTAAGAAGGATAATGGGTCTGTAGATGACTCGATTTCGACTGCGAGTGTCGAATGAAGGATGTTTTGGTGTGTCCGCCTGTCCTTTATAGCCTCAGCTTACACTGAATATGTGTATTAATAGCTCATTGCCTTTCCATGTTCGCCTCCCGACTTGCTATAGGCCGATGTCTCGGGAACCGATGGGTTGGTCCTTCAAGTCCTCGAGGTGGCGTTTGGCTGCAATTGTGAAGGCAGAGGGACAACAATCACCCAACTGTCAGGGCGCTCCGGAGCTCTTTCTGACAGTCCCCAATCAGATTTCAAAATTTCAAAACTCTGTGGTGCGTCCATGCAAAATTCGACGTGACAGCTATCTTTTCGACGGATCGCTAGGAAAGAAATCAAGTCGCCGGGGCGGTCATTGGCAGTTCGCTTTCTAAGTCATATATCACCTGGAAGCCAGCTCCGTGAAAGGGCCTTCGCTTACCGCTCCTTCAGTCAGGTGGTACTGCGGTTGCAAACTCTCACATATTATCTCACAGAGTGCGGGGTCTCCATCGACTTGGCCATCCATTTGAGTCGCCTGATTGACTGCTGCTCCCTATTAACAACAAAGTCTCTATTCGATGTCCTACGACGAACACTATCTTCCATTGCTCGCTGAGGATCCGGAAAAGGCTGTTGACACATCCAGCGAGGATGTAAAGGCAAGGGGTGTCCAACGTGGTGGCATATTCTCGCGAAAGAGGCTTAGGACGCTCCTATATTGGGGCCTACTCGCACTCCAGAGTTTTGCTCTTATTGTGCTCCTCACAAGGCAGAGATCAGTGACCCGAGCATGTGAAGGTCAAGAAGACCTCTCTCAAACCTATTACTGTGAGTTTCAATTTTTCTAATGTCTTGTTGTACTTTAACGAGAAGTACTATAGCACCTGCGGAGGAAGCCCTCCAGTACGAACGCGTTACATTTAGTATGGGGGTTGGCAGTCATACGACCATATACCAAGACGAACCTTCGGAGGCTGTCGATCGTGCATGGTATGACCTGTATAACGGCGAGTACTGTAGACGCATGAGTTCATGAAAGCATGGGAACTGACCGTGCTTCTACCAGACTTCGGAGTCTCCAAAATCTCGAAAGCTCAGGCCGATCTTTTGCCTAACAAGACTGTCGCCATTCCCGGTGAAGACGGCTACATAGCTGGTTTGTCCGTGTTTCACCAGTTGCATTGTCTGGTGAGCTGCACATCACAGGTTTCCGTATGACCTCTATTCATTTTGGCAGAATGTGATTCGCCGGAGCCTACGACCGGATTATTATGCAGACCCGATTACGGGTGCGATTGCTGGTATCATGCCGAACAAATTATCAGAGCATATCAGCCATTGCATTGACGACCTTCGACAAAGCGCCATGTGTTCGGCCGACATAAGGTCTAGTTTTTCGTTTGCGCTACTTGATTACTACTATACTAATAGCACACCACGTATCCTCATAGTGTAATCGTGTGGCAGGAAAATGGCGACAACAACACCACGGCACAGGCAAGTCCAAGAATGGACTCAGCACACACCTGTCGCAATTTCACCAGAATCGTGGACTGGGCTAAAGGACACAAGAGTGGTGTCAAGCCTGAGTAATCCATTCAAACCTAACTTTATGAGCGTTTGTGGTAGCGAGTATGACTTTCCCTCAACTGTCCATGTCTCCACTCTCGTGACCGATATCTTTGACTCCTTTCAACAATTTAGTCCGGTTCTATCAGATATCCTCATTAGAGCCTAAATGACACCCATATATCTTGCTAGCTTTTTGCGGAACGATAGGCCATTTTACAACACGGAGACCTTCAAGATCCGCTGTCGGCTGAAGGTAGCACAATGAGGATCATGATGGCTGAGACGCCACAAGCTCTCCTGCTCCACGAATACTCCGAAGTCTGTTCATAATCTGCTGGGAATGGTGCAATTAGCCTTCGGAGATCCAAGCTCATGCACTGGGTATTTCAAAAGGTAATCTATCATTTCGCGAATAGCTGTGAACGTATCCACTAGCAGCGCACGAGTTCAATCAATATTCAAAGGCCTGTCCGAGCTGGCGCCGAGTGTTGAGCGTCTGTGGATCAAGTCTTTCCTTCACATTCTGATGAAAGCTCGCATGCACATGGGCTGCATTTTGTTGGCTGACTCGAAAGAGGTCTATTGGCTCGCAATCAGCTCCTGACCATTCACTGTTACACTTTCCAGGAACCGGAATGCCGCTATGACACAAATCACGGTGTCACTATACTGCGCGAGAAATCGCCAAAGCCTGTAAGCTTCTCGAAACGATCAGCCAGAGGCTTTGTTGCTCAGAACGTACTGTAAAGTACCTCGGCTCGATGGCTCGTGTGCGACTACGGTAATGGCTGCCCTCGCACCGAAGACGTCCGGAAATATGAGGAGGGTCATCGATACTGGAGCTGCCTCAGGACTAGAGTCACATCCACATTTTCTTTCTTTTTTCAGCACTAAATCTGAGAGCCTCCGTGAGAAACAGAAGACATCCGGTTGGCAGAAACACCAGCTTCTCCGAGTTCGGCATTGACTGAAGAACGCGTGTAAGGAACGTATTTTGTCCCGCCGTCAGGGATTCGACTACTCGTTGCAACGATAGTGCTCGAAATAAACTGGCAGAATAATGACTTTCCGTCACTGGAAGCGGAATTCCATACAAACGAAGCATCTAGGAGTTCCCAGGTTAGCTGCGATGATGTGCCCCTTCCTCCTGCCATGGTAGTAGCCAAGGGAGAAGAATAATGCGGTAAATCGCTAGGGCAGAATCTCGTGTGAATCTCCGGACAACGCAGCGTCAAGGGTAGTGGTGAGTGGAATGGAGGTAGCGTATTAATTGTACAAATGTGACGCCGGTCTATGTCGTTATAATGGGGTTATTCGTGGCGCGATACATTGCGATATCAGAGGATGGAGAATGGGGTACATTGTGAATCCCGACGTGCCCCATGCACATGTTGGGCATGTCAGATAGCGCCTGTAGCATAACGGCCAGTTTGAAATGGTATATACGTTGTGATCAGAAGGGATATGTATGGCACTTCTGGGAGCAAGACCATATCTGAGCCCTCGTAAAAGCGTGGCTCGGCAAGGAGAGCCCGCAGTCAAGTAAGGAAAGTGACTTGAGAGAAGGTGTACATTCCTTCATGGAGTTAAGAAGCACTACGGAGCTTTCTGCGAGGCGCAAGCGTCATAAAGATTTGAAAATGTATTCGTAAGATGGGTGATGGCATGTTTTGGCGTCGAACCTGCTGCACAACTGTGTTGTACAGTACCTTGTTCGGTCGAGCTCAATCTCTATCGATGAACGTGTCGGTATGCTTGTTTAAATGGGGAAAGTGTGAGAAGCGAATGATATAATGGATTCGATGGAGAGTTCGAAGAGAATATCCGGGTTTGACTCAGACGCATGGGGAAGATTAGCTGGAGCTGCTTGCATTGTCAAGGGTATGGCACACACCCAGTTTGAGGAATTGTGCTGCCTTTAAGAAGATTTGAAGAAGCTGAATGAAGCGTGCTCTTAGCTACGAGGACCTGATAAACTAGTATTGGCCGGTTCTGAACTTATCTGCGGAGAATTCATCAATTTGAAGATTGAAAATTTTGATGGATTGCAGCGAAACTGTGACCTTTGTTGTCTCTAGGAACTGCGGCAAAAACACGTCTATGCATGATTGCTGAAGCATGCAGAGGCGGAAAGCGAGATGGGGCGCGAGTGCCAGTGTGCTACAGCGGGCAAGTGCAGGTGATGGTGGACTTTATGAATCCGTGCCGATTCCCATCGGAGGTTCAGGTTCGCCTTTGCGGGAGTTTAACACACGGACTCTACAGGGGAACGGTTCATACGTGATTGATTGATCCTGAGGTCATCAGTTAACAATGTAGAACCTAATGAAACCATACGGCACTTGTCAAATGGAAGGAAGGCCGACATTGCGGAAGTCTAGAAATGAGGGCCTTTAAGTATCCTAGGTGTTTCGCTTACAAAGTAGCTCTGTAAAGTTGGGAATTTTGTTGACGCAAGATACTAGGTCACTACCCATGTTGCAAATAGTACGACATTGTTTGGGTGCAAGTTAGAATAAGTGAAGGTGAAAGACGATTACTGGAAAGACAAGTTGAATGTACCTGCAAGCGCCTATTTCACACCACTTTTCGACTTAGAACTCTCGAACGTTCTTGTATACTGGTCGTCCCTTCCCCCACCCCCATCCCAAAGTAGACCCGTCACTGGTCTACATACCGGAGACCAACATTTTCAGCTAGGAACTCTATTGAAATACACGTCGCGCGGGAAGAAAGCGAGTCTTAACGTTTGACCTCGTTGAGCTCTGAGGCAAACGGATGGGGGTACATACAAGGTAAGTAAACTACTTATATACGAAAAGTATGCCAAGCATGCGGGACTCTGTCCCGCTCCTCTCATTCCTTGCGCATAGCGATGCTCGCCGCTTCATCCATATTCCAACAAACTCCGCGCGCATGCACGAGTCGTAGGGCTCGGATTCCCAAGGCTCGAGTCCTCTCAAATTCGAGTCTCCAAAGATGCCATATATCCTCTAATGCAGCAGCTGTATCAATTAAAGCCTTATTCTCAGGAACATGACACCTAACTATTACGATGTCCTACTTACTGCTGCTTGTCGTATTTAAGAGCCATTGTTTCGAAGATCTTCGGCAAAGTCCAATGTGCTCGGTTGTTATCAGGTCAGTCAGAGTCTTCTTGTCTCAACAGTCAAGGACCTGAACGACTTACTAACGTTATCGTTTTAAGTTGAAGTGCTGCAAAGGACCGCGGAGTGCCGGGGATAGATGCAGTTCATTCCTAGGGCAAGCTTAGCAAGATCGTAGACTGGGCGAAAGATCATATTAACGGCGAATTCGTTCCAGAAGTTCACATTGAAGATGACATCGGTATCCCAGATTTATAACAGAGACTGCAATCTTTACAGTTCTTCCATTTCTTGGAGAGTATCCGTCACCCCACCTTTCATACCAAGTAGCCACGTGTCACAATTTCATTTCCGCGAACATAGACCCAGCTGAACTAGTCCTAAGTTTAAATAACATTGGGCTCGGTCGGCGCACCCTCCATCCATATACTTCATCGCCATCGCCCGCACAAAGCCACTCTACCGCCTGCATTCCGGACATACCAGCATTCGGCGATTCACTGTGTGGTGAGGATAGAACGTTTAATTGAGATTCAAGTTGACGGTGTTTTCCAAAGCTTACATCTAGAATTGAGTACTTGATTCCAAACATAACGTCCACGTCGGACTGTATATATGGTCGCGTTTCCAGGTCAGCTATTTTGCAACTGCCCTTCCAGATCAATTGCGACCCACCGTGTCTCGCTTCTGGGTATAGGTAAGTCTTAGGAGCGAACAACAAATCTATAATGACTTACGTCAAGAATCCTGTAGTCGACGCCAAATCTTGTGTCTACGGCACGATCCTCGATCTGTATGAGGAGTCGCCACATTTTGGTCAGCCTGAGGCATCCATATCTTAACAAAGAAATTCTGACAGGCGATGCCATGACGCTACCGGCAGTCATGATCATTGCTAGGAATGCGAGCAAAGTAACCTGCATTGTCAAGAGTATGATACTGGCTCAGTGAGGTTCTGCAGTGTGAAGATGGTTATAATGGAAACAGCTCAATCTGTTGCTTTTTTATATCTTTCCTCGCTGACGGCCTTCTTTTATCAAGGTGTGATTTTTCGTGTTGCATCATTCCAGTGGCTTGCTTGGCTATCGGTCTTGGCAACCCTGTACGCTCAACAGAAGATGGGCGTCGTGCTCAGGCAATGCTAATAACACAGACACAATGTCTATTGGGACGTGTTTCCATGGACCAACGCCTCGCCAACTGTCATGAAAGGTTCCCTACTCCCACCCTTGGCCTCCTGTCCGCGTGAACGCCATTCTCTGTGCCTATTCAAATCAAGATATAGTTCCAACACGGCGTCGAAACACGCGCCCTAAATGCCGCGCTCCCATTGTAATTTAAAAGGTTATGAAAATTCCACCCGGTTGGTTACTACCTCCGTTGCGCTCTACCTTTACCTTGGCTAACGATCCGTACAGCATTCAGGCTATATTATCTCTGTCGTCGCTTGCAGCTTCTCAGTTCATCTCTTTCTATGCCAGACACCGAGAGATATTCCCTTTTGCCCAGTAATGATTCTGGCCATACCGATGATAAGACGGATAACGATACCTCCTTGCTGAATGCCCCCGCTATCGACCCTAGGAGGCAGCATAGGCTCCTGTACTGGATCATCGTTGCGATACAAAGCTTTATAATTTTGCTTCTGGTCATCAAGCTCTGGTCCAATAAATGTGGTTGCGGAGTCTCCTCTCAGATTCTATACTGTTCGTCCCTTCTTGCTGAAAGCATTCAAATTCGCTTTGCTGACTTCCACTCTTAGCTCCTGCACAGTCAGTCCTCGAATACTTACCGATTACCTTTAGCATGGGTGTTGGACATCAAGCAACCGTTTACCAAGGCGACCCATCAGACGAGGTTGACAAGGCTTGGGCGGACTTGTATAACGGTGCGTGTATCAGCACATTAGTGCATACGTCGCAGTCATGGACGACATTGTTTTTAGACTTCGGAATATCAAAGATACCTGAATCACAGGCTCGACTGCTACCCAATAAGACATCTGCTATCCCGGGAGAAGATAACTACGTAGTGGCACTCTCGGTTTTTCATCAACTTCACTGCCTCGTGAGCATTTTCCTACGTCATTGGTCGGTATACCACGGTTTTCTCATGTCATTCGAACAGAATTTAATTCGTCGGAGCTTGCGACCAGAACACTATGCAGACCCAGAAACCGGAGCCATAGGGGGGATAGCACCTGAAGACTTACCAGAACACCTCAATCACTGCGTCGACAACATTCGACAGAGTATTATGTGTTCCGCGGATATCAGGTGCGGTTCTATCGCTGAAAGTCTGTTTCGTTGCAAGTTCACTTGGAGTTTCTCAGCGTTATTGTTTGGAAATGGAACGACGCCGAGAATACCGCGTTTCCAAGGATGGACACAGTCCATTCTTGTCGTAATTTCAACAAGATTGTGGACTGGGCGAAAGCTCACAGGAGTGGGGACTTCAACATGAGTGTCCCTATCAAGCCTAATGTATAGCACTGATCCAAACATCGGTCTGTCAGTCTAACGGATGGTAACTGTCGTGCAAGAATCTGTCTCTACGACTTTAAATAAATGGTCGCTACTTAATGTAACCTTCATGCAGGAGCTCTGGCCATGGACTGAGCTACATTGATGACATCCAGTATCACACATCAGGGGGGAGCGGTCCCAGGTTCAAATTCTATACATCACGCCCATGGTAGTGTTCAACGCCATCCACAGGGCACGTAGGAGCTTGAGTCGTATTGACATACTCAACTCGTAGCTAGCTTTCCACAGGCGGCGACTTCTACTGGCAGCCGGAATCAACACCGGCGAATGTAACCAGTGCTTTCGTACCTTGCTCCGCATACTTCAATACTTGGTCCGTGTGAAGTTTGCTCGTCTACCCACGACTAGGCTGTCTATCACCTTCTATGGCCACCATATGACGGCTACTACCTTTCATGACCTAGCCTAAGGGAATGCAAAGGCTGAGTCCTCGAGAGATAACGGCAAGCGGTGTAAAACCTCAAGTACATATCAACTCTGTGGAAGATTCAGGCCTGGCGTAGCTAGGACTCCAGATTCCTCACAATTCGTAACACTGTGATGACAATGATTCGCTGCCGCTGATCACCCCAGTTTGCGTAGAGGTTCCGCCTCCGGACTGTTGTAGGGAAATGCCAGCAAAATCCTCGCAACGTCAGATTAGGGACTACTCGCGGATCCATGTTGCGCACATTTACTTTCGTTAGAGGTTGTTCGCACTTAATGATCACATTTGCGGCTGATCATCGGACTAAGGATATTACATTGGGGACAAGGAATGATCCCTCGTACGTCCTGGCATAAATGTCATTAAGTTTGAGATTACAAGAATTTATTGTCGGTCTCACCACGATGAGGGAGACCAAGGATAAATATTAATCCTCCAAGTTCTTAGGCTTGCGCATCAATGCGGTCTCAACCACTATTCGTGTGGCGAGGTTGAGGTCTTGATAACTGTTTGTATGCATGCAGTGGCAGACCGGTCTATCGCCGCGTAACCTGTCCATACATGTTGATGCATTGGTGAAGGATGACGTGGGCTGGGGGGTAATGGCGAGAGTTATTACACATCCCGAGGTCGAAGCTGCTGCAAAACTGCATCGTACGTCTTAACCTTGCTCGGTTGAGCTCACTTTCTTAATACGTGTTAGAAGGTTTACTGAAACCGGGAAACCATGGGGGGGGGGGGGTGAATGTCATGGAGGATGTCATAGGATGCGTGTCTCCAGCGAAAACTGCGGGCTGACTCGGATGCGGAAGAAAACTAAGTAGTGGTTGGAGCTAGTTGGAAGTTGTGCGCGAGCGTTCCATCATCGTAAATGTTCCGCAGTTGGCAAGGATATCGTATGTCCTAGTCGGGGGAGTAAATAATCCAAAGCCTCGCTATAGCGAAGTCTAATGAATCCATGGCGAACGCCATGGAGGAACACGCAGTTGTGGACCAATCCGCAAACATTGACTTGCTAGCGAAAATACTGCTGATTTGAATAACGGGACATTTTTAATCAATGACGGCGAAACCTCGTGCGTGGCCGTCTCTTGCGCAAAAAGGCACGCCTAAGCGTCGTGGCTGAAGCGTGTCAAGGAAGGCCTGTGTCCCCTAAAAGGCGTATGCCTGGACGTTACACCGGACAAGCGCTCTTAACTTGTCTGTATGCTTTCCAAGTCTATCCTGGTTCAAACAGAGCCCCCAGGATGAGGCTATGTGCTGCGGAGGTATACGGCTCTGCAGAAAAAGGGGGCATTTACATACACAGGAACTGAAAGGTGATCCTCAGAGTCCTGACTGGCAGCAAAAAACCAAGGGAATTGAGGCGATGTCTAGAGGGAAGGATGATGCCGATGCTGACACGTCGCATATATAAGAGGTAACACTGGACGAATGGAAGTTTCAGTTTGATTAAAGGTCTTTGTGTGCAGGTGTGGAGAGTACCTATACTGCGATTAACTCCAGACTATATAGGCGACGTGTTCATTACCATACAACGCATCATATCAACGTAAGAAAGGTGTATTGCAGTCAATATGCATCCGCCTCGGGGAGAGAGTTGCACATGAATGTCGTGATAAGATGCCACTTCCGTGATACCAGTCGTCCGACCGAAGACGAAAAAGCTTCCGAGACTCCGGGACGATAATTACAGATCCCTCGGACGACGGAATTGAGACAGATAATTCGCCAGCATGTCACAAAAGCACATGGGTAGTACTCTAAGCCGACGATCCCATTGCAAAAGACAGCAGAAGATAGAAGTCGAGCGAAAGTCGGAGTGCTCGGTGCAAGTGCTCGAGTCAGGAAAGTCAGCCACATCGACAACAAGAGCAAACAGGACACGCGTTCCGTTATCAGGGCTGCGCGCCCGAGGAGAGGGTTCCCCACACATTGTTCATCCCCCGAGGACGAGCAAGCACGATGCCTTCCCAGTCCACCCTCTGTCTCTCCTTGCTCGCTGTCGGCTTGGCTTCGTGCGTGCAGGCCACCCCGCTCTCTACACATCCATATGACACTCGCTCCCGTTATCCATTAGCCGTCGCACCACTCCTAGTTGAGGAGCACCCGCACGGCACCGTCAACAACTCATACATTGTTGTGTTGAAACATGACATTGCTCCAGAGTTGATGGACAACCACCTGAACTTCCTCCAGCTGGCAGAGACCGAGAACCCGCTGGTCGGCGATGACGAATTGTCGGCCGGTCTTCGACATGTTTACGACGGTCAGATCAAGGGGTATGCTGGTCGCTTCAGCCAGGACGCCATTGAGCGTATTCGCCAGATGCCAGAGGTTGACTTTGTCGAGAAGGACCAGATCGTCCGCACGACCGAGGTCGAGACGTTGGATACTCAGAAGGGAGCGCCTTGGGTAAGTTGCTTTAGACGCCCCCGCTCAAAGCTTTGCTCATCTTTCACAGGGTCTGGCTCGTATAAGCCATCGTAAGAAGCTTACTTTCTCTACCTTCACCAGGTACCTTTTCGACAAGCAAGGCGGTGAGGGTGTTGATGTCTACGTCATCGACACCGGCATCAACGTCGGCCACAAGGAGTTCGAGGGTCGGGCTTCCTGGGGAAAGACCATTCCTCTGAATGACGTTGATGAGGACGGCAACGGTCACGGTACTCACTGCGCGGGTACCATTGCTTCGGCCAAGTACGGTGTTGCCAAGGGAGCACATGTCATCGCTGTCAAGGTCCTCGGTAGCAACGGAAGTGGTACCATGAGCGACGTTGTTGCTGGTGTTGACTTTGCTGCCAAGACCGCAAAGGCCAAGCTCGAAGCTGCTCGTAAGGAGTTTGCTGCCACTGGCAAGACCAAGCACAAGGGTTCCGTCGCCAACATGTCCCTCGGTGGTGGCAAGTCCCAGGCCCTCGACCGCACCGTTGACAAGGCCGTCGATGATGGTTTGCATTTCGCTGTCGCTGCCGGTATGTTTGACAGTTCCAATGCAGAAGACGCTTAAGGTACTTACCTAACTATAATAGGTAACGATAACCGTGACGCTTGCAACTATTCGCCTGCCGGTGCTCAGAAGGCTGTCACCGTTGGTGCTTCCACTCTCGGTGATGAGCGTGCATACTTCTCCAACTACGGAAAGTGTGTTGACATCTTCGCACCTGGTTTGTGGTTTTCCCTTATCATGTTGTCACACGATCTAATATGATTGCCAGGTTTGAACATTCTCTCCACCTACATCGGAAGCACTACCGCTACCACCACCATGTCCGGAACCTCCATGGCGTCTCCTCACACTGCCGGTCTCCTCGCTTACTTGCTCTCGCTCTACCCGTCCAAGACCTTCAACCCCTCCGTTACCCCTGATCTCGTTCCCTCTGCTCTGCACTCTCAGACGTTCAACCCCGCCTCCTTCGCTGACGTTTACGCCATCGCGCACTCTTCACTGCCAAGCTGGATCTCCACTTTCCTCCCACCACCACGGTTGCTTGAGGAAGTCGTCGCTCCTACACCCAACGAGCCCACTTTGACGCCTAAGCAACTCAAGGCTGCTCTTTTGCAGTTGGCGACCAAGGATGTGTTGGAAGCGCTTGGGGATGAGGATACTCCTAATTTGTTGATCTTCAACAACGCTACGACTCTCTGAACGAGGGGGTTTTTGAACCGGAGAATGAGAGTTAATGTGTTCCTCTCGGTTGGGAGGATGTGATGTGATGTTATGCATGCCCTGAAGTCCCACCTCTCCCTGTCATGGTTGTGCTGGAATGGACAGTTTCTTAGCACATTTGTATACTAGTTCAGTCGTTTTTCTTGTGTACTATTGTCGTTCGGAATACCATATAGCTTCTCATTAGAATTTTGAAGACGCGTTGGTCATGATATTGCTATTTGAGTCAACTGTCAATGGGGTGAATGCGCTTCCAAACATCCTGCGGTGCGTAGCACACGACCGCAGGTTCTTCTTCGCTGATACGTACGGTATTCCGTCGGTATTACCGGCCTTACGTACAACTGGATGCCTGTCCGTAAGCGAATTCTATTTACATATAAAGCAGACCCTGAATGGGCCTACTGTCTTGGGTTTACAAAACAACTGCTGTTCGACCTCAGCATCGGGGATTGACGATATCGTAGGAATATACAGCCGCAAGATGGTGCGAACTCGCACCGATCCATGCGTCGGGATTTCGGACTTAGCGTAGCAGTTTAAAATCCCCGCATTCTCGTGGTATAGTAAGTACCTCACGCGTTTGCTAATGCTAACCTACAACGTCCCTAGGAGACAGAGGCTTATCGTAATCTCGTGCTCGCTCGTAATTCCCACAGATATTCTGTTGCAAAGTACTTGAAGCGATTCTCGGCTTTATCTCAATAACGAAAGTGGGTCTCCTTGATTTGTGCTCTGACACTTTCCGGTCACTCGCTAGACCGATCTGGCCATCTATGTTAGAATGCAGTCTAGCCACGATATTCCGGGTCATATATTCCGTCACCGCACACAAGACAGTTCGTCATGAAAGCCCCTAACAGCTATCGAGGGAATAAGTATAGAAAGAATCCAGCCACACACATCGTCAAACGTGATTTCAGATTTACAACTTGAACAACGACGATGGCCGACAGCAGCAGACTCCCACCGCAACAAACCATCGCTACAGCTTCCGACACATACGCCGCAGGCTACACACTAGCAGCCTCCACCTCCGGAAAAGATGACCAGACTCAACATTTTCATTTGTACTTGCCTGCTGATGCCACCCCCACTGCGAACACCATGATTGGCCTCGGAGGGACGCCTGACGCGCCCATGCTGAAGGTCCCCGTTATGGGATTTGGGGCGTGGGCTTGGGGGGATGTGAATATCTATGGATGGGGTCCTGCGGGTGGGTATGATAAGAAGTTGGATGATCATAGTGTTACGAGTGCTTTTGATGAGATGTTGAAGGTGTGTGATTTTGGGTTCTTCCTGGAATGTGGATAGGGGCCGTGTTTTTGATGTGGTTTTGTTTTTTCTTTCTTTGTGCAGATATTCTCGAAGGTGTTGATTGATAGTGCGGAGTATTGTAAGTAGGAGTCATATGTTTGTTCTGCAGGTTATGAGGGTTGATGACTTTGACTGAATCCCAGATTCGGAGGGATATGCGGAAAAGTGCATTGGGTTCAACCTGGACAAACGATTCACAGACGCTGAGCGAGCGCACCGTATCGTTCTCGCAACCAAGTTTTCGCCAACAATCTGTAAGTACCACCTACATCTACATATAAAGGACTCGCTCACGAACTAAGAACGGGGGACAACAGGGCGTCATCCATTCTTGTATCCCGACTGCGTCCTTAAATCCATGATGGCTTCACTCGAACGGACTCTGATGCCCACAATCAGCATTTACCAATTGGAGGCAGGGAGGTATGTTGACGAGTTTCGTACCTCTCTGAAAACCGCTTGACCGCTTGACCGTCCTCTAGCCATTTCGGCCTCTGGCCACGTCTCGCGACTTTGGCTGACGGTCTGGCACGATGCTACGAAACAGGCAAAGTGAAGACCATTGGGACTTGTAACCTCAACCTCAGTCAAATCAGGTATCTCCATGACTACTTCAAGAAACGAAACGTACCATACGTCTCGAACCAAGTCGAGCTCTCCCTTCTCAGGACCGACCCCTGGAAGTCAGGGTTTATCGAGGAATGCCGACAGCTAGGCGTAAGTCTATCCATGATCATAACTGACAGTGTCGCATGTACTGAAATCGTTGATAGATCGCAACTATTGCTTATTCTCCATTGGGACGCGAGTACCATAATCGATCCACTTGTGATGCAGACATTGACCGAATACTCATATAGTTGGTCGCCTGACTGGAAAATATTCCGCGGAGAACCCTCCCAAAGGCAATCGCTACAGGGAAGACATCTCATGGTTGAAGATCCAACCGATCGTCAACGAGCTAACTCGTATCGGTGAAGCCCGCCAGAAGACCCCAGGAGTGGTTGCCTTAAATTGGGTCATGTGCAAAGGAGCTATCCCGATTCCAAGCGTGAAGAATGGGGAACAGGCGAGGGATTGTGCTCAGGCTGTAGGTTGGAGACTGACACTGGAGGAGGAGGCGAGGTTGGACAAGCTTGGAGTCGCATCTATATGGAGTGGGTATTTCCTCAAGCGGTGGCAGAATTAAAAGCGGTAGCAGCAGCAGGGACGGGTGTGGTTCTGTCGCAGAAGTGTGTAGAAAGATTATGTGCTTGATTCGTTGCGCAGAGACTAGAATTACAACGAGTGTACGATACTGTACTTGATGTGTATGAAAAAAAATGTCTTGTGTCCTGAGAGGTTAAACCCAGTCGGATATTTTCTTTCAATGCTGAGATACCGATCAATGGTCTGGTCGTCCGGCCAGATGACAAATCGTACGATTAGCACGACTGGATTGAGTCCTGTAAGTAAGTCATGATTATGCAAATCCGCATACGAAGAGCTAACCTGAATGGACGTCCGGCATGGTGAGTAGAGGATAAGCCAACGCAGATCAGGTGAATTTGCGACCCTGCAACGCGTCTTGCACTTGTTCAGCCAAGGCCTTCTCTTGCAGTACGTCCTGTAGGGTGCAACATGGCAAGGTAAGACACCGGGACAGAACAGGTGAACATCGTGCTTACCGCCGATTCTATTGCCTCACGCTCTTGAGCTTGCTTTACAGCAAGAGCCTTCAAACACAGATGCTCGTCAATGTTTGTATATTACTGGAAACCGATCATCGGTCTGACCTCTAGTGTTCGATTCAACGTTTACTAGACTTCACCCAACGATAGATCTTTACCACGAACCTTGTCCTCTTTTCAGTGTATCTCGGTGCACCATGCCAATCATGATGGCTCCCCATACTGTAACCCCTGCCAGGGAATAGATGAAACCTCGATGTAGGAGGTCTCCAATTGGTAGTTTGAAAGGATTTCGAAAGGCCATCGAGGAGAGCGGAGAATACTGAAGAACCAGAATATAACTTGAAGAAGCTTGTGACACTAATGGCACGAGCATGTAAGGAGCATGGCAGAGATAAGATTAGATCTGATTTCCGATCAAAATCGCCACTCTTCCTGCCATTAGATTTCAAGCATTCTTCCAGTATGTACTGTGGAAAAAATTTACTTGTGACACCGTGCCATCTATTGCATCTCTACGAAGCCCAATCATCGACTATACTGTAACCACAAGTCACTGAAGTCATACGTCCTCCCCTGACGCCTCATGCTAGACGAATGTCAAAGCGATCGAACTCCAGCTTCGGTATGACCTTATCTTCAGTAAACCTGACATCTGTGACCCTTGCACGCGAAGGCCCATTGCATAGGTATCCTTTGCTGTTAAGGAATGAGAGCCATCGGGGTACACGTCGTCATTTGAGCAGGTAATTCACTGAAGCTTGATACTCACAACTTCGCTAGCGCATCCTCCTGACCTTGTGCGACTCCAACAACATTGCCGAACTTAGGAATGTACAAGATAGCTGTCAATGCTGTGCTTTTCGATGGAGAACGCAGACCTACCGCGTCGTTCTGTGTCCAGCCTACGATACCGTGTGCGTCAGCTTTCCGCCTCAGGAACATTCTGAATCCGACACCCTGGACGATGCCACTAACGACATAGTGGAAAGACCGCAAAGCCATATTTTGGACGAAATAATTGCACTTCGCCTTTAAAAATGTGGCGGTATAGATTTTACACTACTGGAAGTTTCGAGTTAAATAAACAATGCTTCGTCAATGACATCATCGGTTCGGTAGAATCCAGGCAAAAGGAGCATAATAAAGGTCTTATGTTTGCCAACCACAAAAATTGAATCATGGCACGTCACTATAAAGAGAACTCTAAAAGGAAGAACATATACAAAGCCAGATCAGTAACGAATAAGAGATACGATGTATAGGTTGAATTGCGACATAGTAAGATTACAGTACAATCACCTCCAAGTTCCTAGTTCAAATCACTTGCATCTGAACCGCTAGAGGAAGTTACGGATGAGGATGATGATGAGATCGACGAGGACGATGAGGAAGAGGATGATGACGACGACGAGTCGGTGGAGTCACTATCATCGTTTTCGTTGTCAGTGTTCTCATATTCCCTGTCGCTGCTATACCACAACTTCGCATGTGGATCATCCCAAACCAGCTCCCCAACTGAATCCCTAAGACGATCCAGCGCTCTTCCGATAAGGTCGCTCGGGATACAAGGGAATTTGATCTTGAGAAGTTTAAGCTCGAATCCGGCCTTTTGGCGTGACCGAAGAGCACAGCGTAATCCCTGCAGGTATTTAACGTACGACTTATCGGCGACGCGTATGATCCTGCGGTCCTTGAAAGTGAGTTCCAATTCGGCGAGGTTGGGGAGGACCATCGGAACATCTCCATCAGCGCGAGATAGGTTGGGAACTCGGAGGGCGAAGGGAAGGTACTGAAAACGCGGTTTATATTGCGTGATCACGCCAGGTTCAATATACACTCTTTCGACGCAAGGAAAATGACGCAACACTTCTCGCCAAGAGGTCCTCGAACCTTCCTCGCCCTCGATAGTCAGGACACGGACTGTGTGAAAAGGAAAATGAGCACAGGCTTGCAAGATATGTTCATCTTTTGAAAGTATCCATCCATCCTGTAATAATGTCAATTCGAAGACAAGGTCTCCCCAGTCCGGTTGGCCACGGGGTGTATTTCGGCAAGCCATGAACTTGATACGATAACAATCAAGACAAGATATGGTCAAGGAAAGTATGGGCGGCAGACTGGGTGAACTATTAATCTTCACCTGAGGTTTTGGCAGAAATCCGTGAAGAAGGAACTGAAAGTCATCCAACGATCGGGCTCCTGGAGTGACGAGACCCCGCCGGGCGGATGCGGGGATGGAAAGATTGTGCAGGAGGTGCACTGCACTCAAAGGTGCATAATGCTCAGTAATGAAGATATGCATCAGCCTTGGCAGAAAAATCAAATTCCGAGATGCTGGCGGGGAATGAAGAATTACTGAAGGATCTTCATCCATGCATTCATCGATGTAGAGGGACTCGAGAAGTGGCATTCCAGCCAGGGCGTCCAAAAGAAGTTCGAGACTATTTCCTCCCTTAGACAGAACCAAGTGCCGGAGGGTAGGTCGCAACAAGGGCCTGTAAACGTCTGACTCGAAATCAAACATCACCAGCATCTCAAGATGAGGAAGGGTCTCTCGATGTAGTGAAACAATCACAGGCGACAGGATAGCGGATTCGGCGATGCCATTACTAAGGACCAACTTGCGGATGTTAGCCAAAACCACATCAGAGTCTGATAGTTCCGCATGGGAAGGAAGTAGAACGAGTTCAAGAGTATGAATTCGTGAAGATTCCTTTGTCATCGGTTGAAACGCTCGTTTGGCCTTCTTGCCGGGTAGTATCGTGGATCGATATAGAACTTCCAAGGGGTATTTCCCTGATCGACGAAGGTATACACGAAGATAACCTTTGCGTAAGATCGAAGGAGATATCACGAGAACACTCCATAGTTTGGGACAGTGAAGGGCTATCTCTCTCCAATGCCGACAAACATGTGCGACGCGTTCCCAAGTATATGGAGCTGATAGCAGTTTGTCTCTCTTAAAGAAGACGTCTAGAGGTCCACGAAAGATCGAATCACGAATGTCCCTCACAAGGTAAAAGAATATTTCCGTGATGAGTTCCACAGGGAGTCGGCATATCGGTGTTTGCGCATTTTGGAGACTCTTACGAGCTAACTCGCGGTCTTCTGGCGTTTTCTGATGCGCAGGATTTGTGATGGAACGAGTTATGCGACGTCCAGCGTGTCCTTTGAGCACCATTGTCGTATTGTTTCCCCTTGTAGTGTAGTCAGAATCGTCGCAATATCGCTTTCTGCAGAGTATATAAGCAAACAAGAAACAATGAAGCTACAAAAATATATACCTTGGTGGCATAAGTACCTACACTTACAGACGGATAGAGAATGTTAGCAGTGCTGTTCTCTACGGATAGCTGCTTGAGTCGAAGGAGAAGAACGCAAAGAGTGAGACAAAGCCAGGACTTGGACAAAACGGCTATTTGTCGTTATTGTGCAGGAGCCTTTGGTAGTTTTCCTCATTTGGAGTGTGTGAATTTATCCGTGAGTATGGGTCCCGTACCCATTCCTCTCGCATTGGCAGGTGAGTGGCTGGGTACGAGTCCAGGTGGACATTGACGCAAAGTATGGATGTGCCAGGCGTAACCTCCACTTACTTGGGCTGCGGTAATTCAAAAGAGACAGCCGAATACTGTTAAACCCGAGGATGCAAAACGGCGAGTCACAAATGTACATATGCTATGTTTGAATTTCAACATTTTGGGACCACTTGGAGCTAGTTCACGGGTTTCAAGACACGCGGCGTTTAGGCAAATAAAATGGACTGAAATTACGTGACATGAATGTCCATCATCTTTCCTCGCACATTCCCCCATCATGAGCATTCGAAGGGAGCAGATAAAATCCTTGCTGCATTGAGTAGTTCAGTATTAGGGGAATAGTGATAGAGGCGTCCTCTATGTTAATGTGAGAATACGGATGATAAGCATCTGCGCCGGAACCCCAGGGCGAATGAGATCGCCACATCAAGAACGTATGTGATCTTGTGGTGGTGATTGTATTCTGGGCCATCCATGTTTCCTATGCAGAAAGTAAAAATATTGCCACGACACGTAGAGAAATTGGCTACGGATGTCGCAGTGGCACCCTTCGATGTTTCTTTGAAGGTCACAAGTGGAAAGAATCGGTGGGCAGGAGTAAGTTGAGACGCTGCTGCTGGCCGGTGCTAAACGAGATTGCAAACCAATGTACACTTATCGCGCAGATACCTAGAGCGTTTGAGAATCGTGGCTAGACCACGGAGAGAAGGCCCGCATCTATGTATATATCTTTTGAGGGAGCCTTTGGGGTGCACGAGTAGAATGGGCGGGGAAAAAATCCGTCGGAAGACTAAACTGCCATCACGAGACGTTGGATTTGACTCGACGCAACACTGTAAGCTTGGTTGTTCCTCAGCGATTTATAAGAATTGTCCTACATGTTGCTCAGTCATGAAGTTATAGAAGAGACCTTGAAGGAAGATGAAGGAGTCAACGATACTTGTATTTTCTATGGGGTGGTTCAATCCGGAGTTGACCTAAACGCGTGAGTAATCGCGTCAAGTAAGGATTGAGTTTGTTTGTTCGGAACAAATATCCTCCTGGACCTCTCGATATGGACTCTAAATCATCTCCTTCGCCCACGACGACCACGACAACGGCAAGCTCTCTGGACTTGGTGTTTTCTGACATACACAAGCTACTCTATCTCCTGGTCTTGAAATCTCGTCAAACCGTGCAGGATTCGAGGAGATCGACCACGTCAAGCACGCGGGTTCCCACAGACTGATGGCTGCAACATGAGCACTCGCAGTCGTTCAACCGCGGACTCTACTTCACGAGCAATGTCTTCGGGAGGCAGAAAGGAGTATTCTGGGAAAGGATACGCAGCTGATGCACGAAGTTTAGTGGAGAGAGAACGCGAGCGCATGATTCATGAACGGCAGGAAGTTGTGAGCCGTGTACTGGATGAACATGACAATTTGGTACGTTCTCATGCTTTGCAACCTTTCCCCAAGACCAACACGTTCTCAGGTTAGGGAGGCTTTCCACATGGAGACATTTGTGAGCATGCTTGCTTATGACCCGAAGGTATGTCTCTTCTCCTATCGTTCTTGCTTCGACCCATCGAGTCACCGCGCGACACTTGTGTTCGCCGTGACATGTATCCACGGGTTTTTCGTCACTTTGGGAAGAAGCGCGATCCTAGAATCACATCATCGAAAGACTAGGGACTAGTATCTATTCGCGCTATGTTATACCCCAGGAACGTCAGAGAGTTTCAGGCGAATGCCCTTCGTCCATCCTAACTCGTCAATTCTCAACATCTATTCATGGATATACTGAATTCGTTGCTTAGGTTGCGAAAGAAGACAGATCTGCAGTCTTTCAAGAGGTATGTACATGATGCTTTTCCAATACCGACATTCATGTATTGAATACTCTTCACAGTATAAGGCAAAATATGACCTCCTTGAGAAGTCTGCCGCTGCAGGTCCATCTCGTAGTACACGCAGCGCCCACAACGCTCGTCTGGGTGCTTTGAAAGCTACGCCCATCCCCGCAGCAACCAAACCCAAAAGGCCCACCAAGCCTTCAAAACAAGATAATGAAGGCGGCACATTTTGGACCATCTATTCCGCAGCCAAGTCTCGCGACAAAGGCAAGGCGAGGGGTGATCCAGGGCAGGAAGATATCACGCACCAACCTGACTTGGATTCGGATACAACTCTGATCGCTATGCCAGCCAGTATAAGCGCAGTCAAAATACAGGGATCCAAACATCTTCGGAAACGTCCCGTCATCGAGATCTCACCATCACCTCATGGGCTTGGAGAGCCTCCACCAAACAAGAAGCGGAAACTTGCCCCATCTATATCTGCACCCAATTTACCTCCTCGCACCCGTAGCTCTTATGAAAAGCCAGAACCTGCGCCCCCAGTGTCTCCCTACAAATCGACGTCAATACGCCGTATCAAACTCATAGTCAGACGACCCGTCCCGACGCTGACGCATCCGTCTCAAAAAGCGCCACCGCCGAAACACGGCCAGTCCTTGACGACGTTTCTGCAATCTTATTCGACTTTGGATGATCAGGATGTGGATACCTCAGTTCTTGAGGAAAGGGCCAAGGAGCGTGCTCGTTTCTTGAACAAGATCGCTTCGATGAGGAAGCAGGGTCGGCTGCTGTATACTTTCGAAGGTGAACGGCAAGAGCCGAAACGTGTCGGAGGAGACATTTGGGACCATTTACTTGAAGACGTGAAGGCTCGGGCTCGTGTGCGTCCTACTAGTCCACGGCAGGGTGCACTCCAAGTTGCGAACCGAGTGAAAGCTTATTGGGAGAGCCAAGCCGCTAAGGAAGACAAGGTGAAGGCGCTTGAAGAGAAGCGGTTGAGAGCCCTTGCGAAGTCCACCGTCAAGCTGGTCATCAACAAGTGGAAAGAAGCGGTCCTGCATATCCGAGAAGAGGAGAGACAGAAAGTGCTAGAGGAAGAACGTCGACGTGGACATGAGCATCTGGACGACATCCTCAATCGTTCTGGGCGGATATTGGAAGCTCAACAGGCGGAACTCAGCAAGAATGAGCTAGTGAGCTTTTCGAGAAGTCGATCGAGTAGTCTGGCTGGCACGGCTTTTCCTTGGACGGTTTCTCCGGATGCATCGGACGACGAAAGCGGCGATACTGAGGACGATGAACCTCATCGTGCGAATGGCCTGGATAGCGATGATGAGGACCTCGATACTGCTGGCTTGCTAGGATCTGTACGCAGTCACTCGGTAACGTCGGGAGCGGATGAGCTTGATAGTTCAAAGGTGGAGAGCTCCCGAAGTTCCTTGGTTCTCGTCGAGTCGGGTGCACATTCGTCTCGCAGTGAGACTCCTGTTGATGGGTTATCCCAATTACTCGTTGACTATGAGGTAGCCACCCCGTCGCCGATACCCTCACGAGACTCTTCTAGTCTTCTTCATCCTGACGTACCGATAGACTCCGTAGTCGCAACTCCCGATGCTGCGTTTGAGGACACAGTACTTTCTCGGGCTATGACGCCTTCTGAGGACGGCGCTGTGAGCTATCACAAGCCTGGGGTCGACTCATCACTTCCTCCACTTTCCATCGATCATGCCGCTTCGACAACCGACGAGGCGCCTTTGGCGCAATCACCGAAAGTGAATGGTATCGTAGTTGATGGACCAGTTGTTGAGCAAGAGGAGGAAGGCATGGTTCTTGACGAGGTCGAGGAAGAAGAGAACGATCTTGCTGCGTCTATTCCTGCTTACCTTCGGCCATATGCTGTTGCGCCGGTTGAATGGGACCCTCAGCAAAAGGTGACACCACCGTTGCTCCTGCGAGGTACATTACGGCCATACCAGCAAGTTGGTCTGGAATGGCTTGCGAATATTCACGTGAACAATCTCAACGGCATTCTCGCTGATGAGATGGGTCTAGGGTGCGCTACTCACATTCCTTCCCTTCCGCTTCCAAACATTAATCTTAATTTTTGAATTAGAAAAACAATCCAGACCATCGCTTTGCTCGCTCACCTTGCTTGCGATCGGGGGATCTGGGGTCCACATCTCATCATCGTGCCGACGAGTGTTTTGCTGAATTGGGAAATGGAGTTCAAGAAGTTCCTACCAGGGTTCAAGATCCTCAGCTACCACGGCAATACCAAGCGCCGGAAAGAACTTCGTCAAGGCTGGAACAACAAGTACCACTTCAACGTCTGCGTTACTTCGTATACACTAGCAAGCAGAGATGCACATGTCTTCAAGCGAAAACCTTGGTATTACATGATTCTGGATGAAGCACACATGATCAAGAACTTCAAATCTCAGCGATGGAATACTTTGCTGATGTTCAGATCTTTCCGTCGACTCCTTTTGACGGGAACTCCGTTGCAGAACAACCTGACCGAACTCTGGGCACTGCTCCAATTCCTTATGTCCGGCACAAACTTCGCCAATCTGAAGGAGTTTGCTGATTGGTTCTCAAGTACGTCTGTTCTCCTTCAGGTTAGTTATGCAGTACTGATACAATTCGTTGTGTAGATCCTTTGGAGAAGGCCATCGAGATGGGCACAACACTCGATGATGAAAATCAACAGCGTGTGGCGAAGCTTCATACCGTTCTGCGACCCTATCTTCTTCGACGCTTGAAACGTGACGTTGAGAAGGAGCTGCCCAGCAAGTTCGAGCATATCGTGATGTGTCCTCTGTCAAAGCGTCAACGTTTCCTTTACGACGAGTTCATGGCTCGCGCTGAAACACGACACGACCTCCAGTCGGGCGTTTACCAGAAGATTGCCAATATCTTGATGCAGCTTCGCAAAGTCGTGAACCACCCCGATCTATTCGAAGTCCGGCCGATTCGAACGTCTTTTGCCATGGATCGTTCCGCCATTGCCGACTTCGAGATCAAGGAGCTCCTGGTGCGCCGTCAGCTACTTCAACAGACACCTGAGGACTGTGTCAATCTCGACGTACTAGGACTGCAGTTCATTGGTCGACAAAATACGTCTCTAGTGGCAGCCATGGAAACTCATCGTCTTGATGCTACCCGACACCTACCTTATGCTTCAGAGTTACTAGGTGAAGCTCCACCGTATGACACGCGCACTATCTCCGGCTTTCGTAAGATGAGGGAATTCCAGCAGCGTGCAGCTCGCATCGCCCGCTGGGATCAGATTGGCTATCTGAATCATCTGCGATGTAGTCAAATGCCGTTGATCAGTGAAGAGCTCATAGCCCTTGCATCTCAATGTCGCAAACAAATCCTACCTATTGATGTTGTCGATCCAAGACGTGACTACATGAATATTGCGGAATCTGTCCACAAAGCTGTAAAGTCTTACTCCACGCGAGCTGAAGAAATGGGCGATATAATCGACAAGTTTGCTTTTGCAACTCCCCCCGTTGTTGCTCGAGATCTTGCTAGACTAGCCCTGGGTGGCAATGAACCCCTTGTCTTGGAGAAGGCTGCCGATTCTGGGTTCGACCAAGTCCTCCATCGCAGCGCGGTGAAACTTCAGATTGCGTTTCCCGACCCCTCGTTGCTCCAATACGACTGTGGCAAGCTCCAACAACTCGCCGACCTCCTGCGTGAGCGTAAAATGGGAGGTCATCGAGTGCTTATCTTCACTCAAATGACCCGGATCCTTGACATCCTGGAGATCTTCCTCAACTTCCATGGATACCTTTACCTCCGATTAGACGGCGCTACGAAGATCGAAGATCGGCAGTACATCACTGAAAGGTTCAATGTGGACTCAAGGGTCTTTTGTTTCATCTCCTCATCTCGGTCTGGAGGAATTGGTATCAAGTGAGTAGTTTCGGTGCTCCGATTCTTACAATTCATCTGAACCCAACTTTTTTTGTCTAGCTTGACGGGCGCGGATACTGTCATCTTCTATGATAGTGACTTCAATCCACAAATGGATCGACAGTGCGAGGACAGGGCGCACCGTATTGGGCAAATTCGCGATGTGCATATATACCGTTTCATCTCCGAGCATACCGTAGAAGAAGCTTTGCTCCGTAAGGCCAACCAGAAACGTTCCCTGGACAATATCGTCATTCAGCAGGGCGAGTTTGACTGGCGGTCGTTGATGAAAGACGAGGGGGCGTTGACCCGAGCGCTGGGCGAGTTCGAGGACGCCGAGGACGCTCGTGCCGCAGCTGTGGCTGCAAGAGAAGAAGTTGCGATTGTGGGTGCGGATGAAGCTGATTTCGGTTGGGAGGGAGGTGCGCAGTCAGTCACTTTGGATGAGAAAAGCCCTGCAGTGGAGGTCGAGCGTGGTGTTATCGAAACACCTACTCCCATTGATCAAACTGACCTGGAACCTAATGCTGAGGAGGAAGAGGAGGAGGAGGAAGAAGAGGAGGGAGGCACAACGGTGGAGTATATGCTCTCATTTGTTCGATCCGATATGGAGTTCTTTGCGGAATGGCGGATATAATTTCTTGTATTAGACCTAATCCACGAACATGTTTTCTTGTTGTAAGTTATGTATACTGTAGTAGCCTTCTTGTTTACATTCACCTGCTATGATGCTATGCTTCACTGCTTCTCCTTGCACTCTCTCGTAGTGGTATGTCGTATGGTTAGTACTACGTAGTCTACAGGATCTATTCCTTACGATCGTTGCGATGAATCACAAACATTTCTCCAGCTAGAACCCCACATGACACCAGCATTGCAACGAAGGAGATCGGGAGGTTCAGGAGAAGGAACTGTTTAGGTCGAATGCGAATGCCTTTCTGACGTAGGATACCTCGCCAGAGAAGTCCAGCTAGTGACGCAGAGATGGTGATTGTGAACGCTCCGAAGTTCGAACCTATCGCTAATGCATAAATTGCACCGTCTCTCGTCCGAGGGTCAACCATGTTGTCGCTTTGTGATTCCCATAACTGGATTATCCGAGCTAGCAGGATGGTTGCACCGATGTTCGTGCCACAGAACTGAAATCAGGTGAGCATCATGACGTTGTAAGTTGTGAAAAGGTGTTTTTTCACTCACGTTACAGAGAAGGCAAGAGATGAAGGCCATACCACCAACAGCACCCAATGGTCCTGTCTGCTTAACCCAAGCTGCCCACCAAGTGGAAAACAACTCAATCCATCCTTTGGTCGAAAGCCCCTGAATGAGGATGAACATCAAGAAGGCAAAAGGCAGGACTGGGATGGGCAGTCGGGGGAAGACCGCGGAAACAGTGGGGAATTGTGCAGATAGTCTGAGTGAACACTTGTGAACGAAGCTTGCGAGATCGAAGCGCGCTGACTCGCGTAAATCCGGTGAGGAGGGTGAGGAGGAGGCAGGGATTTCTCGAAGCTCCGAGTCGCCTTTGCCTTTGGAAGTAGGAATTTCTTGTAGCTCATAGGTACCTGGTGTCTCGGCTCGTTGCGACCTGAGAGTTCGACTGTATGACCAATCGTGATAGATGTCTCGAAACATCATAGCGAGACCAGCGGGAACGGTGATCTGCCAAACCGGTACATGGATCGTACTCGTGCCAGCTAAAAGAGCCAGAGTCGCCAACATCAACACGCTACCAAAAACTGCGCCTTTCTTGTCCACCAAGGCAGATTCATTCTCGTCGCCGCTGAGGTCCAGATTCAGTGAGGATGGAATTAGTTGAGGAGAGCGGAATAGGCCAAATAGGAGAACTGGGAAGACGAAGGTTGCTGCGGCTAGGAATGGAAGGATAACGTGGGCGGAATAAGAGACGAAGGATATCGAGAAAGCACCCGTCAAAACTAGGTTTGTTGGGTTTGAGGAGACGAGAACAACGGACGCTAGATAAATACAGGGTCAGAATCGTAAAACTGTGCCAGCAGAGAGTTATTCACCCATGTTCGCAGCAGCGAACTGCGAGAATATCCACGCAGTGGGAGGAGTGATGCTAAAACCAGTGAGCATGAAGCATAAAGCAAATGTACGAGAGAGTTCATTTACCCTGATACCCTAGTCAGATATGCTAGGAATGGCGTACCACATAGTATGACGGGATCCTAGATGCACTGAATTAGAACCTACTTTGAAGCATGCAACAGAAAGACAAACATTTCCAACAATTATACCAGATACGAGGAAAAACAGATAGAGATAGAGGTACAGCCGTGGTCCAGAAGTACCTCCTCTACGAGCAACCCAGAAGGCTGAGAAACGGAATAGGCCAGTGAAATCTAAAGATATTGAGATATACGCCTATATGTTGTGCATGTTTTAAGTATTGTTGCCCTGGGACGGGCATGCAGGAGTGAACCTACCAGCGAAAGAAATAGGGCCAGAATGCTGAGAGGTTCAACACCGTCGGCACCTAAAACACCTCTGCGAATGGTAGAGCCGTCCATCGATCGTGTAGCTAGAAGTAGCAAGACAGAGAAGAGCGGGACTGTGATGTAGTCGGCATGGACGTATACTCTTCTAGGAGGCTTCGACTTCACTGGAAGAACATACAAGTAAACTAGACAATCACGCAGAAAGGAGACAAAGATGCGTGGGACGGGTATGCGAAAAGGGAATATCACAGCAAGATCTGTGCAAAAGGGAATTTAGTCTAAACATAATATAAGAGAGCGAGACAAAGACATACTGGAAAGTAGGAAGAGAACCAAAGTAAGGATGGCATCGTATGTGCGGGGTACTGGCATGGATGGCATACAGCTCGATGTCAACGCTGGAGATAAGGCCCTAAGAAAGTCGGAACTTTATAAAGTCAAGTGTCGCAGGACGGGCCCTGCACTCCAATCTCTAAAACACTTGGCACCATAATGGACTTTGAATTCCCTAAGAAACGTTCGTTCAAAGCAAGTGGTGAGGATATTGATTTTGGAGCCACCGAAATTGTATCGGAGAAAGGCGGGATTTTAACATCGTGCGCAACTTTACAGCCTCCGCCCCAATGTGAAGCTCAGCGATCAGCCACAATATTTGAGCCGTGTCGCCTGAGCCAAATACCACGACTTGGACATGCAGTGGCCACCTCTTCGCTTTTCACTACCACGCTTGTCTTTTGGCCCATTAACCTTACCAGACTGCTCCATTTGCTAAGAGAACTTAGTATTGTTGTGGATAAAGCTTTGCATCCGTCCTCGTCGGCAGCCATCGGCGCTTGTGCTACCAAATTGAAAAGAACAATGGCGCACATGGGAGGATATACAAGCTGCTCTTGTTCTTCCTGTTCATGTCCCCTCGCTCCTCTCAGCTCTCTCACCACTTTCAATTCCCTCTCTGAGCTGTGACCTTGGCTTGGTGCTCACCCCGAATGCTGCTAAAGAAAATGACTACTAGGCTCACGAACCTGCGGACTAGCAAATCAACGGCGGGACCTTCGTCTCCATCTCCGTCTTCATCTATGAATTCCTCCTTGCCTTATTCCTCGCTAGAGCAGCGCTCCTCCATATCTACCCAACGAACATCTCTTACGAACTGGGGTAAAGGACAAATAGAAGTCCCGGAAATCCCAAGAATTCCTGGGGGTATCCAGCGACCGAAAGGCTCGTATCGGCTAACGGACTTTCTTATACTTCGTACTCTGGGCACAGGCAGCTTCGGGCGGGTACATCTAGGCACGTATCATAGCGCCGCCTCATGGAAGGCTAGATTCTAATGCCCCTCTCAGTTCGCAGTAAACACAACGCCCGCTTCTATGCGATCAAAGTCCTCAGCAAGGAGAAGATCGTTCGCACGAAGCAGGTCATGCATACCCGTAACGAACAGGGAATGCTCTCACAAGTACAGCATCCCTTTATCATCAACCTTTGGGGGAGCTTCCAAGATCACACGAATCTCTACATGGTGATGGACTTTGTCCCTGGTGGCGAGCTCTTCACTCTGTTACGAAGATCGAATGTGAGTTCATCCGCATATATGCAACTTCTGACCGCAGCTTCGCATATTTCCAATCTACCATCTTTGTCTTGCACATGAACACCAAATTGTCTGGTTGCTGTTATCGTTGTGGCGTGATCGGTGATCTCTGAAACTCTCGCTGTCTGATTCTGTCTCTCTACGACGTCTTCTTTTCCACATGTTCTACTGTGCTTCCTACAGGTTCTATCACACATTGCAATGTTCGGATACTAACAGTGCATTCCTTTGCAGCGATTTCCGGATCCAGTAGCGAAGTTTTACGCTGCAGAAGTTGCGCTGGCTCTCAACTATCTGCACTCCCTTCATGTCATCTACCGCGACCTCAAACCCGAGAACATCCTTCTCAACTTTGACGGTCACATCAAAATCGCGGACTTTGGGTTCGCAAAATACTGCGAGAATGTCTCGTGGACCCTTTGTGGTACACCAGACTATCTTGCACCAGAGGTACTGTCTCTCCTTCCTTCCGATTTCTACTGTATGTATCTCAACTGAGCCAACTTGTACACATGTAGATCATCGCAAACGCGCGGTACAACAACTCCGTTGACTGGTATGCCCTGGGTGTCCTCATCTTTGAAATGCTCTCTGGTCTTCCTCCCTTCCATGAACCTGACGCGAACCCTGTCACCCTCTACGAAAAGATATCTACAGGCCCCACATGCATTAAATGGCCTGCCTTCAACCCGAATGCGACTGATCTCATCTTGAAGTTCATGGAGAGAGATCCAAGTAAGCGGTACGGCAACTTGAGAAACGGAGCTGGGGATGTGTTTGCGCATCCATGGTTTAGGGAGGTGGATTGGGAACGTTTGAAAAATAGGGAAATCCAGGCTCCGTATCTGCCTAAGATTAATGGGGATGGAGACGCGAGCGCGTGAGTCTCACCCTATGTATATGCTCGTTCTGCGGGTCACTGACATGGTCCGCCGTTTTCAGGTTTGAGAGATACCCAGAAGACAATGCAGCAGAAGCGTATGGTCTTCCAGCTGAAGATCCTCATGGACTTTTGTTCCCCGATTTCGACTATACCGCGCCAAGATGACCGCTTCTTTATATGGATATCCTCATACGTATACCCTTCTTGCGTCTCGGACACATTTCTTGCGGGTTCTTTGATTATTGGGTATTTGCATCACCTTGTGTAAAATATGATGTATGTACAACTTCGATGGGGAGCATCACAGTGTTGTATCGTATGTTAATCAAGAAATCTTCCTAGCCTGGTAAAGGTCTTGAAACCATTGCAGTAAATGCTATACGGCATCTGCCTTGGTGATGTAAACGCTTACTCATAAACGAGTTTCTTGCGGTTTCTCATTTCTTGTTTCTCAGATGTCGATAGCACATATCATCAGCGCTTTGAGCGGAAATGGCCTCCAGGTTTAAATTTGCCCCGGACATTATACGGGCAATAGCATCACAATCATTGGCGACTCGAGTCCGTCGTGTTGAACGTTGAGTGATATTTCGACGCTGGGCCTTAGGTGCATTAGCTGATCCCGACCTACCTTTCCTTCAAGTCTCCCCCCGGCGTCCCGCAGTGATGCCATGCATGGCGATCTCGAGCATACCGGTTCTTGGTACCATACGAGTAGTCTACTTCTGCAGCAGAGGTCCGCTTTTAGTCTCCTAGGTAGGAATTGAACGACTTTCTTCGATCCTAGTCTCCTTCTTCAATCCTTTTTGAAAATGTACAGCCGAGCTGAAACTAAGAATATCATTCCTGATCTAGTGTCGCACCTTGAATGATGGGACCTCGACGGTTCGTTCCCGCCTTGGTAAATCTTGCACGTAAAGTATGCTAGTGAAACATTGATTTGATGATGGCTTACGACGATCTTCGCATCCCCAGGTGCATCCGATCGCGGTCCTAACAAACAATCCCCTACACCAATGGTATAAAAACAGGACCTCTGCGTTTAGAGTTCTCCATCGCAGGCCGATCCTCATTTCTATCCTTTCGTGGTTCTATTCTATTCAAACTTTTCTTACCCGTTTATCCTCGTCTTCTTCATTCTCAACGCTTCACTTTTTACATCTTTTACGATCATGGCTTTCCTTAAATGCAGCATCCTTGTCCTTGTCATCTCTGCTCTTGCCACCTTCACCGTTGCCGCACCCGTCGCAGGCTGTGCTGCCCAAAAGTTGGCAAACGGGAACGGTAACTGTGCACCATGTGGTATGCACCTTGATAAGCAAAGCTTATATTACGTAGACTCACAAGCATGATTTCAGTTGCTATTGCCACTTGTGCATACGACCCCGCAAACTTGCAGTGTGTCAACAAACCTGCGGGTGCTCTTCCTGCTACTCTCATCGCCGATAGGACTCGGTGCCCGACGCTTTCCCAGATCGCCCAGGTATGTCGGGTCTTTTTCAATCACAGCTATTTCGCTGAGTGCACTGAATGTACAGGAGAACCCTAGTGTTGCTGTTCGTCAGAAGGCAACCGCGGAGTTTGCCAGGATGAGGAACCATATCTTCGTCGGAGAGAAGGATCCTTCATCTGGAAGGCACACGTTTACCGCCTTCCGGGCGGCGAACAAGGATGCTGGTCGTTGCGACAGGGAGACGAACCTTTGCGCGTTCAAGGTATTTGACAAACGTGCTATCATCGATATCTATGATCGGTTGACATTTGTTCTTGTTACGCAGTTGACATCCACGACTCCCAAGACTGTCTGGGATGACCGCGCAGGAAAGTACACTCAACAAGATGTGCAGGACATGTGTACGACTGCGATCACCCTCAACCTCCTGCACAACAACAACGCTGCCAGTTCTGGAGCGTTCGCCGTTCAGACCAAGTTTGGCAAGTCGATCTGCGTTGAGCACCTTGTTACCAAGACCAACACGCCTTCGTGCTTCCCTCTCGGTATTCACCACGCCACTCAGTTCCCTGTCGGCAAGCCTTGCACTGCTACTGGCAATGCTGCTAATACTCTCACTGTTGAGGTCGCTCAAGGTGCCAGTTAGATGGCTGGGGTCTGCATAGTCAATGATTTCATATATTGTCAGAACTTGTAATGAGTACGCTATCACGAGGATAATGGGTAATAGTTTGGAACCACGAAATCCTTCAGAAAGTGAATTCGGGGGGCAACGCATGACCCTTGCGTTAGGCTGTCGCACTTATAGTGGACATGAGATCGCCTAACCATGCCCCGATTCCAGGTGTGAGACATCAAATGCCGAAATGTATGTACGGGGCCCAACGTTCATCGGAAACTCCACTGCTCCGCAGACGTTGTACAGCATCATCTAAAGCATAAGCAACTGCATTTGGATCTAGCAGCTCTCTGCCATCTGCGAAGAGCTCACGATATACGCCTTCAGCAATGTCGGGACCATCCATGTCGTCCATTGGCCTGTGGTGGTAACGTTAATTATGTATGACCATAAGAAGATACTTCGACAAAGACATACCACATAGTACCAATAACACTCTTGAACCCTGCAAAAAGCATCGTCGCGGCAAGGTGAGCTGCTTCGTCCGGCTGCCCTCCACTTCCTCTCGCAGTCTCACAAGCACTGAGGAAAGCGAGGAAAGCGCCATGCGAGGTGATTGGCATCAACTCAGATATAGTGACAAACTTGTCTCGCAAGACGAAACCGCTCTCCAGAGGGTTATCGAGGTTTTGTCTCCCGTGGCAAGCCAGGTGCAGAACAGTTGTATCTGCCAGTTGAGACAGGAAGGTAGATGCGGAGAGTCCATTGGTCACAGAATCAGAGAAGACCGAATCCTCGGGCGGAATGGGAAGAATCAGTTCAGCGGGTACCACATCACTGATTCCAAGGATTTCCTCCACAGTGCTAGGGAGGGACGATCCATATATCGGACGTGGTACTGCGCCCAATAAGATCCGACAGGAACTGCGATCTATTGGCTGGAAAGCTCGACGTGCGTTGAGTAATGCCCTCAGAGACGGAGTATATGATGAAACAATGTAATCGGAGCAAGAGACTTTCCCGGGGACGAAGGCAGCATGAATCGGCAGGAGGCTAAAGGCACCAGTCGGGCACCACCATAATCGAGGGCGGTTCCGACCCCCCGATTTGCCTAAGCCTAGTGATTCTATAACAGGCCTGACTACGGAGTTCCACAGAAAGGCGTAGGCCACCCAGCGATAGTCCTTGTCTGATTTAGCCTTACCTTTCGGTCTTCCATATCGATCTGGACCGTCATCAACAACTGCTTCAGCGGAATCAAAGTCGTCTTCAGCGCGAAGTATGTCAAGTGGTACGGAGAAGTGACGAGGCTCATCGCTTATAGTATGGTTCTCCACATCCGACTGAATACCTCCAATGAACCATCGAACCGCTTTCAGGGAGTCCTCGGTAACATCCAGTAGGGGAACGTGGACCACGTTCCCGGGCGAGATGAGGGTGATAGCAGCACATGAGTGCGAACTTGCAACCAGCATTACAACCGGTCCATCCTTGGAGACCTCAGCAGCTAACTCTGAATCAAAGTCTTCTTGCGTTATGAAGTCCTCCATCCCAGGTAATGTCCTAATCTCGTCCAATTTCTTCTCCAACTGCACCCTCAGATACTGCCGGTACGCGTACTCCTTCCCTACATCCAGTTTCATGGCGCCCCTGTCCTGGTATCGCTTGTTGTGGGTATATATTCGCTCCTCCAGCTCATTTGATAAAAAGTCAAGCGACTTTTGAAGCGAATCAGGAAGCAGAGCGGATTTCATCGTGCGCAACTGCATCGCCTTGGTCCAGAAGGTAGAGCGACCTTGCTCCAGCAACCGCACGGCAGGGAGTGGTTCATCAGTGAAGAGGACGAAGCAGGCAGCACGATTTACCAAGTCCTGAGCCGAACGAGATATTTCTAATCGAGTTCGCACGTCCTGCCCAAAGTTTGAAGCTCCAGGCAGAAGCTGGACAGCTTCGGACAAATAGTACGCCACCTCACAGGATGCATCCATGTTTTTGGTCCCTGAATGTTCTATCTCGTTAATAAATCTCATCGTGGTCCGGATACGACTTGGGATGGGCTGAGACGTGTCTTGAAGGTCCTCTAGAAGAATACCGAGGGCCTCCGAAAGATCATGGAACGGAGTTTGTGGTTCTATATACAATTCCGTCTGGTATCCCCTCAGTAATGTCTTCTCAACGGGCCACAAATGTCCTTCGGAATATGTGATAAGAAGATCTCGCCATAGCTTCGCATCCTCCTCGTCACGGAAGAAGCGAAACCGCCATTTGTGGAGCTGAGAGAGGATGAGATGTAGGTCGTCATGCCATGGCCTCTCGACAAGAGTTGTCCATGTTTGTGATATCGCTTTATCCAGAGTACGAGCATGAAATGTAAGATCGCCTCCTGCCCTTTCCGCTATGGAACGGAGGCTCAGAGGCCAGAGTTCATAGAACGAGAGCACAGACTCGGGAGGGAAGAGACTAACTTGTTCATAAACTGACTTGTTCTGTGGTTCCTCGTCGGCATGCGATAAGCGACCAAACATGTCAATGAAGATGCCGATGTCTTGTGAGATTTCCTGGTTGCCTTGTTCTGGTTTCTCATTAGGGAAGGACAGGAGTCGTACCCTTGTGGAGTCGAAACCGTTCTTCAAGAAAAATAAGTACGCTGGATGATCGGAGGGACAGTCTCGGGCGCCTTCGGAAAAGATCTCAATGGCTTCGTCAAGCATGTCCCATTCGCCACTTTCTTCCATGAAAGTAAGTTTGAGGATAAAACCGCGGAAGAGGAGACAATTATAGTACGCAAAATCATGAGGATCGATTGTCCCTGACGTATGCATGGTGCTACGTAGGGGTGGTTGCGTATCCTTGTTCTGGAGCAGGTGTGTGAGCTGGAGAAAGTGGAAAGCTCCCTGGTAACCTTCAACGTCCGAAGATGGTTCTGAGTTCGTGTGTGTGGGACGAGAATACAACGCAAACTCGTCGGAGAGGATCTTCACTATTCTTTCACGATCCTCCGGCGTCGCGCAGCCGCCATCAAGAAATTGATAATGGAGGGACATGATGACGAAAACGATTGGTTGGCGTATGGCAGAGGGGAGGTACGAAGCCTCGCACATGTGCAAAATATCCGTTGCATACCGTATTGAGGCATGTACATCCTCTGGTGTCTTGAAACGAAGCAATCGCGCACCGTTGGCTTCGCAACAAGAACTGCAAATTAAAAAACCTTTCTAGGTGCGCGTCAACGGGAAGTGAGTCAAGTGCACCTTTGAGATGACCAATGGCATTCTGGATGTAATAGTCATCCTTTTGCGGGGATAGATGATTCGTGAAGAGGATCGTCAATGCCACGCCCAAGGAAAGACGCAAGGAACGAAGTTGCTGCTGATCTCCCTCAAGCGACGTTTGGCTGCGAAAAAGAGTGTCTTGAAGCAGATCGGTGCATACTACAACGCCATCGATATTCTGGTGCTCTGGGGGCAGATATAGCTGTTCTATGAGCCAGGATTGTGGAGACGTAGGTGCCTAGAAGACATGATTAGTCAACTTGAAGCTATGAGAGGAAGATATACGAACCTGGGATTCTTCCATGTTCGAATTGCTTCGTTGCTTGATCCGATATGCAGTCGAGCTGGCTTATGTACCTAAAGACAAGCAATGCATCAGGACGGGCCAGTCGCACTGCCCGTTACAGCTTGTGCTTTTTTACAGTTACACTAGGGATCCTATGGTTTTTGCTGTGCAGAATTAGATGCATGTGGCTGTCAGAAGAAAACCCTAGTACAGTGGCAGTAGACGCCTTTCCGTAGCCGTTGAGAATGCGTGTGCTTTGCAAAGGTACTGTAAGTCTGATTTGTAAGTCTGTGAAAGTTGCTGGAAACTTACCCGGCAAAGAGTGCTATTTTGTTACGTAACTTACGTCGTGTAGTGGCTTTGCGTAACCACTCCTACTAAGGAGCGACTCACGCTCCCTCGTACTACTTTTGGCAAGTCCACTTTATATCTAGAATGCGCTCAAGATCCTGCGGAAGGGCGTGCGGTAGAACGTATACTATCATGTTATGCAACTTGATCGCATTCTACTCACGTCAATTCAACTCTTGACGTGAGTACTGCCACGCGAACAGCATTCACAATCATTCAAGATCCTTACCAGCATTCTCGTTCTCTCGACGATGCTCTGCTGTTCTTGTGTGTCATGTCGAGTTCTATCTCCCCTCTGAGTTCTCCAGGTTTCAAAGATATCGATACCGTGTTGGCGCTCATAGAGAAAGTGGAACGTGCATTGCCCGAATCCGAGTCCTCTCTCAAACATCTCTTTGCGCTTTGTCGCTCCAGCTTCTTCTTATCGCGAGATAAGTTGCTCAATCATTCGTACATTTCGACTGTCCCCCCTTTACGGAGGGGTGAAATAGGCAGAGCACTTACAATCTCGGTCCATATCACACAAGCATCTCTGTTCGCGATTGAAAATACGATCAAGGCCATCCATAGTTGGTCTTATACAACACGGTCGATGGTCGAACAGATGGGAGAACAACTCAAGGATCAACTCCAACTTGTACGGTATGTCATGCATCTTAAGTGACGACCCACTGAGTTGCTGACTATCCCGACCAGACTTGACTCATTGAAACCTTACCGAGTCGATAGGACGCCACATAATTGTTACGAGTATACGGGAGATGGCCCGCCTTTCATAATCGGAATTGTGGGCGAGGCGCGGAGTCTAGTTCTCCGTTATTCAACCAAAGATGTTGCGACCATCTTTTCATAAATATAAAACTTCCATTGACTTCCTGTATAGGCACTTTATAGAACTCTATGTGATCTCTACAAAAACACTCCCGGAGAATCCTTCATTCACCGTGGCGATTACCACGTTGCGGTTAACCACGATTCAACATTCCTGAGTAGACCCTGGGATCTACGATGGATGGGAAATACTTTTTTGAGATTGAGGGCGATCATTAGGTCCCACAGCCTGGATTGCCTTACACGCTGCCCAAGATGCAAGACACCGAATCCGAATGAACCGATTGATTCATACTTCCAAGAGTTTGAATGGTACGTCTGACCGATAACCCCTTCGATTGGATTAATCGAACCGGAGATTGGCCTCATAGCAACGAGTGCCGGGCTATGTACTGTGTCCACGTCGACCCTGATGGACCCGAAGTCAGCCTTGACGTTTGGTATTTGTATCAGGGTCTACGACTTCCCTGCGACGACTCTCAAATTGATTTGGGACCAGTTGAAGATGAACTGGAACACATTCACCGCTTTATGGTACTCTTTCAACCGAAGGAAGAGTCTGCTCAAGTTGCTATCAATAGGCTACATAAGGTGTGATACTTTTTCCACATCGACATTATTGGGTTTCTAACCCGAGCACTTCGGTGATGAAGGAAATCCGGCATACGGATAATCTCACAGCCAAATTGAACTACCTATCGATCCTGAGGAAACTCTGTACGATCTACAATACTATCCCTACAGAGCTATATGTCCGCGACATCTCTTGTGCCACCACACTCGGTCCATTATGTGCTGGTAGTTTCGCAGACATCTACAAGGGTAACACTCAACATGGACAGGAGGTTGCGCTGAAGATTCTCCGCTCATTCAGAAATCTCAGTGCAGAAAAAGTAGCGCAGCAGAAAAAGGTAGAAGCTCTGCCCTTCATCGTGTGTTGATCTGATCACCCGCCAACAGCGGTTTTATAGGGAAGCTTTGATCTGGGCGCATGCAAGTCAGCATCCCTATGTCTTGCCATTCCTAGGGGTGGACGAGACTACCTTTAAATACGGCTTGTGTATGGTGCTTCCCTGGATGAAGAACGGGACAGTCACTGGTTATCTCGCCAGGCTGCAAGAAACGCAGGACATTTGTCACGCTCGGGGTCAAGTTGACCGATGGGTCTGTCCCCCTTCAGAAATTCTCTATGATCTGCTTACCATTCTTAGATCGTGCAAATCGCTTCCGGTCTTTCATACCTTCACAAAATGGAGATTATTCATGGGGACCTGCGCGCAGTACGCTTGATTCATGGCCAACCATTGACTTTGCCTAACTGTTTGTATGTATAGGTTAATATTCTTCTCAGTGATAACCTCGACATCAAGATTGCGGATTTCGGGCTGTCCTGTATCTCGAACCTTGATTATTTCTCCTTGAACTCGACAACCGATCGAAATGCCTACTGGCTCAGCCCAGAACTATTAAACCCATACTCTGACGCGCCTGTCAATCCAACCAAAGAAAGCGATGTCTACGCTTTTGGGTGTGTCTGTATCGAGGTAATAACACTCCTCAATCATAGATGCTGATGCTGATTTTTTCTCTTGCTAGTTGTATACAGGCAGACGCCCATATTCCGGCCTGAACGTGTTCGCATTGTGTACGCAGGTATGCAATGGACACAAACCTAGTCAGCCCAAATTCTACGAAGGAAGATCTATGGATGAAGCATTATGGTCCCTTGTTCTGTGGTGTCTGTCGACTTCACCGAGCATGAGACCTCGTGCAGAGGAAGTGGCAAGGCATGCTGAAGCATTTGTCTCCCAAGTACTTGATACCTGAGACGTAGGTCTGCATTGTTCGATCTATTATTTCTCGAATCTGGAGCCTCTTCCATTCCGAAATCCTTATCCTAGGACATGTTGTTCGATGATCTTGGCCGATTTCTAGACTTTGCTTCTCTGGAATGCTATATACGCTATTCTAGCTCTTACTGCATGGTATCTCAAGAATGAATGGTTACCTCGACCTCCCCCGTTTCCGATGGCCGTCCCGCAGGAAGGTACGAGTTTCCGCAAAGGCAGGCATCTATTTTCATTCATCCTAAGTGTACCACCTCGTTTGGCTCTCGCATTTCTGTCACGGGGAATTATTCAGCTATAATGGCGTGTTTTCGTAATCATGGCTTCGTCTGGGACCGTCTTTAGTACTTATATAACCTTTACAAAATCGCAGAACTCGCAAACCACGTTCTGTCGGGAATCAACCATCTTCTTAATAGTATACAAAGATTTGCACTAGCCTAAGAACCTCTGCTGGCGTCGGCGTGTATTCAGGGAATTTCTATTCGGATGTTCCCGAAGAGATTTACGAGATAGTTTAATTTTTTAATGTTTGAAAATTCGAAGGCCTGATGGTCTAGTAGTATGATTCCTGCTTCGGGTGTTTTAGCTCGAGTACCTCAAGTACTCAAAACTGCAGGAGGTCCCGGGTTCAACTCCCGGTCAGGCCCCATCGTTTTGGTTTTGCTTCACTTCACCGAAGCTTTTATCAACGTGAAGGAACATAAGAACGCCAGCTTGCGCAGCAACGGCGCCGTACGTAGAGGAAGTGAATTAAAAAAATAGTGAAACCTGTGTAGAAGAGTCTTCCCTGTACGATCATTACATGTGTGGTGTAAGTAATGCGTGGTTGTACGGCGCGCAGCGTATCAAATGCGAGCCTGCCTGCACTTTCCACTAACGTGACTAAGAACTCAATACGGTCATTGTCTAAGGCTATGTGTGCACATGGTGTACTGCATGATGCCTCGAAAGCAGTATACCAACTGCTTTGACAACAAAAGGGCCTGACCGGGAATTGAACCCGGGACCTCCTGCATTTTCGAACCACCCAAAGCAGGAATCATGCGACTAGACCATCAGGCCGATATCAATGTTGCAAACAAATTAATTATCATCCGGAGTCTATTCAGTGATAAATTACGATTCGAAATTCCAACTTGAAAGTCCTTAGCTGCCTCAACACCAAAATGTTAGGGCTCAAGAACTCCCCCCTCTCTTGGCTATCAAATGGGTACTTGGGATATTGGTGGGCGAGATGAAGAACACTAGGCAGCTCGCTTCCTAATTTCGCGTGACAAAGTCGAGTGACTCAAAGACTCTTGAGAATTACAGGCGGTCCTCAACGTATGAGGTCCCCAAAGCCGATGCATTTCATTCTTACAATGCTACACGATAGATGAGGGATGAGGTGTGCCTATTAAGTACCATCCTAGAAGAAGAACAAATTAGATCAATGTCGACAGAAAATATCCTTCATTCGACATACGAGATAACCCCGTTGATGAAAAGGCTAACATGGTCAGCAGCTTCGGCAGCATTCGCGATACTGGAGTTTCTTGGGTTTGAACCTCAGTTTTCGCGCCTCGGGCTCGCGAGGGCCCCTACGTAGTAGTTGGAGTCCTGAACGCAAAAGTAGCTTGCGGGATCCTATTTCACGGTGTATGAGAACCTCCGCCTAAACGCCGTAATAACTCTGAGGGCGGATGGGAACGATCCCTTGGAAAGGTCTTAGATTTATTTTCGAAGAGCATTTGGTCACTGAGTCATGCTGCCGCTCAGACACTTCATGCGGAACACTAGGATGGAGTAAGCAAGAGGTATGACCGAGATATATACATATTCGGCTCACAAATGGAACACCAAGCTCGCGCAGGAGTCGAAACTGTCAGGCTGGATGTCACGGCGGGAATTCTGGTCAGCCCCTTGTTCCTGGAGGTCAAGCTGTTGTCGGTTCTGTGCAGTTCTATTGCGCACACGTCGACAATGATGAGGACTCATCCAAAACAAGAGAGACGGAAACTAACTGTATCCCCTTGTTTGCGATATCCCCACTAGCTTCCGCGGCTTGAGCGCTATTCTTGATAGTCTCTGACGACTGCCTATGGAGATTGAGCTTGAAGATGCGAGTTTCAAGTGCACGGCGTGAATTGCCCTGAACCGCCTGTACCTGAGCTTGAGCTGGCTGTTGTTGAATGCTCTAACTACGTGATACCTGTCAGTGCGGTTGCATTGGGAAGTGCAATATTTACACTGACTTGATACCATTGGTAATGATGTGGCCGAACGAATCTAATGCTTGAGCCCCATTGTTGACGACTTCTGAAGAACCAGGCGGCTCATCTTCTTGAACTGGAAGTTTGGTAGGACGACGAATGGCATTGCGCCTGCTCAATACGCGCTCTTCGAACCTGAGAACGTTGACGAATCCTAAGCAATGTTTTCATAGTAATGACTACGTGAGCTTACTGAGGGGGAGCTGAGAGAGCGAGAAGAGCACTAGCGTTGAGAGCCGAGAATGACTGAGGTTGAGAAACGCATGTCGTGAATGGATGAGGCTACGATAGTGTTGAGCCACGTCCCGAAGACGATTGGACACTTTTATACTCACCGACCTGCACCACGGTTTGTAGAAGAGGCTTTACTAGCGAGTCCAGGGCGAGCTGAAGAAACAGGGTTGAATCAAGCTCGTATTTACAGTATGACATCCTCCAACGTCGGCCACGGTACAAGTGTGAGATGGCGTCATCGGCGTCCTGACGAGGACGTCGCGGTCACCCGGAGTTCCTGTGAGATTGACTACTCAGAAGAGCACGAAGACGTTCTAAGGCTTTCCGCTAGTTGACTGAAACACCGGATGTTTCGGCATAACACCACGATCCACGGTGAGAAAAACGTTTTGCAATGGTAAGCGGTTAGCGAGTTGTGGAAATCCATGAAGATCCAGAATGCTTATGCTGCCAAAGCCATCGTGCCATTCGTAGGATGCCCGGGATGAGGTACAGGATGGCATCGCAGCGTCCAGTCTGCTTTGGGCCCTCAGGCTTCAGGCTTTCTCAAAAGGTGCCGTGTCGCTGTAAACGTGTGGGCGTGGCGCCACATCTGTACCGAGCTGTACGATTTCACTTCGGTCTCTGACCCGTCTGACCGGTGGCACCGGAAACAGATGAAAGCAACTAGGCGCCTCAAGGGAACAAGCTTCGCAGGGTATTCCGTATGTCCGATCGCTCGATGAAATCGTTTGGGTCGTAACTTGCAGTAGTTCCGGCGCGAGTGGTCATTATGCCCACGCAGACATTGCACAACAGTACTCTCTGCGAAGCGCGTAAGTGCCGACGCAGAGTGGCTTAAGAAACGTTAAGAACGTACTGTACTGTCCACCTGCGATCTTGGCAAGTCATTCGTCATATTCGCGCGACTAGCAGCTTAGACCTTTAGGCCTAGGACTCAGTATTATGCATACAAGCGATCTTAGCGGTGTCCTAATTGTGGCGAGCTTCATCCTTCCAGACATGAAATTGACGAACCACCCGTCGACCTCGTGCTGTAGATGTTAGAAGAAATATTCTGTATTAAAAGCATCATGTCGGGAGGAGACGGCGAAAGGATACGTGGGAGACGACAGTGACTTCGCAATTTGTGTCTTTGCGCATGATGGAGGATGTGGATGAAGTTCAACGGGCGCCTGCCTGCCCATGAAGAGTCAAGCGCTGGAAGTCATTTTCTCTCAGTGACTGTCACCGTCGACTCTGTGAACGTTTGAACACCCTGCAGACATGGTTAAAGCACAACATGCGCACTGTCGAAGCTGCTATTACGTATGCGGTGATATCTTCTGATTCTTCTAGCCCTCTACCTATCTATCGTGAATGTAAGTTTACTATGCGTCTGGGTTGGTGGGACGGGCTTTCATTAAGTGTTCTAACAACCTTCCTTAAACCACTGTTCTTCAGCTGCCATAACTCTCCTGAAAAAGACCGTAATCCCATGTTTCTCACACTTGTCGTGTTCGTATGCCGAAGATTTGCACCCTCCCCAACACGGACTTCTACTTCTCATCTTTCGCGAGACCTCACTTGTCTTGCTCTCAACGTTTCAGTGGCGCTAAGGTGTCCATCATCCCAGGTTGTTTGCACTGGATAATCCCAGTTACTAGACGAAAACAAACGAGCGTACGATGTGATTAAACTTTTGGTTTATCGAGGACCTGCGTTTTAAATAGATTTCACCGTCATCAACAGCGGCGCGGGTCGCCCACGACTAACACGATGGTGAAGGCTCCTCGGGACACAGGCATCGGGTCTTACCAAACTTCCCGTGGCTGTCGTTCATGTGGAAATGCTCGAAGTCGAACTCCAAGACGAACAGGAAACGGCTATAGGGCCAAGTAGAGCAATTCGAAGCCCTATGGTAGAAATATTGTCTCCGTGGAAGGCAAGTTAGACTGTGACGGGTATGCTGTGTACCGTTCGTCGTCTTGTCAATCTGTATCGTGACATTCTTTTCTGTCTCATTACCCCGGAGTTCAAGGACGTTCCCCCGATGTACAGACACTCGATAGCTATTGGTTGTCCCACGTTCCGTGCTGCTTTGGTCACCCCATTGGACCATCAATATCTTTTCGGGGGATACCTATTCTGTGGATCGCGTCAACTCGGTTTGCTGGCAATCTATCTATAGGAATTGAACGTCATTGTTATCGATGAATACGTCGATGTACAATTACGTCCAAATCTCCAGTCTAGGTCCCGAAGATTAATGGATGCAGGATTGAATAAGTGGCAATGTCCTCAGTGCAAGGATCTGAGGAATGTCAAGCATCTAGCAGGTGACAATCCATCGCAAAGTATGTCCTCTGTCATTTTCCACTTGCCTCTACCATAAATACTCAGCTGTATATTCCCAGGACATCGCATTCCCAGACATACTCGAAGATGCCGTCCGGATATAGATCTATTACTTGCATGTGTGTGCTGATGAACTCAGATACGCAGTGCATTGATAGCTGTCCTTCGTGTTTGCTGTCAACTGGGTCATGCGTGCAGAACGCAGATCCTGGAGCTGGAAGTACTAACTCGTTCCAAATGGTCCCGAAGACGATTGAATACTTGCGATTTCCATTCGATACTTGACTCAAATCTTAAACGACACTTCCTCCATGCAGACGCTCTTTGTTGAGACGTTCCATTCCTTGCAGCGCTTAAAACTTACCATCGTGATTCTGCTCCCATCCTTTCTAGATAAAAGTCATTCTTTCATTATACGTACTTATCTGACAGCGGCCAGAGTTCATTGGCTCTGGATCTTGATGATGGAGCCTTTACTGACCCCATTTTTCATTGACATAGAGGGTAAGTGCGATGCGCTTTCAGGTGTCGAGAGCACTGGCATCCTGACGTAAGTACGTCCTCAGATTGAGGGTATATAGGCTGAACTCCTAGTCCAACACATTTCAAGGTACCTTCGGATAAAGTTTATCATCATGGCGGCGATTCCTTCCACACTGAAGAATGTTGCTGCTCGAGGCATCATCCCTCTCATCGCAGAAATCGCTTTGCCTTCCAATCGCCGTGCTCTTGCAGATCGCAAGACTGTGGCAATAGACGAGATCCCCAATCCTGCAAACATACAAGGCGACGTTTATCTTCTTTTCCCTAAGGTCAGCTGGCCATAATGCCAGGCGATATAGATCAACTTGAGTATTGACCCCAGCTCACAGGTTGCAGAGTGCTTTTTGTTCTTTTGGATCGGCGACGTGCCCAAGTTCAAAGCTGCCCTCAAAAATTACACCCCGACTTCCTCTGCCGGTGTCATCGCCAACCTTCAAACTATCTCCAAAGCGAAAGAACGCGGTGAAGTTGTAGACATCGTCCAAACGCAGATTGCTTTCAGCCGTTCTGGTCTGACCAAATTGGGTTGGACGGATGCTGTTGGCGACGTACGCTTCGACGGAGGTTCGATGCGTAGAGACAAGGAGGCTTTAGGCGATCAACGCCAATGGAGTGACATCTTCGACTCCGGAACGGTCCAGGGCGTATTCATCATAGCTGCTGCAGGTCAGTACCGCAACATTTGAGTATCTCATGTATCTCATAGCGTCAACCTTCTGACGTCTTGTAGATGCCGCGAAACGAGATGATGCTCGCGTGAAGCTCGAGCAACAGTTCAACGCTGGAGTGGAGAAGTTTTCCCACCTCAATGGTGACCGTCGTACGGGAGATTTCAAGGGTCATGAACACTTTGGCTATATGGATGGCATTTCCCAGCCTGCTCTTCGGTAGGTATCCGCCTCATCCAGGCGGATTACTCTCTAAAGTGACATTTAGCGATCTTGTTCAGCCTCACAAGGGTCAAATCGAAGTCGATCCGGGCGTTGTTGTTATGGGCTACAAGGGTGATCCCGTTTTCGATAATCTCGACCCAAATGTTCCCAAACGGCCTTCCTGGACTAAGGACGGAACTTTCATGGTCTTCCGGAAGTTGGAGCAAGATGTCAAAGGCTTCAATGATTACCTCCAACGTAACGCTCACCGCTGGAAGGACTTCTGGCCGGATGGGACTGTTGAACCACCCCTCAGCGATCAAGAAGGGGCCGATTTGTGGGGTGCCCGGATGATTGGGAGGTGGAAATCTGTACGTCAATGTATAATCACGTTTCTACGTTGTGTTGACTAACATGGTTGATGACTCGCAGGGATGCCCGGTCGACAAATCACCGTATCGTGACAATAAGGAGATCGCGGGGAACCCAGATGAAAACAACGATTTCGATTACATAGTACCATTTCAGACAGGTCCCAGCGATATACGCTGCCCGTTCACTGCTCATACCCGGAAGACGGCCCCTAGGGACCTCGATCCCTACATGTCGAAGAAGTTCTTGCAGTCAACTGCGATCGTACGTGCTGGACTCCCATACGGCAAAGAGGTAAACGGCAGTCTACCGATGACTTTGCTGCCACTTATTGTGTTCACCTTTCCAGTACACGGAAGCACCGGACGATCCTGAGCGCGGTTTGCTGTTCGCCTGTTATAGCTCCAGCATCGCCAATGGCTTCTACCTCCAAACGACAGGATTTGCGAATAACGATTACTTCCCTATTACAGGAGTTTCTCCGGCGAAGCACGGTAAGGAATCCCGATTGTGCATGATCCAAACTGTCGCTAAACTTTCACCAAACGTTCAGGTCAAGACCCCATTCTTGGTGGACCAGGACCCATTGCTAACGCTGACATCACCAGTACTGGCGACCTGAAGCTCAAGGGGGAGGTTACTGTCTACCTCCAGGACAAGACTGGGTGCCAACCTTTGGAAATCAACGGATTTGCTAAACCCTACGTACCTAGCGTCTACACCCAGGACTTCTTCGTGACGTCGAGAGGTGGAGAATATCTTTTCGTGCCGTCGATTGAGATGGTCAAACAACTTGCAAACAACTGATAATCACAATCATCTTCATTTGTACAGTATTTGAAATGAATCACTCTTTCATGAATGTCCACCATGACTCAACGCCCAGCTGCAAGAGGCATTGTAACGCCTAGCCCATTCGTTGAAATAGTTGTCAGGCTGTGTGACGCTGCAGGGTCGGATTCCCGTTGCTGTTAAGGGAGAACGCATACGATGCAAAATGAAATTCCGAAAAGATATTCAAGGGCGATATGAGAGTGTAAGAATCCGAGCCATACGGCACATAATAGTAGAATAGATGTGAGTGGACATGTTCGGGATTGAACCGGACCTGCCGCATGCCAAGCGAGCATGATAACCAACTCACCACATGCCATGGGCGTTCATTTTTGTATCCATTCAGATTTTGTTAAGGTAACTCATGTTCTGAGTCTTACGCACCTAGATTTACCTCGAGTTCGTTCATCATTCCGAATCACCCTCGACAGCTCGCAGGTTGAAAGGCGTTATCCCCGTGCCTCGTCGAGACCCGTCTAGCTTACGGTCTTGTTGTCCATCGTTGCACCGACCAAGCACCGACGCACATTGGCATGCTATCTTGGTATCATGTCCATTCACCCTAAACGTGTTGTGATTTCAAAGTAAGTGATATTACACTTAGTGATCCAACACCCTCATTGACAACTGTTGCAGACATAGCGCGGAAGCATTATTAGAGGGTCTAACAGTATCCATGCGTCTGCTTTTTGCATATACTAATGACGTCGACGCGGCTGCAGCTCTTCTTGTCGGACTCTGTTAAACCCAAATTAAACTTGGAAGTAGATGAATTGACACATTCTCAACTGCTGATTGGCTGGATATCAACCGCAAATAGGGGCTCAATTCGAACATGCTTTCTATGGCAAGGCTTAGCGGTCGTTGCGAAAACACGCCTCTTCGTTCAGCTGTCGTTGAGGTCGACTTTCGGTTATGACATGACTGTCTTCGATTACGATCTCTTTCATGTGCCAACGTTGCTCGGGTTGCACTAACCCTGCAGTATAAGTGCTCTTCACGTCTCCTTTCAACAACAATAGCTATGACCTCGATCAACCCCATCTCTAACCTCTCACAGGAGTTGATTGACATGTTTATCGACCATTTACACGATGACGAAGCTTCACTCGCCTCTTGTTCTCTTGTATGCAAGGACTGGATGGACGCCAGTCGTCACCATCTCTTCCGCCGATTGACCTTCGTCGATAATCGTGCAGACAAGACCTTCCCTTCCCTTTTTCATTTCCTCGAGCAGTCACCTCATGTTGCACGACATGTCCGGCAGTTACGCCTGGGAAGTGCTCCCGTCCGTCCTCGAGTCTTCCAAGAAGATCACGAACGTGGCTGCAGTCACCTTGAGACGTCGGTATTCTTGGCCATCCTTTCCAAAGTCCCGAATCTCTCTACTCTAACCATAAACAACGTCACGCTTGGTCGTCGTTCACCAACCGAGACTCTTGATCTGCCTACTGCTCGGCCCCAGTTGCAGCGCCTCGAGCTTGTCCGCGTCGTGCTTGTCGCACCAGATGTATTTGGGGTCTACCGTTATGACGTGTTGGCACCCTTCTCGAAGGTCGAAGAGTTCTACACTGATTGTGTGTTTATTCCGGACGATATGTCTCCACGTGATGTTCCCCTCGCTCCGGATATCAGCTTGCAGACTGAGGTTAACTCAGTGGAGGTACACGGTAGCTTCCTACATCTCATTCAACCGGCAATGGCATTACACAACCTCACAAGTCTCACTGTCGCGGCCCAATACAGAGAACAACTTCGCGACTTCGGTGTTGTCGCTGTGGGCTCAGCGAGAACTCTGCAACGCGTTATAATTGATTACCGTGCTGATCCTGTACGTGAGGAAGGGGATGGCGACCCTGGTAAGCATTTGGCTTAGGCAGCAAACCATGTCATGATCTTGACTTCGCTTCGTCAGTAGAACTTCAGCATTGGGCCTCTCTGAATCTTTCCCAATGCAAATGCCTCAAAGATCTCACTCTTCGCTTCGAACTGTTAGGCTTCCCAGATCCCATCGCTGGGCCATTACCCTGGACCGCCGCTCAGCAGATCTTATCTACCACTCCTCCAAACCTGACTTCGCTCACATTTGATATCATCGCTGGGGTGAATGAAGGAGAAGATCTAACCTGGGCGATCGAGACTATGGATTGGAATTGGATGAGGCAGACATTGTCCAGGTTTCGTTCGTTGCGTTATATCGTATTCACCTTCAAGGACGAAGTTCAATGGAGTCCGTACAATTGGCATCTATATCCTTTGGGCCCTATGGCGGAGGTTGGGCGAGAGATTATTAAACATGAATTGGAGGATTGGAATACTCGTGGGGCTCTCAAATTCGTGTAAGTTACCGGCACGCACCTGTTCAATATTTCTTGCCTCCTATTTTGACTTGTATCTGTACGATGATAAGCAGGATGTATTACACGATACTCTCGATACGGTTCTCTATGCCATATAGAGTATGTTTTATGCCCATTGAACGATGTCGATCGGCGGAGCGTTACCTACGAACGTCGTCGTTTGCCTTACGGAAAGGCAATCGACGTCAGCTTCGATCTCGCCAGTTTGACATTCTGCACTTTTAAGACTCACCACACAATGCCAAGCTTTCGATGTTTTCAGCATTGAAACAGCGACTTACCATTTATAACAAGTGAGTGGGCCTGCTTACGATCAGAAACTAATGAGCGGAGAATTTTTACATAGTCATCAATTATCTCCACAAGGATGGTCTAGCCTCCCCTGGTGTTGAGCCTTGCATGGATACAACTTTGCTGATACCGCGTATTTTCTTCGATACCGACGCGTGACTTTGAGGATGCGTACGCTTCTTACCAGTTTATGATCGTCAACATCTGTGCCCATAAATCCTGTAGTTTTCATCCGTCCCTCTTCGATCTCCGTTCATTTCGGACAAGTCCTTAGCTGTGTTTTCAGAGCTTACAAAGGTGCAGAAGGTGAGCATGGCCAGTATGCGCATCCATTATATCCCTATGTCTTCAATTTGCGGAATCCCCACGAAAGTTACACCTGGGTCGGCAGCTGTGTGGGGGTTCTGATGCATTCTCCGGAGGTTAAGATATCTAAGGTGCATTTCAGTATGGCGGAAACAAAATGGGTTACGGCTGTGAACCAAACCGCTACCTGCTTACAGGAATGTATTGGAGGGCATATCTCGAAAATTTGATTCGAATCCGAACGACGAAGGCGGAGCAGAAATTCGGATGTTCAACAAATTGAATTGCTTCGAATAGCGACCTTGACTAGATGCTTAAGCGCGCCGATCTCACCTCACCTCACGTCGTTGGCTCTGCAAAACCCTTTGACCCAAACAATCCCGAAGAACAGAACGTGATCACCAACGTAGTGGAACCTTTGCAATACCTGTAAAACGGAGAGTGTCTTGGAGCGACAGACACCACAATGCCTCAACGCTGCCAGTCATACCATGAGCGTTGCGAACAGTTTCTCGAGTATGCAGTTCACGCGGACCATTTTCGGGGTACGAACATCGTACATAGGTGTCTGAACAAACATCCCGAATGCGACCAAACATCTACCCATACTTCCGACGACCAACATGAGCAAAGGCTGCCAGAGAGGGCGAAGTTGTGGTGAACGCGGAACGGTGATATCGAAATGGACGATAGCTGAGCATGGATGTTACGATCTATCACAAAGTCGTCGAATAGAAAGTCCAATAGCAGGAAAAACAGGGTGAGGGAAGAATGAGCCTCAACCAAGATAATGGCTACAATTGGATGGTTTCCCTGGGCTTCGAATGAACCACGGCAGCGAACCGCAGTCGTCATACTCAGCAGTTTGGTCATATAGAGCATTTTTGCTTCAAATAGCTTTCGATTTCTAGTAGATTTTCTAGGTTTGCCTTCGATGTGCTGGTAGCCTGAATCGAACTCGTGAATAGTGTAATCGGCTAGAAGAAAATCATGTGAATTTGATTGCTTATTGGGTTGAGAATGCGAGGAGTACCTAATTACGAAGGGGTAGCTGAATCCCTGTTTTGCTGTATTGGTTTACGAATGAACACCAATGAGTTTTCATGCATGTCCTCCTCCATCGTGAACGGCCGGGAATCCGTTGGCCTAACCCATCCCTCAAATCCTGTAACATCTCCGTCCCCATAGACGCCCTCAGCAGTTTGCTCTTCAGCGTCTGGATCTCCTATCAGAACGATGGTGTGAAGAGATCGAAGTCGGTCGAGCACTTCACCAAGGCGTGACCACGGTATTCTGGTACGGATATCGTGTTTTGAATATCGAACGAGCTTGAGGAAGACCATGGTCACATTTGGAGGAAGATGAGTAAGGAAGCGAATTGTCGGTTCTAATTCTAAAACGTTGTTGAGAGTACCCAGTGTTAAGGATGGACGATGAACAGAAGTCGAGAAAAAAAGCAATGACGTCAGGCTGTTCAACGGACTGCCGAAATAGTGCCAATCGTCTAAGATGAAGCTAGTTACCACATTCAAATAGAAAATGTTATCACTATGTGAAGACTTACCGATTGACCACTGGTCAGACGAGTCAACAGTGAGCTCCTGCAGGTTTCCACCAACGGCTTGGAGAAAATCAGCTAAGGTACAGCAGGCCACACCGGGTACATTGAGCGCGGAAAGGCTGCGAAGGCCTTGTTGAGGAGTCACAGCCGCACATACTTTGAGCAACCCTGTTGCCTCCTCTGATTCTGAGGGGTCGAAACATACTGTAAGCTCTTCAAGATGCTGGAGGAGCCCTGACTCCCCTGTAAGAGCGACATCATCAGAAGCATCCCAGATGAGTGACCAAAGTTGAAGCTCTTTTAAATTCGGAAATAATATGAGGACGGATGTGAAAGCTTGAACATGATCTATCGAGAGAGACCTCCGGCGAGAAAGTAAGCTTCTGCATAGTAGTGGAGACAGGATAGAGGTATGAGGATTCAGGGCGAAAATCGTATGTCAGATGCACGTCTTCGACTTCTAGACTGCGAAGAGCCTGCAGCCGCTGCACAATGAGAATCAAGACCGACAAAGATAAATGAGTTCTTCCAGCTGCCAAGTCGGATGTCTGTCCCGCAAAGATGAGTTCCTTCACGTAGTTTGTGACTCTTGACAACTCTCCAAATGAGATCGACACAAGGAAGAGATGGAAAGGCTTGGCTTCGTCCGCATGGTAACTAAGCGTATGGAAGAGGTATCGCCGACTGGCCACGAGCCATTGTGAGTGTACGAGTGAACTTGCTTTGAGACTGTTTGGGTCATTGCATAAAAACGATAAAATGTGTTCAAGCACTTCCTGCGGAAGTAGGACTGATGATGAAGGCATGTCAATCGGAGCTCCTAACTCTGGTTAGTTGTATGGCCTCATCATTAACGCATGCGACCACTTACTGCGGATTCTGCTGAATTGCACGAGGATTGCACGATGTAAAATTACATACACCAGAAGCTCTAGCAGGATTTACTAGCGAGAGTCGACCAAACGCTACGATTTAACACCACTAACAAGACATCAGTGACACTCTGCATGTTGCATCTATGAAATGAAAAGCAATGGGAGCGATGTTTACTTGACATACCTTGACGTTGCGAGACTTATAAGGCCATTCTTAATCGTTACTTGCGAGCTTGCAATGTAGAACGTTCGAACACCAATGGTTGATTCGAGAATGATTAATTGAAAGAAAATCGTACAACGTTATATACTATCGCTGTAACTTATCAAGAGGTTATATACTGCTATAATAATACTTATAATGCTTTAGCCATAAAGGACTTAAAGGCCCTTTCACCCACGACAAATAGGCTTTACATATTGATTTGTGATTTTGGCTGTACACAGCTCCTTCATCGACTTTTCCTCTCTCCTCGTTGTTCTTGGTAACGGCGAAGCGTTCAACATCATGGAGAATGTTGTACCTCCTCAGATAACTACAGAACTAACACAGATATTGTCCAATTTGGTTTTGGGTGACAACGAAATCAGATCAAAGTACGTTTGCACTGCTCGTTCCTTCATTCCAGAGTAAACGAATCTACGATTGTTTCAGTGCAGAGAAGGCCGTAAATGAACGTCTCGAGCAGACGCCTGAGCTCTACTTGCTCGCTTTGACGCAATTTGCGACGGCGGCAGACACAGAAGTGGTCCGTGTCTTGTCAATCTTGTAAATGAACGTTACTTAACCAGTCCTAGATGCGTTCTTTCTCTCTGGTCTTGCTACGCCGACTTCTGTTTCGCTCACCAGTAAACCAACGTTTGTCTCTGTACGATCAACTTTCTGCTCATGCCTTGTCGACGCTGGAACGTTTACTACTCCACTCACTCTCACATGAACCTTCTGTCGTTGTCCGGCGAAAGGCTGTAGACACTGTATGCGATCTGGCTAATAATGCGATGTCTCGGGGAAGACCTTGGCATGCCCTGCAAGCTCAGTCATTTTCCATGGCTGAGAGTAACGACGCGCTTGCACGAGAGTCAGCGTTTCGGGTATTTGCAGGGTGCCCAAACCTCATTATGGATCTTCAGACAGAGACTGTACTTGCAGTACTTGAGAAGGGTCTGCAAGATCCACAAAGCGTTGAGGTATGTGTCAAAGTGCTCTATCCGCTTTAATTCGTGATTCCCTGAACTACACTCTACGCCACACCCCCAGGTTCGCCATGCAGCCCTACGTGCTTCCGTATCCTTCCTCTCAGCTACAGAACATAACCAGCTGGCACAAGTTATGTCATTGATGTATCCCATGCTCAACACTCTCCCATACCTATCGCACTCTCAACTCCCATCATTTCTGTCCACTCTGACACCACTTGCCTCGTCGCACCCACAGTTATTTGCACCCCATCTGCACAACTTATTAAAATTTCTTCCAGGTCTCATCATTCCATCTTCTGACCCTGGACCAACGCCCACTGTTGCACGTCCAAACCCTGCAGGCGGTTCCAGCTTTGTGTTCCCTCCCCCATCTGCCGACGAAAAGGGCAAATCTCCTGCCACGGGCGATCTTTCGGCTGATGATGAAGAAGCAGAAGAAGTCCGGAAAGCAGCGCTGGAATTTATGCTTAGTTTGAGTGAGGCTCGGCCCTCGATGGTTAGGCGTGTAGACGGCTGGACTACTGCAATCGTTCGTGGCTGTCTCGCAAGTATGGGTGAGATTCCTGAAGAAGAAACAACGATCTGGTTAGAAGCAGATGTAGGCCTGGTCCGTCTTTTCGTTTCGAAAACTGACCATCTTCGCAGCCCGCTGAAGATCCTACGGATGATACGTATCCTCATGTCTATGAGCAGTCGCTCGACCGTTTAGCTTGTGCTCTGGGCGGAAAGGCAGTTCTTCCACCTGCGTTTTCGGATATTCCAGGGATGCTTGCGAGCCATGACTGGCGTATGAGGCATGCAGGATTGATGGCTATCGCTGCAATTGCGGAGGGAACAGCTAAGGTCATGCAGAATGAACTCGGTAGGATCGTTGAGTATGTCTTATCTTTATCGTCTCTGACCAACTTCGCTAACGTTCTCCGGCCTTAGTTTGGTTACCCCAATGTTTGCCGACCCACACCCACGCGTTCGATACGCTGCTTGTCAATGCATGTAAGTATATTTTCATATGCCATATATACGCTCTGGGATTCGACCTCGTACCAGTGGCCAACTTTGCACAGATCTGGAGGTGTGTTTCACCGTTATGATGTTCTATGATCGTTGTTCATCATCTCATCGCACTTTGATGCGACAGGAAGTCATCCAAGAACAGTATCACCAGCAGCTTCTAAATGTTCTGATTCATACCCTCGAAGCGCCAGAACCACGGTACGTATGTTTTCCCTCTGATTAATTTAAATGACCTTTGTATCGCTCTTAGAGTTCATGCACATGCCGCTGCCGCCCTTATCAATTTCTGTGAAGGCGTCGAGCGTGACATCCTTCTTCCATACCTCGATCCAATTGTAGAGCGCCTCCTCAAATTGCTGAACCCCGGAGCAAGTGGCGAAGGCAAACAACCTAAAAGATATGTTCAGGAGCAGGCGATCACGACGTTGGCCATGGTCGCCGACGCGAGTGAAGCTACCTTTGCAAAGGTAGAGATACATGATTTTCTGTGTTCTATAAGGTGACTCACCCTCGAGTGCCTGTGTTAGCATTATTCGGCGATCATGCCTCTCCTACTAAACGTCCTTCAAAATGCAAACACTCCGGAATACAGGAAGCTCCGAGTTAAAGCTATGGAATGCGCTGGTCTGATCGGTAAGAAATCCGGCCGTACTTCCACAAGTTTGCACTAAGAGAACGTTAGCTATCGCCGTTGGACGTGACGTCTTCAGACCAGATTCTGCACAATTCATCGAGCTTCTCATGCGAATTCAAAGTATGTTCTGCGTAATCTCATGAACCCTCAGAAGATTAACTCGACCATGCTTGGACAGACAGTCCTCCAGATCCAAGTGACACAATGTTAGGACACTACCTCATTGCCACGTGGGCGAAAGTATGTCAAGCAATGGGTCCGGAGTTCGAGCCATATCTGCCTGTTGTCATGCCACCACTACTGATCGCAGCTAGTGCGAAAGCGGATGTGTCAGTGTATGGTATGTGATATTCTCCCTTTTCTATGATTGTCGTTAATATTTTGCCAGACGAAGATGAGTCGGCAGAAGAAAAGGATGGTTGGGAAACAATCTCCATGGACGGTCGACAGGTGGGAATCAAAACTTCCGCGATCGAAGAAAAATGCCAGGCATTCGAAACCCTCGTAATCTACTGTTCGACACTTGGTCCCCGCTTTGCACCGTACCTTAGCCAAAGTCTAGAGCTCGTGTTACCCTCGCTTCGTTTCTTCTTCCATGAGGGAGTGCGAGAAGCAAGTGCAATGTGAGTGTATACACTATGAATTTGCGTAATCATTTGAACGTAATATGTGTCTCACAGGCTCGTTCCTATGCTTCTGCATTGCGGAAAGCTGAGCAACACCTTGACCCACCAGATGGTGTCCGCTTCCTTCTCTCAGCTTGTGAACTGCATAGGGATTGAGAACGACGTTTCCTTCCTAGCGTCTTTGTACAAATGTTTCTCGGACTCTCTTCGGGTGGTAGGCGGACCTACGGCCCTTCCACAGGAAATACAGGATGGCGTCATTGAGGCAACCAAGCGTCAATTGCAAGCCCTCGCCGATAGACGTAAGAGTCGTGCAAATCTTCCCGCTAACGACATTCGGGATGATAAAGAAGAACTTATGTTACTCGAGGAGATGGAGGACTTCGCTTTGGAGGACATGGGTAAGATGCTTCATGCCTTTGACGCGAATCATCCATTGTTGGTTGCGATCTCGAGCGTGAGGGAGTTAGGTCTCCATTTGGGACAGTGGGATAGCAGCGAAGAGGGTGGCCATGAAGGCTAGAATGGACTGTCGTGGCGCATGATTTGACCGTTTCTGAGTGACTATTGTGAGTAAGCAATACCAGTTCTGTATGTACCGACATAGAGTGTAGAAGACATGTTGTAATGTATGCTCGAAAAGCGGATCTCGTCTGACTTAAGAGCCAATGTTTACAAGGCCGAGCGACGCGAAGGAGTAGGGTTGTCAAGCATACTATAAACATGTACGAAGTGGGATGTCCGAAGCATTACGGCTGCACAGGTCTCGTACTATGCACAAGGCTTCCACGAAAGGCTTCCACGAGCACGTCCCATATAAAGCCATTCAATTCAATGCGGGCGAGCACTCTAGGTTTTTTGTGCAACGGTCAGGAATGAAGTCTTCTGGAAACATTTGGTAACGGAATATCCTGAGGTAATGGTCAGTGAATTCAGACAGCCGAAATCCCCTCGCTGGCTTTTTTCTCCAAAGAGAAAGACAGAGAAGCGAGCGTTTCTAGGATGTGCAGAAGACAACCGTGTATACATCTATGGGTCCCTTCTGGAGTGTAGAGAACCCGAGCAACTACACCACGATATCTTTATGGGAGTGGAATTCTCCCTGAAATCCAATATCCAATGTATTGAGAAATGCTGTACGTTCAGTGATAAATCATTCTAAAGAGTAAATAAATGTTCTACCCACCGGCTTTGAACTGGACGTCTTGACTAGGCACGTTTAGCAAACTACTTGACTTTTAGAAATCGGGAAGAAACGTGATAGGAAGGATTAAATCGCGAACCTCGACTGCGTAAGGTGCGAGTTACATACAGAACGTGTCGTCGGATAGTAACGAGATTGCGTTTCCACTATTGCACTTGGCTCACCTACGTGACGGAAATTGCACCTTGAAACGATGGACATGTGAATTGGCGACATCTTCGAATGCGGGTCAGGTAAAATACCTTGTTCGATGCATGGGCCCTCATCGAAGTAGTCACAGAAGTGCGGGATTACACATCAAGATGGACAGCACTCGAAAAACGGCTAGTCCGCGAAGTGCTAAAGGCCTGAGTTTGATGCTGAGAAAGGAATGAACCGATGGCGCTCTCGGTGACTATTAATAGCAGGCCTTACGACTCATTGTAACCACGAGGTGTCTGGATAGCTCTGGTGGCCATTACCTCCGGATCGAGAAAACGCCTGGCCGACGGAACATCAGCCTTGCGAAAGCCTGGTTATGACGATAACATCAGGAAGATAGCATTCTCGAACTCAGGGAGTAAGGGACGCTATACTGACACTGGAAACGGCGAAGACGGCCGATAAGGGAAATCGAGGATAATTACAGCATGTGTGCGGAGACCAGGGTCAGTAGTGGTTGGCATCTGTGAGAGTTGGAAGGAGTCAAATGGCAGCGAAAATGATTCATACATGTCTTCCGGGGCATGAGTGGATTTACATGGAGATTAGAACCTTGTAAAGGACGTGAGGATGGTGAATTGCGATCCTTTATGATAGGGATTTACTGTATAATTGGCCTCTATTGGGCGGTTAGATTTGAACCTCACCTTTGGTATCCCTCCCTTTCTTTTGAGCGACGAAAATCACAACACCACCCTGAGCTGACTTAAGGAATCAAGAGACGATATCATTCAATGCATTGAAAGTGGTTGTCGGATTTCGTGAATAGCTTGTTAATGCGCCTTTGAGGTTTCTTACCAGCGCAATGGAAAAAATTAGCTATTCTCCCTCAGGCCTTTGCTTGAGTACATATCTTCAACCGCGGGCTAGATCCTAGTTGGGCAATATTCATGAGCCCTGGAGAATAGCGCCGCCGTAGTCGTGCACCTCAAGTGGATGGACGCTTTCGTTTCATGCGCTGGATCTCCAATCGAGCTATTACGGATAGATCAAACAGGATCCGATAGTAAGGATTATATACAACAAACTTAACACCTCCGTGTTCCTGTCGGCATTAAAAACACAAGTTCAGCAAGCATGGAAGTGGTCGCGGCTCCCCGGGCCTGTCCTCTCCTGGGCGCCCATCAAACGGTGCTGTTAGAATGCAAGAGAGGTAGGCATCTCTACGTTGAAAGGGTCATCTGCCCTCTCTTTCATCGCACCTCGTCACCCACAACTATAGTTCATCAATAGTTCTATACAAGCGTATCAGAACCTGTCATATCGCGAAAACGCTAACCACCTCCAGATGTGTACTACACCCCGCGTCGTCGTCAGAAGGTTTACTCTGGTGCCAACCTGTCCCTGACTTTCCCCATGCTCGCATGCAACACACATGGGACATAAATCACAGGACGCCGACGGTTCCGAGATGCGTCTTCCTCCTATTAAATGGAAGATGACGCTGTGTTAGAGTTCCCTCGACTCGTCGTCCTTCTGTCGCCTTTCCCACTAGCTCAGTGGATCTGCCGCAACTAGTCTGTAGCGATGGGTAAAGGAGTATGCTGCTCAGAACCTATCGATTTCATTTACCTGGCTCATTCTTCTCTTCGCAGTATAATGCCGCTATCGCAGGTAATCCGGTGAGTATCATTCTCCAACACCATTTATGTCATGCTGAACGGCCTCTTGCGTAGTACATTGTCGGTTCATTCGCATGTATTGGTGGAGGTCTATTCGGACTGGACATTTCGTCCATGTCCGGTGTGTTGAGCGTAGGTCCCTTAGCTTACGACTTGCTATCTACGCTCCTGATAATGTTCGACAGAACGACGCTTACAAGAATACGTTCGGAAACCCGGGGTCCAATGCGCAGGGTGCCATTGTTGCGTCTATGCCGGCCGGCTCACTTGTGGGCGCGCTGGCTGTGACGGCTCTCGCTGACAAGCTTGGTCGCAAAAGGACAATTATTCTATCCGGTTGGATCTGGGTCATTGGCAGTATTCTTCAATGCGCGGCGGTCAACCGTGGTATGTTGGTCGCAGGTCGTGTCATTTCTGGTATCTCGGTCGGTCTAGCTTCGGCTACGGTCCCTATTTACCAATCGGAAATTACACCCCCTGCTATCCGCGGTCGTCTGGTCTCAATGCAGCAATGGTTTGTCTTTGACGCGGTTTGACATACGAACTAAAAGCTGACGATGGCCGAATAGGTCCATTACCTGGGGTATTCTGATTCAATACTTCGTCGAGTTTGGTTGCTCGTACATCGATGGCGTGGCTTCCTTCCGCATCCCTTGGGGACTCCAGATGATTCCTGCCATCATCCTGTCGCTTGGAATGTTGCTCTTCCCTGAAGTACGCCCTACGTTCTCAACTTAATCTAGACACAGCTGACGTCTTGTTATTTGCAGAGTCCCCGATGGCTGATCGATCACAATCGGTACGTTCCTGACGTTAAGTGTCCTTGGCACCGATCTTTTCTGACCCAGAGATCTTCAGGAACGAGGAAGCCCTTCAGATCCTTGCTGATCTGCACGGGAAGGGTGACAAGACCAATGACCTTGTCCAACTCGAGTATGCCGAAATTCAGCAGCAAGTACAATTCGAGCGCACAGAGGGCGCCAAGTCGTATCTCGACCTCCTCAAACCTGGTGTATTCCGTCGCGTTGGCCTTGGTACCTCTTTGCAGATGTGGAGTCAACTTTCTGGCATGAACATCATGATGTACTACATTATCTACGTGTTCCAAGGCGCCGGTCTTACCGGTCGTCGCGGTAACCTCATCGCCGACTCCGTCCAATACGTCCTCAATGTTTTGCTCACCAGTACGTTCAACCTTCACAGATTTTTACAGATTTTCTAATCTTCCTTCTGTAGTTCCTGCTATCATTTACATTGACCGATGGGGGCGCCGCCCGATGTTGGTCATTGGCACGCTTCTAATGGGCTTCTGGCTCTTCCTTGTCGGTGGTCTCCAGGGCCGCTTTGGACATTGGGATTCCATCGACAATAATCGTGAGTTGAATAACGTTATACTGTTGGTTTATTAGCATTTATTCATGATATTGTTCGATTTAGCTACCTGGGTCATTACTGGACACGATGCGGCTACCAAGGCCATCATCGTCTGCTCATATCTCTTCGTCTGCAGTTTCGCAGTTACGATGGGCCCTGTACGTACCTTCGTCCTAGCGTTAAATGCTTCGCTCATCTCTATTTTAGGTATCATGGACATACCCCGCTGAGATCTTCCCTATGCGCGTCCGTGCGAAGGCTGTTTCAGTCTCGACCGCAACCAACTGGCTTTTCAACTTCGCGCTCGCCTGGGCTGTCCCTCCTGGCCTCTCCACGATTGCTTACAAGACTTACTTCATCTTCGGCACATTCAACTTCGCTGCTTGCATTCACATCTTCTTCTGCTTCCCCGAGACAGCGGGACGTACACTTGAGGAAGTTGAAGAGATTTTCGCGCAGGGACATATTTTCACAGCTTGGAAGGTTGATAGGAATGTTGGAAAGAAGACGGTGCATGATGTGCTCAAGGATGGGAAGATCGATACAGGAAGCGAACATGAGGAGCATTACAACGAAAAGGCTTGAGCGTGACCTTGATGTTTACCTTTCTGTGGTTAGCTCCTTTTGTAATAGTACTGGTTTCCAGCAATCATTAATTACTTATTGACGAATTCTTTACACTCAGCTAATGCAGCTCCTCCCGCGCTTATCCTAGTTTGTCTGGCAGGACAAAGAAACAGCGAGAGCGTCAGAGAGGGACAGTGCAGGGAATGTTCGGTGATCGGTCTGTGTCACTGGATTCCCGCCGGCTCGCGATGTCTCTATCTGCTGCCTCTACACCACGGGACGCAAGAAACCTTCTGTGGTTGGTACGGATGCGATGGAGAGTGACGAACATTTTGGGAAGGGGTTGCGAGGCCGGATCCAGAGCGTACAAGTCTTCAAGAAATTGTGCTGCAGGGTTCTAAGTCAATGTCACGAAAATTGAAAATTCTTCCTTTCTCAGCCCTCGGGATTTTCAGTGTGGCCTTCCCGTTCATCAGGCAGTGAGTACCACCTTTCAGATATAGGGTAATATTTGTGGCACGTACAAACATAAGTAGTCAAAGAATCTGAGCTAAACCAAGGATCACTCAGTAATCTTCAGCTACAAACGAGCATATATCGGCCAAAACCTCTTCGTTCTGAGTCAATAGTCCTGGTTGATACAGGTTCTTGACTTCCCGGTCGTACTGTTCCTGAGCCCCCTGCAGCTCATTTCGCAATGCTCTGATCTCCGTCTGGACAACGTCGACGAAGGACAGCGCCTCTCGATACGTGGCACATGCACGAAAGTAATCCGCCTCAACTGCATCCAAGATTGCCTTTGCGAGTTGAAGACGCTGACGAATGACCACAGGCTGAAATTGGCTAAATATCGAAGACTCTCCAATCTGATCCTGAAGTAGATGATCCGTCGTCGTCGTCGTTGTCGTAAATCCTGGTCGAAGGACATGACTTACCATTTCTTCAGCCACAATACGATGGTTACTATGTTCCATTACAATGTCGTCCTCGCTTTGTGAACTGTTTCGAGTTGATGTTGAAGCAGTACCTGAGTAACAGTGGGTACCAGGGCCGGGGTCAGATGCTTGGCCAGTGAGTCCATGATTCGAGATATTGCGCGGGATATTAAGTTCAGTGGTATGTATCATCATGCTCGCCGGTGTGGACGCTGTTAGCTACGTACGGTATACTGTCAGTCTGATTCTAAACGCGTCGTTCAAACCGATGCAACCACTTTCGGGCTTGGCTGAGGAATATTCAGAATCCGCAATGCATCCAACTGGTGCTTGCAGCCACACACGCGTTCACCCTCGTCTAGTATAGATTTCATCAACCAACATGTATTTATGACGATCATATCTAGACCGTCTATGTTCAAATTTGCGTGGGGTGGGTCTCGCTCGCTCTGTTTAGAAGTTCTCGCGAAAATGCCATTGCCGTATGAACCATATGAGCATGCATTGTGGACACTCGTTCGTGGACATCTTCCTCGACCCCAAGCCTGCCACCAATTACCATACTAGCTCTATCTGCGGCTCTCCTGCAGTAGTTACTCTCTTTCGTGGTCCCCTCTTTTCTGGCCTTCTTAACGGCTCTTCGCCATTGGCAGACTCGGTAACCTCACCGCCTCTAACGTCTCTCTCATCCCCAGCTCCTTTCACTGCATTTTACATCTTCGCCACCATCCCTGAGACATGCGACCAGGTTGATATATTTCGCAGAGGACCATGTACTGATCATTCCCTGAATTTCTGCTAGGTCTGCCGCCCTCTGAACTGTCAAGTACTCTGCCTTCCTCTTCTCCTCCTTCCTCCACTCCAGATACTCCTTGCACAACACCTTCTGCCTCAGAGCCCAGTTTAAAACCTTCGCAACCTCCTCATTGTGAGCCGTCGCAGCCCTCAGCCTTCCAACCACCTTCATCTCAAGGTGACGCATCTACCCCCCCCCCCCCCCAGTTCTGCCCCTCCCGACACAGGCTCATCAACTCCAACGCCACCACCACCACCTCCTCCTCCTCCGCCGCCTCCTTCTGCTTCATCTACTGATGGGTCATCTTCCCAAGCTAGTGACGGTTCAGATCCCACTAGTTTCATAATGACGAGTTTGTCGACTTTGACATCTCTAAGTACACTCCTGTGAGTCGATTCCTTTTTACTTTTCTATTTTCATAGCACCAGCTCATGTATTTATACAGAAAAATGTATTAGAATCAGGGTTAGGAAGCTGTCAGGGATTAGGGTGAAGTGGACGAGCGTCTGTGGAGGGAAAGCCTAACCTGGTTGATATAGAGGATAAAGGAGTTGAGTAGTTACAAAGTACGCATGCAGATTTTGTTGAAGTGGGGAGATGATGATGAGATATATGGTAAGATGAAGCAGAGATACGAAATTGGACAAGTATGCAGGATGGGAGAAGAGGTTGATGTGAAGTACGCATGCAGATTTTGTTGAGTGTATGGGTCAAAGTACAGATAAAATATGAGTATGGACTCTGGTAAGAGCAATGTCGATGGAGTGATTGAATTGATGGAAGCCATGCATTAAATTGAGAATGTCAATTGGTGAAAATTGAAATGATGCATGTACGAGGTATTGACACAATCCGTGTGCGGATTATGTTGATGCGGATACAAGTAATATTATTATAGATGCAATCCGTGCGCGGAATTCATCTCTCCATACCAAATCTGCATGCGGAATTCATCTCTCAAGGCCAAATCCGCACACGGATTTTATTGAATTGATAAGTGATGATGGAACGAACATTGGAGGTTGTCAGATGTGGTAGTTGATTGGTGGCAGTCTTGACATAATTGTGAATATCTGTGTCTCACCAGCAGTAGATAGCGTGTACATAGATAGGATCACCGAGAGATGGTTAAAGAGTGTTATATTTGCTCATATATACTGTATTATGTATAGGACAGAATGGATAGAGATATATATATATTCTTTGGTATTGCATTATACCCGTAGAGGCTGAATGTGGTTAGGGTTACATTGATGGCGATGTGGGCGAAGGATGGAGATGGTGAAGTTGGACGTGGTGAGAAACTGTTGAACTGACCTTCACTGATCTTGACCGATAGGAGATGTCAGGCAAACGAAACACAGGCAAAGCGAAGAGCAGGAGGCGGAGTAGTAAAGGGAAGATGAAAGCGAGGAGAGGCCGAAAAGAGGTATGTCGGATAGAGATTTCAGTGGATAGAATGAGTACTGATAGGGACGGTGAGGACAGATGGAAGAGATTAGAGAAGGGATAGTGGAGAGTGTGAGCAGAGAGATGATGGAGTCAGAAGAGGTAAGTAGATGAGGATTTGTGTGATTGATTGGAGAGCTGGTTATGGGGACTCTCGTCCGACCCTAGGGCTGGCGTAGGGTCGGGCACCTAGGGCCCAGGGTTGGGCGGCTGTGGGCCAGGGTTGGGCATCTGTGGGCTAGGGTTGGGCGGCTAGAGGGCAGGGTTGGGCGGCTAGAGGGCAGGGTTGAGCGGCTAGGGGGCAGGGTTGGGCGTCTGTGGGGCAGGGTCGGTGGTTGTGGGCAGGGGCATATGGAAGTCGGTGGTGTGAGGCGAGCGTTCCGTTCAGGACGGAAAGAGAGAGCGGCAGACATGGGTGGAAGAAGCACCGAAGAGATGGGTGCAGAGATTCCCTCCTGGACGGAATTCTGTGGAGATGGATGTAAATGCAGTGAGAACGGGATTCCGGTGGGGCTGGGTGCATGCATTCCGTCTTGGAGGGAATTCTGTGTGCATGAGGTTACTGTTTATTGGATGATGAGAATGCCGTTGATCTAAATTGACATGCGGCAGTTGCGAGTGAGAAAAAATGTAACGAAGATGGAATAGACCGAATGAAGGAAGGATGTGATGATAGATGAGGAGATTAGCAGTGGAGTGTAAATGAGGTGAAGGGGATCTAAGCTGAGCGTGAATGATGGAAGGGATATATTGGATGTATTCTAGGCTACATTGATGACGGCGTACGTGAAGAAGACTAGAGTATTTGAAGAAAGTGACGGCAGACAATATGTGAAGAGAAGGAGAGAAAAAGTATATAGATGAAGAGGGAATGAGAGGGAGGGCATGTTCGCAGACTCTCGATCATGGAGACGTATTCTTGCTTCAAGCACGAGATCGACTGGTGAGAGAACGATTGGGTGCTGCGTGAGCGATTGGAGGTGAGTACTGAGAGATTGACCGAGTGGCGAGATGGGAAGATGACGAGATGAAAACAGAAGGGGGGGATCGAGATGATGGGGAGTATTGAGATGAAGAGGGGGGAGGGGTTTGTAGAGGCTGTGGGGTGACTGTGGATTGACGGTAAGTTTGAATGGATAGTTGGTTGAAGGGTTTGAAGAGAAGGACTGACGAGGAAGGAGTAGGGGCTGATGAGTGTATGGAGAATCTGCCTGTCATTCGATGGCGGGTGAATGGGTATGTGGAAGAAGGTGAGTTGTGTGTATGGATGAGATGTGTATAGAATGCTGACGAGTGAGAGTTTAGGGCCCTTCGAGAAGTGGACGGAGGAGAACATGTTGAAGCCAGCGCGACATGAGGAGGGATTGGAGGTTGGAGGCTGTAAGTACAATTGGGAATTATGAGCGGATGAATGGCGAGCTGACGACAGTGTGCAGTGGAGGACTGGTGCGCGATGAAGGTGCTGAAGTGGATGCTGTGGGATACGAAGGGGGAGATGAAGAAGTGTGAGGAGATGATAGAGGAGTTGGAGGATGGGGAGGTTGAGCCGGATTGCGTGAAGATCAGGCAGTTGGGATGAAAATGTCGATGGCGGTTGGAGATGTTGAGTATGATTACGCAGTTGGTGAGGGAGGAGACTCAGTGACTGGGGGAGAGTCGGCAGGGATTGGGGAGGTTCTTGAAGGCGTTGGTGAGGCGAAATGAGGAGGTGGTGAAGAGGGAGGGGGAGTGGCGGGAGACGTGGGCGGAGATGATGAGTGATTATGTGTGGGTGAAGGATAAGGAGGAGTGAACTATGGACATGCACTGTATGATAATATGATGTAGTGTATGTGCCATAAGAGACACTGATCGATTGCCTTAAAAGTGTGAAAGAATGAGAGTATTTGGTTGAGCGACTGGGAGCCGTTGATGACCATAGCATTCTGAGTTTTGCATATATGGGTAGATGAGAAAATGATTGTCGGTGCGCTGTTTCTGTCAGGAAACAGCGTGCCGATGAGCATTTTCTCATCTACCCATATAAGAAAGCTAGAGCGTTGTGGCCGTCAATGGCTCTTAGACACTTGAACACATATCTGATTGTTGCATACTTCTAGGGGAAAGATGCAGGGTCTCTTAAGAGCGATACATGTATATTACATTGAGTGTAAGTGACACAAGAATGAATAACGAGATGTAAATGTAACGATGGGTGTGAGTGGTAAGGCGTGGAGAAACATAGGTTGGATGAGAGTGGGAGGAGATTCCGTCTAAGAGGGAATGCGTGCAGTGAAGAATGTGTGAGAGCAATTCATGAGTGCGAAGATTCCGTCCTAGACGGAGTGCGTGCAGCGAGGTGGGCGAGCGATCAGGAAGCGGTGATCATGTGATTGCACAGTGGCATGAAGAGCGCATTCCGTCCTGGACGGAATACAGGCGGGGACACATGGGCCTCGTGAAGAGACGCCAAATGGCTGGGTGCGCGCAATCCGTCCAGGACGGAATTTCTGTTCTGAGGCAAGCACACGATTAGCCACGCGATTTCCGCATGCGCGGTTCCTTCCAGGATGGAGATCAAGCTATATTGAGACTGTTACGTCGGGATGACATAAATGGAAGAATGGTTGGTGAGTGGTGCGGTCGGTTAAGCTGGGGATGAGGTGTTTAGCGAGTAATAAGGTGAAGGAATTAGCTGGATATGGAGTGGGCGGGGTGGCATGGGATATAATAGAAGATGGGTAATATGATTGCCTGCAGGGATAATATGCTTAGCGTGATCAGCATGATGTGTTGAAATGAATAGCGGCCTCATGAATGATGGCAAAGTTTGCTTCTTATGACATGAGGCGGTGAGGGGATGATTTAAAAGGGCAGGGGTCTGACAGGATTCGATTTCCCCACATTCTCTATTGCTACTACTGCTGCTGAGACTGCTATCTAGAAATCGTAATCGACATGCCTTCGTTCACTGTCCCCTCCAGTCTGCTGGAGATGACGAGAGTCTTCCGGGAGATGAAACCGCCGGTGCCCGATGCGCCGTGGTCGTTCATCGTCTGGCAGAAGCATACGGGGTTCACTCGCGCTCCCTGGGCTGAAGATTGGCCGGACGACGAGAAGCATTCCTTCAAGTGGGACAAGACTGCTCGGGCGCAGGTGAAGGCATTCGTGGATGCGTTCTGCTCGATGCCACTCGCCTCGAAGCGCCAGGAGTTCACGAAGACCCGGATGACAGACACTCATGCTACAGGCCGGGCGACGTGGACGGTAGCGATCAGAGCTGGGTTGAAGGCGTGGAAGATCAACGCCATCGTTGGAAAGGTGTTGAAGGAGAATGAGAGAGACCGGGCATTGCTGCTTCGGCGTCATGGAGAACGAACGGTACGACTTACCTATTGTGACAAAAGGATGAAGGCTGACATTTATACAGAAAAATGTATTAGAATCAGGGTTAGGAAGCCGTCAGGGATTAGGGCGAAGTGGACGAGCGTCTGTGGAGGGAAAGCCTAACCTGGTTGATATAGAGGATAAAGGAGTTGAGTAGTTACAAAGTACGCATGCAGATTTTGTTGAAGTGGGGAGATGATGATGAGATATATGGTAAGATGACGCAGAGATACGAAATTGGACAAGTATGCAGGATGGGAGAAGAGGTTGATGTGAAGTACGCATGCAGATTTTGTTGAGTGTATGGGTCAAAGTACAGATAAGATATAAGTATGGACTCTGGTAAGAGCAATGTCGATGGAGTGATTGAATTGATGGAAGCCATGCATTAAATTGAGAATGTCAATTGGTGAAAATTGAAATGATGCATGTACGAGGTGTTGACACAATCCGTGTGCGGATTATGTTGATGCGGATACAAGTAATATTATTATAGACGCAATCCATGCGCGGAATTCATCTCTCCATACCAAATCCGCATGCGGAATTCATCTCTCCATACCAAATCCGCATGCGGAATTCATCTCTCCATACCAAATCCGCATGCGGAATTCATCTCTCAAGGCCAAATCCGCACACAGACTTTATTCAATTGATAAGTGATGATGGAACGAACATTGGAGGTTGTCAGATGTGGTAGTTGATTGGTGGCAGTCTTGACATAATTGTGAATATCTGTGTCTCACCAGCAGTAGATAGCGTGTACATAGATAGGATCACCGAGAGATGGTTAAAGAGTGTTATATTTGCTCATATATACTGTATTATGTATAGGACAGAATGGATAGAGATATATATATATATTCTTTGGTATTGCATTATACCCGTAGAGGCTGAATGTGGTTAGGGTTACATTGATGGCGATGTGGGCGAAGGATGGAGATGGTGAAGTTGGACGTGGTGAGAAACTGTTGAACTGACCTTCACTGATCTT